GAGATCTTCTATTGTTCGTCGTCTACATATGGCTACGTCGCTATATATATACGTTGAGCTTTTATTTTGTTTCTTTGTTTTCTGTCATTAGTTACCAGCTCAAGTCCGGCAACGGACGGTCAATATTCAGGCAACAATTAATGTTTCCGGAACACTAGTTGCTCATTTATGAAGAATGGTTATTGTCGTTTTCATCTTCATTCATTTTCCCTTTTTTTTTGGTTCTATTTCTGGTCTGTGTCACGTTCAAGTCTATTGATAAACTAAAATATAAAAAATAGTGTGTCAATTTTTCTGTCGTTACTGTGGCCCACCGTTGGTTGACCTTGTTGAAACCATCTAATCATTCAATATATTAATAACCTAGTGCTGCGAAACAAGAAGAGAAGAAATGGCGCTTTCATGATAACAAACCGTACAAAATAGCCGACAAAAGCAAAGACAAGGAAAGATGACAAAAGAAAGGAAAATACAGCGGAGAACAAAAAAGACTCAAACATGCGAAAGAAGGGGGGAAAAAATGATAAAAGCATAAAGACTAGGCCTCCTCTTTTTTCAAATGCCATTCGTGATAAATCTTGGTGACGAGCGCCGTCAGTGTCGACTGATAGAGCGCATCGAGGGCCTCGCCGTCATTCAGCTCGTCAATATCGTGCCCACCGCAGGCTTCCAAGGCCTCGGCCACGCACTCTCTTTTGTGCAGCGTCCAGTAGTCGTGTACTAGCGAGACGGCGTAACCGTTGCCCCCGCGCAGGTACGGGTCGCAGCCGTCCGAGGCGGTCCGTTGAACCAAGTCTGGAAACAGCGCGCCGTAGATGCGGCGCCATCGCTCGGCCTCACCCATGCCTCGGGCGGCGCGCAGCCTGTCCTTGTCCTTGATGCGGCGTAGCTGAGCCTCGGGAACACCCTTGCGGGAGGCGTCGCCTTGGGGCGCAAAGTGGCCGACGGGCTTGCAGGTGCGCAGGGCCATGTGGGCGTCGCGGGCGTCGTAGTCGGCGGCAAAGTCGCAATGGCAAAAGGCGCAGTAGGCCGTCGGCGGGTGGTGCGCACGAATATGGGCCAGCACGCCGGCGAGGGTCTGCAGGTCGCGGCCGGCGAGCACACACGAACGATGGGCGGCCGGGTCAGCGGCGAAGAAGGGGCACGCGAGATGGAAGTAGCCGTCAGGCCGGGACACCTTGACCATGTGTTCCCGAGGCCCGTCGCCGTTGCCATTGCCGCAGAGCAGCGTCAGAGATTCGGCGGACGCGAACCAGTCGGTAGGGTTGATGCGACTGGGCGGTGGGATGCGGTCCTGCGGCGGCTCCACGTAAGTGACGGTTTGGATCCAGGCCATGACACGCTGGTAGGATGTGGCGAGGACATGGTCGCGGATGGCGGGCTGCATGACGAGGCCCCGGAGGCTGTCACGGTCGTCTTTGTCGGCAGTGAGGGTCGTGGTGCTGCGCGTTTCGGTGGCGGGGGCATCGGCGTCAAAGTCGTCGTTTGCCTCAGCAGATGCCTTCATCATGACAGGGTACGGGTGGTGCGAGGGGCCGTCATTGCTGTCGTCGCCCGATTCTGACTCGGTGACGCTGGCGCTATTGGACGTCAAGCTTCCTGGGTCGCTATCGGCAGAAGAGATGACGTCTTCGTCGGCACCGGCGTCAGAGTACGTGTCGTGGTCTTTGGCATGTCGAAAGGAGGACGAGGGCGGCGGCTCTTGAGATGGCATCCAGGACCCAGCCATGGCTATATATACGTAACTGCCTTCAGAGTGGTTGGAAGGCGTTTGGCTCTTTTGGGGGCTGAGCGGAAGCATGACCTCGTCACCCTCGTCCATCTTGACGTCTGCCTGCTGGTGGGGGTGGTGGTGGTCCTGGGGGTCCTGGTGGTCCTGGTGCTGTACAACAACCTCTTCGCTGTCCTGTACCACGCGAGGCAGCGATGGCGGGCGCCAGGCACCTTCAAGGCCACCACGCTTGGTCATCTCGATGCGGCATGGCATGCCAACAAAGAGACTTCGGAGTGAGCGTGAATGGCTGTCGTCGACGTCGCGCATTACGTCAATGCAACGCCAGCTACGCAGGGCCGACAAGGACACACGCAACGCCGAGGCGACTCGTACATAAATACCGTTCCACTCGCGGAAGCAAATGGCAATGCTCTTGCTCGTACCCAGGTCCTGACGCTTCTGGCCAATGGAGAGCAGCACGCACCCAGGGCCCTTGCAGACGCGCGACTCGAGCTCGATGCCCTTGCTGCTAAAGCGAACCTTGCCGTTAAATACCCAAGGTCGTTGCGGCTCCTGTGCAGCGACGGTGGCGGTGGCGGTGGCGGCGAAGTGGCCAAACTCGGCGGGCGAGCGGGCGAGCAGGCCGCGGACCTCGCCGTCGTCGCCGCGGGCACTCCGCCAGGCGAGCAGTGACCCGTCACGCGTGTCTCGAAGTAACTCTTCCTGCAAACGGAGAAAGGCACGGGAGGCTCCTTCGCCGTAGCGCACGGGCAGCGTGGCCCCGGTGACGGCGACGAGCGCGTAGGCCGTGTCCTCCTCACGCGCAGCGGCCCGGCCGGCTGACCACGAGATGCGCACCGCGAGCGCCACATCGGCGAGAGCAGCGGCGTCAACGAGGACGCTGCGCGGAATGCCCGTGATGCGGGACAGGAGCGGCGCCAGCACCGGCGAGTCCTTGTCGCCGCGGTAGTTCCACTGGGCGTCGTAGAAACGCACGCGCGGCGGCAGAATTAGCTCTTGCAGGGTCCAAGCCCGCTTCCAGTACCGGCAGCGGCTCCAAGCTGAGGCATCGGCCTCGGATATCGTCGTCATTGTTGTTGTTGTTGTCGTCGTCGTCACCGTGGCGGCGGGGAGATCATGGAGATGGGCGAAACAAACGGCAGAGTTGCGCAGGCGACGCCGGGCTCCATTGACGGCATCGTCGAGGTCGGCCGTGGATGTCTTGTCGATGCAAAACTCGTCGATCCAGACATACTCGATGCCGCTGCGCAGCGCATGTCGACAAAGATGCTCGAGGGTGTCGCCGCAGAGCGCCCACGTGCTCTTGGTATTGAGTGTGTAGGGACGCTTGTTGGTGTTGTTAAAGGTGGAGCCATGGTATTTTGTGTTGGTCGCCGAGGAATTCTTGCTGATGTAGGAGTAGGGCAGTGGTGGGGAGGTTGGGCTCGGTGAGTAGTGTGGAGGGGGCACATCATAGTCTGAACCAACAAAGTCCGAACCAACAGCGAGATGCTCACGTAAAAGGGGCCTGTCTCTCGTGTGGGAAAAAACGCCATAAGGCGGAAGTGCACCATCGGGCAACTCGACGACTGCTCGGCTGCGTACACAAACAAGCTTCATGATCTTGGTAAAGGGAGAAGTTGAGAGTGCTTGCAAGCCAGGCAAGATGAAGAATCATTAGGGTATTATAATACATGTCCTCGCAATAGCGACAACCACTGAGAAAAAAACCGTCTATTTGGAACCAAGGGGCGCCAGGCAGCGGACAAGATGGCAGTGCAGAGTGCGTATATATACTAGGCGAAAAAAATCACAAATGTGTAGCAGACAAGGGGGGACGGGGGAGGGCAGGAACGAGAGAGTCAGAAATGAGAAAGGCAGTCAGTCGGCAGGCACGCATATGCTACTCCTTTTTTGCCATTAGCGCCTATGATTCAATACAGCTGCATTGCCAGCTGCCAGCCTCGCCTTACAAGGCATGCCTACGGTTGCCATACAAGAGTGAAGACCAGTAGTATGTAGTAGCCTTGCATGAAATGCCCCCATGTCTCAAGACTCCATCGAATCCACAGATTTTATGTCTGCCTTTTGCCCATTTAGTCCATTTTCATCGTTTATAGTGGGTTTACCCGGCCAGCCATGTGAATCGATCAACAACTACCTTATGGCCGCAGATGCAGATTTGAACGCCGAGAATTACAAAGTTTTTTCAACAATATTTTGCCATTATAAAAGCAACGTCGAATCCATCACAACATTCTCAAACTCGTCCTTTATCAAAAGTATTATTGCCCCCTTCCCCCCTCTATTACTCTACTTGCCGCCAATTGGCTCGACTAACGTCCATGACACAATAGAGATTGCGCTATTCCGCTTGAGCGGCCGCTGACATGCACTGCCACCACCATAAATTGCGGGTTTCTACTCAAGGGGTCCTATGATAAACGCATGTATGTATCACTATTTTCTCATCAACTGCCCATCTTTCTCATTTTCTTTCCTCAAAGAGGGTCGCAAAGCAAGCCGCATCATTTAGCGGTATATGCGTAGAGCCGGCCTGTTTTCTGGCCCTGCCCTGCCTGGCTGCGGAGCTGAAACCCACAACATTGCAAAGCGCAGTCATCGCTTAAAGAAATCAGAAACACCTTTGGTCAGGGTAAACTTACTTCAAAACGGGCTTGCTGCTGCCTACTTCTTTTTTCCCGTCGTCGTTTTTCGTCGGGTGATGTGCCCCAGCCCGTGGCGAGATGCGCGGTAGTCGCCGCACAGCTGTGTCGGAGTTGACCGATGCCCCTGCACGGGTAGGGGCGGTGGGGGGGAAGATGATTTCTCGCCAGCAGCGACAAGAGGTGCCACGATTGTGACTGGTGACTTTGTCTCTGTTCTTTTTGCTTGCAGCAAACATATTAGGCCGTTGTTTGGGTTCCCGTGGGGGGGATCGGGGGAGTGTCGTAGTTATATTTCACACAATTGTGGTGAGAGCCCCACACGGCCAACTTGGCGGCCCGCCCGCATGGGATCGCCATCCATTGGTCTAGATCTTTCTTTTTTCTGTCTCTCTCCTGCTATCTTATTGGGGCATGTGGGGGCTGATAAAAGAAGGCTTGCTGGGTTGCTGGGGAAGGCTCTTGGTGGCGGTCTGCAAGGGCGGGAAGCAACTTGTCATAAAGATGTACGTCAGATACGATCATACGAATCGAGCAATGCTCGCAAGGCGGACTCGCTCTGTAAATTATCAGTAAAGGATCGTAGTCGTGTCTGCCTTGTCCAAATTTAACCAGGTCCGACGGCCCACGTTGTTAGGTCATGGAACTTCTTCTCCCCTGCCCCCCCTCTACGCCGCCTTTTTCGACATCTGATGCAGTACCATATATCCGCCCCGGGGGAACCTACTACACCACAACAGTTCGCCGCCATGGCTGCCGGTAACTTTTTTTTACATCCTCCCCCCCCCCTTTTCAGGAAGCTGTACGGTGAGGATGAGTAGGTCCAGACCATGAGGCTGACTGTTTCTGCATCGTCAATCTCTCTGACGGTGAGGCTGGTTGGCTGACTTTGCAACATCATCATCAAGTTCACTGCCCTGCGAGGCTCTTCTTCTTCTTCTACTAGTATTAGACTGAGATGTTCGAAGCCCCGTTTCAAGTCTCCTAAGCTCTTGACCAATGGAGTAGGCGCCAACCGTCGGTTGTACCCTCCGGATTCTCTCTCTCCTCTCTCCTCTCCTTCCGATGCTTTCGCATAAGACTTCCCTGGACCGGCCCAGACCGCGGTTCGGCAACGTGGCACACTTCAAAACCTACAAGTTTGTACTTCCGCTCTACGCATGATGCACATCCCCATGACGCCCTACAATGCCCCCAGTGCGGGGATCAAATCCCGCCAAGGCGATACGCCTCCATGTGGCTTATTGTGATTGAGCCCTCCTCATGCAGGGTTACCACTCTCCACGCAGATTACGACAGCACGAGGCTCATCCCCATCATGATTGGTGCAAAAAGCGAGCTGAATAGAGCTGAGTAGTACTGACAGCCCATTCACCAGTGTCACTTTAGACGTTCGACGTTGTCATGGACGGTTTATTGCACATGGTGTTCTGCACCTGATGATTTCGTTGCTACATTTATGTTCATATTTTACTTGCTTATTCACATTCCCCCATGTACAGAACAAGTCAAATCTGTCTCAAGCGTGAAAAGATGATCAATGACGCCACAAACGTCTTGATGACACTTTCGTTATCCTACTCAGCCTTTGCTGATTGTCCGGCTGGACCGGATTATGCTCAGCTCGAGCAAGTTTAAGCCTTGGTGATGCCGGTCAGCTGCGCTTCATTGCAAATTGGGTGAGAAATAAAAAAAAAACCTACGCATTTCTATAACGGAGGCAAAAAAGTAAGAAAAAAAGGTAAGCGAATTAGCAAAATGATTCCGAAACTGCACATATTAATCGTTGTTTTCTAGGTCCTCGACTTACCCCGATGCTCTGTTTAGAGAGCACATAATTTTGTCAGCAGTTGCACAAATTTCCAACTTGCAGGCCTCTAAAAAAACAAACTTACGACGACGGCCTTGATTCCAGAAAAGGTGACGGGACCGGAGCAGGTGAATTTGCAGTCGCACTTGGGGTAGATGACGTTCTGGCCAAGAGCTTCGACTCTGCCGCAAGCGGAGCCGGAGGAGGTGGGGCACTCGGCGCGGATGGAGAGGGCGCCGGCGCCGGAGATGATGGCGAGGATGGTGACGGCACGCATGTTGATGGCTGTAAGGGAACGGTGAAATCAATTTTCTGAAACAAGAGAGTTGCTAAATGAGTTGGTCGTGAGGGAGTCAAGGCGGGAGAGACGATGAGTTTTGTAGTCTACAATTCCTTTCTCAAAAGTCTCGACTTTTTTTTCCTCTCTTTTTTTTTTTTGGCTTCTCGGCGCATCTTCAATCTCCTTCTTCAAACAGCATACATTGCCGTTCTCTTCTCCACAGCTCGTGTCACCTGGGCACGCTTGGCAAAAGCTACCTCTGCATCGTCTCGTCCTCGGCTGCGAACCCCACGTCATGTTCAGCCTGTGCAAGTACTTGGGATGCCTGTTCTCTCTCACCTATGCAAACAATTGATCCTTCTTCACTAGCAGCGTCTCGGGCCCATCACCGATAGTTGCCTGGCGGCCGACAACAGCAACCATGCGTCTTCACCAGCCAAGGGGAGGCTTCTGCATGCCCTGACTCGTCGGGGCTCATGTCATGCACGGTTGAATTGGGGAATTGAGTTCTGACATGTTCTTTTCAACAGAGAAAGAGGGGAGATCCATCCCCCGATGTAATAGCAGAAAAAGACTCGTCAATAGGCAAGCTGGAATTGAGCGCGACGAGAACTCGCAATTGTGTCGAAATCCCATTTCATCCAGCACAATCCTCACACTCCTCTTTCTGACGGTCGATAAAAAATCTACCGAGGCTCGTTCATTGTTGGGTGGGTGTGAGCAATCCATCTGCCCGTCTGCAATCTGTTGGAGATGAAAAAGTACATGGGCCCGTCGAAAGGGGGGGGGGGGGGGGAAGCCGTCAGGGACCCTGTCACGAGACGTACAATAGCAAAGAGCGTATTGCGATCTACAGATAATTGACGGAATTAGGGTTTACCGTACGACTAGCTGAACAGCACTTATACGGCTGACGAATTTTGGACGAAATTGCTCGACCTTGCTCTGTACCGTGTGGTTCTGGATTCGTCTAGATCCCGGCGTCGATACTCCTCAAGCTGTGGATTATGCTTGAATAGACAGTGGTGTGAGATATATGCCGATTCAAATCTATGTCAATTTACCTTGCACTACCTTTAATGAATATAAGGCAGCTGGACTTTGCCAGCGAGAACAAAGCCACCTTCAATGTGCGCATCGAATGCGGCACACGAGGCTTTTTCTAACGCACATTTCGGGTTGCATCGACTACCACCTACCAAAAATGGTGAGAAATCGACGATACTTTTTATAAATAGAAAAAAAGACAATCATCGATTTGTCGGGTGTGGAGAAGCGACAAAGGACTGGGAACTGGAGCCGTTGCCGAGCCAGAACGCGGGGTCGACGCAGCATCGACGCAGCTCGACGTCAGCTGGATTTGAAGAGATGACACCGACAGTATTATTTTATTAACGGGTAAGAAAGAGCGAATCGTGCGTTCCACGACAAAAGACTAATAATGCTCGGGATCCGCCATCAAATGTCAGAAACTCGTGGCGCAAAGGGGCTTCCTTTCTCGGTCGGTCGCCCGCTGCACTTGTAAAAGATTAATAAAAGTTGTTGAGATATAGACTGTGCCGTTGATACATGCTGAGCCTAGATTTAAAAAGCAAATAGTTGTGCTTGGCTGCATTTGCTTCGACCCTTGTCCGACGCCGCTTGGCAAATTCTTCGAGGCACCTTGTTTAGCTCTCTAAATCGACATGGCAGAACGTCAGACTGCATCAGTAGCCAGAAGATTTACTACACAGCTACGGATACATCTTTAAAAGTTCGGGAGTTGATGGAATGCTGTAGCTCACAGTTTATCACGTGTCTGGTCAAGTTGACAGAATGTAAATCTCAACTACAAGAAAGAGAAAGCGCCCCAGGTACAATAACGCCTCATCTGGCAAAATATTAAAATCCGATAAAATCATCGAAAGCCTCAGCATAGCCCACGCAAGAAAAAAAAAAAGAAAAAAAAGACGTGGTATCTTGAGCCAAGCAACAAATACAAAGTACAGGTGATGCCATGGTTCTTACATGTTTCGCAGCAAAGCACGCCTAAAAAAAGTGGCCGCCAGGAACAGCGACAAAGACTGCTGTCAAGATACCACCAAGGAGGATCGAGGCAAGAACTGCCTGGATAAAAATGGTATCTTGAATCTGACGCAGCGCCGGCTCTTGGATCCAGACCTCGCGGTCAAATACCTTGCGAACGACGTTGCGCTTCTCGTACTTGACGATCCAGGGCTCGTCCTCGTAGCTGTTGCTCGAGCCAAACGACTCGAAACTCGTCTTGGATACGCTATGGCTCTCGGCGTCGTCCTTTTCTACATCTTGGGTAAAGAGCTCCCAGGGGCGCACGTGGCGGTGATGCATGCCGTGCAAGACGACGCACATGCCCTTGTAGGCTGCAACGAGGGTGCTGATACCAACAACAAAGGCAATAGCCGTCAAGGCGCGCCAGCCGCGTCCCGCACCGCTCAGGCAAAGCACGATGCCGGCGATGATGCCGAGCAGAATGGTGCCCACGCCGAGGCAGCGCGCAAACAGAACACGAGCGGGGTTGCCGTTGCAGATGGACCAGCGGACAAAGTTGGGGTGCGCTTGGCGGCGGAGCATCGTCTCGACGGAGTTGATGATGAGGCGCAGGGCAGAGGGATGGGTGGTGTGGGAGAGGGCCTGAACGGCGGCCTTTTGCTCCCATGCGGAAAGATTGAGCTGGCGCGGGGCGCCGTCCATGATGTAGGTGGCAATGACGCGGTTAATTTCCTCGCGAAAGGGCTGAATAGAAAAGGGTTGCTTGGCACCAGCGGCGTTAAAGGCTTCCGAGGCCTGCGAGCGATACGTGTTGACGGCTGTGGTGGGCGCCTGGGAGGCCGTGTAGACGGACGCTTGGTCGGGGGAGTCGTCCGAGATGCGCGTAGGCGTTGTAAAGGGATTGCTGCTGCCGGTCTCATGGCCATGCTTCTCGAAATCTGTGCCCTTGAACAGTTCAGCGGCCACGGCGTTCTCTGGACGCATCTTGTCGGCATTATCCTTGCGGATGCGGGCGACTGCCTCGTCCTCCATGGTCTGTGTCCACTCGGGGGATAGGTGCAGGTCAGTGGTGTCGGCATCAGCAAAGCGCTTGGCGTAGTCCCTGTACCAAAGGAAGAACTGCAGGTTTTCGGCCGCGTGCTCAATGTAGATGAGATAGTTCATGAAATCACGAACAGTCATGGGCTGAAAAGGACGTGTTAGTTAGTGACATGGATGTGGATGCCGTTGGTATCACTTACAGGGCAGGTTCCGCCGTTAATGATGTTGTCAAAAGCAAGAGACTCGGGTATACCGGTGCTAGAGCCAGATGTGCCAGAGTGTACCGAGCCACTCGCCTTGACATCGGCGGCCGATTCGCGGTTGGCGATACTCTGAGCGTCGACATGCTTCGGTCTGGTGTATGTGAGAGGGACGCCCATCTTGATGAGGTTATTCGCAGCGTCTTTGGCATAGACTATCCCGGACCACGATATTGAATGGTTTTAGTCTTTCAGGAACGTTTGCACAACAGAATGAGGGCGAGGACGAGGCTTATACATTGGTCGGCCCGGAGCCATGGTGTGGCCAAGAAGATCCAGACTGTGTACCAGCGGCGCCGCAACCAGGAACACGGGAAATTGACTTTCTCAGGCGGGACGTGGCGCATGGTCAAAGAAGAAACAATTGGCCCAACTGAACGGCTGGATGCGGTGGGGAGATGCATGGCTGCAGGTTACACTTGCATCTAGTCGATCAGTAAGAAGCGAATGCACGTCAAGGGTGGTGTATCTGTACTTGATCGAGCACTTACACACATCCTGGGGTACTGACAAGGTAAGCTCCTTGCCGGATTCTGGTCGAGACAATGGAGTGGCTGACGCTCGAACCCCTGCTGCTGCTGACAGAGTGGAAATAGAACCGGACCCAAAGCTAGTTCAACGGGCTGTTGCATGGGTTTTAACTTTGCGGCTCGGAGTAAATCAAGGTCTTTTCTTCTTGAAAATGTTGTGCGACCGTCAAAGGATGCAATATCCGTCAGTCAATCCTAAATAGTGAAGCCCTCCAAGAAGCACCCGGCTTGGCGGGAGCTCCGTGCTTGCCATCCTTGTGAGATCGAGACGAGACGAAGGCTGCTGAACTAGCAACATGATGGCGTCCGAGCGGCAGCTTCGACAGCGACTATTGTTTGCGGAGGGCGTGGAGATGTGCAAGACTGGGATTGTATTGGCCAACTAGTAAATGTAAAGGGCAGCATCGAATGGCGAATTTTAGAGAGGCAACTCGATTATCTGTTGCCGCGTTGCCGCGACAGGGCTCGACATGTTCTTCGTACTCTGGTGGTGCTGTGAAACTGTGGAAATGAGGTACACCACCCGCAGTAACAGATTTTTTTGTTTTTTTTTACGGCTGCGTAATTTGCTCTCATATTTGATCGAATCCGGGATGCAGGGCCGCCGGCAGCCACGTCCATGGCACCCGACATGATGCAAACGAAGGCTGCAGTGCACCAGCAGCCTTTTTGGAGAAGTAAAGGGGGCCAAGACAGACCAAAAGCAAAATGGGGGCCTGGAAGCGAGGAGACTTTACTCAGTATGTCACGGACCAAGGGCTGTTCCGCTGGACGGCTGGAATACTGATGGAAAAAGAAACCCTCGCCAAGAAAAAAGAGTGTTCCGCTAGTTGTCGTTTTGCTCGAAGTGGTGGCAAACGAGCCTGAGCAAGTCAGCTTCTTATTAGTGATGGCGTTTGTTTCGGTGCATACCTTGGGCATCCAGCATCAATGGCTGGGAATATTGCTCCTATTGAAGATCTTTAGCACGTATTCGGTGCAGTCGCGCATGTCGATCAGTATTGGGTACACCAAGCTCGTGATCAGCAGGGCACAAAACGCGGGAGCGGATGGATGGCGGCACAGGTACCTACATTAGTACCTAACAATAAAAAACGCCCGCAGGAGCCCATGTTACAGCGAGAGACGCCCTGTACTTGCGCCAACGCGGACCATTGTCTGCAAAGAGCTGGTACCAGCCGTCTGGTGCAGTAGCACAAGGTCAGGTCCGCCCAAGTTTGCTGCTAGTTGTTTCTACATTACCAATTGATGAACTAGCTGTGCTGAAGACATTTTCTTTTCACCCGTTTGATAGGCCAAGAACAGCTGGGCGCTCTCTCCTTTGGTGTAGCGCTATTTCTGCCTCTTGCAGCAAGCTATCGAATGAGAAAAAGTAAACATATGTGCGCTCAAATACTCTGACTCTCTGTCGGAGTCTCCAAGCAACGAGACGACATCTGAGTCAATATTCTATTTTGGAGCACTCTGCGGCATGTCTTGGGTGTTTATTGGTGGGACTGCCCTTCTCACCTGCGACGGACCTTGAACTGCTTTTTCCCGATGCATTCGGTCTACGATCCTGACTCGCTGTATCCACCATCAACGCGCATCCAGCCACGCGCACTAAATCCTTGTTTGGACGAATAAGCACGCGCGGCAAGACATCACAAAAGACATGCATCTCGATTCTTGATTTCCCCAAGTCTCCTCTTCGTCCGGGACTACCGAACATGTTATCTCGTCTCCTTTGTGGCGCTCGCCTCCATGGCAGGGTAGGGTCCCAGGTGTGCCAGGTTCCGCCGCGTCGTGTCGACAAGTCAATTTGATGAGAGACACGCCTCCGGAGCCGCTTCCGCTGGAAAGAGTCCCTCGGGTATTCATGGGTCCGGCCCATCATCTTGCAACTGCCGATTGGTGTTGCAAGGTCGGCAGTGTCCTTGTACCAGTAGAACACAAACAAACCATCAACATCATGTACCGCTTCGATATGTCTTGCGATAAGCAGTTATACGATCGAAGGGTCGTAATACCACGTGTTATAATTCCGATACTCAAACAAGGATGTCCTCGTTTCTACTGCCTATCCGTAGTGCTTGTGTCTGGAATAGAAAAGAACCACTCGCATTATAATATCTCAGCCAAAATGGTCGAATAATGGAAAACGCACCACAACATTGTATAAGCGAGACAAAACCGACCAACCACGTCAAAGTTCGCCTCCGTGCTCTCATCGCATACTGTATACCGAAAACATGCCACTCGTAAACCGAAAACGAGCGTTACATGCCTCGCCGTCGCCGACGGGCACCGGCTACCCTACACCGGCATCTCGATAATCGAAGCAAGCCGACACGGATCCGCACATCCGACCAAGAGCGAAATCAGGCCACGAAAATGGCCCCGTTGTCGATTCGAGTCCCAGTCTTGCGTCCAACCAAAGGCATTTCCGACTACCCGCGGCGGTGTCGCTCCCGATTGCCATTCGAGGTCTAACACGGTGCGTTATGTAATCGACGTCGTTAATATGTACCACACTCACCGCCTATGGTACTTTGTCATGAATGTATCTCGCTAACGGAGCCCCGACGGAGCCCTCCATCTCGGTCCCAATGACGCTGCTCTGCACGGAAAAGCCGGGCTGGGCCGAGCTCGCGCCAGCCCACTGTGAATGCCCAGAAGTTGGTTTTAGAGAACCCCGCCGTGCGCCGGTTTGCTGTTCGAACCCCGCCCGCCCAATGGTGTAATCTTGCTGGGCGCGCGCCCGTACAATGAGAGCTCCTGCCCCTCTATTCCGAACCAATTCCAAATACCAAGACTGCGTGTCTCTCTCAACCCAACAAAAAGTACTCGCAGTTTTGTAAATCAACACTGGAATATACGAGAATCGCCCGCCGATAGCCACACCTGAACCCACATCCCTGTACGTACACTGTCAATTGAAATAGTTCGTTTCCCCCCCGCCAAACTGTCTCTTCTCTACTTTATGCTCACGCACACAAACTAATACGCCGAGACACCAATTCAGTTTTCACAAGAACCCGTCAACCCATCCAACCGCAAATATGTCTGCTCTCAAGGCCGGTGATAACTTCCCCGAGGACGTCGTCTTCGGCTGGGTGCGCCCCTCACCCGAGACCGCCGGTTTCAACGCCTGCGGCGTCCCTACCAAATATCCCGCCAGCTCCCGTAAGAAAACACCCCGCGCGAGCATGACATTGGGAGCGCTTTCACCCCTCGACAATGCCAGTAACTAATGCAAGCCGACACTCTAGAGTTCAAGAACAAGAAGGTCGTCCTCGTCTCACTCCCTGGTGCCTTCACCCCCACCTGCTCGGCCAACCACGTTCCCGGCTTCATTGCAAAGACTGCTGAGCTCAAGGCCAAGGGCGTCGACCAGGTCGTCGTAATTGCCTGCAACGACGCCTGGGTCATGTCCGCCTGGGGCAAGGCCAACAACATTCACGACGAGTTCATTGTGAGCAGCCCTCTCCGCCGCAATATCTTGACAAAAACCCGTTGCTAACAGCCCCCCCCAGATCTTCGCCTCGGACGACGACTGCAAGTTCAGCAAGAGCATCGGCTGGATGACCTCTCCCGACCGTACCGGCCGCTATGCCATTGTCATTGACCACGGCAAGGTCACCTACGCCGAGCTGGAGCCCGCTGGTGGTGTCACCGTCTCTGGCGTCGACGCGGTCCTGGCCAAGTTGTAAGAACCTCATAATCTAGAGAATACAAATATAGATAGAATAGACCGTCAATTCAGCACGTAATACTTGTACGATTCTCGTCTCTGCGATATCCTCGCTAGCATAAGGATATTCATGTACATTGGGTGTAGGTCTCCGTTGTGCGTACGCATCGGGCTTAATCCATGGCAAAGCTCAGCCAGGGTGACCATATCTGATTATGGCAGCCTGCGTCATGACGACAGATCTGTAACCACTGGCATGACCTCACGAATGATGTTGAATTTGCATTGGTTCGTCATTGCTCAAAAAACTACCAATGTACCCTATGCCATTCCATGCACCTGTAATGGAAGAACCGGACGGAAAGACACAAGAACCACAAATGAGACTCCTTTCATCCCCCATTCCTCCGCTTCCGCGAATTGACCCGTTGAATTTTTGTATTTTCCCAAAGTTTTTAATCACATTTTCTTTATCGGTCAAACAAATCTATCGGGTGCGAGCGGCGGGCTTGCTGGCGGCACCACCCTTGGCACCCATCTTGGAGACCTGGCGAACAGTCTGGCCCTTGGCGGCACCAGCGTTCTTGGCCTTGTCGGCCTTCTTGGCGGCGGCGGCGGCCTGCTTCTTGTCCTTGGACTCCTTGATGGCGGCAGCGCGGGCAGCCGAGCGGGCCTCGGGGCGCATGCCACGGCGCTCCTTGATCACCTCGAGCGAGGCACCGACGATGCCGCGCTGCGCCTTGACGGCGCGGCGGGTGCGCTTCTTGGCAACCTCCTCAGAGATACCCTTGCGGTGCTGGCGGCGGAACAGGACGGTCCAGGAGATGCGGCGGGGGTTCTTTCGTTGCAGGAAAAGCGACTCGGACTTGCCGTTCTGGAAGCGGAAGACCTTGCTGTCGCCGCGGACAAAGATCTTACCCTGTGAAGAACACCATAGTTAGCCATCAAACAACTCCCATCGTATATAAGACATCATGTCCCGTCGCAAGTTTGTAAATTTCGCCAGTTTTTCGACAAAGCACCCCGTCGGCAAGAGAGCAATGAGGAGCCCCATGTTGTTCGATAGCTCAAAGGTCCCCAAGATACATCATGTCGTTCCTCATCGCTTCTCTCGATCGCGGCGCTCTCGATTCGCATTGCAACGGGACGGGAATAAATTGGTCGTACCTTGCCAGGGTAGATTCTCTGTCCCGAGAAAGCGTCGTCGTAGGTACGCATCTTGTCGCGGTTGGTGTGTTTTGGCGACAAGTGTGGTGTTGTGGTGGACCGTGGATTTGGCGATGGCAAGAGTTCAAACGCCTGTTGTCCGCTTCAATTTCTCAAAATTGGGGAGCGTGTGTGGCCAAAATTACCTAAGCAAAGTCTAGGGCAGGCGAAAGAGAGTTCCCGGGTGGCTTTTTGCGGCAGAGTCACGTGATGACACTCGCTTTGGCGATTTGACCCTAGCCGGGATGACCAATCAAAGCTATTGCTTCAGCTAGAGTTCCAGAAGTGGATCCGCCTGTCCCAAAAGGGACATTTCAATGTTCAAGATCTCCATGATTACTGTCTGAACCTGAGTTGCTTTAGCATTATTGAAGAATGATCCGGCGTTATTAATTGACGTCTTTTGGTGTTTGAACATAAGCGCCATGACATTATACAACCGCAGAGTATATGGCGGTATCTACTGCCAATGTTATTGCGGAAGCAGTGCTCGCTCAATTCGGCAAGCTCCCTGCCAAGCGAAAACCAAAGATTCGCGATAATGGCTTACACGAATGGATACCAGCAAGCGGCATTGTGGCCGAAAAGGATGAAATCTTTACCTGTGTATCTCTAGCGTAAGCCCTTCATTTCTTGACGGCGATTCGATTACTCAGACCCTGCTAGTACGGGCATGAAATGCCTTCCGGCGAGCAAGATGCCCAGCTGCAACGGCGTCGGCTTACATGACTGGCACGCCGAGATACTCACCATTCGCACATTCAACCGATTCGTCCTGGATGAGTGCATCCAATTGATGGACAATGGCTCTTCGGATCTGATAGAGCGATCCAGTCCGTCGGCTGGCGTTCACCCGTTTCGTCTGCGACGGGGCGTCAAGCTTCATATGTACGCCTCAGAAGCGCCATGTACGTCTTGGCAGCCACAACAATATTCCATAGACTAATCAAAAATAGGTGGAGATGCAAGCATGGAAAACTTGATGGCGGCGCAGGACGATGCGTCCCCTTGGGATATGTCTGCAGAAGCAGCCGGCGAGGACGAGGCATTGCGGCAGCTGCCCGGACGGGCCTACTTCTCACGGCTCGGCGTAGTGCGACGAAAGCCAGCGCGAAGCGATGCGCCACCTACACTCTCCAAGTCGTGCTCAGACAAATTGGCTCTCAAGCAGTGCACCTCGCTGCTGGCGTCGCTCACTTCCTTGTTTGTCGATCCCAGCAACATCTACATCTCCACCTTGGTTATGCCCGAGGACCAGTATTCCGCTACAGCATGCCAGCGCGCATTCTCAGCAACGGGGCGCATGAGTGCCATCGCAGACGAAGTCACGGTTGGCGATTACAGCTTTCGTCCCTTTTCTGTGGCGACAACCACAGTCCAGTTTGAGTACTCGAGACGAGCAGTGCAGTCGCGCTCTGACAACTTGACTACCAGCAATCTTGCAGCAGCGTGGGCTTTATCCGGCATCGAAGAGTCTATTCTCGGTGGGGTGATTCAAGGACACAAGCCGTTTCTGCCCAAAGGCGCCAGCAGCATGTCGCGGCGCAGGATGTGGCAGGCGTGCCGAGAGCTCGCGGGTAAACTCCCAGAGTGGCCGGCCATAGCGACGCAGCTAGATGCAGTAACATACGATCAAATAAAGCAATGCCGTCTGCTCGAGATGCGAAACAAGGCTAAGGCGCGCGCAAGGAACGTTGCGCTCGCTGGTTGGATACAAAACACGGGTGACGATACATTTAGCATAGAGTAAAGCAGAGACGTGATATATGACATCAATAGAGATTGGTATATTCTCAATATGTAGCTCGCGTTCTGTACAAAATAAACGACATTGAGCCTACACCACTAAGTGATCTTTTCTCCGACCCTTGGCCCACGTCAATCTCGTCAACCGTGAGCTAGACAACTGGAGAAAGAGTTGTTCATTTTTGATTTTACTTTTTTGAGCCCCCAGTCCCATATGCGAAAAGAAAAGAAAAAAGTACAAGCCGTTATCTGCTTCCTCTGACCATCATCCTATGCAGCGGGGAACTTCGATGCAGAGGGCCAGGGCTGTGTTTCAAGTCCCGCCCACCATGGAAAACCACCGCTGCAAAAATGACAAATCTCGAGGCCCTTTCTCTCAACTGCCGCTTCCTGTGATGCAATATCCCAAGCGCGTATTTACTCGACCTTGCTCTCAAAGTTTTCGCCCTCGACGAGGTCGGGGATCTCGTCGTCGTCATCGCCCTCGCCGCCCTCGGCCTTCGACATGGCCTGGTAGCTCTCGGCGAGCTTGCGGAGCGAGGCCAGGGAGTCGGGGCCGAGCTGGTTGAGGATACCGGGGACAAGGTCGGTGAGCTCCTTGTCCTCGCCGTTGCCGTAGATGGCAAAGGTGTTGGAGGGGACCGAGGCGTTGACTGCCGGGACGCGTTAGCATTGTGCCGTCCGGGCCGTTCCCGATGTGCTTTCAGTTGCTCTCTGCCGAGCTACGTACCCTTGGGGGCCTTGAAGTGGATGACGTTGCCGTCCTCCTTGAACATGTTGACCTCCTCAATGCCCTGAATAGGCTGGGTGTTGAGCTTCTTCAGGGTCTGGAGGAGCTTCTTATCATCAGCGCCGGAGCGGGCAGGACCGCGCTTGGCAGGACGACGGGGAGTTCCCTTGCCACTGCGCAAAAATACACGTTAGCAAGCTTGTTCGGCTGATTTAAAATGATGCGGCATTCGGTCGTCGGCTTTCTGAGCGATGTTCGGTGGTGTGAGGGGCAAAATGCTTACCCTGGCCATTGAAGTTAGCACCACTTGTCAACATTCAAAATTTGGGCAGCATTTCTGCCAGAATTGGACATACCGCTGCGGGCGCTCTGGGCACCAAGCTTCTTGAGACGCTCCTGAATATCCGCCATGATGACAGTTGTGTGTAGAGGGAGGGATCGGCTAGAGATTCGGCACGTAAGTGACAAATTTGAGTGCACAATGGTGACGGCCGCAAAGCCCTTGCAAATAGTCGAGATTGGGTAGGGCGTCGGCTATTTCGGGGTGGCGCAACGTACCAAAGAGATGAGGGGTAGCGTCAGATGGCCTTCTTGCTCGCCTTCGTCACTATTCGTGATGGTTATGGGTAGAGTCGTTTTTGTGCGTGCCAAGAGTTTTCGCGTGGGGAAAAAGTATTTCGCCGAGAGGGTCCCTCCCTGACCGCACCAGTACACCACCAGTTTAATAGGTAGTCAAGGATCGAGCCTAGCCTGGTCTCGGACGGACAAGCTTGCCATTAGCATCAACCGAGGCGACATCGGTATTTCTCGTCTGTATTTCGGAGAAAATCAGACGCATTGAAATCGGGGTTTATTTTATCCAACGGGCAGCCTCTACACTTGAAACGTCATGACTCGCCGGCTTGTCGCGGCCGATATTCAGGGCAATTTATATGGTACATTGCCATCTACATCAAGACGCACGGGCAATATGCTACATCATGCGCTCCAACTATGCGAATTATATCCTGCCAACTGCCACATGGCTTTCGGATGATGATTCATCAACCGTCGGCTTTGAGTTTGCGTCAACCAGTAAGACAACACCTTGACTGCGTTATAGACTCACAAATAAGCGTTACGCTTTATTCTGACTCGCTTCTCTCTGTGCAACTGCCACCTTTGGCATGCCGATGCCCGTAAAGAAAGGCATACATTTGCGATAGTTTAGACAGGACAAAGACCACACAGGCCGTTTCTTGGATGCTAATTAGTAGGCGTTCCCCACGCCGAACCACACTGCCCACTTTGAATCCCTTCCAATCTTCTTGAAAGCAAGATAGCAAACCTAATTTATGAAGGGTCTGCTTTGGCGCTAGCTGCGATGTAACACCGTCGGTGCTGGCAGACCACGCATCTAATGCGCAGTGCATGAAACTACTTGTATGGCTGTGGTAACAGTGGGCACCTTGTCTCGTTCAGAGTCATGCCAGGAACGGGGAACAAGACCAAGACGGATACTGATATGAAGGTTCGGCTCGTTTATTTAAGAGGCGTCGAGCTGCTGTCAATCTCTGTTCAATTCGTCTGAACTTCACTCGCTTCAACTCTTCCAAACAAGTCACCATGAAGACCTCACCTCTAGCGCTCTTGGCTGGCGCCACTATCGCCGCCGCGGCTGGCCCGCGCACTATCATGTACTTTGACCAGTAAGTGCATTACAAGGTTTTCCTCCAAATAATGCTTTTTTCTAACAAGGTAGATACCACACGACGACCACTCCTCCCAAGAATGTCACTGCTGGCGTCAACTATGTCATTACTGCCTTTGCCCCCTCCACAACCTTCAACACTGGCACCGACTATACCCCCTTTATGCCACTCGACCAGGTTCGCGCGCTCTTTCAGAACGGAACCAAGGTCTGTATGGCCGTTGGCGGCTGGGCCGACACGGAAGGATTCGGCGTCGCCGCTGCCTCTGAGGAATCTCGCAAACTCTTTGCCGAGAACGTCGCCAAAACCGCCGACAAGCTTGGTTATGATTGCGTCGGTACGTCTATCATTCCCCGCCCGCTTCTGATGCATGTGAAACAGACTAACACAATGCAGATATTGACTGGGAGTATCCCGGCGGTAACGGCGAGGACTACAAGAAGAACACCAACGACGGCAAGGTCTCCGAGATTGAGACGTACCCTCTGCTGCTCCAGGAGATCAAGACCGCCATCGGCGACAAGGAGCTTTCCATAGCTGTGCCCGGTAAGGAGGGCGACATGATTGCCTACACAAAGGAAAAGGTTCCCGAGATCATCAAGGCCGTTGACTTTGTCAACGTCATGACCTACGACCTCATGAACCGCCGCAACAACGTCACCAACCACCACACCTCCATTGAGGGCTCCCTCGCCTCCATCGACGCCTATATCGCGCGCGGCGTCCCCGCCGAGAAGATGAACCTCGGCTTCGCCTTTTACGCCCGCTTCTTCAACACCAAGCCCGGCGTGACCTGCGACAAGCCCACCGGCTGCGTCACGGACGAGCTCGAGTTCAGCAACGGCACCGACACGGGCCGCTCGGGCGCCGTTACCTTTGAAAAGGAAAACATCAAGGACGATTTCCTCAAGGCCATTGAAAACGGCCAGGCTGACAAGGAAAAGGGCGGCCAGTGGTACTGGGACGCCACGAAGGAGGTCTACTGGACCTGGGACACGCCCGAGTTTATCAGCGAGAAGCGCACCAAGATTGTCGAGGCGAGGAAGCTGGGCGGTGTCTTTGCATGGAGCCTGTGCCAGGACAGCTTTGACTGGAGCCGCATCAAGGCCTTGACGGCTGGGACGGCCCAGAAGCCCGAGACGACCCAGAAGCCCGAGACGGCCCAGAAGCCCGAGACGGCCCAGAAGCCCCAGACGCTCGAGAAGCCCGAGACGGCCCAGACGTCCCCAAAAGCCTGTGCCGCGAAGCCCGAGACGGCCAAGAAGCCCGAGACGGCCCAGAAGCCCGAGACGGCCGAGAAGCCCGAGACGGCCGAGAAGCCCGAGAAGCTCGAGACGACCGAGAAGCCCCCAAAAACCTGTGCCGCGAAGAAATAGCTGCCTCTCATATTTGCGAAACTTCGCACTGTATATACAACACCAGACAGAGCGGGGTGATGTGGGTCAAGAGCAAGAAAAGAGTATCAGTATATAACTATTAGCTATTGTACTATTTACTGATGCATGCCAATTGAATAACTGCTGTGACTCATTCAACCTTGTCAAACTGAAGCGTGCCTTTCTCGATCGGTGAAACTACCCGGCTCAGATGCAGCAGCAGTCCGCTTGCTTTGCCCTTGGAAAACGGCAAATCTTTGACCGGTTGGATATCTCTTGAATTCAAATTCTGGTTGTTCATCAAGCACAAGGGAAACTGACACACTATAACTGGCAATGGCAGGACGACAGATGATTGACTGCCCGCAGTCGGATATCTGTGATGTGGCCGGGATACCCAGCAAGACCGGATCAATTGAGTGGGCGCCAAGTCTCAGCTCTACGGCAACCAGTCCTGCCGCCAAATCCAATTCGTGAATATTTTCCTGCATAGCCCGGGAAAATTGTTTACCCCGTGTGATGACCAAGGTGATCCATTTGACATTGTCTTTAACACTGGAACCTGCTGCACCAGCGCCAACTTGGAAGCATGTAATGTGGTGAGGAAGCTCTAGAAACTGCTTCTTGTTTTGGTACAGAAGTAGCCGGTGGTCATGTTATCCGAAGCAATGGACTGGTTCGGTCAAAGTAGGCTGAACTCCCCAGAGGGTCTAGGATGATGTTGCGAATCACATCTCCGTATCATGTTGAAGTCAAAAAAGCCCAATCACATGCGTTAGTATTATGTACATCACGCTGCAGTACTAAAACAAGAGTCCGGTGATTGTGCTGACTGTCCAGTGTCGCATGTTGTGTATAAGGCCTCGCATAGTCTCTGTTGTGCTGCCGACTTTCTAATTTGGGTCGTGATCGGGTTTACTTGTGCGATGTGTTACAACTTATTCTAGAGTAACGTATCTCCCAGGCCGGATATCTTCCACACTGAAATAATCTCTGAGAATGCCCCAACTGGGAGTATTCCAGCCAGCCACAATATAAGGGTCGTACTGCCCAGAACCCATCACCTGAGATAACGCTGCCACTGTAAAAGCTTTCATGGTTTCAGCCAACCTTCCCGAAGTTATTTCATGTGGCGGGTGTGTTTGAAAGAGTCACATAGCTGAAGTCCTGCGTGCAAGACAGTCAGTATGACATGGTCAGTGCAAGACGTCCAGTACAAGACGGTCCGCAGAAAACGGTCAGTGGCTGGGGCCATGTGTTATCGTTGTACAATTTTGTCCATCTACTACTGCCATCTAAATAGCGATGACTTTGCACTGCCCCATAGCATTTCAAATCATCTGACTGGCTTCACCGAGTGAGTTTGAATTTGGTTTGCTGTCTTGGGCATAGCAGGCTTGAGAACGTGCCGCGAATAAACAGCGTCCGTCATCTGGCAACAAACTACTGCAATCATCGCAAACAGCATCGAAAGTGCAAATACTGATTATGAGAGTGAGTACCATTCGTCGCTCTGCAATTCATTTATTTTTGCTCATCGCGCTGCCTACTGCGCGATCGATACCACGCATGACAAAGGGCGGCACCAAACGGCGTCGGATTACAAGCATAGACGATGCCTGACTCGATCAAAGGAACTAGAACAAGAGCAAGCCTATACTCGTGCTACTGATGTACGGCTTATATTTTAAAGCACGCGTCTACCCTATATTAAAAGCTATACAACTCATAGCAAAGGACAGTAGAGAGGGGAGCCGAGCTAATGATGGGTGGACAAAGCTCTCTGCGCTATGGGCCACACTAGAGACACCCAGCACGGCGAAGCGGCACAAGATGTCTAGAATATTGTCTGTAAGTAAGCACCGGGGAGAGATCTAGAATATCGTCTGTAAGTAATCACCGGGGAGAGACGGGTCAAACGTAGTCTTATTTGCGTCGGGACTCTCAATCATCCGCAACACGGATGGCAACGGTTCTGGCGGTGACGATACAGGGTGGCGGCCATTGTTCGGCCGTGCAGAACGGAAGGGTGGCACAGCATATGCATGCTTTTTGTATTACGGAACCGCTCTGCAAATTGGTTGCATGTGCCAAGATGTTCCAGAAACCAAAATCTTGGCTGTGCTACGTGACAAGAGACATGGCGGGCATTCTTTTATGAGATGGCCGCGTCAAGGAAAATTTGACGAGTCACAGAGGGCACAAGACTGCGAATACATGTCTATGAGCTATTATTCTGAACGCTGCTGCTAGAAATTTGAGGCTGCGGTACGGCCAACATTCCTTCTCTTATTCTTCGGACTGACTCGAGATGGCGATGCCAGTGGTTGGAGTGGAAAGCGAGCGCAAAGAGCTTCGGTCGGCTTTTACACGGAGATAAGGTAGATGATGTGGCTGAAATTTGGCGGTGAATGATTCATTGATTACTGTAATGGACGGGAATAATTCCGAGAAAAAAGAGAAGGCGAAGAAAGAAAGATGAGACCGGCTGTCGTAAATGGCTGGCTGCAGTCCATTATGGTACGAGACCCGAAACATGAACGCTGGCGTTTGATGAGCCAAGTACAGCTTTATGAGCTAAATTAAAAAGATGACGTGTCTTTCGGGTGGTGTTTGCGTTCTTCAAACCTATCATGCAGTTTCTAATGCAAGCCAATCCAAACACAATGCTCTACGCATGATGCCCGGCGCATCAACATGTTCAGGGGTAAAAAGGAAGGGACCCTGGAACTTTTGTACGAAGAGAAAGGGGGGTTTAGTACAAAGTAATGCGGATACTGGGTAGGATACGTTTTTTGAACACTTTGACAGCTCATCAAGTTCTTTGACCCGACTCATCCGTCCGGGCCGAAACGGCGCAAAGGGGGGGGGGGGGCCGCGCCCGATTTCTTAGATGTTGGGCGGCGCGCCACCACATGCCCTCCTCCTATGCGGCGCTTTTCCCCCGAGTCGGGGTCACATTATTCGTCATTAGGTAGTAGCGCCATGGGGTCAGCCACCCCGTTCCCTCCCCGCGCGTCCGAAGGGAACGGACTCTTCATGACACGGGTCATTGCATGTCCCCCTCCCCTTCCGGAGATGCGGGCGTTGGGCCTTTATTACCAGTAAGCCTCCCCCATGTGCCAAGCCCAGCCAAAAAGGATTCAAGTCGTTTTGACTGAACGTGGCAACGTGGCTTGCATGTAAATACCGGCCGAGGAAATCTCAAAGAAAGATGACGGTGGTGGCGGCTGCATGGTGAGTTGACATGGTTTCATGCAGATGCTGTAAAAAAAAAAAGAAAAAAAAAGAAAAAAAAAAGAAAAAAGAACGAGGCTGAGCACAAGTCGACGTGGGTGCGTGGTATCACTGGTATGCGCGTGCTTTTTTCGTGTGGAAAAATGCTGAGCATGTTTTGCGTGTGCATGGGTGACCCAAGTCTTAGCTATACAGATGACTGATTCACATCTAAGCTTATCTAGTTGAATCCCGTCTGAGCCAAAAAAAAGCTGAATCCCGTCCTCAAGCTGAATCGCGGTGCGTGATCCGAAACACGAGGGTAAAGAGACATCAACCGCCTGTGCCAAGCGCTGGTAGGCCCGCAGTACTGGAGTCGACAACGGAGGCGCACGATAGGCGGATCACGGCGCACTAGGTATTTGACCGACAAGGGGGGCTTGCTTATCATGGAGTCGAATTTTTTTTTTTTTAAATAATGAATTATGAATATCAATCCAACAATGAATATTCATATCAATAGCAATATCAATAATACTTTGTATGTATGGAGTTTAGGTAAAAAGTCGCAGAATACAGAGACTTGTAGCAAATATAACCAGCTGCCCTTGGCGGGCAGGTAATAATGTAGCCAACGCGCATTCTGACTGGTCGGAATGGGCGAAAGTGGTGACACCGAGAGGGAGAAGACGTTGTGATGGCATGGCCCCCTTGTCACGCCATCTTTTTTCCCCATCTTTTTTGCTTCCTTCTCTTTTCTAACTATGCTCATCATAATCCGTAAGTTGTGTTTTTATTGAGTGTTGGACGAGACAAAAGTTGCCTATTGCGGGTAATACTGGCCGACAAGTATCAATATTACGGGGCTACACTACGGGGTTAACTGGACCCAGGAATCTGGTTCAAATTAAAGAGTTGCGGGCGCATGCGAAAGCCTCTTTTTTTTTATTTATGAAAACGATACTTTTGGAAAAGAAAGAATCGTCATCGAAAGACCCTGCCTGCAGTAGTAGCTTGGGCAGTAATAAAAGCTCCTGGTGTTATTTTTTTTTTTTTGCAACGTTACGTGATCAAACTGGTCAGTGAGGGACAAGACAAACATACGGGAACGGATGTGCTGCAGACAAATGAACTGCCTCTACCACGCGGGAGGCGAGATTTTCTAAATTGAGCAATCTTTTCTTTTTTTTCTTTTTTTCTGGTTTGTCTCTGCGACCCGAGACAATGTAGATTTGAGATTTGTGTGTGTCTTCCCGGCGGCGGCACATGCCGGCCAACGACCGATGCGCGTGTCGGGAGGGGTTTTTCGCAAAGGGAGGGAGGAAGGAATTTGGCCGACGTTTGTGACGCAAACGCTTGTCAACAACTGTGCGCAGAGCGCGCACCACCCCGCAGATACTGGCCGCGGGGACTCAATAGAATGGGTGGCTATTGCAATCTCTGTGCGCGCGCGCGCGCGCGCAGCGCTGCGACGGAATCGAAGCAAGTTGCGAAACGAGGGCATGATATTTTGGAATGCAATAACGTGACTCGGCCTCCGCTGGTTCGAATACCTGTTGCCTGGCACACGGGCCTATGCGGCTATGCCTGGCAGGCTGGGCACCTGGCACGCCTGTTGGTAATGGGAAGTTACAGGGGGCGCAGGGGGGGGCAGGACAAGGTTTTATGCAGCTACCTAGGTAGATCTGTTGCAGTCTTGCAGACAGCATCGGTCACGTTTTTTTTCTTTTCTTATTTCAGACAAAGTCCGGCAGCAAGCTGGAGCCTCGAAAAATTCTGACCAGGGCATTGACTCTCTAGATTGAGTTGCAGTTTCCCGTAATATGCTTGTTGCTTTGGGGCTTGCAGCCTGCATGTCGAGAGTGGCCGGGGGTGGGGGGGCGCGCATGATACAGCAACTTTGTCCAAAACGAGGCTGTCAGGCCACGCACGTCTCAAGTGGGCCACTTCAAAAGCTGGCGGGAAACGGTAGTTTTGCCTCATTCGACCCGCGTAATGGAGAGCCGCGTTGCTTTGTCTTGGTCTTGGCCCGTCGGACGTCGCACGCTCTCTATTCGCCTTTTCCCCTAGCACAGGGACAGGACAGGACGCCAGAAGAACAAGGCGGGAACAGCTGGTGGTCTGTCGCTGGTCCAGCCCAAAGAAAACGACCATGCCAATGCCCAACTAGCGAGTAAATAGTTAGCTACGGCGGGCTTGCCCCGCTGTACCGCTCCAAAACGAACTCTCTTCTCGCCTGTGCCTCCCGTAGCTGAGCTGTCATTAGGTCGGCCGTCCCCTTCTTCTTCTTAAAACCCATGATTCCCTTTTGCCATTGAATCTCGTTACTCTTTTTCTTTTCTTAATCTAATTAAAGTCATTCATTCTTCATCCGTCTCCTCCTTGCATCGTCGTCGATACCATCAACTACTTCTTACTCACATCTCACTTCTTACATCACACCACCACCAAAATGCAGGCACACATGCTCCTCTGCCTGGCCCTGGCCGCCTTCAACTCTGTCGATGCATTCCCACGTATGATCTTCCTTTGCCTTGCATACCAGCCAATTTTTTCATCTAACCTTCAAGTAGTGGCTGGGCTCTTTGCACGCGAACAGCTCAACTCCATGGCCAACATCCATCTGCCCGGTGTTGCCTCTGCGCGAGGACCCTACCAAGCCGAAGCGTCCGCCGCAGACGCCGCCGAGGTCCTCGGACAGTAGCTACCTAGCTGTCTTGTCTTTTCGGCGCGCCATAGTAAAAAAAAAAAAAAAAAAATTCATGACGGCGATACGAACTTGATGTGCTTTGCGCAAAAGCATCGCTTGCGAGAAGCCTTTTTTGTTTCGGCCGCACCTTCCGTCTGCGACAACAAACACCGCCCCCAATTCTGTGTTACCTCTTGTACACCACACATGCATCGTGTGATTTCTTTTCTTTTCGTCAATCTGATTCGAACGAATTTGGGGCAATGATGATAACCGTGTCGACCTTTCTTCCCTCTGTTGGTTTTTTGGGCCGGCGTTGACGGCATCCGTCGAGTTGGTGGCGACCAAAGTTGTACTCCGCATGACGGCATGTTGGCCGGTCGTTGATCTCTGTTGCTACATTTCTTTAGTTTGCATTGGATAGATACGTCTTCTCTGCATCGTTGCAGAAGCATGGAATAATATAGACAAGTTCGAATCGTAGTCTTTCCACGTCTCCCCTGTGTGGCCTTATGCGACCCTGGCGTATGCAATGTCGCCAAAAGGCGAAACCAACGGTCACTTGGGACTAGAAACATTTCGCAGACGCCGACTCGTTGGGACTATCCCATTGCGGAGTGGTAAGCAGTCTGATGTTGATGATCCTTCCTATCCTGTGTCATCATGCCAATATAGACCACAACGGCTTGTAGCGTGACAGGGCGCAGTCATATCTCGGGATCGCAAATCGCCAGTTGAATTGACTCAGCCCTTCGACCTTACTCCTTTCCCGCTGTGCCGCCCTCAGTGTGGCTCCATTTTCCCTCCCCCAGTAAGGTCTTTTTTCCTTTTTTTTTAGCGTAGATTACATGCAACCTTGTTCTTTCCTTTGAGTCAGGTTGTCACTTGTCAGCTTCTGGCGTTTCTCCCTTTCGGTGTTAGTGCTGCCCGCGCATCCCCGCGGACCCTCAGTTGCGCCAACAGACAGACCTTGTTCTGCCTATCAACTCTCCCTTGAGGGTGGGATCTAAGTCGTCGACTCCTCTCTCTGGCAACTAGCTCCATGCGCATCCCACTTTCCTTTTCTTCGCCGCCAGTGTCTTGTCTCTTGCGGGCGCTGCGCACAGAGGGTTGGCGTGCTCTGCCAGCCGCCCGCCCAGCCACCCATCGTCCGTGTTTCACGTACAAATTCTGCATTGACCACTGCTGGTCGTCCATGATAATCATTGTGTCATGGCGCTATTGTACATAGCAACGACATGCCTATTTAGGTGAAGCATCGTGCTGCGCCTGTCAATAGTGCCTCTGATGGCGACATTAAGGACAAATGTCATCGAATGTTGCGCTCATGAGCTTGCCAGTGGTTTTGCACACGACAAGAGTTTGCCGCAATTCGTTGTCTCGTTTGCCCCTGATGACAACAGGTCTCCAAGCTCCTGGTCAGCGAGTCGAGTATGGTATCAACGTCTGGCACGTCTTGCACGTCTGGCACGTCTGGCACATCTGGCACATCTGGCTCGGTCGGCAGTTGTCGTGCGGCCATTCAGCCACGAACCTGCCATCGGTCGGGGTGGGCCAGCTCACACAGCCATTGGGCCATTGGGCCGTTGGCATGGTGGCGACGTGGGTTGCCAGACTAGTTAGCGCTGTGATGCAAATGTGGTTAATTTATTTCCATATCACTGGCCGATAAACGAGACAGGTGGCAATCAAGAGTCAAGAGTAGCTAACTGACAGGGCCTCTGTAATCTGTCTCATGCTCACCCGTAACTGTCGCATGCGGTATCACCACACTGCCAACAACTGACCGCTGGCTCCTGGCAATCTGCACCTCTTTGGCAGCCGACGATGTATTTGTAGGTAATCCCTAATAGCTGTAATCTTGCTTTGGTGCGCTACAGGGGTGACGGAGCCCAAATGGAACCTGCAGCACAATTCCTGCAAGTCTGGCGCTGGGCCCCTCGACGCAGGGTAGCATCGCGCATTCGAGTGCATTAGTGTTGTATTTAGCCCGTCTATCGCCTATTTTGTGTCCTCGCCATTTTGCGCCCACCGATTCCGCGTGCACCGACTGTGTTTATCGGCTCAGCAGTGCAATGGATGGTTTTGGTGATGATTGCCGTGTCGAGGGTGGTTTGCTCCTGTTGCCGGTCGGGTAGGTCTGCCCACTTGCCCACCATGATCCCAGCTTTTTGGGTCTTTTTGCTTCCTTACCTAATGACCCTTGGCCCTCTCACCCACCCGCCCCCGAATCTTTCCTCTCTTTCATGGGGACGGGACCCCAAACAGACACGGCCCCCCCGATCTCTTTACTTTTCACATCTCCTCCACACTTTTCATCTCCCAAGAATTTCTTCCTCTTGGCCTTCCTTTCTCCATCGACCTGGTCGGCTCGACACTCTTTACCCGACCTCACTTCTCTCGACGACTATCCGCCCATTAGATGCATCTGGACGACACCCGCTTTTCCCTCCCATGGTTAACTGATGCAGACCATGGACGTCTTCGCCAGGGCGGTAGTTGGTGAGGGAGATGGCGCCTTTGGACCGACGCTCGATGGCTTATTCGACTTTTCCCTGTCATTTGAGCACTCTATCCTATCCATCCTGCCAACGTCCGTTTTCATCGTCCTAACGCCAGTTCACGTAAATCATCTATGGCGCCGTCAGCCATGCGTCAAACCGGGAGTCTTGTTGTGGCTCAAGATGCTCAGCACCCTGCTCCTGCTTTCCTGTCAGGTTGCCAGCCTTGCTCTTTGGGCCGTCTCTTCGGTTCCTCGACATGATTTGGCCGTCGCCTCTGCCGCAATCGCCTGTCTTGGCTCCATATGCATCTTCTTTCTACTATATGCCGAGCACATTTATTCCTATCGACCCTCGACGTTGCTTAGCCTCTATTTGACCCTCATGATCTTGTTCGACATTGCCAAGACTAGATCCTACTTCCTTCGCGCCGATATTGATGCGCTTGCTGGACTCTCTGTCGCCGTCGTCGTCCTTGAACTTGCCCTGCTACTTTTTCAAGAAGTGCCCAAGCGCCGCCTCATCACCAACCGATCTTCGCAACCACGACTCAGTGGCGAGGCTCTCAGCGGCTTTTGGGGGCGAGCTCTTTTCCTGTGGGTCAACTCAACCCTCAAGCTGGGTTTCCGCTCCATTCTGCGTGTCGAGGACCTCCGGGATCTTGGTCCTGAATTCAGCTCTGAGCGTCTTTACGCCGACTTTGAGCCCCATTGGCAAGCCGCGAGCACAACCTCGAATCACTCCCTTACTCATGCCCTCCTTCGGACCCTCTACCCCGAGTTTCTACGCGTCGTCGTTCCTCGTCTTTGCTTTCTCGGCTTCACCTTTGCCCAGCCTTGGCTTATCATGTCCATCATTCACGCCGTCGTCGATGGCAACCCGGGTTCCGAAGTCTCTGGCGGCCTCGTTGGCGCCACCGCGTTGATCTACATTGGTATCGCTATAAGCAGAGGATACTACAAGCATCACGCCTATCGCTCTGCCACCTTGACCCGCGGCATACTCGTCACCGCCATCCTACACAAGGCGCTCAAGCTCACTCACACTCAACTCAAAAAATCGGCTGCGTTGACCCTCATGACTGCCGATATCGAAACCTTGACCTTCACCATTACAACCTTTCATGACCTATGGGCAAGCGCTTTCGAGCTTGCTCTTGCAATCTTTATGCTGGCAAAGATTATCGGTGGCGCATGCTTCTTTGTCCTCATTCCTGCTGTGCTCTCCGCCATGGTGTCATCCTACTACACGAAGAGGCTTGGAGTCGCGCGAAAGACTTGGAACGAGAAGATTGAAAAGAGAGTCGGCGAAACTAAAGATGTCATTACTCAGCTCAAGGCTATCAAGATGAGCGGCCTGGCGCCATTCTATGCCAACCACATTGAGGATCTTCGTGAAGATGAGATCAAGACTTCGCTGCCCGAGCGCAGTGTTCGCGTCGGCCTACTCTCTGTCGGTGCCTTGTCCGATGCCATCACTCCAGTCGTCGTTGTAGCTGGAGCGCTTTTCTGGACTAGAGAGACGGAGAAACTCACCACTGCCCAGTTTTTTACCGTTCTATCGGTTGTTGCTGTCGTCGTCGGCCCAATGACGCACCTCCTTACATACCTGCCCTTTGCTATTGGTGGCTACGCCGGATTGACTCGTATTCAGGCATTCCTCCGCTTGGAAGAGCGTTTCGACAGCCGCCAAAGCGGAAACGGTCCGGTTGAAGGCGCGCCTATTGATATGATGATGATTCAAGCCGAGACTCTCAGAAAAGCCCGCGAGTCGGCCGAAAAAGGGCCCAGTCCTTTCGCCATTGAGCTCGTCCATGTGACCATTAACCGATTGGAGAATGCCGCAATCCCTCTCCTGGACAACATCAGCCTTCAATTCCGTACGGGCCAAATCTCCATGATTGTTGGACCTGTGGGTGCCGGTAAATCAACTCTGTGTAGGGCTATCCTGGGCGAGCAGAAGCTTGATCGCGGCTTCGTTCTCATGGGCGGTATACAGGTTGCATACTGTGATCAGTCACCGTGGCTTCAGAATATGTGCATCCGCGACTCTGTCATTGCCCATTGCGAGTACGTTTTGCCCTGGTACAGATCTGTCATCTGGGCTTGTGCTCTGGAAGAGGATTTGGAGCAGCTGCCAGACGGAGACAAGACAATGGTTGGTAGCGGCGGTGGACTCATCAGTGGCGGTCAGAAACAGCGCGTTGCATTGGCAAGGGCCGTTTATTCCCGCGCATCCGTCATTGTCCTCGATGACGTTCTCAGCGCCTTGGATTCCGAAACCGCCGAAATCATTCTTACCCGCCTACTCGGCGATGACGGCCTTCTCATTCAGACGGGCACGACTGTCATCATGACCACCAATATTCGCGAGCATCTTCCTCTCGCGCACACCGTATACGCTCTGGACGGAAAGGGCAATGTCAAAGAGACGGTCAATAACTCGCCCGAGCTCATTCGAAAAGAGTACTTGGTCAGTAGCTCCGAGAAAGAAGCCTCCAAAGAAGTCGAGCCGTTCGTGCCCAAAGCGGCGGCAGATCCTTCCAAGGATCAGGCACATCAGCGTCAACGTGGAGATTTCTCACTGTACATGTACTATTTCCGCTCCAGTGGTATTCCTATGATAATTCTCTGGATTCTTTCCATTTCGTTTGCTGCTGTAATCAGAGCCCTGCCTCAAATTTATGCCAGCTTATGGATGGATCAAGACCCGTACAACATGAAGTGGTTTTACGGCTATGCTGCTTTGGCCATTGGCACTGGCATTACACTAGCGGTCAGCTTGTTCTTTTACTATTTCAAGGTGGTGCCTAAATCATCGCGCGTCTTACACAATCAACTTCTCAAGACCACGATGAAGGCCCAGCTGCCTTTTATCACAAAGACCGAAAGCGGTGCTCTTGTCAGCAAATTCTCTCAGGATATCGGGTTTTTGTCACAACAGCTTCCCCAGTATTTTCTAGAGTTTACCTACACGGCGGTTGCCTGCCTTGTAAGCATTGGGGTCATTATGTCTGGAGCAAGCTATGCCGCAATCGCAGTACCCGCGCTGCTCATTTTTCTTTGGCAAATGCAGAGGTTTTACTTGCGCACCTCTCGACAAATTCGTCATATGGATCTTGAGGCCAAGTCGCCGCTGTATACACTTTTTCAGGATGTCGGCGACGGCATTATGCATATTCGCGCGTTCCAGTGGGAGTCGGACATTAAGTGGCAGGGCTACGGCCTGCTCGACTACTCGCAGCGTCCCTACTACCACATGTACGCCATTCAGCGCTGGCTTGCTCTCGTCATGGACTTGACCGTGGCCGGCATAGCCATGCTCCTAGTTGGTCTCGCCGTCAACCTTCCAGGCAAAACCAGCGGAGGTGCTATTGGTCTATCTCTGGTTACGCTCGTAAACTTGAGCGAGAGTATGTCGTTTCTCGTGCAAGATTGGTCGAATCTGGAAACCTCGCTTGGTGCCATGGCGCGTGTACGAGAATTCAACAACACGACACCACTCGAGCCCGAGCCTGTTAACAACACGGGCGAGAAGCTGCCAGAAAACTGGCCGTCGCTGGGTCGTATTGACATCACCGGTGTCACAGCCAAGTACGATCCGCTGGACATGTCTGCTCGCCCTGTACTGAAAGACATGTCGCTCATTGTTCACCCACGCGAAAAGGTCGCAATCATCGGACGTACAGGCAGTGGCAAGTCGTCGCTTCTCCTTGCTATCCTCAGCTTCCTGGATTACAGCGGCACTATCCAGATCGATGGACGTGACGTGCGGAATATCTCGCCGGATCTGCTACGTTCCCGGATCGTCACTGTATCGCAGGATGACGTGGAGCTTGCGGCCTCGATACGCGTGAACCTGAATCCCTTCGAGCTGCGAAACGCTGACGATCACATCAGCGACGATGTGATGATTGACTACCTGACGCGAGTGAAGCTTTGGCCGCTAATACAGGCGCACGGCGGGCTTGATACGCAGCTGCGTGACCTCGAGTTCTCCAAGGGCCAGAAGCAGTTACTGTGCATTGCGCGCGCGATGCTACGTCGCCAGCAGACGTCGGCTCATCTGATTTTGGTGGACGAGGCCACGAGCAACGTGGATGAGGAGACGGACGAGGAAATTCAGAGGGAGATTGCGGCGGCATTTGCAAACTGTACGGTGCTGACGGTGACGCACAGGATGAGCGCGGTGCACCACGCCGATGTCATTGTAGAGATGGAGAATGGAAATTTGAATAGGGTCATAACACGTCGTGCGCCGCGCGATGATGAGGCGTTTTAAAGGGTTTGTTTTGGGACTTGGTACATTGGTTGGCTACATATTCGGTTGCTACATATGGGGTGGACACACATTTAGCGTTTGCCATTTTTTGATATCAATTTGAGTTGAATTGTAAAGATACAATCGATGTATAACAAGTAAACATTTGTGAACCAGCGATACCTTGCAAAGTTTGTGCCTCAGAGTTCACCGTGATGTGACCACTATTAAAGAAAAAAAACATCACCCCAGAATACTTCATGATAGTACAAAGATTCGCTGATAATATACACGGAGCTCAAGGAGAGCTCCCCTTTGTTCGTTTATTTTGCCTCTCAATCATCCGCCTCGCAATTGCCAATTGGCTCGCCCCCCATTCGTCCCTCACTTCAACCCAGCTTCCTTGCGCATCGCCTCCCTCCTCGCCTCCGCCTCCCTCGCCAGATCCCTCGTCTCTTTAACTTGTTGGTTCTTTCGGTTCTCCTCTTCCTCTTTGATCACTGTCCAGACTTTTTTTTTTTCTTCTGTCAGCGATGCCTTTTCCTCTACACACGCGCAGATACCAAACGAGAAGGAAGAAGGGGGTATTAGGATTTAGACGTACTCGGTTTGTCAGACTTGGAGTACTGCTTCAGCTTCGTCACAAAGTCGTTGAATTCTGCCTCGCGCTCGGCGCGCCCCTCGATGCTCTTCTTCAGCAGATCCGGATTGTACCGCGACCGCAGCTCCTCCTCGGTCGGCACGACCCAGTACGTCAGCGCAGGGCCGCCCACGCTCACCGCGACGCCTCTGTTTTGCTCCGAGAAATTAGCCCCTTCTTGGCCGCCTGTGCATCATGCTCTGCTAGGAGGGGATCAAAAGGAAAGAAAGAAAAAAAACCGCCTCCTCGTGCAAAGGAAATGCGCAGAAACCCAAAAGACTCACGCTACAATCACCTTGGTCCAAAGACCCCAGTTCCTCGGGCTCGGCATGGCTTCTCGTCGTTGTTTCGTGTGCTTTTGGAATCGACTGTCGCAAAGGTGTTCGGCGATCGCTTTCGTGAGTAAGTCGAGGATTGACGAAATAAAGTCGGGTTTGCGCAGCGTCTCCGGTAAGTGCCAATGGTCGCTCGCGGGTTGTGACGTGATGCCCACGCTGGTCGAGACCAGCCTTTTGCCGATTACTGCCGCACCAAATCGGGAAGGCGGTCTGTCGCAATGCCGCTGCCAGACCATAATTTACATCATATTTATTATGCGCCGAAATTCAGTGCCATCGCAGGCAATATCGTCACTGCAACAGCCTGCTGCTCATGACTCAAAAAAAAGGAAAAAAATGTACATGATATTGTGAAGCAAGCCGCTTCCTTGCAGTCGCTTGTCAATCCGTGCCGCCCGTCCATGTCCGATGTATCTCAGCCAATACCGTCCTACATTATGAATCATCCACTACATTATTGTGCAGTCTCCTTCTTGCTGCCTTTCGATGCGGCTTCGTGAAATGCGCTCTCTAGGCCGCGGTGGGCCTGCTTTGCCCACCTTTTTCAGTTCTTCGAGCCTCTCTCGTGCCTTGGGGAATTCCTGAGCTACAGTTTGTCAGCAAGTTTCTGGTCCGGATACCTCTATATCTTTGTACGTACCCGCAGCTCGCCAATACCACCTCTTGGCATCTTCCAAGTTTGGAGGAATGCCAATGCCCACCTCGGTAAAGTATCCCATTGCAAATTCTGCCTTTGCCATGCCAGCCGTGGCCGCCTTGCGCGCCCACAGATACGCCTCTGTATCGCTCTGATTCAATACTCCTTCACTACCCGTGAGATACCATCCGCTCAGCGCAAGCTCAGCCTGGTGCTCCTCTTGCATGGCAGCCCGTGAGTACCATACAATTGACAGACGGGGGTTCACCGGGCATCCGAGCTGTCCGTACTCGTACGCGCATCCCAGACGAAACTGCGAAAATTTGTATCCAAGGTCCGATGCCTGTTGGAATAAGCTCAGCGCATATCCTTCATCACGGACGAGCAAGTCATTTGGTTGTGCCGATTCGTACAAAAGCCCCAGCTCATGAAGCGCATGGGGATTGTTTGCGTCTGCCCTCTCAGCGGCTCGCTTCAGCCACCCGACAGCCTCGCGCGGGTTCTTATTTTGTCCAAGTAGCCCCTTCAGCGTCACCATGCCCATCTTATACATGGCTGGCGGATCGCCCAGCGTTGCGGCCCGCTTGTACCACTGTATTGCTTTGAGCGGATCGCGCCGTGTGCCGCCTCCTTCTTCGTGCCCAATCTCGCAGCACACCGCCGTACGGTATGCTGCAGCAGCGTGGCCGAGCTTGGCTGCTGATTGATACAACGTGAAGGCTTCCTTTGTATCTGGTTCGCCGCTGTAAAGGCCTTTACCAAGGCCGTCGGCTAGTGTGAACATGGCTTCTGCATTTTGATTGCTGGCTAGCTTCTTCAGAACCTTGTGCGCATCCATCAAGTATCTATCTTGGGCTTTGACGCGCGCGCGGGGATCCGGAATCTGCGGGACGAGAGCATCGGCAGCCTCAATCAGTCGCTTTGCTAGTCTCAGCGCGGATTGTTGATCTGCAGGGTTTGTCCTGATAATCATTCTCAGTTGCTCTAGCTCCTGCGTCGTCACGGGTGTTTCCGGCTCCTTATCCTGGGCTCTATCTAGAGAGACAGAGCTCGGAATAGGAGGAGCAGCGTACTGCCTCTCTTGCTGGCGCACATCCTGTTGCGCAGGTTGTTGCTGCGGTGGCCGGGGAAGTCCGCCATAGTTCCGGATAGGAAGCGGCTTGCCACTGGGATTAACCAGGGAATGGGGTATCTGTCCGGGCCGAACTGGAGTCGGGTGTGTTGGAAGACCATCAGGATTCACTCTTTGAGGGATTGGAGGTTGAGTCTGTGCCCCAGCCCCAGATCTCGGGTCTGATGGGTATGCAGCGCGGCCTGGCGCTGGTGGCGCGCTAGGTCCTCTTGGAGGAACATTATCGTAAGAAATGGCTTGGCCGTATCCATGATTATAACCCTGGTCGTAATTCTGATCAAAACCCCGCTCGTAACCCTGCTCGTAGCCCGGCTCGTAGCTTTGGTCATTCCTTTGGTTATAGCTTTGGTTGTTAATATGATGGCCCTGGTTGTTTTGTTGGTCTCTTCTTTGATAGCTGTGGTCATAGCCTTGATCGTAGCATTGGTCATTTCTTTGGATGTAGGTCTGGTCGTTTTTGGGTTCATATGCCTGGCCCTTCAAGCCAAAACCCTGGTCGTTTCTTGGGTCATAGCCCTGGTCATTTCCATGGTCGTAGCCGGGGCCATCTCTTTGGCCATATCCGGTGTGAGGCGGCATGGGGGGCACAGACGGGATATCGCCAGCCATTTCAAAGACAGCCGACTGTGGTTCACGCATGTCTGCCATGGACTTGGCGTGACTCAATTTCGGGGTTTGATGCGGTCCTCTATGTGGCAGTTCTCGCCGTGGCGCTCTAGGCTGATCAAACGAGCTCCTAGCAGCAGGCTGCGCGGATGCGCCCATTTGCTGCGCATCGCCTGCGTTTCGATTTGGATTACTCTGCCGCTGGTTGTAGTACTCGTCATATACGGAGTTAGCGACGGCTGGCTCGTATCCAGCGCCGTACGGTGCATTACGTGACGGCATCTGTTGTTGCGGATATGTTCGTTGCGGTGTCGGTCTAGTTCCGGTTGTCGTTGCTGGTCGTGGCGGTATAGACCGTCCAGCATGTCCATTTAACGGCAAAGTTTCGGCTCGTTGGTGAGATGTTTGAGCTTGCTGACCTGAGTCCTGGAATGGCATCGTCACACTGCGCCCAAGGGGGCCAAAGCTAGTCGCGGAGGGTCCTTGTCGAGGATTTCGAGTCTCGCTATAGTCCGCATAGTCATGATCTTGTGGTCGAGGATTCGGCGCATCGCTATAGCTTCCATTGCCGCGACCTTGTAATCGAGGGTTCGACGCGCCGTTGTAGTCTCCATATGCAGGACCCTGCTGCCTGTTCTCAGGAAACCGTCTGAATTGCTCCCTTGGTGGGGGTTGTCTGGCGTTCATGGGCGGCGGCGCGTGACTCGGTTGCCCATTGGGCGGATATCCTCGAGACTGCCCTCTGGGCGGAGGTTGTCTGGCTCTACCACCAGGCGGCATATGGTTGCCTTGATATGCCTGGTTTTCGAGGCTGCGCCTGCCATTCTGGTTGTGTATATCCATTGCAGCTATCCCGGGCAGGAGCTCAGGTATAATGAACCGACGTTTGGGCACGCGATCATAGCATAAAAATGGGTGCAGAGGCTTTGGAATTGCTCGAAACGTCTGCGGCGAACTCGACGGGCCCGTGAGGAGAGAAGGTATCACGGTACCGGGCTCAGCTGCAGCAGAATCGTCAAGGTCTGGGGTATTATGATGTTGCGGGAAGGGCAAGCAAAGAGGTGGGCGTGCTGTTATGCAGTGGCTCAGGTGTTTCAACGTCTTAGTCAGCCGTCAGGACGAAGGGCCGTCGCGCTGGAGTTGCTCGTTCATTCGGCCGCGGCCCGAATCTGTGGTTTTTCTGTCTCTCAAGTAGCGGCTCTTTCATGTGGTGTTTCCATCCTTCTGAGAATCAATCATGACACAAGTCGTCGTGGTTTTCGGACGTGCGGATTGCGACGCGGTGTGTTAAGGATATCGCGTTCGTATCGATGGTGGGGCTTATGAGTTGGTACATTCCCTAATCCGAGTCTCGTAACCCCGCGCCGAGAAGTCTCTCTCCATCTCAAGTACATCAATGACGATTGGTGCATCTATTGTTATTCATCGGGCGCGAATATTACACATAATTCCTTTTTCAGCTTCCCCTTGTTGATTCAGGGCCCTACACTGTGACAGAGCCCGCCGCCCTTGCAGCAAGTCTTCGGAAGTCCAGTGACCCCAAGAAGAACACAGCCCTGCTGACCAGCATCCGACCGAATGCCCTGATGTATTGCTTGTATCAAGTTTACCCGCTGGCGTTACAGAGCTGTCGTTGCACGCGGCCTCGTGCGGCCAAGCCTTGTGCAGCCTGTGCTGCTCCGGCCAGGGGCTCACCCACAGGTCTGTCACAGAAGCCTGTGCCTGGTTAGCAGAGACACGTTCCCGATTGGCTGTTGGGGACAACTGCCGCAGCAGTGCAGCACCCTCTTGCAATCAGTTCCCACTGCGGAAGCTTCCATCTGATGTTGAGGGGTCGATGCTGAGCGGCTAGATCAGTGTAGAATAGGAAGTCAGCAACAGGATATATTTGTCGTAAGTCGTAAGTCGTGACGGGGCAACTGCTGGCCTATTTCGACTCATCTATTCAATAACTCCAGTCTGATGACGGCTTAGGCATATATCTCATTTTTATTGCTTGCAACTTGTAATTAAATGGTGATTGGCCCTCATGTGACTGGCGGGAGCGTCGTTGTTGAAGCTCCACTCTGCCACGCGATCATGATCTTAGCACCTAACAATTGAGGCCTTCCATGGTGCAAGCGCGCCGCACAATGCACAATGCAGTCTAGACGAGACTTCCGACTGAATCCCCTCGATTTACTCCAAGATGATAATTCCGACGATTTTGATGATGGCTTTCTCGACGGAATCGACTGGAGCAACCCTCAGAGCCTCTTCAAAGCCATAGGGGCCCCATTGCCAAAAACACCCTCCCCTGTAGAGGTCCGAGGACAAGCCCAGGGGAAGTCTCGCGACATCTTCGCTGCTTATGACACTCTTAGCAAGATACTCCAGCGGCACGAGGCCACGATACAGAAAAGATGGTACAAAAAAACAAGACAGCAGAGACTGCAAATTCTCCTCAAGGCCTGGCCAGCAATGCCAGCATCCCATCGTCCCGACTTTGAAGCATTGCGAAAAGAGAGTAAGGAGCAAAGGGAAAGAGCAACAAGATACAGGGACCACTTTCTTTGGCCAAACATCAACCAAGAAGACCTCTCTCAACCAAAAATGATGCCGCTACTGCTCAATTCTCGTGGCCGTCATCCTCCCCCGGCGTTCGCTGCGGCTGACAGCGAGTCTGTCCATCTCGGTCTTGTGTCCAAAGCGTTGGTTCCCATCTTTCTCAACGAGCATACCATGGTACTTCACGGGGCTACTACCGCAGATGGGTATGGGAAACTCATCGCGTGGGATGATCATGAAGATGCTTCTGAGTGGTTGACTACGCGAAAGCAGTTCCTCCCCGGGGAGGGCCTTTTAGTTCTTGAGGTACAAGCTCGTATTATGAAACTACTAGTTGACTGCTGTCACCAAATTCTCCACGAGATCTCCGCAGCCGACATGATTGGTGACGCATATGCTATTCAACCGGAACCCCCACTCAAGACGGACAACGACGCGTCTGGTTTCGCATCCCTGGCGGTCATGGCTGCGGAAGCACCTTTTAGACTTCCAGAAAGGCTTGATCTAGCAAGACTCGAGTTTCTGCTCGAGGCCAAGATGTTGGCAGTAGAGGATCACGCCTGGGCACTTCGCGAAGATCCGGCGTACTTTGCCCACGAGTTCCTCGAGGTCAGGGACCATCGACAGGAAATGCTCAAAGATACTCAGGGATGCGTACACCCCGTCACTAACAGACTGCGGGAACATCGTCTCTGGGCTCGGATCACCTCGACGATTCTCATTGATTCCTACATATCCCTCGAGACGTTCACCGAGCTCCATCGACAAGCTCAGCAGCTGCGCATCCTACAGACCAAGTATGCCGGGGAAATATCACCCCAAAACGACTTGTCAGAAGAATACATGACCGCTTTGCTTCGCTTCAGGTACTTTCTTGAAAAGACCGCCAAGAGCCCTTTGGAAAGGCTCAAGACGGCGGTCGCCGCATCGCCACCAATGCACAAATTCTTTGCTCGTGTGCCTCCAACCGACGTTGATTCGACCAAGTTGCAGATTGTGCAGAAAGCCGGAGTCAAGATAACTGAGCCAGAAGGGCATCTGATCTGGCTCCTACAGACTTTGTGGGATGATGGTTACAACCTCTTCCTAGTAGGCCTCCCTCGCGTCATGGATGAGCTCGAACGTCTGATGCAGTCAAGCCCCGAGGCGGATAGGTTGATATCGGAACACGTCCTCAAGATTCTCGGCGATTTGTCCATTATGGCTCAGTGTTGCAGGCAACTCGAGCTCTACCAGCCCTGGGCCCAGACCTTTGAGATGGCATCTGCAAATCATGTGGAGACTTTCAAAGCTGAGCATATGCAGTGGGGGAAGCCCTATGCACAGATTGTTGACGCCGTCAAGGAGCAGAACATGATCAGCGCTGGAAGACTCGCCGAACCTTCAGGAGGCAAGTTTGCCTACCCATCTCACAAGCGACGGACGAGAGAGACGGTGGAAGCCTTGCGGAAAGCAGAGGGCAACCTGGATGCTGTTTGGGCAAAGATCGACGAGAACTTGAGGTACAAAGTACCGGAGATCGGACAGTCTGCCGTGTATCGCTTTCTTTCTACACGCATGCTGCGGAGAACTGCTGAATGGGTTGAACCGGCGACACCGACAGCAGATATCAAGATTATGGACCCCAATCTCGATACCCTAAACCGACCGCTTTCGAACCTGTTTTTAGGCTCCTCCGACGATCAACGCCAAGCGCTCAAGGCCCAGCCAAAGGCCAAGACCAAGACCAAAGGCGTACCATCCGCTGCATCTGCGGCACTCGCAGCACCCGATGTTTCTGAGACTGAGAACTTTGACCCACAGCCAACATTCCATGTCGATGCTCGCACTCTCAAAGTATTCCGCACAATCTTCTTCAACCCCGACGTGACGTCGACACCCGGTTCGGTTCCCTGGAACGACTTTTTGCACGCCATGGTGTCTACAGGCTTCCGAGCAGAGAAGCAATATGGCTCTGTCTGGCAGTTTTCGCCCACAAGCCTGGATGTGGAGAGGAGCATTCATTTCCACGAACCCCATCCCAAGGGCAAAGTTCCGTTTGAAGTGGCTAGACACCATGGAAGACGGCTGACAAGAGCGTACGGCTGGAATGGAGACATGTTTGTCTTGAAGGACAAGTGATGGATCTGCTCTTGAATTACGATGATGCAATGCACTGGGGATGCAAGTTGTCAGTGACGCGCCAGCATTAGCCGCAGTGTCTGGACGGCAATATTGACACAGTGCTAGCACCTCGGCACGACGCACTCTGCAGTCATGTCCTTGAAGCCCGTCGATCAGCCTTCCAAATATTGGTGAAGACCGACGGCATTACTATAGTCACCAAATAGTCTCAGCATTGAGTTTGAGCATCTTGTGTCGTTTAGCGGGGCACGCTCAGACGCTTGCCAAAGTCCTCCTCAGTGTGTGTTGGTTGGTAATGGTATGAAGAAAGCGTGTGCTTGGAAGGACAACTGTATTCCGAGAAGGGTATTACACTTCTGTCACTTGTTTCGAAATGCCTTCTTTGGCACGGCGCTTCAAACCACCCCAGTCTCATTGATTGGTACCCAAGCCTCGTCGCTTCCGAGTCCACAAGTGCCATCATTGGGCTCATTCTGTCCAGCGTGGGCCAGGATCGATCACTCGCACACACGACGGCAGTCAGCCAGTAGTATTATTCACAAGCCGTTTCGCAAAAGACCATGAAGAGTTTCTTTCAGCTAGCTATGACAACGCCCAGAGAAATCCACATGTGATGCTTTCTTTCATCGGCTGCGCCTACAAGTATTGCCAGCGGCAAAGTAGGCTTTCATTTCCTTGCTGCACACGCAACTGATGTAGAACTAAACTGATAACCTCTCTCGGCTTACTCTTGACACGTGAGTAGCAATTCTCACTTTCACTAGTACATACGACTATAGTTGTTGGGAAATCTGGGTCATCTTTAACTGCCGAGGGTCATGTGCGAAATGGGCTTTGCGTGCGCTAAATCCGGGGGCAAATTCCAGCTGCATATCCACACCCGTTGAGTCTACTACTTTCGAGCGTGGTACAACTCCTCAGACATATATGTGATGTGAAGCCTATTCAGAACAGCTCTTCAGAGTTGTCGTGACCCCGAGTGGCGAAAGGATAACCCACAAGCATTGGCTACGAGCTTGGCACTGTGAACGACATCCCCGTGCTGGTTATGTAATCAACTTGAACAGAAATCCAAGATATCGAGTCTACAGTTTTGGCGACGAGCAAATGACCTCGCTTACGGAGATTGAGGTGCGTTCCTTGGGCTGTCCTCGGCCTGGCGAGACGACCTTTCTAGACTTGTGGCGAGTTTTGACTGTAGCAGCTTCGGAAACTACGAAATAAATTCCGCAAATTTTTTTGTTGGTTCTATGATGACATTGTGGCTGCAGAGACCCAGTGACCCGAGCACCCGAACAGCAGCATTCCAGAACCGCCAATGGCGCCGTTTGTGGCAAACCCTCGATCGGTACGTATTTCCGTCATGCAATTTTTAGCCGAGATCGATCTCTTATTAATCACTCCCACGTGCCCGTAATCAACTTGGATCCCCCGTCAAACTCTATATCTTTCTTTGAGTCAAAAATCCGCGGCCCTTAGGGTCCGCGGATTTCATTCATGAAGTCCGACGAACTCCTTTGTCCGAGACACAGAAGAAACATGGCGCACACGCGATTGATCAGCCTAATTGGATAACCTTATCTTTGGGAACGCTATTTTCTAAGCCTTGTGTGATTGCGGAATAATTTCCATGGAATACTTTTCCTTAAATTCCGGCACGCTGCACACCTTTGTTCACTCCAATGCTAGTCCGTCATGTGTCTGTCTATATATAAGTAGTGATAGGTATCTCTGAAAAAACTGAATCCGATTCAAAAAGAGACCATTTCGTTCTATAGATTACGACGTACTCAAAGAAACACTTTATAAATTTCCTTTTCAACATGGCGCCCACACACGAGTTGAAATCGGCCTTGCCCGGCATTACTGTGGTTCATGGCGACGACGAGGACTTCGACGAGCACACTTCAACGTGGAACACTTACACGGATCGCAAACCCATCGGGGTTGCCGTTCCAAAAAACACCGAAGAGGTTGTGCGCGTTGTCAAGGCTGCTGAACGAGCCGGCATCAAGCGTATTACCATCCGTGGAGGCGGCCATTCTTTTGAAGCTCTCGGGCTCGGTGGTCAAGATGGCGCATTCGTCATTGACACCATCAAGCTAAACAGCATCTCATCCGACCCAGCCAACGACACCATTACTGCTGGAGGAGGCTGCTTGCTGGGAGATGTTGCGCTTTACGCGTGGGCGCACGGCAAGAAGATGCTTCCGATGGGAACGTGTCCGACGGTGGGACTCGCGGGGCAGATTCAGTGCGGCGGCTACGGATTCTACTCCCGCACATATGGTACACTGACGGACCGTGTACTGAGCGTCGAGATTGTGACTCCGGATGGCAGCGTGCGAACCGCTAGCAATGACGAAAACGCAGATTTATTTTTCGCCATTCGCGGAGCCGGAACCGGGTCCTTTGGCGTCATCACGAGCATCACCCTGCGCACCAACGACGCCCCTCTCGACGGCGTTGCTGTCTTTTCTCTCCGCTGGAGCCTTGATCGTCAAGACGTGCCCGTGGTGCTGAAGAAGCTGCACGACGCGGCGACGGCCTCGCCGCTCACCGTCAACCCAATGATTATTTCCTGGCTAGGCGTCCTCGAGATCTCTGGCGTGATTCTCGAAGACTCCGTGGCCGGTCTTGGTTCCACATGGAAGGCCCTCACGGAGAACTTGCCGGCCGCCGATAGCACGACCCTGACGCGGCGACACTTGATTGAAACGGTTGCCGATATCGAGGAGAGCCAGACGTCGGCCCCGTGGTACAAGGACCTCAAGGATCTGAAGCGAGAAGGGCGCGAGCACCAGCGATTCATGAAGATTAAAGCCGGCTTCGTGCCCGAGCTGCTCTCTGACGACTTTGTGGCGTCGCTCGCCGCGTTAGCCAAGACGCAGCCGAGAACGGGAGTGCGCATGCAGCTGCTCGCGCTCAATCCCGACTTTCGGCCGGAGCCGGACACGACGTCCATCAAGGTCCGCGGTATTCCTTGGCTGATGGGCATGTCGGTCTGGCTGCAGGTAGCAGAGCACGGCGACAGCACGGACGCGGAAGCGAAGAGTCGCCTGCCGTGGCTGAATCGGGCGTATGAGCATTTCTATCCAATTACGAATGGTGGATACATCGGCGACGACGACTATGATGAGGATGAAAATGGCCGTAGCATGATGGATAGTTACTACGGGCAGCACCTCGAAAAGTTGCAATTGGTCAAGGCAAAGTATGACCCAAAACGACTGTTCAGTCACCCACTATCCGTTTAATATAGATAAGACATACACGCGCGCGCCCAAAGTCTGGTAGTTAGTCTAGCATAATTTCAACCTGCAATTATTTTCAACCTGCAATTATCGAATTGGAAACATTGGTGTCCGTGCTCGCATGCTTAAACTGGTCAAAATCCACGACACAGCTCTCCTTGCGCGCTTTCTCAGCAGCAAACACCAGCAGATGCGAATCCAAAATGTCGTCAATGGTGACACGCAGAATGCTCTGATTGCTTTGCGCGACCGCGCTCACAAAGGCACGGGCTAGGCCAGTGTCGCCGCCACCGTGATAGCCGCCATCTAGCTTGGGCGTGTAGTGTTTGCTTGTCCTAGACAGAAAGTCAAAGACATCCTGGGAGAAGAGAATCAGCATGTATGCAGAAGTGGGAAAAATTGGGCAAGCTCACAAATGTAGTCATGTCGCCGATTAGCTCGCCCTTGGTACCTTGGATGCGTGTGCCGCGTTGACACACAGATTCGGTGACTAAAGACTTTGTCAGCAATGCCCATGCAAATCCGTTGGGACCTCTTACATGCAGACATGGTGACACTGGCGGTGATGCCACCCTGGTACTCGATGTTTACAATTTGGTGGTCGACGACGTCGTTTTCGCCCTCGTAGACGCAAGTGCCATAATTTGTTCTGTTTAGCGCCTCGGTCACATTTTCAATGTCGAGGACTTCCGAGTCGACAAAATGTCTCGCCCACTGCAAACGTTGACATATTAGCCAGGGGGAATGGAAAGAGGTAGGGTAAAGAGAGGCACCTTTTCGACGTTTCCTTTCAGGGTATCAATGTAAATCTTCTTAGCACTCCACACACAGTTCTTCTCATGCGCGCATTCAAGACAGCGCTTGGCGGATCCGGCTTCGACCGGTTTTTGCGACTTTTTGAAGTGGCGAAGCGAGCCAAAGGAGTGCACTTTGGTGGGCTTGAGTCCATCGAGGTAAAAGTTGACAATGTCAATGTCGCTTTGGACAGTTTTAGCTTTGATGGCGTGTACCGTGGAGAGTTGCTCGAAACCTACTGGCAGGATTTCGTCATGAGTGCGAATGAAGAGTCGGCCTCTTTGTGCCAGTTGCCGCGCACGTACGAGTGCGCAAAGTGTTGGTTGCCGACTGGCTCAATGTGCTGGATGTTGACAATTTCGCCGAGGGCGCCAGAGTCAATGACATCCTTGACGGCACAGTTATATGGCGAATAGCGAAGGACTGCAGAGTAAGAGACGTGATGTGATGGTCGGGTATTCGGAGCGGGCACATACCATGACCCATGGCAAAGACTTTTGGCGCTGTAGCTTGTGCCAGATTACGAATCTTGACACAGTCGGCAACGGATGTAGCCATTGGCTTTTCGCACAGGATATGATATCCAAGCTCTGCAAAGTCTTGCACAGCTTCGACATGTTGGTGGTCCTGAGCCCGTGTTAGTCTCCGCCTCGATGGTCAAGCCATCTGTTCTCACCTGGACCGCGATAACAACTGCATCAGCAATTTTGCCTTGTGCTTTGAGACCCTTCCAGTTTGAAAATTGCAAATCTTGTCGGATGCTGCGTGCAAAGCGCCCGTGTTAGCGGTGCACCGCATTGTCTGGCCTCTCGTCTCCCGCACGCGCTCGACTTGCCTGTGCTTGCGTGAAAAGACGTCGCGTCTGTGCCTGCTCGGCTCGGCCACAGCGACCACCTTGGCAAGCTCTGGGTTTTCGAGAGCGTACGCTGCATATGTCTGATTCATGCAATGGTGAGCAAACAGACACAGGGAATCCGCAATGCGGGGGCGAGGCTTACCGTGCCACGGCTGCCGGCGCCCACGACGGCAATCGTGACAGGCTTGGCCGCGTGGCCGTTGGTTTGCGGGGCAGAAGCCATGTCTAGCTTGTCGCCCGTTTCTCGATGTGGTTTTTTAGTATCGGATATTCAAGATTCTAGCGGTGCGGTGCAACGCCAACATGAAGCATAGGACAATGTACAGATGAAGATGATTAATGCGGGCTCAGCCATTGGCCAAATCCCCCTTCCATAACGTTACATGGAGCACTCTAACCCGCTGGTTCGTCCCACCACGTGGCGGAAGCAAGGCCAATACTCGTCAAGGTACTATTTGGTTCTGATTCACTTTTGTAAAACGAAAGTAAAAAGTAAAAATTGATCTTGGCCAAAAGTCTGGGTCGTGACAAAGGGCGAACTGACGTCATGCACAGTGTTTCGTTTTTGACAAATTGTAAATCTCGAGTCGCGTAGCTGTTTGGCTTGGCACCGTAGATAAATACGGACATTCGCCCGTGTATTACCGTGGGGGGACACGGGGGCATAAGTCGATCCCATATTACGCTAGCCCTTTTGTCCCGACGGGTGGCGGGCGGCATGCGCCCTTTAGGCGAGACATTACATACATGATGTCCATCTTTTCTTATCATTTATCAAGGACCGAGGGAATTTGTATGTATCTTAGGTAGTAGACATTCGGACAAGCTTAACAAGCTGTCTGTCAGTCCATCGCGCGGGCCTGACATGTAACCACGCTTCACTGGTGGTATTGTTCTTACGTCACATTATCTACCGTCTTGTATTCGCCTCGCCAAAAGGTGGATCTGTAAGCCAGGTACGTACGAGCCAACCAAGGTTTCATTACGAGCCCAAACGATAACGCTAACACTAAGCCAAGGTAAAAATGCGAACCTGGACGTGGGAGGAAACGTAGCAGTTGGAACATGCGCCGTTTCCAGGTTCCGCCAACGTGTCCAACCCCAGCCTAACTTTGCGGAGACCCCGGGTTTCGAGCCGCCCTTGACCAAGACGATATATCCCTGACGTCTACCAAAAAGTGTTTTCATTTATTTCATCTCATGTGCATTGAACAACCTCAGCGCCTCTTCATTTTTTTTCAAGTGTTGCGAGAGCAAGACACCACCCACAATGATGGACCTATCACAGGTCAAGATTGGAAAGCTCCGATGTCAGTAGGAGTGACCGGGCCGCACGCGAGCCCGCCCCCCTCCCTGATCAATCGCACACCTTGCCGGGCAGCATCTAATCTCAAGCCACAGACAACTCACCATGGACGCAGGTTGTCATTGTCGGGTTTGTCGCCTTTTGCTCCGTCGGTATGCATAGCGCCATCAGCAACCTCGGCGCTGGCGGCATGCAGGACGTGCAGCTGAGCGACATTGCCAACAGCGTCCTCTACGGCTGCTTCTTCCTCGGCGGCTTCTTTGCCGGTAGTGTCAATGTAGGTTTTTTTTCCTCATTTAAAGAAAAGAAGAAAAAAAATTACTTCATCCTGATACTGTCATCAAACTAACCTCGCTGTCCCTCATCAGAATATTCTCGGCCCTCGAGTGACCCTCTCCATCGGTACCACCGGCTATGCGCTCTATCTCGGCTCGCTCTGGAACTTTCAGGTCAACGGCACGCGATGGTTCCTCATCCTCGCCGGCGCCATTCTCGGCTTCAGCGCCTCGCTGTTCTGGGCCGCCCAGGGCGCCGTCATGATGTCCTACCCGACCGAAAAGGACAAGGGCCGCAGCTACAGCGTCTTTTGGTCCATTTTCCAGCTCGGCACTTTGATCGGCTCGGCCATTGCCCTGGCCATCTCATTCCACAGCAACTTGCCCTCTGTCGGCACGGGCGTCTACACTGCCATCATCATCATTCAGTTGACGTCCATTGTCACCAGTTGGCTCGTCTTGCCGCCCCATCTCGTCGTCCGTGGCGATGGCACCAAGGTCGAAGTTCAAGCGTCGCTGGGACCGAGACGGGAGTTTCGAGAATTTATCCGCATGTTCAAGGACTGGCGCATGCTGGCCCTGTTTCCCATGTTCTTCAGCTCCAACTACTTTTACTCGTACCAGGGTGCTATTACAACCTTTCTCTTCAACGGCCGCACCCGCGCTCTGGTCGCGCTACTCACTGGACTAGGCTCCATCATCGGATCAATCATCATTGGTCTTTTGACTGACACATTACCATGTTCGCGGCGTAATCGATCACTTGTCGCGAGCGCTGTCATTTTTCTCTTGGTGTGTGCCGTATGGGGTGGCGGCGTCGCCTTTCAGCTAGACTTTCAGCGCGGCGATACTGTGCTGAGGGGCCACCGTCTTCCCTGGGACTGGTCCGATAGCCCTGCCGGAGGACCTATCGTAATGATGTTTGCTTGTGAGTAGAGTGGCAATCTTGCCAATTTGTCAACGACGAAAACTAACTGCGAAATAGATTATGTCGTCGACGCCGCTTTCCAAGGTCTGGCCTACTATACCATGTCGGCAATTACCAATGAGCCTTTCAAGCTCGCCCGCATGGCTGCATACTACAAGGGTATTCAGTCGGCGGGTGCCGCTGTATCTTTTGGCATGGATGCAGTCGAGGTAAGCAAGCTGCAAAGCAAAACTCCGGTTTGCATACCAAAACGTTTCCTTTCGCTAACACATGCAGACACCCTACCTCGGCGAAATACTCATCTCATGGCTCCTCATCGTCATCTCGCTACCTCTATGCGGAATTGTTCTCATGAAGATCCGCGAATCCAACTACGATGTCGAGGAAGTCACTAGAGTGGATGATGATGCTGAAGACTCGGGTCTTACCAAGGCTGCGACCCCATCTTCAGCAGCGGCTGCTGAATAATTCGAGGACCATAAGAAATGCAAATTAATGGATTCATCTCAAGGTATATATATATCAATCACTTGTATAATTATAGATTTAGATCAATTCTATCTTGGGCCGAGGGGTTTGACTCTCGCTAGACTTTGTTTGCCATAGTCTGTTCACCCTCTGGTCAACTAACGAGATTAATGCTTGCATGCGATTTGTGACTGTGCTGTTTGAACAACAAGTATTCTAGGTGACTAATGAAATAGCTTGGAGCCTTCCAGCATGATAATTCACAAAAAAGCTTCAGAAGAAGCTCGTTGGGTCACGTGTCACAGCACTTGCCTTCCTTGCCTCCGCGCCCGCACCGCCTTCAAGCACCATACATTTGAACAGTCTGTCGATTTCTGCTTTTCGCTTTCCTGTGCATCTATCACCGCTTCGTACACCACAGCTAATGTGTATCAACTAATGAGCTCTCGATAGCGACGCTGGAAATGTCCTCCCCGACCCTGGCAAACACGCTCAATTGCCTTGTGGAAGCTGTCTTTCACGAAGACCTACGTCTCGGGAACAACATACCCGACACAAGCCATACTTCACTCCGCGATGTGAAATTGTGACGTTGGCTTCAACATTGACAGCTTTCATGGCCCTCCACCTGGTATAGCGTAGATGCCTACGGCTGAACTCTGCATCGCGACGAGGCCGCCTTTCCGAATGCTCGAATCTGCGGGTCCAGCCGCAGAACGCAGGCTGCCAACAAGCAAAAAACTCGCAACAAGCATCTACATGCGTTTCAGCACGGTAGTAGAGGCGGCGTCGAGGAGCAGCCAGCAATGGAGCGCGAGGTTTTTGCCGCGCAGCTCTTTCGTTGGCTTTTTGGGCGGTTGCACGACAAAAAACGACTGCCACGTCATGTCAGCGGTTTACACGAAGAAACAACAGCGGTCGACGAAAGAAATTGCCCAGGCGATAAGAACTATGTCGGGGGCAACCATTGCGGGAAGATTTCCTGCGTCTCGAACCCATTGATGGGAACTGGTAATGCGATAAAGACAGAGCCCGCCGCGTCGATGTAAAGAATCACACAGTATGCGAGTATGCAAATGCGAAACAGACGGACTATATATCGCGCCAATCTAGGGACTAGCGGCAAATCGGCCACATGAATCGGCGCGACATGCACAGAGAGCCTAAAATGGCAGAAAAAAAGCTTGGCAATAGCTCAAAGCTGGAGAAGCAGAAAAGAGACAACTCCTCGGAGCAACAGGTGATGGGGGAGTCGAGGGAAGCAACATGGCAAGGCCGTTAGTGCGAGCGCCTCTGAGGCCCCGTCAGCTCGGGGGGAACCCGTGGCCCTGGAATTTTTTAAAAAAGAGGGACGAGACGAATCGGAAGCGGGCAGTGACTCTTCAAATAAGAAGGGCCAGAGAGACATTTAAATTTGAGCATGTCTTTTGCTACGGCGCTAGCATCGATCCAGCTTACCGCGACGCCACTTTTCATCACAGCCTCACGCGGTTCGATGGGCCCGTTTGCGTAGCTTACTTTGGAATTGGCCGTTATTTGTCCTGAGAAATACTGCTCGAGTCGTGCTGAAAAGCACGAGGGAGGAGGCAGAAGCAAAATGAGCGGGCACTGCATAGTGAGGTCTGGGTCCAGCTCTCGACTCGTGTCAGCAAAGCAGAGTTGGCGCTCGTTAGGACGACTCGAATGAGACGACCGAATGAAAGCGGCTGGTAACGCGACTAGCCCACCTCGCACCATCCCAGTCATGCCAATCGACGACAAGGCTTGGCTTGTGGGAACGGGTGACGCTGCCGAAAGGGTCTCGCCTGCCCCCTTGCCACGAAATGACATCAGACCGCTTCAGCTTCATATCAGTTGTTACTCGAGATGTTGAGTTTTGCTCTTAGTCGCAGAGTCGTCGGTGTAACGGGTAGATGCCCGCAACGGCATGTAAGACGTCTTGAGTGCAAAGACAACAGACAATAGGCAACAGGAAATTTTTGAGACAATCTATTCAGCATGACACCAACTGATATATACACGACTGCCTCCGTATTCACGAGAGAAATATGCAGATGCCGGGTGTCAGAAATCCCTCAATTCAGCCATACCAGAATAAGAAGGCAAGCAGCGCTGCCCACATGTTCTTACCAGCGGCTAGGCGGCCCTGTCGCTCACAGACTCCATTTAGAGCAGCCTCAGCCAGCAAAAGACTAGTGAAAAAAATGCAGAGAGCAGTGCCAGAGGCAGCCCGCCGGTCATTGGCTTCTGACATAGCCCTCTTCGCCGATCCAACGCCAACAAGGCACCCACCAGCCGACTGCCAAAGGATACCAGGGCTTGCAGGTTTTTCACTAGCCTCATGCACGCGTGGCTCACTGGCTCTCATCGACCGGAGCCAGTCACTTCCAAGAGGTTCCCCGTTGGCAAGCCCAGGACTCGGCTGCATCCACCACCCACACTGATCCTCGCCGCTTCCTCTCGACTCTCGTTTGGGTGCTATGGGGCTCTGTTGTTATTTTTTTTCGTCGCTCAAGGGAAAATGATTTGGTGGCCTTGCTCCTTTCCTAATCAGGCAACGCCAACGCTATGTGAGGGCTGTGGTTGGTTGTTCCTCCATAACCACGCCAAGCTCCCAAATATATGGCCGTCTGTTAGAGAGGTTCATGATGTCCGGAATGGGCATCACCACGGCCTCACATATTCCCATTGGCCCGCCCATCCATGCTTTGCCACGGTCTGCACGCGCTCAGCCAGGACAAGCCGAAACAATGGGAACGAGCGCAGTCCGCGGCGGCCTAGAGTCCCCCTCACGCTTCTGGCTGATTAGCTTTTTCTGTGCGGCGTGCGTGATATAAGTGAGCCAATTTCTGGATCGTCGCCTACCGTAATATAAATACAAGTGCATGCAGGATACTTGAAAGGCTCTTTGCTGTTGCATTGCCTTGTCACATTTGCTCAGCACCATCCTCTATCTATCCTCCCCTTTCTACCCTCCTCTTCTTGCTCTGCATTCTCCCTGCCTCGTCGACCAATCGTCAGAGACTTAGCTACTTATTGCTCTGCATTAGCCTTGTCTCTTGCTATCCCAGGATTCCTCTCTGCCTTCCTCTTTTGTCCGAAGTTGTCTCAGTACAAAGTAGTACATCCTCAGACACACACACTCAAACACACAGGCACACACACCCAGATACGCACGCACACACCCATCCGCCATGCCAGACGAAGCTATTCCAGAAGCTGCCGAAAAGGAGGCTACCGAGCGAGACACACGCATTACCTTTCACAATGCAGACCATCCCCGTCTTGCTCGCGGTCGGTCCGAGGCCCGCGGCCGCGACGAACCCTCGCGCTCGCGCTCCCGTGGCGGCAGACGCTCCCTGAGCCGCGGCTCCAGCATTTCCCGTGCCGACCTGCCATCCTCCCCATATACCGGCATACAGATTGAATATCGTACGCTGTCCATCAACGTGGCCGAGTCGCGCGCCGTCGACACGGAGGAGTCGTCGGCCGACATCAAAGCGGCGGCGTTGGGCCTCAAAAAAGAAAAGGCCGACGAGGACTACTTTGCCAACCTCAACTATCATGAGCTCTCGACGGATCTGATTGCGCAGCAGCTCAATGTCTCGCGCACTGATGGCTTGTCGGACAGCATGGTAGCGAACCGGCAGCAGCGCGACGGCCGCAACACGCTGCCCAAGCCAAAGACGAATTACTGGAAAAAGGTGCTCGGGTACGTGTTTGGCGGCTTCTGCTCAGTGCTCTGGGTCGGCGTCGTCATCTTCTTCATCTGTTGGAAGCCGCTCAGCAACCCGCCGTCGCCCGTCAACTTGGCCCTCGCCATCCTCGTCATCATTGTCATCACTCTCCAGGCGGGCTTCTCCGCATTCCAGGACTGGTCGACGCAGCGCACCATGAAGTCCATCACCGACCTCTTGCCGTCCGAGGCCCTGGTGGTGCGCAACGGAGAAACAGTCAAGATAGCGGCGGCGGAGCTCGTCGCCGGCGACATTGTGCACCTCTCTATTGGAAACAAGGTCCCTGCTGACTTGCGCATCCTGAGCCACTCGGGCGACATTCGGTTCGATCGCTCCGTGCTGACAGGTGAGTCGGACGAGATTGAGGGCGCCGTCGACATGACGGACCAATCCTTTCTCGAGAGCAGAAACATTGCCTTTATGGGTACGCTGGTGGTCAACGGTAGCGGCGTCGGTATCGTCGTCCTCACTGGCTCGCGCTCCGTCATGGGCCGCATTGCCAAAGCGACTGCTTCTACCGAAGAGCGTCCTACTCTTATCCAGAGAGAAATCTGGCGCTTCGTCCGCATTATTGTCTGCCTCACTGTCGTCTTGGCTCTTCTCATCCTCTTCACTTGGGTCGGCTGGCTTCGACGCGACCACCCTGCATACATGAATGTCGTTGCTATGCTCAACAACGTCATGGGCTGTGTCGTCGCCTTTATTCCCGAGGGTATGCCCGTGGGTGTTGCTCTGACGCTCATGATGGTTGCCCGTCGCATGAAGACTGTCCATGTCCTGCCCAAGGGTCTGTCCACAGTTGAGACTCTTGGCTGCGTCAATGTCATTTGTTCCGACAAGACTGGTACTTTGACGCAAAACGAAATGCACGTCAACTCGTCTGCCTTTGTCGACCAGCCCATCCCTGTCAATGAGATTCAGACCAATGTCGACAGCCAAAAGCCTGATGTCTGTAACCTCAGACTCATGCAAGCTGCTCTTCTTTGCAACGATGCCACTTTTGATCCCTCCACCATTGCCCTTCCAGTCGCTGCTCGCCAAGTCCAAGGCAACGCTACGGACGCTGCCGTCCTCAAGTTTGCTGCCTCTACTCAGCAGAGCGAGCAAGAAGCCGCCAAGCTGCCTCGGGTTTTCCAGATCCCATTCAACTCCAAGAACAAGTACATGCTTACGGTGCACTCCAACACCGATGAAAAAGAACCCAAGCAGTACCGTGTCTTTGTCAAGGGTGCTCCGGACGTGCTTCTTCCCGCCTGCACCTCTTACTGGTCGCGCAAGGCCGACACCATTCTACCCCTCGACGCCGCTGCCAAGGTTGCCTTCAAAGAGTACCAAGACAGGCTGTCGAGAAACGCCGAGCGCGTCATTGTTCTCTGCGAAAAGAGTGTCACTCCTGTCAACGCCGTCAACACCAACGCATTTAGCGACGAGATTGCCGCCGGTGCCATGAGCAGCCTCACCGTGATTGGTATCCTCGGCATCATTGACCCTCCCCGGCCCGAGACTGCCAATACCGTCCGGGAATGCCGCCGGGCCGGCGCGCGCTTCTTCATGGTCACTGGCGACTATGGCCTGACGGCGGCAGCGATTGCGCGCAACACTGGCATCTTTACCGGCGAGCGCGATCCGGATACCATTGAAAGAATCCAGTCCAAGCTCGGCCTCTCTAGCCATGAACTGCGCGTGGCCCGTGAGAATGGCGAGGTTCGCAGCCTACTCCTCGAGGGCCAGTCTCTCGGCGGCCTGTCGAATGACGATTGGGAAATTGTCTGCGAGTATGGCGAGATTGTGTTTGCCCGTACGACGCCTGAGCAGAAGCTCCGCATCGTGGAAGAGTTTCGCAAGCGGGACAATGTCGTTGCGGTTACTGGTGATGGTGTCAATGACGCTCCTGCTCTTCGTGCCGCTGATGTGGGTGTCGCCGTCGTGACTGGCAGCGATGTTGCCATCGAGGCCGCTGATTTGGTCCTCCTCGACAAGTTTGATTCCATCATTGAAGCCATCCGCCTCGGTCGTTTGGTATTTCAAAACTTGCAAAAGGTCATTGCCTATCTGCTACCCGCCGGCAGTTGGTCCGAGATTTGGCCCGTGATTCTCAACGTCTTTTTTGGCGTTCCTCTGCCTCTGAGTTCCTTTTTGATGATTATCATTTGCGTCTTTACCGACCTGTTCCTGTCTCTTTCGCTCATTATGGAAAAGGAAGAGTTTGATCTGCTGTCGCTGCCTCCTCGCAACCACAAGCGCGACCACCTCATCAACCTGCGCATCTATATTCAGGCATACCTCTTTACCGGCTTCATGGAGACGACGATTGCCCACTCCATGTTTTTCTTCTACTACTGGAAGCAGGCGCGCATTCCCGTGCGCGAAATGTTTTTCCTCTTTGAAGGTTACTCGGCCGGCTTCCACGGCTTCTCACAAGAGGAGCTCGCCCATTTGAACGCGGTCGGCCAGAGCATCTACTTTGTCACGCTGGTTATCCTGCAATGGGGCAACATTCTCTCGGTGCGCAACCGTCGGCTGAGCATTGTGCAGGCCGATCCCTTTACGGCCAAGCGTCGCAATCCCTGGCTGATTCTGAGCATTCTCATCTCGCTGGCCATTGCCATTTTCGTCACCGAGGTGCCGGGCATCCAGTCGCTGTTTGGCACGGCTTCGGTGCCTATTGAGTTTTGGCTGATTCCTCTTCCGTTGGCGTTGGGTATACTGGCCATGGATGAGGTTCGCAAGCTGCTTGTCCGCGTCTTTCCCAACGGACCTATTGCCAAGATTGCCTGGTAAATAGTTTACTCTATCTTCTTTATCTTTTCATACACAGTTGGAGTCAAGGTCGCGCGGTTACAGGCAGCGTGCTTGAATATTTGCCCTCGATTTTTTTTTACAAATTAGATGACCACATTTCATAGACGACAACATTGGGATTGTACATAGCAATATCAAATTCATCATCATGTACATGCCGTCTACTCCTCTTCTTTCTTTTTGCCCCCTTCCTTTTGGCTCCCACCATCATGTCACACAGCGCGATCGACTTGGCAGCCACAATCCTCGTGAAACCGCGACGCCGCCACAAAAAGCCATAAAACCTGCAGTCATGCCTCGGGATTTTCCACCACCATCGACAAGCCACCCGTCACACATCTTTTTGTGTCATGCGGTTGATGCAGCCGCATCGGCGCCGACAAGCAAGCCCCCTCCCCCCGAGTGGCACACGTAACCGCATTGAAGAGAAAAACTAGGTTGGGAACAAAGAAAAAAAAAGCACTAAATTTTTAGCGATAGGAAAAAAAAAAAGACTGACGTGTTTGTTGCCTTTTTGATCGACAGGTTTTTTCTCCCCCCGGCCGGCAACAGCAAAGAGAAGAAAGAGCGAAAAAAAGAGGGTCGCGGGCCCCCGTCATTTTCCAGTCTTTTTTGAAACTTGTTCTGCAAATCATTCCCCTTTGGCGGTAACGTAGCGTAGCGTAGCATTTTGCAGAATTAGTCTTTTTATTTCTTTTAGCCTCAGAGGGGGGGGGGCGTGTGTCCCTTTCTCTTTTTTTATTAATTTTTTTGGCCCTTCTCCGCAATCCGCTCGCTTTATCCTTGGACACGATTAAGAGATTATCCACCGGCGGCGCAGTGTCGATCGACAGGGCCTGCGGTGTTCAGTTTGTGAGTGGAACATGGCGCGCGCGAGTACTTTTCAAGATGTGCGCGACGAGGGCTCGGAGCGTTTTGCATAGACATCTGGTTGGGCCAATCGGTTCGGGATTTGTTCATCTTGGCGATTAATGCTCAAGTTACTAATAGAGCTCGGGTCTGCAAAATCTGCATTGCTGCTCTGGACGAATACTCGGCCAAAAGTTTACAGTGGCTCCTTCGGCATGGCCAAGAAGGGCAGCAATAACGCTACACTTTGTCACTTTTTTGTCAAGCCGTTGTAAAGCTGTGGACAAGCTATGGCCAAGCTGTGGTCAAGCTGCTGCAAGCTGTTGTCCAGGGGTTGCCAAGGGGTTGTTGAGCTGTTGTCAAGCTGTTGCCAAGCTGTTCTAAGCTACTACAAGCTGCTAGAAAGCCGGGAGTGCACCCCGACATTTACACGTCGCTTTCGAGAATCTTTTGGAATAAAAATCCTCACATCAAGCTTGAGACGAACGACTGCATAAATCAGGGGTTGTGTGACAACCAAGTCATCTTGTCTACCCGTCCTGGTCTACCGCGTCATGAGCATCCGAGGTGGTCCTGAATCAGATGAGGCTGGTTACGGATGTGGGCGATGCTGGCCCGTGTGTGTTGAACCACTTTGCCTCTTGTGCCGCGACTGCCGGGTTGTGGCCATACTTGTGCCGCTATCCACGATGTGCGTACGTGTGCTGGTCTACCAGACTCCCTTGGGGTGTGTCTGGCGACGTCTGGCGTGGCTCGTACCACCTTTTTCTCGAGGCTGTACCTACAGCGCCGCCAGTCCGGTCGAGCAAGTAATGAGCGTGGAAAGTTCCATGCTCATCGACGACGCCATTATTATTACCTCGTCCCTTTTCATCGATTCAGCTGTGTAGCCTGGAATTCGTGCGCCTCTGCCGCTTCTGCCGCAGTGCTTTTTCGGTGGAGGCGAGAGCTGATGCCATTTTTGGAGACTGCAAATCAGTGAGGCTGACGACGGCCACACGCCCCGGCAGGGAGGCAAGGGAGGGTGCTTGGACTGCACCGAAAGCTGACACCAACAGGAGCGAGCAGTGTCCCCGTCACTGCGCAGTCGGCCATCGTCCGGGAAAATGCTGCGTAGCAACAAGATCTGGAAGAGATTGGCACGGATGTTCCCTTTTCTTCCCTTTTCTTGCCCTGCCCAAGATTCAGCTTGCGCATAGAACTAATAGCAGGGGAAACAAGGGGGATCTTGTAACATGCGCCATCTTGAGACTCGGATTTTTTTCTTGTTTTTTTCTTTTCACAAATTGATTTGTTCCTGGCGTGACCGCGAAAAAAAAATATGGTACTGCAACGTTAGTTTCTGTCTCAGGTTTCCGGGTCTTGGTTCTAGGTTAGTTTCTGTATCGCCATTGTATTCCACTTTGGCAGGTCTTTCCACATTGGTGGAATAATGCTGACTGTCGGCACCAACGTCATAAAGAGGGCCAGAGTAAATATCAACAACCAGCGACAATAAACAGTCCATCCCTGTTCATAGTTCATATTCTGGATTAGCCCCAAGGGCAATTGCGCACACGCAGCACAGGGCCGCCACCGATGCTGGAGGCTTCTTTCCATGAACATGTATCAGCGACTCAGCGCCGATGGCCTGCTGCGTGTCTGGCTTACAGGGCTTGCTTCCGCCTAGCTGAGAGAATCTGGGGAGTCTTTTCTGGAGCTTGGTGGCGCTCAATTTCCCTTCCGCTGTCAAAAGCTAGGGCGGCCCCAGGTGCTACAGTGTGGCGTCTGTATCTTGCAAGCCTCGTCGCGTGGCAATGGAGAGCAAAGGGGAGCCAAGAATGGGCCGTGGCAACGTCTCGGTAATCTTGGCCGCCTCTAGGCTGTTCATGGCTTCTCTCATCATCTCTGCCCTTTGCTCTGTAAACTCTGGCAGCTCTCAATGTCAACGCTGCACGCGTAACAGTGTCTGACGCCGGACGCCGCCTTACAGCGCAAATCAGTCTTCTCGAATGGCCCTGTCTGTACGTGCGTGCGTGCGTATGATGCTCGACTGGGATCATCCAGCTGCTCCCCACGCCACTAGTATTCGTACTGCTATTGCAGGGGCCCAGGCTAGCCGGCAGGCAGGGGTTAACAGACACAACCAGGGTGCCCACGGTGGACTCACGAGACTGTGACATGTATTGGACACCCTGTTCGGTTCAGGTGGCTTCTGGGTTGCCTATCTATGTCGATGTCCGATCATGTCGGCCGGAAGGAACAAGGTGCAAAGCCTTGGTCGATCGAATTATGACAAGTCCCTGCCGCCGTGATACTTTGTTGCCATCGGTGGCTTGAAGATGGTTAGGCGTCAACATTGTTGGAACCAGGCGAGGAATATCCGTGTGCGTAAACGGCGTCTGCATGGAGGGGGAGGCAACGCCCAACTGCAGCCTTGTTTGCCCATGGTGGCTTCCCCTCTGGCTTCCCCTCTGGCTTTCGGGACCGACCGAGCGAGTATTGCGCTGTATCCGTTGCATGCTAGTTCCTTTCGTCCGTCTAGTAATTTCGGATTCAACTGTACCAGTAATGAAAACTCAACCCACGCCGGTCCGTGTGCCAGAGCCCAGGAGCCATTCTCACTCCATCCTTGTCGTATGTATGTTTGGAATACTTGGCACACCCTCAAGTATATGTCCATATCCATGGCAAAAGAGCCCATTTCAAGACCCAGTCACCCGTCATTCCACGTGTTGCCGATCCACTGCAGCGCCACGTCGATAGCGGTGCCAAGGGCCCTTTTTTTCTCCAGAAGAGACTCCGTATCAGTATGCTTCTTTCGGGTCCTCCTTCAACGCATTGAAAAGGGGCAAGAAAACGGCTGATATTTGGACAAACATCACCACCTCAACAATCACCAGATTCACCTGCACTAGCGCAGCTCTGTCGAGCATGCGACTAAGCCAGTCTGGTGCAAATCTCCGCGCCAAGGTGGACGGGTCGTGAAGCTCCACCAATTGGGCATGCAGTAAACCATACAGAGTGCAGTTGAATGTCATCGCAATTGCACCGGAAGGCCGAAGCAGACGGCACACCTCATGCAGAGTTGTTTCGGGCCATTCGCTGCTTGCTTGGAAATGCCCCTCGCAATTGCAATCCCTGTTTGAGAGCTCTTGGGCACGCTCCAAGGATACCGACTTATTTGCTGAGACCTTTTCAGTTCTGGGACGACTGGGTTCCACCACTCTCGACACTACTCATCTGGAGACGAACTGGCAAGTCGGAATAAGACCATGTCTGTTCTCGGCTCTGAACATACTAAATAGCGTATAGCGATGGTCCCTTCCCATGGACATTTCCCCGTCTGTCAAGCTCTGCCAACGTGATCGTGACAATTTGTCTTGACTTGGTGTGAACTTTGTCGCATCGCACCCCTTTGAGCTCTCGGGGGTCCCACACGCACTGCTTGGTCGGTGGGCCAAAGGGGGCTTGGGGATCGATATGGCGCAATGCCTGGCTCTTGGCTCCTCAGCCGCACGCTTTGTTCCGCATGTCGAATGAAATATTGGTCCTCGTGGGCTAAGACTGAGCTGTCTCCATTATTAATAAAGTCGGGTCTCTTTTACTGATAGGCCATTACGAATTTCTCGTTTCGTCGCCGATCCGCCGCCGAGGTCGAGTGCTCTGCTTGGAGCTTGCCGGCCTAGTTAGGCAAAGCCCAAGAAAAAGCAACCATGTGGGAAAATGCATAGATGCGATGCTGTACATCATAAACCCTATGTATACTGTGTAGAGCGGATGGTGCGTCAGAGTGTCGTCTTCTTAGCCAGCTCTCGCTTGCGCTGCAAGTGTATTGAGGCGTTTCAAGTCCATGTTGTCTCGGGAGTTGGTCATCGAGGCGTGCGATAAGGCTGGTGGCAGATATTGTGAGATGTTGTATTTTTGGCGTTCAATGGCTTGGTGGCTGGTCTCGGAGAGATGCCGACCGCCAGGCGTTGCAATGAGACTGGTCCGAGTCGCCAGAGTCGAGGCCATGTCTCGACGACAGCCGACCGTGGCACCCTAGCTGGCTATCGGGGAGCTCAAGCTGAACGGCCGCGCTGACGGGGGAGAAACAAGCATATACCAGTAGGCGCGGATCGACGTGGTGGCGCATGGCGTTCGACGGGTGCTCGACCCAATGCACGCCCAGTGCTCTGACAGAGACGGCAAGTTTCCGACGCATTTGTCTGGGGTTTTAAACGTTCTTCACAGACTTGCTACCGGGCTATCAGCACGCCAACACTCCAAAGTTCAACGGCGACGACCCTGTGGACCAAACCCGACCGCTAGTGGCGAGCATTAGCTCGCGAACTGTGAGCCCGCGAGTATGTATTGCGCACATGTGCATGTGCTTGAATAATTGTAATAATTCTTGCGCCAGCTGCGCCCCTCAACTGATCAAAATGGTGCTGTGCTGACAGCACGGGGCTCTAGATATTAGGATCACTCATCATCAAACACCGAAAACGGCGAACGAGTGAGATATTCAACCATTCTGGTGCGTGGCTGTTATCTGTGGGACGACGAAGCCTCATTCACGCCACCAACCCGCCTCTTGGTCGCGAAGTCTCGCCTCAGCTGAAGGCTCTGTGCGGTGCGATGGTCCGAAGCTCAGAGAAAGTTGAATGCAAAAAGGTAGATGGAGCGATTTCTGGAGCAGGCTCGTCTGACTGGCAAATGGTCTCGCAAGGGAGATGGGCGTGGCCCTCGGCGGTGCCGGTTTGAGCTAATGCGGGTGGAAAGATCAGGGCCTGGCCGCGCATCGTCGCTAAATCTAAGCAGTCATGTGGAAAATGTGAGCGTGAACGGCATCACAGAGGCAATGGGTACAATACCCAGCAAATGAGCCAAATCGGGGACTTGTCAAGGTCGCCACTCGGGTGCCACTCAGCTGAGGCCTCATTACCAGTGAGCCGGGATGGTTGGAGCGTTCGAGGGTTTTGAAGGTCGATGGTTGAGGGGTGAGGTCCGTAAGGGGGGTGCAAGAAATCGAAACATTAGTATCCGTACATGCATAGGTACGCATACCAGTAGTAAGTAATCAAGAAGAAGAAAGGCCCAAGCACAAATCTGCTAGAATGCCAGTGGTGCGGTGCACTGGTGATCCTGCAGCGCGACTCACTGTAAAATTAGTTAGCTTGGATCCTTCCAATACCATCTTTCGTCTAACACTTCCGTAAGTAGACTAGCACTGCGGGGCACCGTTCTTGAACGTGAGTGGTCCTGCAACGGGAATGGCGGAATGCACCGCACCTGTCACTCGCCTCGTCTCGCGCTTCTTCTCTTCCCCAGACGGACAGGAGTACTTTTTGCCCTACCAGATCCTCCGCAAGATGTCAGGTACCTTCTAGTCACCTACTCCGTACTCTGTACCACCCCATGCACCCCTCCAATTCTGCTCAGCGCCCCTGCGCCACAATCCTAATATTGGACCACCAAGGCCCTGTAAACACTACTCTTTTCGACCTCGCAAGTCCTTTTGCACCCCCAGATCGAGAATCAACGCCATTGACAACGCCATACCCATCTTACACGTTACGGCGCATGAGCCACCATCTATGTCCTCTCATCTGGTTTTGGTCTGTTCGACCGCTGAGCTTCAAGGCCTCCACAAACCCTGCACCCCTCCCTCCATGTTGAACAGCCTTCCAGAATACAAATATACAACCTCACAGCAAAGCCAGACGCAGGCCAGGGCCGTTGAGTAGCCTGATAATGGCTTGCAATCACCCCGCACTGCGCGCATCAGCCATCAGTGCATCCCAGCTATTTAGACGATCGTCCACTTGGCCGCCTGGTAGCCATTGGTCAGAGCCCGAGAGGCAAAGATCCGCGGCTCAGACCCTCGTCTACCATTTTCATCGTCATTACTCCGTACCCTGAATACAACGGCTCCCATGTCCGTCGGCCTGTCCAAGTCTGTCTTGCCCGCTCGATCAGAGACATTCCACAGCCTGATCCGGCTCGCCCGTCCCTCTTGCTGCCCGTCTAATTTTATCGCTCAGCAGCTGTACCAGAAAAGCCCGTTACGGCCTACAGTCCGGTGCTATTAATACAAATGAGACAGATTGGATTCATCTTTTTTGTGGGCATCGTATCCTTGGACGTCTCTTTGTGCGCTCGACCCGATAATGACAGGTCACACGCTGCTCATGTTGTCCAACAAATGCTGCCAAGGCTTGGGATTCTCTCACAAATTGTGCGCTGGCATGAGCCTCGTATGGCCAGGCTTACCAGCATCCGCGACGCAACCTCCCGCAGGCGCTGGCGACGAACCACTACGGACGCTGCTCTGTGTAAGCAACCATCAGGAATCCCGGGGCCGTCCAAGTGCGCCCACCCAAGCAAAGTCGGTACGCATAGATGCATTACTACACGGTTTATCGGTGGAGCTCTTATCACTGGCTCGTAGCCTTGTTGCTAGGCGCATTTTTTCTCTTACTGCCTCTGGCCGTTCGGCAGTGTTTCACTCGGCAATCAACGTGCTTGATCAGCGCTGTACATTGCCAGAGTAGCCATGATGGCTGCAGACCGCGAGCAATCTGCCATGATTCAGACCACACCAGCCCGGGTCACTTACAAAGTAAATCAGAGTGCCAGCGTGCTTGTTGCAACCGTCTTTACCGATAGAGTTGATGCGCCTGCCACCCCGCTGACGCCATGCTGATTCGTCCGCCGACTCGCCTCCACTCGATGTGCTTGCTGCACAGTTGAACATGTTTGGCCCATGCTAGCCCAAAAGGGCACTAATACGATTGACAGCAGCGAATTGCTTGGAACATGGGGGCGGGCGACGGCTGAAAAGTCAATGTTTGCGTGAGTTCACTGGCGCGTTGCCGGCAGTTGACTTGCAGCATGACTCGAGATTCATCGCCAGCATCGTCCTCTTCTCTCACACAAAAGGCAGACGGAAAATGCCATGCAACTGGGCAAGACGGCCATGGCGCGCCAAACTCGAGACGCCATGGCTGGCTTGTTCCTAACCGTTGGGACTGTGCAAGCCATGGTTGAGCTTATCCGTTGGATGGCGCTGGTGGCTTGCGCAGAGATGGGCTAGCCTGTTGTCTTGCACCGCTGGCGCATTAGAACCCCACGGGGGTGGCAGCAACGGAGTGGTTGCAGGGGGGCCGGGCAATTCGCAGTGCGTGATCAATAGTAATTATCGAAATTGGCCAAAACAATGGGTGTGCAAGGGGCCCGAATGCAACAGACTAATGGCTCAAGTACGCGTATCATACGAGGTGCAGCTTATCGGCCGATATTAGACTTGCCAATGGGAACAACTACCAGTACACAAGGTAATTACAGAGATTACAGAGTCACGCACCCTCGGCTGTGGCACACATCCAAGAATGATTCGCCGTGTTCCATCGGTAGACAAAGGGTACGGTTCAGATGAAGTCGCTCACATGATGGCGTCCATAGTGGCATAACACTGGCAGCCAGTCCAGAGCTTGGGCGGACAATAACGCCACAGGGCGTTTCCAGGTGAGGCGAGCGTACCGCTAGAATGTCGCACCACGGACGCAAGTCATGGGAATGCGACCGGGCTGCCAACACGACATAGGAAAATGGGCCAGGCAGAAACCAGGCAGACTCGTGAGCAAACACTACAGCTTTCCGACGCAGCAGAGCAATGAAAGTTGAGGCATTGGCAAATTCAATGTTAGCTATGACAAAGCGAGCAAGTCGCCAAGACTAAGGGTGAAAAGAAAGGGCGTCGAGAGAATCAACAGTGGCTAGCGGTAGCGTCGCAGCGGGCAGGCTAGGGGTCGCCTTGTCTGCACACCCCTCTGCGATGCGCCCCTCATCAAGCCACCAGCTGGCTGGCTTGATCTTGTGGTAACATTGAGGCTGGAGACAATTCCCAGGAATTTGGATTGGGGAAAATAGGCTCAACGGCGGCGGGTTGCATGAATGACCAATGTGCGTTGCCGGCCGCAGAGCAGCACACTGCCAAGGGCGGAGAGCAAGGCGGGCCAGGAGTGCAAAGGATGCGCAACTACGCCGAAAACTCATGACTCGAGAAAGCAGCCATGACGACGGTGATGGCGAGTGTCATGGCAGCAGAAGAGGCAGCAATGATCTCGGGACGAGCGGTTGCGGCACTTTCCTAGACGGGTGTTGGTCAGTCCACGAATGTCACTGCTCGGCAGCCAAGCTTATTAAGCTGGGCGGTCGGTCGGCAAGGGAAGAGTGTCTCATGAGCAGGGAAGTGGTCCGCCGTCGCAACGAAGAAAATAAAAACCCGCGGTAAATCGTGAAGGATGCAGACGCGCGCGGGTCGGGCACGAGGAACAGTGTCAGCACACTCGTTTGCTGAATAGTCTCCGCAAAGTCCGACAAGGCGAAAAAGGAGAAGATTGGTGTGGCTTGAGATTCGATTGGTCGATGGCGCCAGGGTGAGGTGGGTAGCTGAGCGGACATGGTTTGGATCTGTCGTTGCAATAGCGTCGCTCATGCCGGTGGCAGGAAAGAGCGTGCTTGATTGAGTCAAGCAAGGATGCGCATCATAATCCAACTCGGGATGACCAGCTCGAAATGGTCAACTCGAGGTGAGTTTAGCATGGCAAATTATAAGCACACGAATGGAGAGAAGCAACAAAAAACAAGGGCAACTCAATTTGGGAGGAGTTTTGATTCATACGTCTTGCGTGTGCATCTCAGAGCCTCAGCTCAGTTGCGGATGATTACAGAGACTTGTCTTGGCTATTTGAGGAACAGCCAGGCCGATATTGGACGAACAGTGCGCGAACGGTTGAGAAGGGGGCGCCATGCAGTGAGCACGGTTCTTGTCAGAAGCTTGTTAGATGCGGGAGGCGTTTGAAGTTTGGAACTGGCAACGGGCGGCGCTGGGGAAACCCACATAAAGAGGCGGACATTTCGGTATGTGGGCAAATCGGACCACGACCGGGGCAGACAGGTCGAGAGTGGTATTCTAGAGTCTCAAGTGAGATTCTGGAGTTCCAAAGTGGTATTATTGGAGCAATATCTGGAGTGTGGATGGTAGGCGACGCCGAGCATGCGTTGCGCGTGAGCTCAATTTGGTAAGTCGTAGTTTTTGGGTTGATTGAAAGCGGCAAAAGAAATCACGGAAGAATGCCGAGCTCCTGCTGCAGCAAGAAGTATCAAGCTAGGGTGTTTGCATACGTGACAGAAGAGCGACAGACGTGAGTGAAGACGCTAACGCAAAGTCGGCAGGCCAGACGAGGGAAGCTGGTTAGCTCAGAAGGTCGTCCAATGACTGCGATTGCGATTGCGACGAACAAGAGCTCTCTCTCTCTCTCTCTTGGAGGCTGGCAGTCATCTATTTCTGGGTTGCATTTAATAGTGTTACAGGCAGAATGCGGAGCGACAGGCTGGCTGTCCCACATGGCCGCGTCCCCTGTCAGCTGGGGATGATGACTCCACCAACGTCTGTGGCTTGATTCTTATTCGTCCAACATGGGAAAAAGAATATGCATGGGGTGGTGAGGGAATGATGCAGGAAAGCGGAGAGGAGGCAAGAGGACAAAGAGGATGAAGAAGGGATTCTTTTTCGCGACGGGCGCTGGTTTGACCAAGGAGCTCGCAGAAGAGACGACTGGGTGAGGGGGGCCAAGGGTTGCGTCGTATGATGATGCCATCTGTTTACCAGTAGGGCAAGGCACGCGCACCAGAGCAGCTGCGGCCGGCAGTGTGTGGCAGCAGCACCAGTTGGAACTAGGAAGTCGGTTGTTGGCAGCACGCAAAGAGCAAAGGACTGATGAGCGAACACTCGACAGCGACGGGGAATCCTGCTGGGGGAGCAAGCATATCTGCACCTAACTACGGATTAGTGGAGTGAAGGATGCTAGGAGTCTGGTGCGGTGTGCAAGTACAAAACTGGTTAGCGGCAACATACGAGGCCTTTGGGCAGCCCGTCGGTCAGTATTACGATATCCAAAGACGCAGGATGCTGGTCGCCCCATCTCTCGTTCCCACCGATGCGTTGAATGAATTAAATCAATTGGAGCCCGGATGTTGGTGGTGTTTGTTGGTGCTCTCGGTGGTTGCGCGGGCAGAATCTGCGCCGCACTGGGAATGCTACGGTTGTGCAGCAGCCAGCAGCAGCCAGCAGCAGCCAGCACCTTGTCTCCCCAGTCGCTGGGCAGGGCTGGCCCGTTATCAGCCCCTACCTGGCAACAGCAAGGCTGGATTTGAGGGTATTACCTGCAGCTACGGGAAGTCTGTTTTAAAGTGTGGTGGCTGATGGCTGGATGAGCAGATCGCGTGGGCGTGAGGGCCAAGCGCTCATCAGGGGTCGTGCTGACAGTCGGTGATGGAAAAATGAATGATTTGGGAATTAGCTTGAAAGGGTCAAGCACACATGGGCGTGTCTAAAAGCATCGCTTCTGGACGCGCGGCCGGGTGAAGGATTCAATCACTGGGTTCTGCTCGTGCCATTATCATGTTGCTTGTTGCTTTGAACCGAGTACCGGCCGGGCAAGACGTGAAAATAGACTTGATAATTTAGAGCGGGCGCAAAGGGAACGCAACTTGGCAAGCAAGGTCAACTTTTTTGGCGAAACCTTATCATGGGCGGATCCGCGGGCAGGCAACTCCATTCGGAGGGTCGCCGGAGACTATTGCTGGGGTTTTGACGATCCATTTTAGTTGGAAATGAGTCAGGAATTTTGGTGAGGAGGGGGGGCAAGAACGTCATTGAAGAGAAAGAAATTGAGAGGGTATTTGTGGTGAGGATGACTTGCAAGACGTGATGCTGTTTCTTTTACCTGATGATATCTCGGTACATACGTTGGACGATGCGTCTGTTGGTGTGTGTGTTGTTCGGCTCAAGCCATATCTGTGCCTCTCCACCAGACAATGGAGGGGCATGGATGTGGCTAAGACGCCATGTTCTTTGTTCAAGCCCAAGAAAAGCTATTATGGAGAGAAACACGTTGATAACGAGTACCAATAGATGAGGGAAGTGGGAGGCTGGGACGAGGTGAATGTACATGCATGTGCTTGTCCGAGGTATCGAATATCGGAGCCGGTAAAAGCTGGAGATGAGGCAAGAGATGTTGCCTGCCCGCGGCCCTTTTTTGAACAGAAAAAAAAATTGTCCTTCTTTTATTAATCTGGTTATTTTTGACAAGGTCCCCTCCCCTCGTCTCCTCTGTCTGGCCCGGTGGTGCCGGGCCGGGGCATCCATGTGTGTGGTGGGTTGAGGATCCGCGCGAATCTGGATACGTATTTTTTTTTCCTTTTTTTTTTGAACTATTCTTTGAATAGAAAATGCACCTTCTTTATTAAATTCTGTCATCAATAATTGTCCGTCATATGGGACCTAGACTGCGAGGATGGGGTGGGTTCACGAGGATGAAAGGGCCAGACCCCTGAGCGGTGACGAGCACTTACTTCCTTTTTGCTTTGCTGGTGGCAATCTGACGGAAAATTACAATGAGAAGATTGCATGCAAGAGGAACTGGTAATTGCAGGAGAATACGGAGTAGCGACCATCCACCCTGCTTCGTCCCTGTTTACCCACGACGAGGCTCTCAGATGCTGGGCCAGATATAGGGAGCACGCCCCTCCCAATACAGCGCAGAGCCCTGTAAGCCTGCCAGTTCCTCCCTACTAATAATAACAGCTACAGGCTCCAGGGTCCCAGGTTTCTTGTTTGATCTTTTGCACTTTTTTTTCTTTTGTTTTTCTTTTTGCATCCATACTCCGTAGTTGCTTGGTCGTGCTTGATTCTTACTTTTAACTTTAGTCCATGTTGGCCCTCAAAAGAAGCAATAAACGGCGTCTCTGGCTGAGTGTCCCGAGCCGAGCCGAGCCAACCAGCACGTTTTTCTCGCCCCCCCTAGCTCATCTTTATTTTCTTTTCCTCGACTGTTTTGCATCAATGATGATTCATCCTATTCGTGCTGAATTCTTATTTGTAACCAAAAGAAAAAAACAAAAAAGCACCAGTATTGCCAATAATGCTTGTTAGTCCCAGCTGGTTCGCAGCGAAAAGTCCGGCTGGCACTAGTCCATCCTCTCCACCTCTCCCGCTTGACATTCCTCACCCACACCACCCTTTTTTCTACGCCATCACACACCATCTTTTTTTCATCATCACACACCATCTGGACCAAATGATACACGCCTCCCCAGCTCCTTTGTCGCACACCTCTCTCGACCTCGCAGTTCTCCCGAAAGCTACCACACCACCCATCCCATCATTACGCCCAACACGACCCAAAATGCCCGACTCGACTTTGTCTACTCCCACCCCCCTCCCCTTCCCCCTCCCCTCTTCCCCCAGAGACAAGAAGAAAAAAAAAAAGAAAGGGTAAAAAAAAGAGGACAATTGACAAGTGGATTCTATGCTCCTTTGCGTTTGTTGGACTCGCTTCAGCTGCATGGCACACGCCGGGGTACGGCTTCTTCATCCTCTCTGGTGCTCCTCGTTGACTACTTAGTCTCCCCACTTCGCACTTCCCTTCTCTCCTCCGCGACATCATCAGAGCACGAGACTTTGTTTCTTACCAATTCTTCAGTCTACTTGTGACGCTAAATACACATATATATTCTCCCCGATACCCCCGTCTGTTACACCCGAGCCAGCCTCATCAACAGCCACCTGGGTCTCGACGACAGCAAAACACCATCGCCACCACCATCGCCAACATATCAACATCACCATCAGTCACCCAAGCCAATCTCAAACCCTACGCCGTCCTGCTTTCGCCCATCACGCCTTCTCGGCTGTCGATTGCCGGCGCCTCCTTCTCTCCTCGAACGCCATCTTACAAGCCATATTCATTATATTCATTATATTCATTATATTCCCGCCACAGACAGTGCACCAGAAATGGAAACCATCACCAGCTTCTCCCAAAGACGCCCGGCCGCCGGCTCGCTGCCTGCCTTTTCTCTACCACCTCCCAACGCCGAGATTCCAAGTGAGTGCCTCTTGCCACATATGCCCAGCCTCATCTTCCATTGTTGCGTTTGCGCGCGACGCCATGAAAGCCTCTCTCTCCCTTCCCACTGCATCTAGATTTTAAATTCTAGACGCCGCAAAAGTTTGACGTTAGCATTTTTCAATAAGCATGCCCAAAGAAGAGCGGACAAGGGGTTATTATTGAGATTGCGAGCCCTATAAAGGAGATTGGTTTCCCAGAACAAGATTGGTTTCCCAGATCAAAACTGACATTCCATCAACTTCGAACAGGAACAACTGACGGCCTCAGCCCAAGCCTATCTTCAGTACACACCGGCGGTTCCCAAGCCTCGCAGCAACATTCCACAATGTCCGATTACACCTTCAACCCCATGCAGGGCGGCGCCAGCTCCTGGAACAGCAATGCCAGCTATGCCCAGCAGCCTCAGCAGCCCCAGCAGCATCACCAACCTCAGCCTCAGCAGCCTCACCACTCCCAGCAACCTCACCATGCCCAGCAGCACCCAGGTCTGCCTACTGGCCAGCGCCCTCTCCCTTCCTTCTCTAGCCGACCCTCCGTCTACGCCCAACCCAACATGAACTTCCGCGGGTCCTCGCAGTCGCCTGCCACCGGCCCCGATGGCCTCTCGACCTCGCCCTTTGATCACAGCCAGCAGCAATACGCCGCTCACGATGCTCACGCCATGGCCACCGCCGCGCCTCAGCACCAGGGCATTCTCACCACGTCGCAGTCTCCCGCTCATTCTTCCCTCGCGCCTCACAACGAAGCCTATGCTCACACTCAGGCTCACGCCGCTCACACGCGCCCCGGCAGCAACCCCAACTACTATGGCACCTCGGCGCAATCGCAGTTGCAGTATTCCCCCACTCAGCACTCGCCCACGCATTCTTCTCCCAGCACCGGCAGCCCTGGCTCCCGCAGTCTCGGACCCGTCGCCAGCAACATGAACTACAACTCCCGCTACAACACCTACGCACTTCCGACCATGAACGGTACCGTCATGTCCAACATGCACCAGCCCGGCAGCCAAATGTCCATGATTCCCGGCATGAACCACCATCAAAGCTACGGCGGCCAGATGATGTATGGCGGTCACCACCCGGCCCCTCAGCCTCAGTGTGAGCGACCCTTCAAGTGCGACCAATGCATCCAGTCTTTCAGCCGCAACCACGACCTCAAGCGTCACAAGCGCATCCATCTGGCCGTCAAGCCCTTTCCCTGCAACTTTTGCAGCAAGAGCTTTTCTCGCAAAGATGCTCTCAAGGTACGTTAGTCTTCTTTCAAACCCAATCACACGTATGCCTAGTCGCTGCGCCCAAGCTAGCTAGTGCAAGCCTCGGCCTCTAGTACAAGCAAGCCTCAAAACAACGAGAGCCGATCGGCAGCCACACCTTAAAAAAACAAACTTTAAACACTCAGTATAACTAGCCCACGCTAATACCTTCTTTCACAGAGACACCGTCTGGTCAAGGGCTGCGAGAACAAGGCCGGTGAGGCGTCGGGCTCTTCACCTCGTCGTCAAGGCGATCGCGAGCGCTCTTAGGTGTGTCTTCTATAAGACCACCAAACAGTCGTCGGACTGAGACACTTGGCCCCGCCAACTTTTGCTAGCCAGTGTGCGTGTTCAGGCTCGAGCTGCCCTGTCTCTGAGTCAGGGCGGCCCGCAGCCGACATGTAGAGGCACAGAGTGGGTTAATGTACTGCATTGGGTTTGTCCAGCGTTCCGTTTCAAATTTTTCTGGGTTGGCCTCGGCCTCATTCTTTCTTTGGTTATGCTCTTTTATTGGCCCTGGTGGATTCCCTCTTGTGCTTTGGATCTTGGTACTTTGGTTTTTCTTGATTGTTCGTCTTGACTTTGATTGTTTCAAGGTTAGCCGCCTTGTTTGAATTTTGTATCGATTTCATAATGAACCGAGCCGCACGACGGCGACAGACTTGTTGGGTTGGATTTCGGTCGGAGTTGGGGATTATGGGCATGATCAAAGATGGGACATGCGGCTACGGCTTTGATTTTAGACTTGTTTCTCTTGTCTCGTTTCTATCGTTTCTCGGTATTACTTGTAGGCTACATGTAATATACTGTACCACGTTATTCTGAGGCTGTCAGTGAGTGTTGTCCTTTGATGGCACACGAATAGTGCCCGTGTAGTCAAAGGTGTAGGTGTGTAATTGATGTAGACTTGGCTCGTGCCTACCTTATTTAAGTGAATAAACTTTAGACTATGAATGGAGGCAGCTTAAGAGATATGGGTTGATTATTGTAGAGCTACAATCAGTGGGGGTGTCCAACGTAGGTTCAATGTAGATTTCAAGTAGGTGCCCATATAGTCCAATGTATGACGGCTACTTGTGACCAAACCTAGAAGTAACCACGTACACGATGGTGTCTTGTGACATGTTGGACAGCCTAGTATTGGACCCTGTTTCGTGCTAGATGGTTGCGCGCGCTTTCCGCGCCAACAAAGCTATTTACCTATTTACCGGAGTGGCGTAGCACTGGGCTTTTTGGGATGATGGGAGAAGAGGGGGGGGGGGGACAAGGCAATCAATGTCTCGGCGGGGCTGGAGATAACAAGTGTGACGGGGGGTGCGGACGGGGGACAAGAAAAGATGAGACGAAGATTTATTAGTGTGAATTTAGAGAGATCTTTGCGGCAAAAGTTTAAAAAAGTAGTAAGTGCGTGGTGGCTAGTGGTGATTTTAAGATCTATGCTTGTATTTTGGTCTATTTCATCTTCTAATTTTTTGCGTCTTTTTTTTTCCTTTATTTATTGGATCTAGATTTCTCGGGGCTGTGCAGAAATATTATGACGAAAAACTTGCTCATTCGGCCCGTAGATGAATAGAATATTGGCTAGTATTAGTTCTTTGGCTGATGACTACCTAAAGAGAAGTTGAAGCGAAAGACGTCATTGTGCACTAAATAGGGTGGCTCGCTGATCTGGTACAATTTGTTCCATCCCGTAACTAAGTAAGCGGATAAAGTAAAGAAAAGGATAATGGCTTGTTTTCCCGAATCTCCGAAAACCTTGTGTTTATATATGGTAACAGTTTCCGCTCGGTAAAAACGAGGAAAAGTGAAGAGGAGATGTACGTCATTGGCGCTGCTTTCTGCAACCACTTGTGATTATGAGAGAATCTTGACCCTTCATCTATTTACAGGTTCTTGAGATGTTTGGTCACCGTACAGTAGATTTCTTTCAGACGTTTTTGCAAAAGTGAATGTGTCTACGCACAGTCGTATTTTTTGCTTTCCAAAACTCAAGGGGGGCTCGATGTACAGATGGAGTAAAAGTGTTGTTATTTTTGGGCACAACTACGAATAACCAGACAGAGTGCCTACTGGTAGGTCATAATTAATGAGAGACCCGGTGATTGAAGGGGCCGAGCATGCATGCACAGCGAAAGGATAGACACGAAGAGACAAAGGAAGAAGAAGGATGGGGGGGTGCGCAGTCTCGTGTTAGCGGGAAGGATGTCAACTTGGCGTGATACCGCCGCGACATTCTTTCCGTATTTATGCTGTGCGCCAAATCCTCCTGTTTTTTTAATTCTGCAGTGTTCTTTTTGCTGATGTTTCACCTTTCCAAGTAATTTTGATCCTTGGTTTTTTTTTTTTTTTTGTTTCAAAAAGGAAAAGGAAACCGCAGACTGTGTCGGGTTGCAGAACTTCGGTGTCGGGAGCACCGAGTTTCTCGGGTTGTTGGGCGTCAATGACACCGAGGCTCCCGCAACGTGCGCAAGCAATAATGAGCCAGGGGGGGGGAGGGTGGTTTGAACGAAAAAAGCAATTAATATTCAAAGAAAAAAAAGAAAATGTCCACATTTGCAGCTGCAAATCCTCAGGGGGGCAAAGGGGGGCCTACATGTGGATGCTGCTGAAAGTTATGGTGTCTTGTTAATTTATATCCCAGAACCAAAACGCAGACGACCGGGGCGGAGGATCTAGCGGAGCCGAGAAAAATGTGAATATTGAAGCATTTCGGCGAATATGGCAAGGAAACGACAATCTAAAAAGAGGGGATGAGACGGGAAGAAGGTGTGATGAGACGAAAAAAGGAGGAAATTGATGAGAGCTGAAAAAAAAAAATTGTGAGAGTGCGGGTGAGAAACCGGTGCCGGATGAGGGCACCACAAAGAAAGAAAAAAAAAACTGGTCCACAACGGGTACTGGTAATAAGTTATAACAGAGAGGGGGAGGGGGATGATGTGCAGCGTTGGCATACGTAGTATCAATGTAACGCTACAACGGGGAGAAGTGAACAGGGATCCGGGGTTGGATTGCAGAAAGACTGACGGAGTGAAGGAGAAAAAAAAGCAATTACTGAACAAGGAAAGAAATGAAGACTGTTTGAGACAGACCCGTGTCTCTCTGAATGGGAGATGAGATGTGATTTCGCAGAATAAACGACGACGTTTTGAAAGAAAAAAAACGGCGTGAAATGTTGGTGTACGAGCGGCGTTTTCTCCTACTTCAGAAAATACAATTTCCTCTTTACTCCGGGTGTATTATTTTTTTTCTCCAAAAAAAAAATAGTGCAATCGTTTTCGTCAATGTCAACTTATATAAACTGTTCGTGTAGCTCAGCCACAAAAGGGGGCATGTATCACACACCATCTTCAAGCCACGTAATCAGTTGTACCTGGATCTCGTAAAACCGATTTGCCGTTCCAGAAAAATACCAAAAGGAGGAAATAGAGGAGAAAAAAAGGTTCAGTGGCTGGGAATTTGTACCTGGCAGAGGAAAAAGAGTTCTTTTTTTAGCGTCGGGGCTGCGGGGGACGGTCAAGAATTGTCATTGGTGGTTCGAATTCGTAGAGGCAGTTTGAATGGCATGAATTGCGACTGAACAGAAGCGCTGGATAATTCATTCATTGTGTAAGGAGCGCTAATCAGATGTGAATCGAGTTTCCGCGAGATCAAATCAGTCCTGATAGCTCAGTGACGTGGTCCATCTCGGCCATTCCCAAACGGTCGCAATCGCCATCAAGCAGCCCTCTCACCTGTTCCCGATCAACGGCCAACCTCTTTTGTGAGATGTGTAGCTTTGACCGATCTGCTTTCTTTTAACTCGAGACTCACCATCAGTTCTCTTTAATTTGACTCCCCTATTTTACTTGTATACTCGACGCCACGTGAGTGACGCCCGTCCCGCAGATGGTGTCCGCCACATACGTGGCCATCTCCATCCATCAGATGGGTCATGTATACAGCGACCACAATGCTAGTTGTCTAGATTGAATTCTGGCGTCTCGACTTAAATACCATTGGATTTGTGTGGGAGGCTGCGGCCACCGTTTGTCGTTTGTCGCTCGGCAGTGGTGGCATGATAGCCACCAGTGAGCAGGCGTCACTCGGTCGGCAAACCGCGCATTTAATACCCAATGGCTATGAAATACTTTATAAAACTGAGGACAGCTTCAGGGACTGACTTGCGCGTCGTTTTGCGAGTGTCGATGGCAGAATTGATAAGCAATTGACGAGATGCAAAGTTGGACAGAGAAGCATTCGCCAGGCCATGTCGGCGTGAATGTCGCGGCGGCAATACCGGCAATGGCAGCGAGTTGCCCGGATCCACAAGGAATTCCACAGAATTCGTAAAAAAGGCGTCTGAACTTTGCATTACAAAGAATAAATAGGGCTTTTTTTTGTACGGGGTTGCCCGCAGGCCGATCGGTGGCACGACCGCAACGGGTGTAAGTCAATCGTCTCCTCCTAGCCCATGTCTTTGACTGAAAAAAACAAAATACACCTGGCAAAAGCAAAGAGTCGTCTCTCATCATTGTGAAATCTCATCTCCTGCCGTCCTTTTTGTGTCGCATTTGTCCCGTTGATTTGTGGCCTGATGAATGAATGATTTCGGCCATTACACACACCCCAGCGCTGCTAACCTAGACACACGATCCGCAAGCGCCCTCAGAAGCGCGCCCTCAGATTGGCGAATGTCCACCTAAACTCACACATTTGATCTTTTGAACACGCCAGTGGCCTTGACCCATACATCTGGAAAAGCCATGGGTTATCTGGAAGGGGCATCTAGCGTCATGAAGATGGGTTTGTGTTGAAGCCGTCGTCTGGCAACGGGCAACGTCGAAGCGCCACCTACCCAGAGTATCATCAACAGGGAAAAAACGATCGTGTATGTCAGAGACAGCCCAGAGCAGGTCGAGAGGAATCAAGCCAAGAACCAATGTATATAGACTGTAAATCTGGTTCGACAACAGCACCGTCAATCCATTGACCGCAGGACTCACACAGGGCACGCTGATGGCTTGTTTCCCGGCTTCATGAGTGGCAAAAAGCCGTATTACAATAAGAGCAGATTCAGCCAGAGTGATAGGGACAGAGAGGTATACGAATGGCGGACATTATGCAAGACGCTGTCCGTGCTCGCCATCACATCACCATCTTCAGCAATTGCACAAGTACTTTAACTTTATAATGGCAATAATATAATCATCATCAAGCCCTAAAACTACCGCTTGCGCCATGCCATATCCCAAAACAAAGCACCTTGTACGACCATTCCAATACCATAATCACTATTCGACCTTTTAATGCTCCATCATGCCGCCGTAGCGACCAACCGCCAGACTGCCCAGAAACACGCCGCCGAGGACCGACATGAAGTAGCCGACATTCATCGTCATGACCGCCAACATCCTACACACAACCATTAGTATCCCAACACTCTCTGATCGGGCATAGCCGGACCAGTTACTTACAAGAGATAGCCCACTCCCACAATCGTAGTGTCGAGCAGCGCGCGGACAGGATCGACGCTGAAGCGCCAGGGCCTCGCCGTCGCCGCTTCCTTCCTGGCCACCACCACAACCGACTCCTCAACGCCATTCGCCGAGAGCACCATGGTCTTGGCCTCCGGGTCGTGCACAACCGCCTCGGCGAGCGGCACCCTACCGCGGGCTGTCACGTAGCGGCGGTGCGCATCACGGTCTGCCCATCGCGCCTCCTGCGTTGCGCGCAGCGCAACGAGCAGTCGCGCCACCACGGACAGCACAATGAGGAAGATGCAAGTTCCGGCGTAGGCGCCTGAGCTGCGCGGCGTCCAGCCGTCGGAGAATAAAGGCGTTGCTGTCTTCGTCTGGAAGACCATGGCCATCATGTGGCTCATGGCCCCGTTGCTACCGCTATCGCTGCCGGAGCCCATGTCCATGGAGCCGGAGCCCATGTCGTGGCCGGCGTGGCGGGGAAGAGCATTCATGGTGTATTATTGTGCGAGGTTGATTGTATGAGAGAGAGAGAGAGAGAGAGAGATTGCGAGGTCAGCCTCGAGGTGTCGATTCGAATATATTGTCCGGCTGGAAATCCGTTTCGCGAGAATATGCGCAAGTTTATAAAGCACGTCGAAACAAGTAGTGTTGTGCTAGTTCTTCTATCGAACGAGGGCGGCCGTCCTTTTGCGCAATCACTTTTCTTCCTTTGTTTCCGGCAGACAAAGAATATGTAAAAAAAATCTGGTAGAGGATTTGCAGGAAACAGAAAAGCAAACTGTCCGCGCTCAATGAGCAGCCACAAAAACACTATTGCCCTTTGCCCCCCCCCGAATATGCACGGGTGTTGCTGCCGTCTTCGGATTCCCGAGAAGCCGCAAGCGAACAGTGCTGCTAACAGAGATGGGCGGGTGGTTTGGTGAGTGGGTGTTAGGGGAGCGAGCTGAGCTTGGCGGAGAGGGGGGCGGAGAGGGCAGGTACCGGTACGTAAGTTTTTTTTCTCCTCTCCTGAGATTGCCAAAGTTGAGTGGCTTTTTGTACAGGATTACACACTTGTGGTTGCTAATTTGTGTGTTGATATCGAACAGAAACCTGATATAAAAAAAAATACTGAACAAGACTGACACTGTGCGACAGGGCAATGATGAGCCATCAATCGATACTGGCCATTTCTGAAAGATACTACTGAATTCTATGCACATATTATCACATCGTCATTCACGCTTTTGCTCTCTGCTTTCAACTAACACGTCCGACCACAAGTACCGGTACATGCGACGCCACTGCATGCAGAAAACCTTCTCAAACATGCTCGCGCTAATGAGCCTGCCCAGCCAGCCCGCGACCAGCCGCAGCACCGCCACATCACCAGCCACATCACCAGCCTCACTCACCTACGAGATTTTCGACCTTGACGGGTGAGTGAATTTGTTCATGCGTTATGCCAGCACCAATAAACTGACTGCTTTGCTTGAATATCGGTTTATTTGATGCGCTACAGATGACTAATTTTGACACTCGTCTGATCGGCATATGCCAGCCAGATCATTTGCGCGGCGGTGGACGCCTCTTGTACGCTGCGCGGTTTTAGAGGAACAACTTGCCGTTTCCGAGTTTATGCCATGGTGTATCATCGTAGGCCAGTTGCCATCCTGTGCTGTATTTATCTCGTACATCATTTTCTAGTTCACGATTCATACATAAATGCCATTTCCACCGCGCCTCCTCAGCCCACTCACGACCTCTCACAACACATAATTCCCTCTCGCCCATCGACAAACACCCACACTGGAAGACATCATGAACTCCCTCCCCTTCGGCGTGCCATGACATTCACTTCACTTCCTCCTGGTTCCTTTCTCCTCGGCCTCATTTACATGTCATGACACGTCGCTCAGCCCTACAGCCAAAGCGGCGCAACGCTTCCCCAATCAGGTTAAAGACGGGCAGACACGGAAACGTTGCCTGATTTGGGGAACCCCCCCCAGATTTCTTTTTTTTTACAGATGTCCCGTCGCCCGTCTAAACTACTCTTGGCGGCGCACGCACGACGCAGGGCCGCCCGCCATTCATCGTCTGAGACGTCGACGAATAGAGTAAGATGCGCCAGCGTGAATCAACCTTGCCGTTTCTGGGTGCGCGTGCAGGTCGCATAGCGGCATCTCTCGCTGTCGTGCAGCGATAGATTGATGCCAAGATTTTACCTTAATTCGTCACTACCCGATTCGCACAGACTTAGCACCCATCATCTATAATAGTCGGCACTTGACAATTCATCGTGATGCATTTCATTCAGTATACACAGCTGATCCCGTACCAAGGTGCCAGCTCGTTTCGATATCGGGTCTTAGGAAACGACTCAAGCATGTTCCAAACACTAGTCTGGGCTGTTGCCTGTGGCATGGAAGCATGAAGCAGATCCATGCGGTTGTCCTCTTTTTTTTTTTCAATGCTCTTGTGGCTTTTTGTTCTCTTTGCACATTCAAAGCACAATCCGTAGCCAGACAAAAGAAAGCGAATGCAGCCAGCCGCGACAGCAGCCAGCAAGTTAAATGACCAAAATAGCACATCAAGACTGCATCAACGCCAAAGGAAAGATAGAAGAAGTAAATATCACCCAAGTCCCGCGCAATATAACCCATGTCCGCCATTAGAGATCTTGGCCCGTTTCATCCTAAGCAAGTTTTGTCAAGCAATGTTACCGTCATACGCCAACCTCAAGACTGGTGGTGGCTGCTGGGAGCCATGCCAGGCTGCGGAGGCATGCCCGATCCGTATGCCTGGTTGCGCTGGACGTAATTTTGGTAGGCCATAGCTTGTTGAGCCTCGAGGGGCATGTTGGGCATGTAGTTACCTGGTGGCATGTGAGGGTTTTGGGGCATGCCTGGGCGGCTGGTAGGAGGAGGTATGTGGGATCCAGACTCCTCGGGCGAGTCGCCGCCTTCTGGGCCGTCGACGCCGTTTTCGCCGCCAGCTGCGGGTTCGGGGGCGTTGAGGCAGGCCTGGAGAAGCATGTCAGCGGCATATTTTGGATGAATTAAAAAAGGAGCAACGTTTGACGCGCCGAGCGACGCGTCGTTGCCATGTCGCAGGGCATGCGAAATGAAAGCAAATGCGTAGAGGTGCGTACCTGAATGAGGTTCTTGCCCTCAGCCTTGGTGACGAGAGGCTGGAGCTTGGGGGTTGTAAAGGTGTATACGAGGCCAGTTTCGGAGACGACGAGTAGCAGAACTTGGGTGCCCGTCAGGACAGACAGCTCGTAAGCCTGAAGTTCGGTCAGTCAGCAGGAGAAAATGGGACAAGGGGCGGCAGCGAGGCGGCAAGGCAGCGGAAGCGAGAGAGGCGATGACGGGTGGCGCAAAAAGCAAAACCTTTATCAGAGGTCTTCGTCGCGGTCGTGAAAGACCAAGTGATGTGGAAGATGAGGCAGAGAGGGGGTCGAGGCGTGACGGACCTTTTTCATGATGCCAGCCTTGCGCTTGGAAAAGGTAATGTGGCGGCGAGACTTGTCCGAGATGAATTTTATTTCAATCTTGCGGCGCTCACGGCCACCCTTTTCGTCGTCGTCATCGTCGTCGTCGGCCGGGGTAGGACGCTGTCGCTTGACGCCGCGAGACTCGGCGGCGGCGGTGCCGTTGCCGACCGAGTTTGCGTCGTCAATGTCCTGAGGGGACGTCTGGTCGTGCTGGTCGGTGATGTCGGCCATGGCTGGGGGCGGGCGGCTGCGGCGGCGCGGCGGCGGGTGTGGATGGGGTTTAGGATAATAAAATACAAACGTGGACGGTCGAGGCGCAAGTCAAAGAAGAAAGCCGTTGTATCACGTTGAAGTGTACTGCTGGATAAGGAAACAAGTGGTGGAGATGCTGTTTTGAGCGTGGTGCCGATGGATCTATACTGGATCTGGCGTTGAGCGGAGGAGCGTGGGAGCGTGGGAGGGAGGGAGCAAGGCCGTGTGTCGCAGAGAAACAAACCAGGTTTGGATTGGGAAAAAGGTTGGGGGTTAATTTTGATGCGGATGGGCAGGAGCAGGTGGGCGGGCAGGTCTTTCTGTATTCAGTCTGGTGTGGTCAGTCGTCAGTGGGCAATGGGCATTGGCATCAAGCATGTAGGCAGGCAGGCAGGCAGGCAGACAGGCAGGCAAGCAAGTAACGAGTCGTTTGGTGAGGGGGGACGATACGGGGACAAGGGCAGTCCATACTATTCCAAGGAAAGCAACAAGTTATATGGCATAACTTGTTATGGCTGTGATGAGCGGAGAAGGTTGTGCGGTATGGCATGCAGATGCAGTTGTCGGGGCGCTTGTCCGGGGACTCCGCCGTGTGTGGTGGGTTGTGGTGGTGGCTCTGGTGGGTGGTGTACAGTGCAGTACGTACAGTGCGAACTATCTATTGTCAGCTCTTTTATTTTATTCCTCATGTTTTTATTCCATGTTGTATGACCTGGCTTTGACTCCTGTCACCTGTGTGCTAGCGATTCATTCACTGAAACTTACTTGCACTGCATCATTTCTCTGCATCATTGGCAGCGCCAACTTGACCGAATGGCAAGCCTGCAAACGGCCATGATTTTTGAACGCGTCTTGCTGACTCTTGATCAGCATGAGCGTGAGCGTGAAGCACGGTACATAGGACATACAGTACGCCTGCGGCCCTGCGCCATGCCACATGTGGATACCGCTACTGCAGCCAACCAGCCAGCTCGCTCAGCCAAACGGTCCACCGGTCCAAACCAAGCTTAGCTAGCGTCCTTTTTCTCCTCTCATCAGTCCCACGATCCACCCATAACTAATGCTCCCTGCTGGCTCTTGCCCCTTCTTCGACGCCCTACAAACCCCAACGCCCAAGCCCCCCCAAACAAGAAACGCTTTCGGCTGCCATCCGACTGCCGACCAGCCCCTAATGAACCCTCAGCAGCATTACCAATCGCTCGAAGTATCTTGCTACATATTCTTCACCAAATAGTACCACCACGATCATCCAGTCTCCCACTTGCGTTTCGTCGCCTCGCACACGTTTGCCTCAAATCAGCCTCCGTGTCAAATTCTTCAATTCAACATGACCATCTATGCCTAGTCTACCCTCCTCTCTTTTCAGCCTCGACCATGACACAATTCACTCCGACGATTCACTCCGAAGTCCCCCTCCACGCCGAACCACATTCCCATGCTCCGTAATGCTTACGCAGTTATAAAAATCACCTGTATCCGTATAAGCACCCGCGACTCGGCCAATCTGCCTCGTCTTTAGGTACCTCCAGCCGCTTCAGGTGGGCTTCTCCCTTGCCTTGCCCCTCATCCGTTTTTCAACTTGCTCACCCCTGGCCTACTTACTGGTGCCCTGCCTGCCTCTGCGCGCGACTTCAGCCTGTTTTTCGCATCCGTCACTTGCAGCACTAACAACAGAAAGCAGACTCATCCGCTGACATTTGACTCGCTTGAGACACCATATCCTCAACAGTGCCAGCAAAGCTGCCAAAGCACAAACAGGCACAACGACAACAATTGATTGAGACATTTCAGTTAGTTTCCCTGCTAGCCCACGGCAGCCCCAGTCATTCAGTTCCACAGCTGAGGCTGGGCTAGTGCCAATGGCACGCTACAGACAGGACAGGGTGCAACCTTTGCAGCCACGATGCCATGTTACCATGATTGCCATGCCATGCTGCCATGTAGAAAGACCAGCTGGCCACGGTCTCGTCCGTGGCCGTCAATGTCTAGGTTCTCCATGACCTCGGCCCGCCAATGCGAACAATAGCCCAGAAGCACATTTGTGTTTGACCCAGATACGCCGCCAACATCAGTGTCTGTCTCACCTCTTGACCATCACGGCTAGCCACTGATCAGCATCGCCATTATTCATGTCCACACCTGACCACCATGCACCCGAGGAAGTCTACTACTAACTCGCTGCCTCCGCCTATTTACCTAGGGTTGCGGTGGTGTGCCATGGTCGCTGGCTGACGATGGCGCCTACAGCTGCAGCTTTGGTGGTTGGCCAGACCCCGGCTGGGGCGCGACCTTGATTGCCAACGAGATCACGCCCACGTCTCACTGGCCTGATTTTTGGCCTGTCTGCCCTGCCCACTGACCCTTCTGGCACTGTGCGGTTTTGAGGACTAGCGGCCTGCCTATTCCTTCATTTGGACCGCAGGTACATGATTATTGGGCGACGAGTTAGCCCGCTCGCCCAAAGAGCAGTAGTTTGTGTGCCACCAGAATCCGCCCGTGGCGATGGCTCCTGCAAGCGACTCGGTCGTGCTACCATGCGGGCGCAGAATCGGCATTACTCGCGTGTTGGCGACAATCTAGTTCATCATGTCTTTGCCTGCTGATAGCCGAATCCGCGGGGGCGAGCCTGTTCAAGAGCCGACTTGACTATGCAAAAGAAACATGCACTGTGCACATTGTACATGTTTGGATGACCAAGCTGGACAAGCTGGTGTGCCACGAGTACAAGTATGACGGACCCGCGTCTAGCTTGGGCGCAAGTGCGCGGCGGGTGTAAGCAAGACGTGTCTAAATAGATGTTTGATGGCAGTGCGGGTTACAGGCTCAGCACAGGACGGATCGCACGGGGGAGATCAGGCTGAGTGAATGGGTGGTCAGACGTCGGACGGGGAGAGTGCCAAGGTGGCATGATGACAGAGGAAGGGCAAATCTCGATTGCTGGTGGGCGGTGCAGATGGTCACGACACGCGTTGATTTGGCCCTTGAATGGTAAGAAAGGGGAGCATGGTTCAAGATGAGCACGACCACGCCAATCTGTCTGCAACAAGATCCGGGGCCTTGAGTACAGATTGTCACTCACGATTTGACGTCGACGATGCACACGGCACATGGGACAGGCATCATCAAGACAAGCAAGGTTGCCATTCAAGTGACAAGGCATCAGGCGCACCCGTACCAAGTTGCAACGCAGTGCAGGTTGACGCTGGGTAATGGCAGGGATCGGAAGTTTTTTTTTTGGCGGTGGTTCGTCGGCAGTCCAGTGGATAACGAGCTAATAAGACGAGAGGAACTACTGATAAGATGACGGCGGAGCGTTTAGGAAATGGCGCTCTGCAGATATGCGAGCTTGCGAGGCAACGAGGTTCCAGAACGCGGCCAAAAAGGCGGGCACAGGAACAAGGTCGGGATAATACAGGTTGTTGCCCAACCAGGTTTCCAGGCTCCTGATACATGTCTTGCATGCACATGGATGCAGGATACAAAACCCTCTGGAACATTGAAAAGAAGAGTCTTTTTTTTTTTTTCGTGTGATATCACCTGCAATTTGCGGCTTACCAGACAAGGGCTGGCCGGAGGAGCGAGGCGAGCGGCCATGATTGGACTGGCTTTGTGGGAGCAAAAACAGCCCACGCCAGCAACCTGGTGGCCACTTGTTGGAATCAGAGTGTATGATTTGAAATGAAGTTTGTATTAGTTACGACTATGATCTGGTAAATCAGCTTACTGGTAGCCTCTCATGTAGAGTGCTATTCAGAGGCTACATTTGCACAGTGCGGACAAGTCTCGCTCTCTGCTCGCAGTCCCACCACCACCGTCCCAGTAGGTAGCAGCCAGCCAGCAAGCAGCATGCCAGTTGGAATTATTCGTACAGCTCCCTCCCTCGAATCATCTTCTGGCACGCGAGAAATGCGCTCTATCCTAGTTGTCATCTCGGCTTGCACTTTTGCCATGACTTATTCTCTGTAGCCGTGGTCTTGCGCTAAACGCGCAATAGTTATGCCCGCCATACCAGTACAGTATGTGTAGCCGGAGGTGACGCGTCTTGCGATCTGGAACATGAACCTGCAGTCCACTCTCGCAAGCGGCTCTGTCAGGGCTTAGTTTTTTTTTTTTCCTTTTTTCCCCAATGATGCAGAAATTTTGTGCTTTTCTTTTGTTTAATTATTCTCATTTTTTCTTTCTTCTTTTGGTGTCTTCCTTGGAGTCGTCTTGACCCCCCCCCCAAGCTAGCAGCCGTGGGTCTCACACATCAGGGTCCAAGGACGATTTTTTTTTTCCGAATCGTGATCTCGCGATAACACATGGCGTTGCTGGAAATAATTTCGACGCGGCAACTTTGCGGAACAGGTATTAAATAGAACCCCCCTTTCGTCGAGTCCAGCACCGCTTCCCCCCCTCCGCGGCGCTGTGGTTGGTCGGCCCACCCCTCTGACGCCTCACAACGGCGCTCCTGAAACGCAACCTCTGACAACGTTTGCACCGCCGTCCACACGGCGCAGAGAGAAGAAAGGGAAAATGGTATAGAGTGGGTTCCTGTCAACTATATACCATCATCCCTTGATACTTGGCAAGAAACATGTAGCAAAGTAGAATGACATCTGAAATTGATGGGTACCCTCGTGAGGGAACCCGCTCGGGTTTACTGTACCGGCCCCCTTGACGGTGTTTGCCCATGGTCACTCTCCCCTTCTTCTCTTTCTTTGATTTTGCTTTGGAGATCTTCTTTGACGTTGTTGTTTCTCCCAGACGGGTTGTACTCGTTGCTTTCTTTCTCATTCCCATGTTGTCGTAATATCTATTTTGCATCACCACAATACGCTCGCGCTTCACTTAGACGCAGGCCGTCACAAAAATACCACTCTCTCTATCCGAACCCGACCGCCCGTGCGACCGTCCCGAAATAGCCGTCTTCCGAGATCGACTAGAACCGTGCCCGTGCCCGCGCCCGTGCTCGTGCCCGTGCACACACACACGTACACACCCCGCGAGCGCTCAAGATGCCTGACAAGGTGCTCCTGACCACCCTCGGCATCAACGTGCTCTTCCTGGCCACCGGCGCCCTCGAACTCGGCTTCTGCCTCGTCGTCCGGGGCCTGCTCGACAAGGAGCCCGACGACGGCCGCGATGCCGTCCGCCACCTGCTCCATCGCCAGTTCCCCCTCGACGCCGGCGTCGCCAATGCCAGCATCATCCTCGCGACCTCGGTCTTTGCCCTCGCCGGCCTCGCCTCCAAGGGCCGCTCCATGCTCAAGCTCAGCGGCTATCTGATTTCGTTTTGCGCCATCTTCACGCTGTGTCTCGGCGTCGTGCTCTGGGTCATGACGCTGCGCGTCAAGGAGCAGTTCTTCCCTGTATATCTCGACCAGGAGCCGTCGGTACAGTCGTCAATTCAGACTTCGGTAAGGCCAACTCTGGAAGCTGGTGGGGCGGAGAAGGAGCAAAAGGAAAACGAAGAAAAAGAAGAAGAAGAAGCAGCAGGAAGAAGAAGAAAATAGTACTAATGGGATTGTCTAGTTTGGATGCTGTGGCTACTTTAACGCCTCCACACCGGCCTTTATTACCGATTCGACGTGCCCGAGCCCGGCCGCCGCGGCCCTGTTCCGCGGCTGTGCGACGTCCATCTCTAGCTTTGCCAACATTGCGCTCGACGTCATCTTTACTGCCCTCTTTGGCATGGTTGGTACGCTAGAATACTATAGAGGGAAACGGTGTAATTACTGCACAGGATGCTAACATGTGTAGGCGTCGACGCCGTCTTTATCCTTTCCATTGCCGCGCTCGTCAAGGTCCGCAAGGAGCGCGAGCGTTACCGCCACATTGACGAAAAGGGCGGCTTCCAGCAATTTTAGGCGGAAAAAGATTGCTGTTGGCTCAACTTTCCATGGCCCGGTCTGATGGTTCACTGCCCTGCATCATAACGTGTCTCCTTTTAATCAACGCAGGTTACAATCCTGACTAGTTTCGAGTCCCAAATAATCTCCTTTAATTAGCGCAGAAAAGACTACACACTCGTTTCATCAAGTCTCAAATAAAAATCATTTAAAAGTCATATTATCTAATTGTACGGAATTTCATAGGTGAAAGAAGCCCGAGGGAGAAGTGTAAAAGGCTTTGCCTGCTTCTATCCAAGCCTTTCAAATCCACCGCTAGCCAGATACTATGAGACCCAGCAAGATAATGTCTATCACGACTGCCGCCTTTCCAAACGCCGTGTGCTGCTAAAAGAAAATAGTCATGAGGATGCTCTTCATACCGCAGAGTCGGTCGTAAGTGTATTGGCCGGCCGCTGTGTGGACGGCTCACCAGGCGGCGCGCTGTGTGTAGAGGCCCGCCCGCCTTTACCCTTCCACCACGAAAACGACAACATGTTGCTGACCGAGTCAGTAAAGGAGTCCCGCTTCTTCAGGTGACGCCGCGCGACAAGCCCAGGGAACCCGGTGCTCTTGCGTCGTCGTCGCGGCGGCCGTCGTGTGAACGTATCCGAGTGCGTGCTGCCCTCCTCCGGAATCGTTGCCGCCCCGCTAACGGCTCTGCGGATACCGAGCAAAAGACCTGTAGACTCAGTCACGCCTGGCATTGTATTGGCCCGTAGACGGCCCACGGGCGAGTTGACTTGTTCGTCTTCCAGCTCGCCCCAGATTTCGGCATCTTCTGCCCATCGAAACGTCTTTTTGGTCGGCGTCATGGGCGTCGACTCGGCAGTTGCAAACGTGCTGTAGGAAGGGAACGCCTCTTCAGACTCAGCGACCGCCTCTCCGCTGAGAAGTGACTCCTCTTCACCCTCTGTATCCTCTACCATACCCAGGCCAGGTGCCAGCGTAGACTGGCCAACGCCAGGAGCATGCTGCTCATCGCTGAGACGCCATGAGAGGGCAAGGACGCCACTCAATAAGATTGCCGTACCCAGGCTGATGATACAAGCCCGCAGCGGTGAAATGAAGCTTGTTTGGTTAAAGTATATTAGACCGTCCAGAATGGCGATAATGTTATAAACGCAAAAAACGAGGGGATACAAAACCGACGTTGAAACAAGCTTGAGGCCCCGGTGTAGATAGTAAAGCTGGCACAGAGCCAGCGAGACAAGTGCCAGCACAATGGCCCAGGCCTGCCAGTGAATAAATTGGTTCTTACCAGCCACGGTCTTGATGACCAGCTCGACGGCCGATTTGGCAAATAGTAGAGCGTGCGCTGACAGATCGCCGCTAATGACACCATACGAAATGCCTTGAATAAGTCGAAACCGAGAGCTGTGGGAGATGCTGGATATTCTAGTCGTCACATCGGTCACCACCGCCAGTGCCACCACTAACAGCGCCTGCAGGACCATCCACACGATAAAGGGCCTGCGCGCCATGAGAACCAGCAGTTCGTCCAAGTTATGGGCCGGCGACGGAATAGCACCAAATACGGCAATGAGGATGGCGCCGGTGGTGACGAGAGAAGTGCCGGCGAGCGACCAGCGCGTAAAGGGCTCGCTGAGGATGAGGGTTGCACATATGGAGTTGAAGACGAGGCCCGCGGCCTGCAACGTCGAGAGCACGGGCAGCGGAAGCGTCGAAATTTGCACCGAGCTGCCGAGGAGGTTGGCGACGATGAACATGCCCATGCCGACCTGCCAGCGGCGGCGGCGATAGGGCGGGCGGCGGACGTCGTGAGGGCCCTTTTCGTCCTCGAGAATGTGCGACTTGCGCTGCAGCGTCAGTCCTAGGCTCTGCACACTGGTCGACATGAGGCCAACGATGATTCCTAGCTGCGGCCCATCCATTAGCATGTCGGTGGAGGGGTCATGACTGGGTAGCGGCGTACAGCAATGCTCCCGCCGGGGGAGATGCCGCCAAACGGCTCCATTGCGCTATTGGTAGATGGCACACATCTGGCGTCGGAGAATTATATAGGTGCAATCAGTATCACCGCATGAGAAGCGACGTGGTACTTCGAGACGTGGGTAGATGGAGGTTGCGATGTAGGACACAGTCTCGAGACGCTGCCCTTGGGACCACCGCCGGTTCGGATATGACTAGAGGAGAGTGCCGTCGATCGGGCGGCGGCAGAGAGGTACAAGATTCTGGGGGTGAGGAAAAAGAATGATCGAGCAGTAGGGAGAAAGGACGAGATCTAACGGTGAAGGGAGCAATAGAGCGAGGGTTGTGCACCTGATGTGGTGGACATGGGTTCAGAGACGCATGGGTAAATGGGGAATGCAGGCGCCACGAAGTCGCACTCTAATCGTCAGGGGTGTCAAAGCGCCACAAAGTGTTGTTCAGGCAAAGTGTGGCTGGTGCAGTCACCTGACATTGACTAAAGGACGTCATTCCATGATTCTGTTACAGCGCTGTCTGGGCCCCCAACGGCGCTACGAACCGCTAAGCTGCCCCAGAAAGCTCCCACACTGCACCAAGTAACTGTGGCTGGTGCTACCTTGCTACCTGTAATTACAAGCGCCGTGGATGCTGGCGGGACGAGCTTCCTGCGGCCAACTCCACCCTCCACCTACAGACGACAGCAACCGGCCTCTGCTTGCACGACATCACGGCGATTCATCGACAATCACGGCCTCGCATTTCAGTTTCTTGCCCTCCCATACTCCCTTTTTCCAGTACAACCGAGACATATAAATAGCTGCCGACATGTCGCAACACGCATTGTCCGACCAGCAGGTGCGCCATGATCCCCAGCGAAGCGTGGGAAGCCGAGAGCACTTTCATCGTCCATGCCTGCAGGCCGGCGTCATGCGGCTCTCTCTCCCACTCACTTGTAAAACAGTGCAGCTAATACCAAGACCCAATCATGACAGGTCGACAATGAGCTCCGCAAGATGACGGCGTTTATCAAGCAAGAAGCCATGGAAAAGGCGCGCGAGATTGAAATCAAGGCCAACGAGGAGTTTGAGATCGAAAAGTCCAAGCTCGTTCGCCAGGAGACGGATGCAATTGACGCCCAGTACGAAAAAAAATCCAAGCAGGCCACCATGTCGCAGCAGATTACACGATCGACCGTCGCCAACAAGACCCGCCTCAAGGTGCTCGGCGCCCGCCAGGAGTTGCTGGACAGCATATACGAGACCACGCGCCAGAAGCTCGCTGAAGGCACCAAGGATAAGGCCAAGTACCAGAAGACGCTTGCCGGCCTGGTTCTCGAGGGCCTGTACACGATGAACGAGGCGGACGTGCAGGTGCGCGGCCGCAAAAAGGACGCCGACGTGATCAAAAAGGCTCTTGATGACGCCGCCAAGACGTATAAGAAGCAGGTGGGCAAGGACGTCAAGCTGGCCCTTGATGAGGAGAACCCCCTCCCAGACGCAAGGTGGGTGAAAAGCTGTCGCTTGCCGTGAGATGGTTGCTAACAATCACAGTGCTGGTGGTGTCATCATTGTCGGCTCCAAGGGCAAGATTGAGATTGACAACACCCTCGAGACCCGCCTCAAGCTGCTCGAAGTCTCGGCCGCCCCCCGCGTCCGCGAGGCTCTGTTTGGCAAGAATGCGAACCGCAAGTTCTACGACTAAGCTGCGCCACCCAGCTTGCCTTGTTGGAGATAGATGGTAACCCCTCGAGAATGCGTGGTTACTTGGTCCCAGAAAAGCAATAATGGGCTGGACGGGACCGAGAAAGGAACGGCACACTCACTCACGTTGCCAGTGATCTCAATTGTATGCATTGTTATTGGCCTGGTCGTTTCGTTCCTTTTTGATTGTAGCTTAGAGGTTGTATCATAAACATATTCATAGGTCCAGTCCCACACTCGTGATTCGCTGCAAATTCGGGTATCTTGGCATTATACACGCGGCATTGGCCGGGTTCATTTGTTATCGAAACAGTAGTCGGCGATGCTATCGACCTCTGGCTACGGTGCAATCCATAAAAATGTCCTCTGGGTCTGTCTGCAGCTCCGGTTGTGACTTCAGCGGAGGCGCCGATTCCTGCTTCAGCGCTGGCTTTGGCGACGGCAGTTTGTTCCGAAAAAAGCTCTTCATGAACTCCTGCTGCCTGGGCAAATCTCTCCGCTTCTCCTGTCCGGGTAGGTCAAAGATGCTTCTGGCCTGCTTGCGGCGGGTGCGCACCGTGTGCGTGACGCGCTTCTGCACCCACTCGACGACCGACTTGGTCTCGGTACGCGCGAGCTTCATGCCGGTGTCGTTTGTGCGGCGCCAAATATCGTTGAGTCGGGCAGCGAGCTCGTCAACGCGCGCGTTGAAGCGGTCCTCGGCGTCGACGTCGTCGGGCCCAAAGGCGAGTACGGAGCCGTCGTCGACGGCCATGTCGAGAATGAGGATGGCGGCGCGCAGCTCGGCAAATTCGGTGCGCGGGCCGACCTGGAAGGCCGGCGCGGCGAGGCGGTCGATGATGGCCTGCAGCGTGACGGCCTCTTCGGGGGCACGCCGGGCGAGCGAGGCGTCGTGGAAGAGAAAGGTGGCAGCGAGACGGCGGCGCAGGTCGTGGGCGCGGCGGGAGCTGGTGGGGAGGCTGAGGAGAGCGTTGATGCGGATGCACTGGGAAGAAAAGTTGCCGAGAAGCAGCGCGCAGGTATCATGGCACTGCGATGGTTAGCGGTTGCAGTGTGCTGAGAAGTGTTGCGACTTACAAAGGCGTCCCATTCTTTGGAGGGGATAGTATCGATGATGGCCTTGAACGCGTCTTCGAACTGATTGTTGAGATGGACGTTGGAAATGATGAGCCTGTCCATGGCCATTCGAAGTAGTATTTGTAGTGCATATTTTCTGGTTTCCACTGGCAGATTTGATGATGTGTCCTTAAGGAGCAACATCACGGACAGGAGGGGAGCCCAGTCGTGACCTTTGTAAACATCCTCGCTGACTTTGGAAACGCTAATTTCTCCACGGTCCATCGACAAATCTCGAGCCCCAAGTCGCTCCCATACTGATTTTAGACAATCTGGCGTGAACAGCGACGCTATCTGCTCGGGGCAGATGACGATGAGGTTACAGAGCTCCGTGCGGGCCACGACCGACTTGGCGGTGCAAATCTCGTCCAGTACCCAGAGAAAGATGTCGTCGGGCATTCCGCCCTGGCTCCCAACGACGTTGAACAGGAGGCCTGACACGAGGTTCTGCTCGCGCACGCGCTGGTTGCCCTTGGTCAGTAAAGACCAGTGCCCCTGTGTCGCCGCTGGCGGCGGGCTCGACGCGGCAGCGGGCCCGTCAAGATGGGGTTTGAAGAAGCAGTACCGCAGCTCCTGATGACCCGGATCCGCGCGCTGGACGGTACGCAGGACCTTGTGCGCATCGCTTCGCTTCTCACTGGCGACGAAATCCGATAGCGCGCTGTGCGACTGCGGGATGCTGGCAGCAGCAGGCGTGGACGGTAGCGGCCGCGCTGTCCCGTCGCGCACAGGCTCACTCGCGCGCAGCTCGCTCGCTTGCAGGGCCGTGTCGCGGCGTGCGTCCTTGGCGAGCGCCTTGAGGTCGAACCGGTGCTTGGGGATGACGGCCAGCGGCGAGCGATGCAGGGCGGCGCGCTTGCTGGCCCGCGACGGCGTGGCGAGAAGCTGTGGCCGGGAAGAGGCGGCGGCGGCAGCGGTGGTGGGATGCGGGCGAGAACCCCCGAGAAGGGTGGAAAGGTCCTCGAGCGAGCTATCAGAGAAGCTGCTGTCGCTACCGTCGTCGTCGGAGGCGGCAATTTCCTTGACGCGGTTGGGGGGCGTCTGCGGCCTGCTGAGTGGAGATGAGGCCATGCGAAATATGTAGGACAGGGGTCTTTTGTGTGATCCCAGTTGCTGGCTCAGGATTAGTAGGATATGAATTTGTCTTGATGTTCTAGCAGGGCTTCGATGTAATATTTTCCGTCTTATCTGGACATGTTGTGCAAAGCTTGATGTACAAGCGCGTAGCCTTGATATGTCGATGGCGACGGGCAAAATGGTTGGCCCACAAACAGATCTGACTCCACCAACTTGCAGGTGAGGTTGCTGCTACGCGACCTTGGCGACCCTACCGGGAATAACAAACCCAAATCTGAACCTTGATGAGAATGTCTAGCCGTTGCTTTAAAAAATGTTGTTGGCCTCTATTTTGATCTTGAAGATATACCAAGTACGGTAGCGAAATTTCCTGCACTGAATTAAGATACTTGGTGTCGGTAGCAGTACTTTGGTGCTGGAAGCACTGGCTCAGACTTACAGTGGTCCACTGTAGTTCTAGGGCTAATACTGACGCCAATTCTGCAACAGGCGCAGCTAAGACAGAGATTGCACTTGAACTTGGTCGAACTTCAACCACGGTCAACCAACACTCATAAGTATCTTCTTCGTATAGCGAAGCTGCAGAAAATGGCCACCGAGTTGTTCATACGTGCGCCGCTGATTGTCCCACTGCCATAGCTCGAGTCCGTCGTCACCATCACTGCCTTGGCCATGTCTACAAAGTAGACATCATTATTCGACCCAACAGCCTGCACCTTGATTCGATACCTGTGATACACCTTGACCTCTACATTGACGCTCTGAATCTGCGTCCAGGTCTCGCCGTCCCCATGCCCGAGCACCAGAGTCCCATCCGAGGCCAGATCGACGTAGTATCCCTTGTACGCGTTGAGCCCTCGCCCGGGCAACGAGAGCCTCGACCCCGCAGATGTCACAACGGTGGTCTCGATGCACCAGCCCTTTACCGCGCAGTGGCTCGAGTCCGAGACGAACACAATGCCGTTTTCGCTGCCTAGTATGGCATCAGGCGCGTCCCTTCATACATGGACGCCGGGCAGCAAGGCGGAGCCCATCGGCGGTGGCGGCAAGTCTGAAAGTGACGCCAACAGGGGGATGTACACGACTTATCGTTGCGCTGGTTATTGTGGGCTCGATTCTTGGGTTCTTCTTGATGATTTGGCGGTTGTGGTGTGCAAAAAGAGCAATAAAGGACTAGCTAGGGAGGAAAATCCTAGCTGGCAAGGGAATAGTAGGCACATCAAGGTACTTGACGAGTATAATACTGATCAACTAGAGATGCCGAGCAATATTGGAGCATAGCAACAGGTGAGTCAGAGAAACTAAGAGAAGGCTTTTGTGAAAGGGGGATGGTAAGATTTTTATATATACATAATATCAACCTTATTGTAACGTGAGATACTGTGCCTAGACTCAGAATAGGCTCTACATTTACCCAACATGTAACCTGACTGGAATACTCATGCCCGTGATTGGTGAATCGACTACAGCTTACCTTGGCCTGCTTTCAGGTTGGCCGTGCAAATTGTTTTCCTTCTTTTGACGTTTTACTAACAGCGTTATTCAGGTGTCTCCAAGATGCTTTCAAGTCTTGCTTTACCGTTGGGATGTGTGGGCTTCTTGTTCTTTGGATGACTCATTGGCTTAGCTGTAGGTGACAATGCTGCGGTAGTGGATGCAGACTTTGACTTTGCTTCGGAAGCTGACTTTGTCTTCGTTTTAGAGGCTGTCTTTGCCTTCGTTCTACAGGCTGTCTTTACATGTGTCGTAGAATCTGGCTTTGCGGTGGCTTTAGAAGCTGACTTGTTCTGCGCCTTAGAAGTAGACTTTGCCTGTGTCTTAGGTGTAGGCTTTGCATTTGTTTTGTTTTAAAGGCTGGCTTTACATGTGTTGTAGGAGCTGGCTTTGTGGTGGCTTTAGAAGCTGACTTGTCTTGCGCCTTGGAAGTAGACTTTGCCTGTGTCTTGGGTGTAGGCTGTGCCTGTGATTTCGGGGCCAATTTTGCCTGAGACTTGGATACCAATTTTCGCTTGCTGTTGGATACAGACTTTGCCTGTATCTTGCATGTGGACTTCGCTCGTGTCTTGGGGCTGTCGCTCTTGGCCTGATGTGGCAGGGTTGAAGCATTAGCCTGTGAAGCATTCGCCTCGACCCGTAGCTTTTGATTGTCAATTTCTCTGCGACGCTTCTTGGTAGATTGGTTTACAGTCGCTCTACTGGTCGAAATCTGTGTATGTGTCAACGCAGTGGATTGCTTATCGCAAACCGTTTAGCTACGCACAGTGACTGCCCAGTATATTGAAGCCCCGGTCTTGTAAAGATAGAGCTTTTCCATGATGGCGTGCCGTTTTCGCCTGAGGTCGACTTCATGATACTCAGACGTCTTGAGAGATTTCCGTGAATGATGTGGCCACGGCCGGGTTTTCAGGACTTTTGGATGCGGAAACATGCTTTTCCAGTCATCAACCCTGTCAACGGGCCAGTACTGGTAGAGGCAATTCCCAGCGCCCTCAATTTCAGGGTGAGCCAACATAATTCTGAACTTGTCCGGATCACAGCAAGCGGTGAGCCATGGCTCTTCGATATTTTGATAGTACGACTCGTGGTCTGGGTTAAATCGATCGGGGGGATGGCGCGCCAGCACAACCACTTCGCTGCCCGTGCTGATAAAGAGGGCAAAGAGAATTGATGCGGCGTGCACGTAGAGACACCATTGGCGGTCGTTCTTTATGTTGCGGCGGCAACTTGGGTTGGACTTGTCCATCAACGGACCCATTGCTTGTGTCAGCGACTTTCGATCATGCTGGCGGGCCCAATCCTCTGCTTGCTCAAACCCAATGCCGCTCCATAAGACCATTCTATGCGGCTCGCAGGCGCTGTCGAATCGCGCCCAAACTTGAGCAGCCTCGTAGAGGTTGACTGACCCAAGCCATTTGTCAACATCCATTGTGCGGCAAGCATCGGCACTTTGGTCTCAGTAGCTGAGCGTTACTGAATTGTTACATAATGCGCAAAAGATTAGAATACAAGTTGGACCTGGCATATCTATAGTAGCCCCGCGCCCGATCCTCGGTCAGAAACCCGACGTCATGCTTAGCGAAGCAGAGAGCGCCTTTCAGTATCTGGTCGGCCGCAAACGGCAACTGTGTTGAGGCGCACAGCAATTCGCCACAACTACCGTATGGTTGTAAACTTGTACTAACGACTGATAGTCATAATGGCAGCACATATGCAGGTCGACTCCTTGCGTCTGGGGTCGTAGTGTCTTGCAGCAGGGGTGCAGGGCAGGGCAGCAAGCTATTAGTTCTGAATACTATGAAGCTACGTAGTCGTTTATGGTTGCTAGTTTGAGTGACTTTTAGATGCATAGCGAGAAGAGACAAGAGTTTGCAATATGCACATCAGGACAGTGAGATGGCACCATGTCGACATGACACGGAAGCGCAACAATAAGGACGATAATTTGCGCGCGGTGCTGATGGCCAATGACGTCGCGGGGGGCCAGTCCAACGATCAGCCAGTGGCGGCGGGCTGCAGAGGCTGGCTGCAGCAAATCATTGCGCAATGCAGGCAATGCGCACGACGGAAGCGCGGAAGAGCGAGTGAGCGAGAGCGAGCGTTGGATTTGAGATTTGGAAACGGCCAAGAGACGAGTCCGAGGCTGAATGTAAATCCGAGGGACCCGCGCCTGCCAGTGAACAGGCTTCGTGTCCACAGCGGATTCATGTATTTGTCGATGACTCGTTACCGACAAAACTCATGAGGCGGGGAGCGATGCGACATCTAGGGTGCCAAATTGATAAGCATGGTTTGACTCACTTGTCTCTACGCACAGCAAGAGGTTTGTACCAGTATTTGATGAATTGACGAGCATGCGACATAATGGAACGGCCACGCCAGCGCTGTTTCAGCCCAGCGGCGAGGGACGGGATTAGCGTGAAGACAGATTAGACAGACGAAAAGATTACAGGCCGTTTTCAAGATAAATTGGGTCGCTGTGGTCCATGAAGATTGAAGAACAACGGGAGGCGCTGAGCCGCAGAGCTAATAAGGCCTGCTGCGACTCGCCCATTCGTGCGTGTCGGCTCCAGTCGTATTTGAGCATTATTGAAGAAAAGGAAATACAAAAAAAATCAAGGACAGCAGCTGCTACCAATTTATCCGTGGCATGTGAATCAAGTTTCTGTCAGAACCCTCGTGCCCGCATGAAGTGTGTCATGAAAAACATGAATCTAACGGCAGACGGACGGACCGTGTGGATATGGGCCCAAAAGACGAGGCTATGAAAAAAGAAAATAAAAATAAGAGACAAAAGAAGCAGATGAGCCCCTAACTTATTAGGGTCCGGCCAACCCCTGGGTCTGCAGATGGGATCGGCAGCGACAGATGCCACAATACGGATACACCGATGGTTGATGTCGTCACTGAATGGGAAACCAATGCTTGTTGCCTCAAGGGAGGTGCAAGATCAAGATGTATCTGGAACCATGAATTCTTCACACAAGGCTGAACACAGCTGGCCAGCCAGACAGCCAGCCACCCCCCTTGAAGGTTGGGTTGGTCAGCGGCCACGGAGTTTCTGGCCGTATTTTAGAATTTAGCCTGGGTTCGGATACTTGGAGGTGCCCGTCGCGTCCGAGGCTGCCGGTGAATGCATACTGTACATACACCTGAGAGACGCTAAGGCGGAGAGGAGAGTACCTAGACGAGATAGGTACCCAATCGCAGTAGAAACGGCGGCACGGTACTTGTGCACGTTAACCCCGCTGCGAAACTCCGCGTGGGCGCCGCGCCACGCCGTCAAGGCTCTCAGGGGCTTATTTTGTCAATTTTTTGCCAAGGGCTTGCCTTGACATTTTTTTCTTGGTCATACCAGGGTGTCGCGGGTCGAGGCCAATCGACGAAAATGGGTAGAATATGGGAAATGTGTTCACAACCTCATCCCGAATGTTGATGGCAGGGCCGGAGCAAGCAAAGCAGGGGAGGAGGGTGTCAGAGGCTGGGCCAGTTTTGCCGACAGCAAGCGGGATGTGTATAATGCTTATAAAGCCATGCAACCCAAGACAAAAAAAATTCAAAGTTTGCTTTGCGGGAATGCTTCCTTCGCTATCGTGCGGGATCCAGTTGTCACCACAGGCAGGCACAGACTAATTTTACCCAAGCAACAGCCAGTCATGGCTATCTTGGATTTCACACCGAGGCTTTGGAGGCAGTGGGTCAAAATGCCAATTTTCTTATATTCGTTTTCTTCCCTTTTCCCCTTTTTTGGCTCGGTCTTCTCTTCCTTTGCGAGGTTATACTAAACTCGGATGAACCGGATACCAGGGTCTATTTAGGAGCCAAGAGCCAGCTGGCTGTGAAGCTAACAAAGGCAACCAGTAAAGATGCAGAGCTTATAACGGGCTTAGTGAGCATTTTACCCCATTTAGGCCCTACCCGTAGATAACTACAGTGGATGCGGCTTGAATCCGCCACTGGAAAGCGCGCTGGTCCGCTGATCCGCCCGCTAAAACCCGCCAATTGGGGTCTTGAAGCCAGTCAGCCCAGCTATTTTTTAGCACAGAAGCACCCAGCTCGTCTGCTATTCCGCCAGCACAGAAGCACTCTGAGAGGGAGACCAGCCACTTGCCAGCCAGCCTTGCCCACCTGCCTGTCCACTTGCCCACTTGCACTACCCAAATCTCGCTATGCTGGCCTCTCGCTCGCCAATTCCGTCCGCTTACCTGACTGAGCCTTCCTCTTCTTCTTCCCGTTGTCCTACCTACTGCTCGCCTCTCTTTCTGCTCGCTTCCTTCACCCCTCTCTGGTCGACTGGCCAAAGACGTCGCCTCTCTTGATCCTCTCCAATCCCAACCGGCCTTTTCGCCTCCTTGTTGAAACGTCTTCGACGCCCGTCGCGCTAGGTCTCGCCGCCTCCCTCCCTTGGCTCGGCGCGTCTCGTTCCCCCCCCATTTGGACCAGCACCGTGTTTCCCGACCCTCTGTTCAGAACCTCGCTCCTCGAGAGACACTTACTCTCCACGCCATCATATTAACAAACCATCTCAAAAAGGCCACACCGAGCCTTGCATTGGACAACATCTCGCTTCAACGGCTCAGACAGCCACGATAAGCTAAATCGCACCTGGGCTGGCCGAACCAAACGGCCTAGTCGGCGCATGTTCGCCCTTGCCTACCCATCATGCCTGATTCCTTGACCCCCGAGGCCGCCGCGGCCGACGGCGCCGACCTCGATAAGGTCCAAACCCAACGAGCTCGATGGGCCACGCGCAGAATGACAATCAAGAGTGGTAGCACCAAACGCCGCTCCCTGCTCAATCGACACAACCGCAACAAGTCGTCAGCTAGCGAAAAGAGTTCTGCCGGCGACGACGGCCACGGTCCCATGTCTATTGGCGCTGGCGACGAAGAAGACGACGATGCCGAAGCCTCCGAAGCCTCCGACGAGGACCCCGAGAATCGCACCCTCTTCTTCAATCTGCCCTTGCCCGACGACATGCTCGACGACGAAGGACATCCCACCACCAGCTACGCCAGGAACAAAATTAGAACCGCCAAGTATACGCCGTTGTCCTTTATTCCCAAAAATATCTGGTTTCAGTTTCACAACGTCGCCAACATCTTTTTCCTCTTCGTCATTATCCTGGTTGTGAGTATACCGCACCATTACTTGCTCTGACCTTTTACTCACATGCGCAGATCTTCCCCATCTTTGGCAGTGTCAACCCTGGACTCAGTGCGGTTCCTCTCATCGTCATTATCTGTCTTACCGCCATCAAAGACGCCATTGAAGACTATCGACGTACAATCACTGATATTGAGCTCAACAATGCACCTGTCCATCGTTTGATGAATTGGAATAACGTAAACGTCGAAGTCGGCGACGTCTCTACCTGGCGAAAAACGAAAAAGGTCACTTCGCGCTTCTTTGGTGGCATCTGGTACGCCATTCAGAGTCTCTGGTCCAAGCAGGCCAGACAAAAGAGAATTGAGCGCAAAGCCAAGGCCAAAGGACAAGACGAGGAAGAACCCAGGCCTTCCATTGAGACCCAGCGAACCCGCATGTCTATACGCCAGTCCATAGCCTCCAACTTTGGCCACAGAGAGTCTACCCACGAGGACATCCAGATGACGCCTGTGCCATCGCCCTCGCCTGCCGGCCACATCAAGATTCAGGAGCCTGATAAGCACGACCAGGCACGCCTTGCTGCCTTGCAGGATATGAAGACTGACATTATCAACTTCAGACACGCCCCGACTAATGCTCGTTTTAAAAAGGATGCCTGGAAAAACATTGTCGTCGGCGATTTTGTCCGCATCTACAACGACGATGAATTACCCGCCGACGTCATTATCCTCTCCACATCCGACCCTGATGGAGCCTGCTACGTGGAGACCAAGAATTTGGACGGTGAGACCAATCTCAAGGTCCGACAGGCTCTTAGATGCGGTCGCGCCCTCAAGCACGCTCGCGATTGCGAACGAGCCGAGTTTGTCGTCGAAAGCGAGGCCCCGCAATCCAACCTGTACAAGTTCAACGGCGCCATCAAATGGAAGCAAAACATTCCCGGCTACGAGGACGATGAGCCTGAAGACATGACCGAGGCCATCACCATCGACAACCTGCTTCTCCGAGGCTGCAATCTTCGCAATACCGAATGGATCCTCGGTGTCGTCGTCTACACCGGCCACGACACCAAGATCATGATGAATACTGGCATGACTCCCTCCAAGCGTGCCAGAATCGCCCGAGACATGAATTTCAACGTTGTCTGCAACTTTGGCATTCTCTTTGTCATGTGTTTGGTGTCGGCCATTATCAACGGAGCTGCTTGGGCTAGAACAGACACGTCCAAAAACTTTTTCGATTTTGGATCCATTGGTGGTAGCCCTCCAGTCACCGGCTTCATCACGTTCTGGGCTGCCATTATCAACTTCCAGAATTTGGTTCCCATCTCGCTATATATTACTTTGGAAATTGTTCGCACTTTGCAAGCCATTTTCATCTTCAGCGATGTCGAAATGTACTACGAGCCGATCGACCAACCCTGTGTGCCCAAGACGTGGAACATCTCCGATGATGTTGGTCAGATTGAATACATCTTTTCCGACAAGACAGGTACCCTGACCCAGAACGTTATGGAGTTCAAAAAGGCCACCATCAACGGACAGCCATACGGCGAGGCCTATACCGAGGCCCAGGCGGGTATGCAAAAGCGCGCCGGCATCGACGTCTCTGCCGAATCCGATCGCATCCATGCCGAAATCGCCGAAGCCAAGACTCGTTCCATTGCCGGTCTTCGCAAGATTTACAATAACCCGTACTTTTACGACGATGCCCTCACTTTTGTGGCCCCCGACTTCGTCGCCGATCTGGATGGTGAATCTGGCCCCGGGCAAAAGGAAGCCAACGAAACTTTCATGCTGGCGCTGGCTCTTTGTCACAGCGTCATCGCCGAAAAGGCACCTGGTGACTCGCCACGAATGCTGTTCAAGGCCCAGTCTCCCGACGAGGAAGCTCTTGTAGCCACTGCTCGCGATATGGGCTTTACGGTTCTCGGCAGCTCCAGTGACGGCATCGACGTCAATGTCATGGGCGAAGACCGTCACTACCCGATCCTCAACACCATCGAATTCAATTCTACCCGCAAGCGAATGAGTTCCATTGTCAAAATGCCCGATGGCCGCATCGTTATCTTCTGCAAGGGTGCAGACTCGGTCATTTATTCTCGTCTCAAGAAAGGGGAGCAGCGTGAGCTTCGTCAAGAAACCGCCGAACACTTGGAAATGTTTGCTCGTGAGGGTCTCCGTACTCTCTGCATTGCGATGAAGGAGCTCACCGAGGAGGAATACCGAGCTTGGAAGAAGGAGCACGATGTCGCTGCTTCTGCTCTGGAAAATCGTGAAGAAAAGCTAGAAGCTGCCGCTGAGCTTATTGAGCAAGATTTTCTGCTTCTCGGTGGAACTGCCATCGAGGATCGCCTTCAAATAGGCGTCCCTGATACCATTGAGCTCCTCGGACAGGCTGGTATTAAGCTCTGGGTCTTGACTGGCGACAAGGTTGAGACCGCCATCAACATTGGTTTCTCATGTAATCTGCTCAACACGGACATGGAACTCATCCACCTCAAGGTGGATGAGGAAGCTGGTGACGATGTCTCCGACGATATGCTACTTGACGAGTTGGAAAAGAGCCTGGACGAGAACCTCGGCCAGTTTGGCATAACGGGCAGCGACGAGGACCTCAAGGCTGCCAAGAAGAATCACGAACCCCCTGGCCCTACGCACGGACTGGTCATTGATGGCTTTGCTCTCCGATGGGCTCTTCACGACCGACTCAAGCAAAAGTTTCTTCTTCTCTGCAAGCAGTGCCGTTCCGTTCTTTGCTGCCGTGTAAGCCCCGCCCAAAAGGCTTCGGTTGTTGCCATGGTGAAGAATGGTCTCGATGTCATGACTCTGTCTATTGGCGATGGTGCCAACGACGTAGCCATGATTCAAGAGGCCGACGTCGGAGTTGGTATTGCTGGTCTCGAGGGTCGACAAGCCGCCATGTCTTCTGACTACGCCATTGGTCAATTCCGCTTTCTGCAGCGCCTGGTCCTGGTTCACGGGCGATGGTCGTACCGTCGTCTGGCTGAGAGTATCAGCAATTTTTTCTACAAGAACATGGTTTGGGTCTTTGGCTTGCTTTGGTTTCAGATCTACTGCGAGTTTGACATTACCTACCTGTTCGAATACAGTTACATTATCATGTTCAATTTGTTCTTCACATCGGTCCCTGTCGGCGTTCTTGGTGTCCTCGACCAGGATGTCTCGGACAAGGTCTCACTGGCTGTGCCTGAGCTCTACCGCACTGGCATCGAACGGCTAGAATGGACGCAGAGAAAGTTTTGGCTCTACATGTTTGATGGTGTCTACCAGTCCGTCATGGCTTTCTACGTGCCGTACCTCATCTTTTTCAATTCTCGCCCCGTCACATTCAACGGTCTCGCCGTCGACGACAGGTATCGACTGGGTGCCTACGTTGCGCATCCCGCTGTTGTGACTATCAATGCGTACATTATGATTAACTCGTACAGATGGGATTGGCTCATGCTACTGATTATTGCCATCAGTGACTTGTTTGTCTTTTTCTGGACCGGTGTCTACACTTCTTTTACCTCTTCGGCTACATTTTACAAGGCAGGCGCCGAGATTTACGGAGAAGCGTCCTTTTGGGCTTGTTTCTTCATTGTCCCTGTTCTTTGCCTATCTCCTCGATTTTCTATCAAGGCGATGCAGAAAGTCTTTCGCCCATACGATGTTGACATTGTTCGCGAGCAAGTATTTCTGGGCAAGTTTGATTATCTCAATGAAGCGAAGGAGAAGGATGATGGCAAAACGGACTCGAGGAGCCAAGGATCTCACGGCAGCTCCAAGAGGAGCTCGAGAAAGTCGAAGCATATGCAGTACGCCAGTGTTGACGAGGACTTGCGACCCATTTACCCGCCATCGACGGTGACACGAGATACATACAATGGGGCACATAGCCAGCAAGGTAGTGCCGATTCGACTCATATGCCGCGACACTCTGTTGAAAACCCCCTGCACCGGCTCTCGACGGACCGACCGCGACCGTCATATGACCGCATGCGCGCTTCAATGGACCGTACGCGCGCCAGTTTCGAAGCTAGCAATGACTTTACTTCGGCTGCTCGTCTGTCGCGGATAGAGTCGTCACACTCTCGTGGAAATTCGCACTCACACTCGGGCATGATTCGGAGTCGCCTTCGTGCCCTTTCATCTCTGTCCAAGAAATCAGACGCCTAGTGGCCGTGTGAGCGCCTATCATCTGAAGGCGAGTCTTGAAAGGAGTCGTGCGTATCCGCTTGTACATAATCGACGACTCATAATGTCACCATTTCTTTACCATTTTCGCCTGCGGAGCCGTGTCGCCTTTACCACGTGGACACGGGCACTGCTTGTTGACGACTTTGCATGAGCCATTTACGGGGTACTACACTCGAGTACTACATTTTACAGCACCGGTTGGAATACAGACAGACGGAAGCGAGCTGCGGACTTGCCGGCACAAGTCTCGCTGGGAGCGAATCACTGCGAGGCCGCGTTGGCACTTGTTGTTTTTGGCGCTGCCTTTTGCGGTGCATTTGGATGCGCTATTGATTCTGGCCTACTTGATGCGCGCTTTCTACATCTATTTGATACCGTCACTTTACTCTCTTTTTCCTTTAATTGCGATTGCATCTTAGAAATTCTCCTGCATTGACAAGATGCAGAACTCACACACCCACTACCGCTTTTTTCCTTATTCTAGCAGTTTTTGTCTATACACATTGCCTTTTTTCTTTATTTTTTTGTTCAATCAGGTTTATTGAAGGTGGAGGACAAAGGACACTTGCAGCTTAGGCGTTTTCTTGTATCATTTTCTGGGAGATGGTTTATCTTGGTTGTACAAGGAGAGGAGGAAAGCAAGAACTGGACTCGTTATTTGCGTATGTTCTTGTCTGCTTGAAATAAAAATACCGAGGAAGTGAGAGATGGATATCAGATGTACATAGCATTGCCCATCCAGCGTTTGGAGCGACTTTTTCTTGAGAAGATGAAGAATACAAGCACGTTGAAAGTAAACATATCCCAACCTTCCCCTTCTAAAACATATTCTCTGAAGGCAGGTAGTTACACTTCTACTCCTTCTCTCCCTCTTCATCAGCATCCATCACTACAACTTTGTCGTCCTGAACGTCATCTCCGCTAAGTGATGGACTCCTATACCCCCGACAGAACTCGGCGTCTCTCCGGACCAGCTTCCGCTGCCAATGGATGACCTTGTACGCGTTCTTCGCGGACTCTAGGAGAGCTCTCATTTCAACCGAGTCATGTTGTGTTCTGCCACCGCTCAACCCTCGAGTCCATATGCCGATTTTGCCGCTGCGTCGAACCTCAGTCTCGAAAATGCAAACGACGTCTGCAACCGCACATCAGTAGTCTATCTCCTCCGCGATCTCACTAACCATATCATTCTGTAGTACGGAGTAGCTTGCCATCGATAAACGACGCGAACGAGCTGAGCTGCATGCCACATCACATGGCCCCCTTCAACACCGCGTTCTGCATCTGCCGCGGAGAATTGATTCTCGACTTCGTTCCATATCGTTATTGAGGGCTTGAACATTCATAGCAATATCGGTACCCCCGAGCCGTGCAGTGTCGTAACTTGGGGTGGGGGGCGCTCGGAGATGCGTTGCCCCACACCAGCTCTTCCAAAAAAAGGCAGCAAATGAAGTGACCCCCGACCAACCCTCCTTTCAGGACAGAGCTTCTTTGGAGTTGCCAATTGCGCTTGCTCTTCGTTCAGCCGGCCGCCATGGAAGCGTTCAAGGCCCATGTGCTGTCGCTCATCCGCAGCGGCAGCAGCTATGCCCAGCCATACCTTGACCATGTCCCGTAAGTCAAGCAGTGTGACTGTGTGACATCCCCCTGGTGGGATATCACTTCCCAAAACACCACCTAACGCTCAGCAGGAAGCTTCTTCTGCAAGGCAGCGTCGCCGTACTCGTACTCATCCTCTCCGTCCTCTTCTTCCGCGCCTCTCAAGCCTCCGCTGCTGGCCGTCCCCGGCGCTACATCGTCGATCCTCCGACCCCCAAGTCCTCCTCCTCCTCCTCCTCCTCCTCGACCAAGCCCGCCGCCGTCAACTCCTCCCACATTGCCTGCTACGCGCCCGCTACAGGCCAGTTCCTCGGCAACGTCCCCGAGGCATCAACCGCCGACATTGACACCGCCATTGCCGCAGCGGCCAAGGCCCAGCGCGCATGGAGCACCACCACGTTTGCGCAGCGCAAGGCCGTGCTGCGCTCCATGATGCAGCACGTCATGGACCACGCCGAGCAGATTTGCCGCGTGGCCGGGCTCGACAGCGGCAAGACGCTCGTCGACGCGCAGCTCGGCGAGATCATGGTCACGGTGGAGCGCCTGCAGTGGACGCTGCTGCACGGCGAAAAGGCGCTGCGCCCGGAGCGCCGCCCGACGAACCTGCTCATGATGTACAAGCGCAACACGGTGCGCTACGAGCCCATGGGCGTCGTCGCGGCGCTTGTCAGCTGGAACTACCCGTTCCACAACATGCTCGGACCCATCATCAGCGCCATCTTTGCGGGCAACGGCGTTGTGGTCAAGGTCTCGGAACAGACGGCGTGGTCGAGTGCCTACTTCACAAACATTGCGAGGGGCGCGTTGGCGGCGCATGGTTTTGACACCGACTTGGTGCAGACGTTTGCGTGCTGGCCCAAGGAGGCTGAATACCTGACGTCGCATACTGGCATCTCGCACATTACCTTTATCGGCAGCCAGTCTGTCGCGCACCACGTCGCTGCGTCGGCGGCCAAGGCTCTCACACCCGTCGTGGCCGAACTCGGCGGCAAGGACCCCTTCATCATCCTCGACTCGGCCAAAAAGGACCTCCCACGCATCGCGGAAGTGATTCTCCGCGGCACGTTCCAGGCCGCGGGACAAAACTGCATCGGCATCGAGCGCGTAATCGCGTCCGGCCAGGTCTACGACAAGCTCGTCGACATGCTCGCGCCCCGCGTCCGGGCCATCCGTCTAGGCCCCGACGCCGACATGGGCGCCATGATCTCGTCCGCCTCGTTTGATCGCCTCGAGGGCCTGGTGCAAGCCGCCGTCGCTCAGGGCGCCCGTCTGCTCGCTGGCGGAAAGCGCCACGTCCACCCCGACTACCCCGACGCCACGTACTTTGAGCCCACGATGCTTGCCGACGTGACGCCCGACATGGACATTGCCTGCCAGGAATGCTTCGCGCCTGTCCTGACCCTCATGCGCGCCGAGGCCTCGACGGCCGACGCCATGCTCGCCATCGCCAATGCGCCCAGCTTTGGTCTCGGCGCCTCGGTCCACGGCTCTGAGCGTGACCCGGCCATGGAGCCCATCATTCGCGGCCTCAAGGCTGGCATGGTGGCTGTCAACGATTTCGCCGTCTACTACGCCGTGCAGCTACCGTTTGGCGGCGTTCGTGGCTCCGGATATGGCCGGTTCGCCGGCCAAGAGGGTCTGCGCGGCCTGTGTAATATCAAGAGCGTATGCGAAGACAGGTTCGGATGGCTGGGCATCAGAACGGCAATTCCTCCGCCGATCCAATATCCTGTGCCGAATCAGAGGCACAGCTGGCGATTTGCGCACGGAGTCGTGCAAGTTGGCTACGGAGGGGGCCCGACAAAGGTCAATGGCCTGACGTCCATGCTGAAAAACATGTAAAATGCAACGTGACCGGGCCAAAGAAACAAAGGATAATTTGTATTATAAATTAATAATTTCATCAACAATTACAGTCACAAAAGCTCATGGAAACAGAAGCATGCGAATACGGGTGTGCATTTCTCAACTACCTATGGAACCTGTCACAGATCTTCCTGACTCCAATAAAGATCTAAGACTTCAGGTCATCTTTCATGAGCTAGCCCTCAAAACCACCATGACGATGCCAGTCTTTGCGTCGCAATGTACCTTACCAGTGGTTCACAGTGGCAGGAACCCCCCAAGCTTGAGAAGCAAGGCCTGTTGGACCGGGGATGGTTGCCGGAGGTTGCGAGCCGCCCCAAGATTGAGCTGCAGCCTGATTCTGAGAAGGAGCAGCTGGAGGGGCAGCGGAGGTGGCAGAGTTCCAACCATCCGGAGCAGTACGGGGGACAGCGGAGGTGGCAGAGTTCCATTCCCCCCAGGCAGCACTCTGTGGCACGGCTCCGTTCTTGGCCTGGGCCGGGCCGCCCCAGGCGTCGCCAGTCTCGCCAGTCTCACCAACCTCGTCAGTGTCTTGGCCTCCGTCTTGGACCTCGTTTGGGTCATAGTCCGACTCCGTTTCGAATTTGATCGCCTTGCCGGGGAGGACTTCCGGCTTGTAGATCTGAAGAAAATCAGGGATTTCCTGATTTGTCTCCAGAAGAGTGCGAGTTAGCACACTCGCAATCGGCTCGTCTCTATCAGTGAAAAGAGACGTTGCGACACCGCGGTGACCAATACGACCAGTGCGTCCTAACCACGTTAGTGGATGCCAAAGACGGGATTGGGTGAAGAGAAAGACGCATGACGAGAAAATATCATAACATACCGATGCGATGAGTGTACTCTTCAATACCGCCATGATCCATTGACGGCAGGTCGAAGTTGATGACGTGCATGACGTTTCGCACGTCAATGCCCCGGGCAGTGACTCCTGTGGCGACCATGATTGGTGCAGTTCCGGCGCGGAACGAGCGCATGGCGGCCTCACGCTCTAGTTGCGTGCGGTCGCTGTGCATGGACGTGACGGGGAGCCTCATGTTGAAAAGAAAATCATCGAGGAAGTCGACTTCCTGTCGACTATTGACAAAAATGATCGTTCTGATGCCGTGCATCTCGTTGAGAAGCTGAAGTAGAACATCTCTTTTCTCATGGGGCTCTACCTTGACAACAATTTGTTTAATGTTTTCAGTAGTGCTCCCAGCACGACCGACACGGAACCGCACGTGTGCAGCGGCGAGATGTTCCTTTGCCATGTCCCGAGCTTGCTTGGGAAAAGTGGCTGAGAAGAAACCATACTTGACGTTGCCATCGTCCTGATCTACTGAGCGTTAGAGTGGGAAAAAGGGACAGATGGGAAGCAACTTACCTCCGCCGAGCATAATACGCTGGAGATCTTCCTGCCAACCAACATCAAGCATCTCGTCTGCCTCATCAATGATGAGATATCTGAGACGGCGCAGACTCAGAACACGAGGCTTCTCGATAAAGGCGACAAGTCTTCCAGGCGTTCCGATGAGCACGTCGCAGCCACGATTGAGCTGATTGACTTGCTCAACAAGAGGCACGCCACCATACACGACCCCAGGGCGCAGCATGGTCCGGTAGCAAAACTTGCGAGCCTCGTTGAAAATTTGCACGGCCAATTCGCGCGTCGGTGCGACAATGAGCACCAAAGGCTCGGCAGTAACCTCATCCCTGCCCTCGCAAAATGTGACAGGGTTGGGACGAGGCGCAGCCAGCTTCTTGGCCTTGCCCATGAGAACGCTTAGAATGGGAATCAGATACGCGGCGGTTTTGCCAGATCCTATTAGGTTAGTGCCAGGAAGATTGGGGAGCAAGAAACGACGTACCGGTCTGAGCAATGCCAATGACGTCCCTGCCCTGGACAATGGCGGGGATAGTGAACTTTTGGATCGGGGTTGGATGATCATAACCAGCCAACTGGACGTTTTCCAACATGACAGGATGCAAACCGGCATCCTTGAAGGAATTGATCGCCTGAATTTTCACGGGGCCCTCCTGGCTGACCTCGATGCTTGCAATACTTGGAAATGTTAGAAGTCGAGTGAAAGTCGAGAGCTGCTGCTACGAACCGTCTGAAATCAAGGCCTGTTCTTTCATGTCTTGTGGCGGGATCACCGAATAGCTCGATCTCAAGGCTTTCAATCTTAGGGCCAACGTCACCGTACTCATCGCTCCACTGGTAGATTGGAGCACTTCCATCAAATGCATCGGAGTTCAGAATGCCAGGAGCGTTTTGGTCCGCAGCCTGGTCCGCGGCGGGCTGAGCATGACCAGAATCCATTTCGAGCTTCACGGCTTGAAACAAGAGTCAGCTTTCGAAATTCAGAGTTTGCTCTCAGAGCAAAGAAGTATATATGACAGACTTACCGAGTGTGCAGAGAAAATTGGAAGAAAAAGAGGCAATTCGATGAATGTAATAATGGAGGTTCAAGCAGCAAGGCGAAATGAGCTTTGATTCGAGAGTGTTGTGAAGGAGGAAAAACAAGAACACTCCGCGCTGCTGGATTTAAATAATAAGAAACAATGCTGTTGCCAGCTGGCAGCCGATGTTTGCCAGCTGGCAGCCGATATTTGACAGCTGGCAGCGGCCGAAGGAAACCTAGGTAGATGCAGCTTCACCCGTTTGCACTCAATGATGTTCTCGAATCAGAAAACTTGTAGTATCAGCCTGACAATGGCCGAGAATGCTGAGTTTTGTGTAGTATATAGATACGACCACCTGCTTTCGTTTAGCTCTCTCTCGTATGTGCGTAGTGAATCGGCGGTGTCTCTTTCCAGACATGGCCCTTCGAGTATTCCATTCTTTCTGTCTTGGACGAATACTGGAAAACAAGACGTAAAGAGCTTTGGCATTCTTCAAGCGTCGGATCGCCCACAGTACGCGACGTAAAGGCCTTGGACGCCTCCATAGAAGGTATCGCTCCGAGAGGTTCTGGCTCTGCCGTTACGAATGTCTTCATTTCGTAATGATATATAATTGTCACCACAATTCCAACAAGTCCTGCGTATCTAGTGCTGTTGATACCTCGAAATCCTTCATACCCTTTGCAATCACTTGTTCCAGCCCAACTGCCGCTCTTCCCGTAACGCCACCCTCTTGCTTAGTTTGATCTACTCCTTTTGATATGGCCTCCAGAAAGCGCTTGTGAAATATTTGCTGTCTGGCCTCTTTATTAGGATACATTTCCGCATCCTCGTCTCGTTGCGCCATGAATAGATTTAGATATTCAAATGAGCTCACCGAGCGTGGTAATACGTAAAGATTATCCCAGAATTGAGCACTCGTCGACTCGGTCGGTACTTCATCCTTGAAGCCGGCCTGCAGGAGCCTCGATAGCGTCACTATTTGCTTAGCACGGTTCTGCGCGTCTTTGGGCTTCAACGTCGTCCGGGAATTGGCGGCCGACGTCCAGCCTTTGGTCGAAGATGCGACGCCCCAGCCCATGACGGCACAAAACGTTGTCAGCGTACGCACCCAGCCGCCGGGGCACATCACGAGCTCGTCATCGGCAACGTCGAGCAGCCAGTCCAAGGCTGCGAGTGCATCGTTGCTAATGTCACTTGAGAGATGCGTCATGCCGGCGCGGATAAACATGATATTGTGCTCGATGACGGGTTTTACTTCGTCAGCGGGCAGCATACGCAGCAGCTTGAGCAGCTGCTGCCGGACAGGCGTTGCGTTGTCGGAGATGAGCGGAACGAGCTTGGCGAGAATCGCGGCGGTGCCTACGGGGTTGACGGGAGGCTCAAGGGCGAGCTGGCTGGTAAGGTAAGCGAGTGCGTCTTTGCGCTGCCTGTCGGAGCGGGAGGAGGAGGCGAGAGAAAGGTTGTGCTTGAATTGCTGGACGACGTCGGGTGCTTCTGTCGACAAGGATTGATGTCCCATGACAATTGCTGAGTTATGTTAGCGGTGACCTGATGCAGCCTCGAGGACCCTACCTTTGGCCTTGAAGCTTGTATCTGTGAAATTGGAGGCCTTGGCCTTATCCTTGCCGACTTTCAATTTCGTTTTCTGCAACAGTTTAGCATCAGCATCGAATGTGGCCCGGCATGTGACAAACCTTGAAGTCCTTTGCCTTCTCCTTCTTTTTCTTCATACTGGAACCCATTGTGGCAGATTTATAGAGATTGAAAGCCTTAGGGGGTTGTATCAACAGCTATATCACTGAATAAGACGGTATTCAAGATCTTTCGCTGTCGAATTGTCGTTTTGCGATGTAGAGGGGCAGGAAATTTTGGCGGTGTCGCCGGGCAAAATTGGAGTAGCGCACAGCGCAGTGTCACTGCACCCACCCACCATCTCCACCAGAGCAACAAGCTGGATCGGGGCCTGACGACGCAGCTTCGCCGTACAACATACCCGCAACCAGGCGACACTTCATCATGATGGCCGATGTGACCAACGTACGTCGAACACTCCGCGCCGGATATCCATTTTCTGACAGATTCATTCTGACACTGGGCAACTTGTAGGGAAACAGCGCCATTCTGGACGAGAAGCTGTCGCGCCTGTCTAAGAAGCCCGGCGTCAAGGCCAGCATCGTCATTGATCGGGCGAGCGGATCGATTCTCAAGACGAGCGGCGATGTCTCGGTGTTAGGAACGACACAGTCGCGGACGGCGTCGACGGCGGCATCCTTTTCAAATGAGCCGGCCGCGGCCGAGGAAAGCACTTCGAAAGGCATCGATGACTTTGCGGCCATGATCTGGAAATTTGTCAACAACTCGGGCGCTATGGTGGAGGAAATGGACAAGGATGTATGTTGTCGCGGGTTTCCATGCGCGAAGAAAAAGCTGGCGAGGAGATGCTAACTAGCGACTAGGACGAACTGCGACTACTACGACTACGAACCAGAAAGCACGAGATCGTCATTGTGCTGGACCCGAGATACCTGTTGACAGTCATTCATGATACCCCGTCCTCTTGAAGTAGGGCTTGTGTTCGAAAAGTGGGATAACAGCTTACAGGTGCTGGAAGCGCCGTCACAATAGAATGGCTATGCGCGCACTAGTACCTGATGGAATTATACATGCGATCAAGATACCCTTTTCGCATGGGCTGTGCAAAGACGGCGCCATGACGAAAACTCGAGCGTGGGAGGAAATGCCTACAAAATGTACATATTGCGCGACGTAAATGTTTCTTGCTCAGAAGGGCTTGAGCCGAGGTCGCCAGCCACACAGCCACATGACCTTCGAAATGGCATTCGACAGAAAAGACTTGGATCTATATTCGAATTTCCAATCTATTGTAGGCTCGAGCAACCGTTATTTCCGTTGCGTCTGTTGTGTATTTTACATGATGCCAAGTCAATCCACGTAGTCCATGCTGGCATACCCTCGGGCATCTGCGACTCGCGTCTTTCACACTATGCGTGGCCGTAACCTTTCATTTTCCAAGTTATATCTGTTCGTATCAAGCATCGGGTCTATTAAGCAGGAGGAACGGGAGCGGGAGCGCCCGTGGCAGTGCCGGCGGCAGAACGATCGGGAGGCGGCATAAATAGAGGCATATATGTGACAGCGAGGGCCATGACTACAGTGGTTTATCAGCAACAAACATTCAAAAAGCGCGAGTCGGGGGGGTTCATTCGGCTTACCGGAAAGACCGACGTTGAAGTAGCCGGGTGTGCCGTTCTTCTTGGTCTCGGCGCTCTCGCCGAGCCAGTTCTGGATGGAAAAGACAACACCAGCCCTGCAGTTCACCCAGTCAGCGCAGATCTCGCAACCCATCTTCCGCTTCCGTGAACATTCCGAAGATTCATCGTAGCCAAGCCCAAACTGGGTCGCATGTCGAGCTCACGCGGAAAAGGGAAAAACCGTACCAGCCAACAAACTTGTTCCTCGTAAACATGGCGGCCATGGGCATCGTCGACGACAGCGTCGAGCTGAATTCGGGGTTATCGCCCTTGGAAATGGGCTCCTGGTACGGAACGACTGCCAATGCGCGTTGATCTGTTATTAGCGAAACCAAAACCATTTCCTCCGGCCAACGGGTGCGTTGATTCGCGAGCAGCTCCAGTCTCAGCGGAGCAGTTGCTGGCACTGGCGCAGCAAGGCGCATCGCGAACCTGCTGGGAGTGAATGGTATGTCGACATACCTAGTTCCGCACGACGCATATCCTTGTTGTTTGGCGCCATTGTCAATCGAGATTGAAGTTGACGACTTGATTGATGGGGAGGGAAGCGTGCAACGAATGGCCAACTTTGGGGTTGCGCAAGCTTTCAGCATGTGGACAGAAGCGGCCTAGCGCAGCGCAGCCCACTTCAACAAGCGCACTCGAGTGAGAGAGGAAGAAATGTAAATGGAGTCGGAGATTTATTTGATTTTGGCTAAAGAAAAAATTACATGATATTCGCTTCGTAACATGGTGTAAAAATCGTCAATATTTATACATGTACTTTTTCGTCTGTTTGGTTTAGTCCACTCGCACAATAACCTTGTAGCCCAGCGCACCAGCCTCGCGAATCGCGCACGCAAGACAGCCTCGCTTGCGACGGCTGATAATAGCATTCCAGCCCTGCTCGGAGCAGAGGCTGCGGACTAAAATCTCCATGTCCGATCCCGATTGCCGCTTATGCGACTCGTAGTGCATGTTGGCGGCAAAGGAGAAGCCCTGCTTGCGGTCGGCCTGGGGCGAGGTCGACGGCGAAGCAAGGCGCTCGAGCACCGGCGACTGCGGCAGCTCGACAATCTGAGTCATGCAGTCAATGACGAGAACGGTGTTGCCAGGGGCCTTGTTTTCGGGATAGCCGACGCCCAGGAGATCGGACAGCGGCTGGTGCTTCTTTTGAATCACCTCGGATATGTGCACGACTTTGTAGTTGAAAAACTTGTGCAAGGGATGGCCTAAAGATGTGTTAGATAAGGAGCTCTGCAGAAGGAATAGCAGCGTACCCATGCGATGTAGAGCACGCGATGCGTTGCCGAGTGATGCCTCTCCAGACACGTCGATTTCGCGAATAGTCGGGCTGGACGGCGACTTGACGAATCGTACACCACGCGGTGGCGAACATGGGTGAGCATTGACAAAATTTACATCGTAAAGTAGAGAGATTATATGTTGTCTGTCAGGAATTCCGTCAATGCCAACACGAAAAATAAGTGAAGCGGGTCGAGAAAAGAGATCCGGAGCCGGCGCAGATTCATGCCGAGGAGTGGCCATAATCTCAGGCAGTGGTGTGGGATGAAGCGATAAAGCGGACGGGGAGAGCTCCAAAGATGCAAAGTCGACGAATACATTGGGTGGAGGGGATTGATATCGGTTTTCCCAGGGCATAGTAAAGTCGGCCGGCGATGCTGATTCCTCTTCTCCGTCGCCAGCAATGGAAGAATCACGCTCGAGACGTCGTTTTGCCCATATTCTCGACTTTTTGCCCAAGTTTGCAACATCCTCTGTTCAACGTTAGCCAGCAATCGCACAATCAGACGTTGATGGTCTCACCGGCCACATCCTTGACGTCAATATTAAGCCAACCTTCTTCTACGCCCATGGGTACAATGTTCGTTGAGATCCAGCCCATACACTCAGCAGAGCCACTTCCAGCTGCAAGCACTCGGCCGACGATGCACGATGTGCTCCAGAAACTCATACCAGAGTAGACAAACCCGCCACAAAGATTGGCAAAGGAGCCAAGCTTGCTCATGGCAACGTCATCATTCTCGAGCAGTGTTGCCATGAGAAAGTGCGACAGTCCATCGCCTGGCAGCATGAGTCCAAAAATGTATGACTTGGACATCCACCCAGATGGGTGCAAGGCGGCCGCGAGTCGTCTGCGTCGGGCTCTGGCTCGTTCTTTGTGGTTGCCTCGCTGGCAAGTAACATCCCACGTACCGAAATAGTCGTCGTTGGAGTGATCTTTGGATTTGGAGTCGTAGCCGCAATCGCACATGGAGGTGTCGGGTTTCTTCTTCACGGCCTCTCGCATGTGAGTAGTAATGCGCGCTTCATAGTCTTCGATACCAGGCCATCTCAGCTTTTTGGCAAAGTGAATAAGACCGTCGACTTGGCGCTGTCCGTTTCTACCTTTGATAATATAGCGCCGCGCTGGAAATGCTGGCGTCATGTGATGATGGTTGTGGTGATGGTTGAAGGGCATATGGCTCGCAATGACGGCCAACCAGCTGGCACTTTTGGCCATTATGCTCTTGACAAGAGTAGCGTCGTGATCATTCGAAAGTTCTTCCTTGGTAGCCTCCTTTTGAGGAGATTCTCCGTCTGCGACAATGTCAATGTTATCGAGCCAGCTGCGCGCAAGCAGCAGTGACCATTTCACGGTCGAGTTGGCGGCGCGCTCGAACTGGACGACGTCAATAGGTCGAAAAGCTCCAGCACCATACTCCTCGCCCTGAGTGACGGCATCAAGCCGAATAAGAAGCTCTGTGGCCATGAGAATTTGCAAGAGAAGCCAATATTTCTCCTCGGCCATTTCGTCGGAGCATTCCGTATTGTGTATGCTAGAATCCCCATCCAGACGGTCACCGTGGGGCTCTCCCCAAAGGATCTGACCAAGACGGATGCGCCACTCAACATGCGACAAGTCAATCCAGACATTGGCCGTGGCAAGACACTTGAGAATGGCGACAATCTGGTTGGTCAAGCCGTGGACGTCCTTTTTGTCGAGGGCTATGTAGCGGGGGCGCATAAAGTTACCAAACAAGTCGTTGTAGGACTCGGAGGACTGGCGTTTCCTAAGGTCGTTATTTCGGTAAATGTTGCCATTGCGCTGGAGGCGGCCCAATATTTCGGACTCTGGGATGCGGTGCAGCCAACCCTCGTTGCCAAGCATGTGCTCGCGTGCGTCGACAATGGCGCGGGCCTTTTTGCCAATGCTGTCAAAGCCAAACTGCTCCTCCTCGAGAGCGTCGCTGACGCCGAGCTCGAGCGCAGCCTGGTAGCCCATGGTGCCCTTTTCGAGGCCCTGCAGGCTGAGCATGTTGGGGCGCTCGCGGCAGCGGACAAAGAAGTGCGCGCGGCTCCGGCGCTCAGCCTGCTGCTTCTCGGCGGCGGCATCATGGTTGCGGTCGCGGGTAAGATGCGGATGGGCGGTGACGCCGCTCCAAGCCTTGGCCTCGATCTGGCAGTGGTCAGTCAGATCACGGATCTGCAGGTCCTCGTCAAAGGGGAATGCGACGGAGGGATTGGGGACGGAGATGAAGGGCCCCTCATTACGGGCAAAGTACTGGGGCGCGCCGGAAAAGAGCTTTTCAATGTCGTCCTGGCTCAGCGTGGCCATGATCTCTAGATGCAGGAGGTGCAGAGGCGAGAGAATGAGGGCAATGACATCGAGGTCCGAGGCGGTCGGGATCGAAGCGGCTGGTCGGAGGAGGGTAGCAGTGACCGGTGAGGCGGCGGGGTCGTCGTCGCGAATGGACGAGGCCAGTGGAGAGCTTGGAGCTCGCTGGATGGGCCGATGACGTCGTGAGAAGCCCGTGAGAAAATGAATAGCGAGTCCAAAAAGCGAGTGCAACTTGTAGATGGAATGGGACTTTCAAGTCTCGATGCGAGAAGGGTGAGATCCAATGGTAATCAAGATGCCAAGAAGAGTACCGAGGTCTCACCTCACGCAGGTACAGCCCGTACAGGACTGTACAAGTAACAAGCCGCCTGCTGGCGTGACATGACGCCGGGAAAGGAGGCACGGCTCCGCCAAGTGCTGGGGCGGGAGATCAGCGCGCCATTGAGTTCGAGGAATGGCGCAGACCATTTCATTTTCGATACATTGGTGATGAGGCTTATGAGTATCTTTGATACATTGACTTGTTAATTGAAGGCAAAGTTCAGGACACAGGTTGAGCTGCTGTCCAGTTTGCTGTGAAGTGACAACTTACAGGGGATGGCGGCACAATTACAGCGCAATCACTCACTATAAGGTAGCTACCGGCCTCACCGGCCAACTTTGGCAGATGTGACGCCATTTTCCGGGGTCGACTCCACTGAACGGGGACCCTGAGCTCTGAATCAGCGCTCAACAGTGCTAAATCAGCTGCTAATGAATGAGCTGGCCTGGCAGCGATGGCTCCGTGGCGTGGGACAATATATTAATAGTAAATGACGCCGAACTAGTTGTTTGATATCGGGGATTGCAGTAAACGTCAAGTCCAAGGGGGTCAGAGGCCAAGTCCAAGCGGAGCCAAGAGCAGCAGAAGAATGCAGCTCAATTGCAAGTCCTTTAAAATTCAGTACTCCGTAGCCCATCTCAATTAACATGCCAGTTGATCAGCAGCCAGTCAATCATCAGCCAGTCAATCATCAGCCAGTCAGTCATCAGCCAGTCAATCATCAGCCAGTCAATCATCAGTCAGGTAATTAACGGCCAGCCAACTAAGAGCAGTGAATAATAGCATTGAATCATCAGCCGCAGCCAACTAAATGCTATTTGACTGACTCCTCATGAATAACTGCTGCTGATAGACTGGCTGCTGATTATATGGCCTAGTAATTGAGACAGGCTACTAACTTATAAATGAACACCTGTAGGGCCCCACTCGGACTTGAGGTTTATTTACTAATAAGCAAGTATCCGTACCTGCACCTAATATCGGCTTGTGAAGGTGGAACGATGCAGGTTCTTCTAGTTAGGTATTCGAACAGCCTACGTTATGACAGCATGACTTGGCTGCCGGTACGTAAGGAGTAAGTAGCACGACAACTGTTGGGCAGAATATAAGCAAAGAGAGACAAACAAAAAAAAGGGGGGGGGGAATTGGCTAGCTTTTATATTCTTTGCAGCATGCCGGAAAACTTCATCCCTTTTTGGCGGCCCAACTTGGCGATGGAGTCAAGCCCGCCACGCCCTGAAACGCAGGCGGAGACAGTCTGCGTGTCGTCCCTTGTCGCAGAGCCGCGTTGTCACAATCGCCAATACACACAACGTTCGTTTTTCAGTCATTAGTCTTGCCCTGGCTTCTCTTCCCTTTTCTCATTTTTTTCTTGACCGAATTTTCTCGCAAACAACAAAATTATCACAACCAGTCGAGGCAGAACACATTACTACTCAATCAAGCAACTCCAACAAGATGCAATTTTCACTGTCGACAGCTCTGCTCCTATGGACAGCCTCGCTAGCCAGCGCCGGCATTGTCATTACACCGATTCGCGATAATCAAATAGTCCAAAGAAATGCTGGCGATTGCTTCTATGGAGTCGTGACGCCTCAGGGCTGCGGGTAGGTTTTATCTCACAAAGCAATGTGCAGTCAGGAAAGCTAACTCGTCAAAAGTCCCAAGAGAGGTTGAATACACATACAAATAACTCCTCCAAAAAAAGAGAGGAAATTAATGAAAGTAGTCCGCGAAAAGGAGATGATTTCGCCAAAAGGGGCGCGTCTGCCGGGAGCAAGATGCGCAATACTACATTGACATATTAATACTACTAGACATACCCACATAGCAATACATTCATTCGTCACTATTTAGTTACTATTGAACAACACAACTGCAAGTTTATAGATTTGATCTTCTCCAATCTTGGCGTTATTTTTTTTAGTAATTTTCAAGCAATTGTCATTGCTGCTAGCTAAAAGAACAACCAGAGAAACAGCGCCCTCTACTTAACTACTGTCTGAAACGTCTCTAGCACCTACTCAGCTTGCAAATACTCTCTCCCGTATCAATATCGTGAAACTGGTAGAGCCGCGAAACCAGCATCGAGTTTCAGACGGCCACCCCGACTTTATGCCTTCGAAGACAAACCGACATTGGCTAATACCGCGGAATTCGTCTCCATTTTTTCTGGAAATACTCGGAAAGAAGAGACCTTGGCGATGATGTCAAATCGAACCCGCTTTTATGCGAACATCGGGACACTGACACGCGCAACGTAAAAATAACCATTCCATTCATGATAAAAAACCTGCAATACATTGGATGATTCCTAAATTAATCCGCTCAAGCAGATAGGTATCCGTATCCATTGCCAAAAGAAAAAGCAGGAAAATCATGATCCTTCGAAATACATAGGAGAAATAATAGAGAGTTAAAAAATAAAACAAAATGGCATCAACTTTCACATGCCAACAATCCAATACAATTCATAAAATTCCCGCTCAGTGGTACAGCTTGTCGAGCGGGCAGAAGAGGCCAAAAATCACATGGCCAGTCTCTATGACAGGTCAGAGATGCACTGGGCTAACTGCGCGTCGCACGCGGAAGCGTCGGCACCCTCAGCGGTGCCCGACTGGACAGCCTCCTGGCAAGCTGCGCGCTGCGCATCGCACGAGCGCTGCACGGCGTCGCCCTGGGTGGTGAAGCTATTGCCCAGCGTGGAAAAGGGGCGGTCCGGGTCGTTGGTCTGGACAACCTCGGCGGCGGCCACGCCGCCGACGGCTGCCGACTGGCTGGCACCGCCTAGGCCGCGCTGTCCAGCTTGGCCTCTTCGTCCGCCCTTTCCACCTTGAAACACCCCGTTGGCACCTGGGAACAGACTGTCGGCACCTGGGAACAGACCGTTCAGGCCGTCGTTGACTTGACCATTGTTCTGCAGACCACCTCGGCCTCCGCCTTGCTGGACGTTACCATTCTGACCGTTGCGATTCTGGCCGTTGTTGTTGTTACCACCGCCATTGTTGTTGTTACCACCGCCTTTGTTGTTACCACCGCCATTGTTGTTGTTGTTACCACCGCCGTTGTTGTTGTTGTTACCACCGCCGTTGTTGTTGTTGTTGTTGTTGTTACCGCCATTGCCGCCGCCACCGACGGTGAAGCGAACGCAGTCATCTTGAGCACCGCGCTGGGCGATGGGCATAAGGACGGGCTGATGATTGGCAGCAGAAGCCATGCTGCACAGACGGTAGTTGCCAGGAGGGAGACCGCCGGCGACCTTGGCCGAGAGTAAACCCTGACCGTTGCCGGCGTCGTTGATGCCCTTGAAAAAGACAAACTCCTGGGGGTTCAGAGGCTGCTGGGGGTTGAGACCGCGACCCGTGTCCTGGACAGTGACGTGGGTGTGGCCAATGATGAAGCCCTGCCCGTTGGTATCTTGAGGCGCCGAGTAGTAATTGCTAGTAGCGTTAGTGAAGGTGCCGGGCGCAAAGTTCGCCATTTGCACCTGGATGTCGAATTCCTGCTTGGGAGGGAGGTTGTCGCCATTCTGGGGTTGAACAAAGACACTAGAGACCATCTTTTCGACAGCGGGAATATTGCCCATGACTACACAGCATTGTCAATAAACTGCGTGGATGTAACTACACTGTGAAACTTACCTATACCGTTGCAAGATCCTTGGCGGACCTGAGCACCGTTGGTCAAGGTCTTTCCCTGGCAAAAGTTGATAAAGTTGTTGTTGGAACTGTCATCTCGTTAGTCCTGCCCGTAAAAGGTTGAAGATGTAATTACATACACCGCAGAAGCAGCTTGTTCATCGGAGCCAGGGTTGTCGCCATCGAAGAAGGAACCTTTTTGCAAAACTTTGGGGTCCAGCTGAAGATTGCCATTACCACCGTTATTGCCATTGTCGCCGCGGTTGTTGCCGTTGCCATTGTTGCCGTTGCCATTGTTGCCGTTGCCATTGTTGCCACCGTTACCACCACCGTTGTTGCCATTTTGGCCGCCCTGTCGCTGACCGCCGTTGCGGTTCTGACGACGCTCGAGGGCGGCGCGGAATGGAGAGCGGCGCATCTCAGCGGCGTCGACAACCATGGCCGCGCCCACGAGGGCTGTTAGGATGGCCTTGAGTTGCATGTTGAAGAATATTGTCGTCTAGATGAAATCGATTGTGCAAGGCTAGACAGAATTTGTTGTAGAAGCTAAAAAAGGACAAGAGCAAGCCGTAACAATTCACAATCTATGATGGTTCCAGACCGAAGATGATTGTAAACGAGAGTCGATGTTGGTGTACAAGCCGTCGGATGTGTGAAGCGAGCAAAGGAGCGAACGAACGCGGAAGACAAAAGCAGCCCAGCACGCTCAGAAAATAAGATAGTGAATACGACCAGCGGTTGAGGAGAAGAAAAAGAAGGGACGGAACAAGCGCACAGTCAAGAGAGAGAGGGGAATTATCTTTAAAACGTAAAGAGAGTCCGAGTTGAGAGGGGCGGGCAAGAGGGGAATGCCAAGGTCATGCCTTTAAGAACCCCAGCAGCAGAGAGACAACCCCAGCGGGATTCAGCGGGCAAAGGCAAAAAGATAGCCTAAAAAGGGACGAGACGGAATCTCGGCTCGCTAAATGGCAGGGTGGGATGGATTCAGGTTCCCGGGGGGGGTGGCAGCTTGCATGAGTGCAACCAGCCCGGCCCCAAACCGGCACACACGGCCAGTACCGGGAACTTGCAGAGAAGAGGCTCTTTGATCGAGCGTTCATCTCCACGGGGTCAAAACCGGCAGTGGTGGTACCGTCGGTCGAAAAAATCACCGACATCTGCCATCATTGAGCTTAAAGTTGTGCGTAGAGCGATAGGCGAGCTTGTGTGTGGCATCTCCATCCATCATCTCTACTCGGTTTGTGATGAAAATTCTCGCGTTTGGGCAAGGAGACGGCGCGAAAAAGGTAAAATATGAGATTGTCAGGATTAGGACGGTGTTTCTAAACCAGAGGAGTCGCAGCTGCAAGAGCGTGATGCCATGCAGGATCGATTCGGCAATGGCATCACCTTTGTGATTCGTCAAAAACCCCGGGGGGGGACATGTCGTTGGTGGGTGGTGGGTTGCAAGCGCCCTGTGAAAACCCCTGCAGTCCCCACTACATCGAGGTGCCAAAATCCAAAAAGAGAAAGGTTTCTGCTAGCTTTTCCAGGCGGCTGCATGCATTAAGTCGCGAGGACCGGCCGCGAGGGCGTCTGAGGTGTAGAGTTGTGTCGCAAAGGTGCGGCAGCCCCTGGTCTGACGTTGGGCGCTCCGGCCAATGGGCGCCGCGCCGGCGTTCGGGGCGGCTCCATCGGGCGCATGGCCTCTTACACAGGTGAAGCGCGCCGCGAGACGTGTGGGAGACTCCCTAATTGATAGCTACCAGACGTCTGAGGATAACTGGACTTGCCTGGATGTGAATGGTTGAATGGAAATAATTTTTCCTTTTTTTCCCCTCGTTTTTGTCATCTCGTCCTGAACACGTTCCGCCACCTTGTTCTGCGGGTTGCCTCTTGAGGGCCAGCACCAGCCCCAGCCCGCACACTAATTCGCAGCTTGTAAATCGGAACCTCGTTGTACATTGCTCGATCTCAGGCTGGCCTGGTCGGATGAACGAACCGCCACCAGCTACCTATGCAGTGTTGGCCTTGTCTGAATGAGCACAATAGTGTGTGCAAATATGCCCGTTCAACTGCACTAGTGCACGTCTCGTCTCAGGTCCGCTATGTGGGATCGAGTATCCCCTCAATTTCGCACTTTAAGAGCTGATCAGACCGGATAGCAACGCCACATGTCTGGGGAACGGAGATTTTTCGTTGGGCGTCTGTGCCGTGAGCCCGACATGGCTGTTCTGTGCCGAACATGTTGATTGTAAGACGCCTGGCTGCATGGGAAAACGGCCTCGACTTGTGCCGGTCAATTACTAGATTTGCGGATTTTCAGTTACAGTCAAGTAAGTCCAAAACGATTTCTGTCGATTTATCAAATTTTCATTCGGATAATCCGGCATGGTGCCGTCACGGACGCTCTTCTCCCCGCCAACCTTGGCAGACACTCATTGCCAAGATATTTGGCAGCACGTCGCTCTGAAACACCCATCATCTAAAATACAGGACTGCGGCTTGTACATGTAGAGATTGATGGGTGTGGCTGTGTAATTGTGTGAATACAAGGCAGTCTCCTGGTTCATTATCCAATTTGGAATGGTCTCGTCTGATAAAAACCGATTCCGATGACGCGCCTCTTGGGACGATCTGAGTACTGTATTGTAGCAAGTTGATGACAATTCTTGCTCGGGCTTTTGGCATCCGTCGTTCGGTAGATGGGGGGGTTGCATAAATGTCAGTTGGTGTCGCAAATGCTCGAAGACTATTACAGTATTCGGCCCATTAAATATTAAAACCATCAGATCTAAGAATAACAGAAATTCTATTACAGTTCAACCTGAGTTTCACTGTCTTGCTTTCGGTGTGCATTGTACTCTTCGGCAATCTTATCGAGCAGAGCCGCCATTCTATAGCCAGCCAGAGCAACTTGCTTCTCCAGGATTGGTGCGGCGTCCTCGTAGTACTGGCCGCTCAGCTCCTGGTCTTTGATGGTCTCAGGGCCTTGTGGAAGAACTTGTCTCTTTTTAGCGCGGCGGTCAAAACAGACTCGGAACCGTTGTGCGACTCACCATGCGAACAGACGAGGGCGTTGGCCTCGCGCGACCACGCCAGCGCTGTACCATTAGTATCGGCCAGATTGATGTCCTTTATCCATGACTCCTTCTCCTCAGCCCATTTGCCATGGCTAATCTCCTCGGTGAGCTGCGTCGCCCAGCGCTTCGCCAACGGGTAGGGCTTGCCGCGCAGGCCGCCCAGCCATTTTTCTAGGATGGAGCTGTCCCAGACGTGGTGCAGGTTGAGCTCACGACCACCCCATCGGACTAGGATGCCATTACCGCCACGTGCAACGTCCTCGTTGTGCAGCGGCTGGTGCAGGTCGCCGACGAAATGGACGACAAACTTGGCAGCCTGCGCGCGGCGCCACGCGGGCAGCTTGTCATCGTAGAGCTGCTCGGTGTAGTTTGTGAGTGACGAGACGACACACCCAGTCTGCTTGCAGTCGCGCTCCAAATCTACGTTGCACGAGTGCGGCGGCTGGTCGTGGGCATCGATGAAGTGAAACGTGCTGGTGAACTTGCCCCATTTTGTGTAGCGGATGGAGTCGGCCCAGCTAGCTACGGAAGCGAGATAGTCGTCGTCGGTGCGCCTGAGAAGCTCCTTGAGATAGGCTTCGGTGGAATTGGCGATGAAGTTGCTTGCAATATAGGCCGTGGTGATGTGCCCAAGACCTGGGTGCGGGTTAGTGGGAGAGCGCGCCACATGTCTTCAGCGCGGAGCGTAGTAGAGCATACTTCCCCATGCCGATACTGCAGGCAGCGCGAGGAGGCCGCACGTTACGGCAGCGTTGAGTCTCATGTTGACGCCGTTGCGCGGGGATGGGTATGGGATGGTGAGATGGTGTTGATGTCGCAACACACAGCGTTCCAACTATTTATTATCCAGGGATTCGACGAAAAAAAAAAGCGCACTTGGCCGCCTAAATAGGCCGCAGACGTGTTGTGATGATGGAACGACCACATGCGCTGCAGAGTTGACGAGCGAAGCCTACAGCCACTGCACGCGAATCGAGGCCCAAAACAACGGCCCACGTGAAACGAAAGTGTGATCACGCCGACGTCAGTGCAGAGACACTTTCGGACGGTACGGCGCCAAAAGGAAAAAGAAGAAAAAAAAAAGGTCGAATCATCTTTTGCTTCCCGGTCGTCGGTCTCAAATTCTCAAAGAAAATATGTTGGGCAGATATTGGCCATATTATCCTGTACAAGATCGGGCCATTATCTCCTTCTCTCCTGGCCTCCTGGCAGCAATTGGGTCAACAAAGTAAGGGAAATGGAGTATCGGGCGCGTCAGCAAAAGTGACCAAAGACAACTCGCAAAGCTCTCTTTCCTCATTTACCACGTCACAGTTGTGGAATTAAGCCGGTTCCATTGAACTTGTCTTGGATACGATGATGCTTTACCAGCGGCCAAGGCTCGAGGCCCGATAGAGGCAATACGCTGATGCAGCCGCCATCTGGCATAGCGCAGCGATCATGGTTTTCCACCTTAAAGGTCCAAAGAGTACTCATTAGAGATTGAAATTTGCATCTGGGAAAATCAGCATCCATGCAATGTAGCCTGGCGCAGCTTACCCCGTCCAACCACGTCTTTTGACGCACCTCTGCCTTGCTCAGCCTCAGCTGCACCTCCCTAATGCTTCACCGGATGGTGCTGCTGCAAGCGTCGCCAAACTACAGACTCAGCGCCCCGAGTGTGATGAAGCTACTAACATGTGACGATGCCGGCAAATATAGCCTTACCTCGGATCTTTCCCTCACCGAGATCCCGCCGTACGCGATTTCTTTCCCACACGTGGGGATCGGATGAAGTCACTTTCGCAGATATAGGGAGCTCTAGACTCAAGTGGCAGCAAAAGGTGGGCTATCAAAAGATTCGATTTTGCGCGGAGCAAGCGAGGCGAATGTTTGCATTATTTCTGGGTGGACACTTGCTGCATCGACAAGTCCAATGCTATCGAGCTGCAAACGGCCATCAATAGCATGTTCCGGTGATACCGCGATGCAGAACGATGCTATGTGTACATGGCTGATGTATCCCACGCCAGCGCGTCTAATGAGCAAGAAATTGCGCCTTGGAGGACGCCGTTTCAAAATAGCAGATGGTTCAGCCGCGGCTGGACGTTGCAAGAACTCATCGCACCGAAAGTGGTAGAGTTTTATTCCAAAGAGGGTACTTTCTTGGGCGACAAGCAATCTTTGGAATATATTATTCGTGACATCACGGGGATCCCGACAAAGGCGCTCCGTGGTACCCCGTTGTCCGAATTTACTGTCACCGAGCGCGAGTCGTGGGCTCGTAATCGTCAGACAAAGTATGAAGAAGATATGGCATACTCACTCCTCGCAATATTCAGCGTATTTTTGCCACTGATATACGGTGAAGGACGAGATGAGGCGAATGGCGACTTCGAGAAGAGGTTCAAAAGGCGGTAAAAGGTATGCAGAGATCACGGCAGACAGGTAGAGAAGTTGACCATTTCAGGCCCGCCAAACAACGACTTTGCCATCACCTTTAGTCTTTCAGAGGCACCAGAGATACAAAATTTTGTCGCAAGAAAAGAGGAACTGGCGGAGATGCGCAGAACACTTATCTCGGATGGCAGCCGTCGTGTCGTGGTCCTCCATGGCCTTGGCGGCATTGGCAAGACTCAGCTCGCCGTGGCATATTTAAAGCGATACCGAGACGAATACTCGGCCATATTCTGGCTGAATATGAAGGACGAGACTTCCATCAGACAGAGCTTCGTCAATGTTACGAAGCAGATACAGCAACAAGGTGCTGATGCGCATCTGTTCAGTGAGCTCGGCGCGGATGATGACCCGAACAAGGCTGTGGAGGCTGCAAAGTTGTGGTTAAGCTTACCATGAAACACAAGATGGCTCCTTGTCTACGATAATTACGATGCAGCCAAGCTGAGTGAGGCAAAGAGCGGCGAGGGAATCGATATCTGCAATTTCCTACCAACGGCTTATCAGGGTGCCCGTCATTTTCACGGCACGGTTGTCGCTCATCGACATGGGCCATGTAGTTCGCGTAAAGAAACTAGAGTCCATGGCAGATAGTTTAGAAATTCTTGCTTCGACATCTGGACGAGCTAATTTACAGAAAGGTAAAGTTTTCCGAGACTGACCTGAGAGCTCCGCTCACAACTGACAGATCCGGACGCCAAGAGGCTTCTTCAGGAGCTTGACGGACTACCATTGGCCCTTGCCACAGCTGGTGCATTCCCTGGCTGTTCGAGGCTGCGAACGTACTTATGGACCAAACCATGTGAATACTTTCACCTTCCTTGCTAGACTCGGCATAACCTTCAGTCTACAATGCAGAATGAAAGAGGCCGAGGATACTCTGCTGCGGGCACTTTGCGGGCAAAACAAGTTACTTGATACCGAGCATCCGTTCCTAGTCGTCACACTTAATGGCTTAGCTTTTTTGTATTCAATACAAGGCCGGCTTGAAGAGGCAAAAGCCATGTATCACAGGGTGATACAAATACAGGAAAGACATTGGGGGTCAGTTGTTTCGAAAGGACTCTGCAGCCTCAAAACGATAGCATTGATGAACTCTGATCAACACAACACGGAGAAGACTGAGCAGTTTCTCTGGGATATTCTGAAAATATCTGGCCAGAACAATAGAGATTATTTATCGACTCAGGGGGCGCTTAGTTGCCTTGGAGAGCTTGATATGCTCCAAGGGAAGCTGCCGGAAGCGGAAAACATATTGTTGAAAGCACTTGGTGAACCGAAGAGGCTGCTTGGAGTGAAACGTCTAGATTCCCTCTATACAATGACAGGTTTAGCGGACCTGTATCTATCTCAAGAAAAGCTACAAGAAGCTGAAGCTCTGTGTCTCAAGGTAGTCCGAGGATATGAAGAAACTCTGGGCAGAGATATCATAACGACGGCATTTGCGCTCTTCCAACTGGGAAGTGTATATCTCGCCCAGAGGCGATTTGAGGAGGCCAAGAAGATCTACCTCGAGATCTTGAAGAAGCCGATGAGAAAACCCGGGCTGGAACCCCATCTTGCAATGTTTGCCGCGCTGGATCTGGGCTGGTTGTACCACATTCGGGGCCGGTTTCGCGGAGCCGAGTCCATGTTTCGGCGGGCCCTCGGTGGCTTTGAAGTATGGCTCGGACCGAACCACAAGCAAACGCTGGTGCTGGTGTCGAGGCTGGGCCATTTGTGCATGGAGCAGGATCGGGCGGACAAGGCCGAGCCGCTGTTGGCACGCGCGCTCCACGGTTATGAGGAAACGATTGGGCCGGCGGGCTTTGCGCAGTCCCGGGAAGCGCTCGAGGCCGTGGCGGATATGGGCATGCTACGACTGAGCCAGGACCAGCAGCGCGAGGCACGCGGGTACCTTCGGCGTGCGCACGACGGCTACATGTCGCTTCTCGGGCCGGATCATGCAAGAACACGTCAACCACAAACGGTGCTGCGCGAGTTGGAATGGCTGTCTGTCTTTGATTAACGGCGGGAAATTTGATAATGAGGGTTGGCGGCTGTGGCAGGTGCCAGCCCTGCCACTCTGCACATTCATCACCAAACCCAAGTGCAGCACTTTCCTCTGTTCGGAAAAAATGACGGCGTGTGGATCTCCAAATAGCAGGGTGTATTGCACAAACACGATAGCGGCCGACCAGGCGGGGGCCAATTGTGCGGTGAAGGCTGGTGATGCAGGCCTACCCCCAAAGGGTGCCAAAATTGCAACTTGTGCTTGTTGAAACAATGCCAGGCATTACCCCGCGTGTCGCAGATGTGCAGCTGCAGATGCGAGATGGCATATGACGTACCCATCCTGTGGCTTTGTACGGTGTCTTGTCAGTGGACAGAGACTGATTGTGGCGTATCTCGTGGAGAGCTGAAAGTTTATTCCGACACTTGAATAAAAATTTTTAATATTCAGTTCAGAGGCTTTTGAACAAGTCTATTTTTCGCTTTTTCTGCCAAATTGCATTTTTTTTAAACTTTCTGCTTCCTTCTTTATCTTGTCAAAATACCTGTACTCTCAAGCCTCCCCGAAGCCGGCAGCTCAAGTGACAACCAACCCGCTGAATCATACCTCAGCAGCCAATGAGAGCATCGCCTTTTACCAATCTGCCCCACGCCGCGATAAGGACTCTCTCGGGAAATCCGTACGTATGACTATCTACAGGACCGCGGCGCCAAACCTGACCTCGTGAGCCCCAACCATCTGACCGCCCAGCAATTGATCGTCGTTTTTACAAAACCTCAGACCTTTAATATACATTTCCTGCGGCGGAAACTTGCTGATTGAAATCTATTGCACCTTTTCTCTTACTTGACGCGGAGCCAGCAGGTTGTCGCTGCACGCCTTGTTCGCTGCAAGTTTACATTTTTCTCTTATCTCCAGCAGCAATGGGCTTCCCTCTCGCGAGCCTAGCTGCCGCGGCCTCGCCGCACGACGGCATGCCGCTGCCTGAAGCTATTTCTGGCATCTTTGGCAGCATCAGCATGGCTTCATGGATTTGTCTCATGGTACGTCCGCAGCAAATTCTTTTAATTGCTAGATTTAGAACACTGACCAGGCTCTAGTTGCCGCAAATGTTTGCCAATTACAAGGCCAAGAGCGCCGACGGCATTAGCATGACCTTTCTGTTTGTCTGGATGCTCGGCGACATAACCAATCTTCTTGGTATGTTCCATTCGTCCCAGAGACTATTCTACGCTAATTTCGCCCGGCAACAGGCGCATTTTTCACCCACCTCGCCCCGACCGCCATTGCTCTCGCCTGCTACTTTTGCGTCGCCGACTGCGTCCTCATCTCGCAGTGCCTGTATTACAACAACCTCAACCGCCGAAAGGCCGCCCGCGCCGCCGCTGCTCACCACCACGCGACCGAGGACGCGCCGCTGCTGGCCCGACGCCGCAGCGAGGAGTCGCGCCGCCGTCGCGCGAGCCACTCCTCACAGACCAAGACGCACGTTGGTGACGACGTTCTCGACACGAAGCCCTGGGTACAGAACCTCGTCAGCCTGGTCGCTGTCTACGTCATTGGCTTTCTTGGCTGGTTCATCTCCTACAAGGCCGGCGCGTGGAAGTCGGATCCCGCCCCGCCCTCGAACCCGGACGAGGAGAGGACGACGCTCGAGTTTATCGGCCTGATTTTGGGCTACGCCAGCGCCTTTTTTTACCTTGCGTGCGTACTTTGTATAGATTCTAAAGAAGCATAGCATTGCTAACAGTTTTCAGTGCCCGTGTGCCTCAAATCATCAAAAACTACCGCGAAAAGTCGTGCGAGGGTAGGCCTCCCACCCCCCCACCAACCTGGTACATACTAAACAAGTCTTGCAGGTCTCTCGCTGCTCTTCTTCCTCCTCTCGCTCACCGGAAACGCTACCTACGGCGCCAGCCTAGTCGCCTACTCCCAAGACACAAAGTATCTGCTCAATGCTGTGCCTTGGCTGCTTGGCTCGCTCGGCACCATCTTCGAGGATTCCCTCATTTTTGTGCAGTTTCACATTTACGCCAACAGCGCGCGCGTCTCCAACTCGTCGGTATGAAGGGAGAGTAGTATTGAGAATTGTCTTGCATGCTGCATTGAATGTACGACTCATTTCACAGTAATTTGGGTGGATCTTTGCATTTCTAGGTTGAGACTTTGTCAGGATCTGCATATGGCGTTGTCTGCTCTGTCGCAGGGCTAGCATGCCTTGCGTCGAATCGGCTTTCCGAGCTTTTTCATTTTTTTACATCATATATCAGGATTTATGACATTGTGGTAGTTGGTTAACGACCCACAGGTACCCTACGGGGATATCATTTATGTATTTATGAAATAATTCATCTTCACTGTCTCTAGTGTGCTAACTATCTGGCTATGTCGGGCCACAATACACGCGAACGCACATCAGGCCTGACTGCATCCACAGAAGTGTGGATCGGCGTTTTTCCAGCGACAGTAAAGCGCGGACCGGGCAGGCACTGGCAGATGGCAGGACCCCGATATTTTGCTGGTGGCGACACTCCGATGGCGGGGCACCAAGGTGCTTTATGGCGGGGCATCTGTTTGCCCTTGAGTCTTTACCAAAAATTATCTGCAGACGACATTGGCACTGCCTTGCATCTTGTCTCTGTATTCTACAATTCTTGAGACGTTCAAACAAGTCATAACTTGATTTCGGTCTATACCCGTCACAATGCCTACGCAACTACCTCCCAAGAAGTGCGGTGCGTCTACCCCTCGACCCCACCTCCGATTCCGTCCGCAATTGCCTCGTGCCTCGAAGCTCTTCTCTGTCAACTCCAAGCGACGAAAGACGAACGACCGAATATTACTAACTCAGTATGTGAAATAGGCGTCCTGGGCGCGACTGGCTCCGTCGGCCAGCGCTTCATCCTTCTCCTCGCCAAACATCCCTCGCTTGTACTTCACGCCATCGGCGCGTCATCGCGCTCCGCCGGCAAGGCCTACAAGGACGCCGTCCGCTGGAAGCAGGCCTCACCCATGGGCAAGGTCGCCGATTTGGTGGTGCGAGAGTGCAAGGCTAGCGAGTTTGCCGACTGCGACGTCGTCTTTTCCGGCCTCGACTCTGACGTGGCCGGCGATATTGGTTCGCGTCTCCCGCCCTGGTCCTCACGTACAACGACTTCCCTGACTAACCCTCTGCAGAGATGGAGTTTCTCAAGGCCGAGATCCCCGTATTCTCCAACGCGAAAAACTACCGCCGCGATCCCCTCGTGCCGCTCGTCGTCCCGACTGTCAACCTCACTCACCTCGACCTGATCCCACACCAGCGCTCCGAGCACAAGCTCTCCAAGGGCTTCCTCGTATGTAACTCCAACTGCGCCGTCATTGGGCTAGTTATCCCCTTTGCCGCGCTGCAGGCCGCGTTCGGCCCCATCGACCTCGTCAGCATCGTCACCCTGCAGGCCGTCTCAGGCGCCGGCTACCCAGGCGTCTCGTCTATGGACGTGCTCGACAACATCGTGCCGTATATCCAGGGCGAAGAAGATAAGCTCGAGACGGAGGCGCGCAAGATCCTCGGAAGCCTCGACACCACCAAGACGGCATTTGTCGAACAAGACGGCCTGCGCGTCTCGGCCGCCTGCAACCGCGTCCCAGTCCTCGACGGCCACACGGCCTGCGTCAGCCTCAAGTTCAAGAATCAGCCCGCGCCATCAGCGGAGGCGGTCAAGAAGGCGCTGCGCGAGTACACGTGCGAAGCGCAGGCACTGGGCTGCCCGTCGGCACCAGAGCCGCCGATTGCGGTGTTTGAGGAGAATGATCGCCCGCAGCCCCGTCTGGACCGTGACCTGGGCAACGGGTACACTGTCAGCGTTGGCCGCGTGCGCGAGGACGAGAGCGGCATCTTTGATCTCAAGTTTGTTGCTCTGAGCCACAACAGTAAGTGTCAAGTTTCGTTCGCAGAGTCGTTGCAAAATGCTAAGCTAATAAATACATAGCCGTCATTGGAGCTGCCGGGTCGTCCATTTTGAATGCCGAGGCCGCCATCCTCAAGGGCTACATCTAAATACCGTCACAACCCGCCATGTACAAAGATACATCCGCATATAGAATACACTGCTCAAAAAATGCCGTCGAAAAAGTTATTCGATTTTGCCGTGATCCTCGATGGAAATATGCCGTTGATTTAGGGTACGTCGTACAACGGCTCCTTGAAGTATTTACGATGGCCCTCCTCGTTGACGGGACATTGTCGCTGTAGCTGGTTTTGCAGATCGAGAGCGCAAGGAATATCATCGAAGCATAAAAATATATGACAATGTTTTTTTATCCCTTTATATTTTCCAACAGTAGATTCGAGTTAGCGCGCCCATCTTTCGTCCGACCTAATCCTTGTAATTAAAAAGCATATCCTCTTCCGACTGCATCTCATAGTCGTCGTACATCAAAATCTCTTCCAGCCGCGCCATATCCATGTCATGAGCCAATGCTTTCGCTTCGGTTCTGTAGATTAGATGTTAGCAGGGACAAACGGTGGAAGCAACGAGGAGACCTTACTTGATTATCATCTCAAACATGAAAAAGAAGATGCCCCAGAGAAGAATACATGAGAGAATCGGCTTGTAGTGCTCAATAATAAACTCTCTGTATGACTTGGTGGCCAGTTTCTCCTTGGTGCAGCGCAGCTCATCTCCACGGGGAGCATTTTCGCGGCACTTCCAGCCGGTAGCGCTTTCGTCTTCAGGGTTGCGGATGGCGTACACGACTGCGGGAGGAGCCTTGCTGACGGACTCGTGGTCTTCTGAGACGCGAGCTGCTGGACGGCTAATATCATTCTGGGGGTCCAGGATGATTTGCTTCGGGGCGGGAACAGCCACTGCGACGCCGGCGGCGAATGCTACAATGGTAGAGAATCTCATATTGATGGCTGGTTTAGGGATGGTCCAACTCCATTAACTCAAGTTCGATGGTCGCTTCTCTCCTGTCCCGGCGTCCCAACTGCGGAATGTTCTTCAGTGAGAGACTATCTAGGTGCAAAAATCTGCAAACTGCTCAAAACGAGCAGGCATTGTTTTAACTGACAGATTATAAATTCGCGATCCAAGCCACACATGCGACATGCTTTTAGTGGCGGCAAGCCAACAAAAGTTATATCGGTGGCGCTGCGATTTGATGAGCAATGTTAAAGGTAGAGTCAGGGTGGCAATGGCCTCAGATTTAGTTGGCAATGGCAATATAATCGTACGTGAGTAGTTTCACGCATGTCGAGGGGCCCGACGAGAGGCTATTATTCAAGCTGCACCAGGACTCGAGGATATATATCAAAATCTGATACTGGTAAGACAGGCGTGACGGTGTACGTGTGCTTTTGGTGGTGCCAGGCCTCCAAATCTTTACACAAATATATTCCCAGGCCAAGACCTATCCTTGGCCGAGACCGTGCAGTTGTTGAGGAAGGTGGCCGGTGACTGGCTGAAAACCGGGCGCGGCATGTGAGTACTCTACAGCCAGTCCACGATTCTCAAACTAATCACGCATGGTACAACGTCATTGGATGGTAATTGCTAATATTCGATTTTATGCCCTCGTTCGTTGCTGCGTTAGGTGGCTAAGCTATGTGCCAACAGCGCACTTCTAAGTATATTGTCGGCCCGGCAGGGCTGGCTCTCCACTCTTTGGTCTGCCTCATCGCCACTTCAACTCATCTCCAAAACCAGAGCGACGTTGTTGTCTACGTGCAGTTCAAATTCAAAACATCAAGCAACGCCCTCGTCAACGAACTTAACAGTATATCGCGATAATTTTGTTTTATATATTAGCTTCTGCTCGTTCTACAGGCCACGTACCTGTCCAGGCCGTGACCAATAACCCCCGCGCCTTCGACCCCTGGAATCGCTTGCAACGTCGAGAAGGCCCACGGAAATATACGATATCCGCCCCTAATCGAGTACGAAAATAGGATTCAGATTACAGCAAAGGGTAGCTACCCAGTGCGCCCGCGACATGCCTTCACCGACAGACGACGAGATACCATTCCCGACGCTGAGCAGCCACCACCGCTCCCACCTCTCCCCTAACGATGCCTGCATCTCACCCCCGCGTCGGTATGACGGCGCTGGCGGCGACGGCGCGTCCGACTCTGCGATGCGTCTGCGGCGGCTCAATGGCGAACGCAGCGGGAGCCGACGGCGGAAGCGAACCTGGAAGAAGCTCATGTGGGTGAAGCAGTCATGTACGCTTTATCGCGGTCCTCTCTGCTGCTAGCACAAACAAATAAACACAAAGAAAACATCAACTGACGAAACGACGCGGCGCAGACCCCGACAACTACACCGACCAGGCCACGTTTCTTGAAAACCTGCAGCGCAACCCGCGGCTGAAGCCCTACGACTTTTGGCCGCTCGTCGCCGACTCGACCGTCATCCTGCAGCACGTCTGCTCCGTCATCATCTTCATTGTCAGCTTCGTGGCCATCTTCCACTCGCGCGTCTCGCCCGTCTCCGTGGCCAGCTGGAGCTCCGTTGGCACCTTTGCCGGCTGGATCCTATGGGAGCGCTGGGTCGCCGAAGAGGAGGACCTCGAGGAGGAGCAGCTGATGAACCCGTCGTCGACCGCCGCCGGTGCCGTCGCTGCTGCCTCTGCGTCCACCACCGCGGCGGCCGTGACAAGGCCGGCGGTGCCGCCTACACGTCGCAGGACGCGCGCTGGCAGCTTGCGTAGGCCCGTGCTGCCCATCCCGCCCCCGTCTACAGCAGGCTCGTCAGCCGCGAGCTCCACGACGAATCTCGAGCTCGGCGCTGCGACGGGCCGAAATTCGGCCGGCAACACCACCGGCAACGATCAGGTCGGAGCGCCGAAGCGCCCGTCGCTCCCGCCGCGTGTCTCTGGGCCCGTTCCCGAGCTGCGCATCGAGTATCCCGCCGACCCGCCGGAAGAGGAGAGCCGCGTCATGCAGCGTCTGAGCACCATCAAGTCGGCCATGCTCATCTACTCGACGCTGCTGGGCCTCAGCCCGATCCTCAAATCACTGACCAAGTCGACGTCGAGCGACAGCATCTGGGCCATCTCATTTTGGCTGCTCGCCATCAACATCTTCTTCTTTGACTACTCTGGCGGCGTCGGCGTCAAGTTTCCGGCCTCGCTGTCCACCAACGCCGCGCTCATGGCCTCGACGGTGCTTGCCAGCCGCCTGCCTGACACCACGCAGGTGTTTTCGCTGACGCTCTTCAGCATACAAGTGTTTGGGCTGTTTCCCGTCTTTCGCAGGCACGTGCGCCACCGCTCCTGGAAGTATCACGTCCTGCTGAGCCTGCTGCTCGTGCTCGGCGCGGGCCTGGGCGTCGGCATGGTCCTGGGCGACGTCGACGGCAGCGGCGCCTGGCCGTGGAAGAGGGGCGTTGTCGGCATGGTCGTGAGCCTGCTGATGGCGGCGCTGGCGGCTGGAGGGTGCAGCTGGTGGCTGATTGGGCTGCAAAAGTACAAGAATGAGATTCGAGGCCCGTGGGATCCGGCCAGGCCCATCATCATGAGCAGGCCTCGATGGGACTGAGATGAGGATTACGTTCAATACAGAGATACACGCAGTATGCAATAAGAAAGCACGACACTACAGAGACGGTAATACATAATAATCATTTCATCATTCGCATATGTTGTCCTTGTCATGCCAGTGACCCATCTACACATCTTCGATATCCAGCACCCACATCTGCTCATCCCCCACCAGCTCGTACTGCATTCTCACCCGCCACGGGTAATCCTCCATGCGCAATCCCCCGCGCAGCCGGTCCCCGCGAAACAGGTAGTCACTCCGCGGCACCGTCATCCACGACGGGTGCAGTATGGCCTCGATCGAGTTGGGCGGGATCGGGGGCCGCGCGCCGGGGCTCGACAGCATGCCGCCGTACTGCGCCACCGGGTTGAAGTCGGCGTCAAAGCCGACCTTGAGCGCGTAGCTGCGCTTCGGGGTACGCAGCCACAGCGCCGCCACGGTGCCGCCGGCGCCGGCTGGCAGCGTCACGATGCGCGCGGCGTCATCCCATGCCCGGCCGCCAGGCGCCAGATACACCTCGGACAGGGGATAGTCTGGGTCAGTAGGATCCGGGACGGTGATAACGCGGATGGGCAGCGTGCGGATGTGGAAGCCGTACACGGGCGTCGGAGCGACGGCGGCGGCCGGGTTAACACTCGGGTGCTGGGCAATGGTGCACGTAGTGTCGTTGGCTGCCGAAGAGGAGGAAGCGGCAGTAGCGCCTGGGGCTGCTCGCTTCGTCCGGATCCGCGCCGGCTCTGTGCCCGGCTGGCGGACGTATATTTTGCGGTACTTGACTGTCGGCGCCAGACCCTGCGCAAAGACCTGCAGCGCTTTGCTCTCGCCGCCATCGTCGCTGAACCGCACACGCGCGTACTGTCCTTGTTCCGACAGCATGCGCAGGTAGATGCCGACGCGGCTGTCCTGTTGACCTGCATTCTCGCAGTCGAGCGCTGCCAGAAACGTCTCCGGGCCCCACGGCACCACGGGCATCTCGAGCGAGAGGCCGCGGTTCGTCATGCTGTACGGCTGGTGGTTCCAGCGCTGGCGCGGCTCAACGAGGTCAGCGCAGCCTGCAAAGTCGGCCGGCGAGCGCGCCAGCAGGCCCGTCAGTTCTTGCTCCTCGTCGACACTGGCGCTCCACGCAAACAGTGACTGGTCGTCCGAGACCTTCATAATCTCCTCCTGCAGGCGGCGAAAGGCGCGCGCGCCCCCTTCTCCGTAGAGCATGGGCATGTTGACGCCAAACAGGCCGAGGAGGCTGTAGGCGCGGTCCTCGAGGCGCGTGGTGGTGCGGTCGGCCGCCCATGCCATGCGCTGCGCGACGCTGCGATCAGTGAGGGCAACGTCGCCGCGAAGCACGGCGGCGTCAATGCGCGTGACGGCTGCGATGCGCTCAGTGAGCGGCGCCTCATCGCGGCTGCCGAGCGGCTGCCAGGCGGAGTCGTAGAAGACGACGTGGGCGGGGGCGAGCAGCTCCTGCAGGGTCCAGCCGCGGGTGAACCAGGCGCTACGGTCAAAGGCGCCGGCATCGTCGTCGGACACGGTGGCGGGCACATCGGAGAGAAAGGCATAGCAGAGCGCCGCGTCGCGGTACCAGGCGTACATGGAGTTGATGGCCTCGTTGAGCTCGGCCGACGAGGTCTTGTCAATGCAGCAGGTATCGACCCAGGCAAAGGCGAGGCCATCCCGGACGGCTTGCGCGCAGCAATTCCGAATCTTGGCGTAGCCGGCCTTGGAGGCGGCGTGGCCGGACTGCAGGTCCTGAAAGGAGACCTCGTCATCAAGCCAGCGGTGGGAAAGGATGGCGTATTCGGGAATGGCGCTACCGAAGAATTCCTCAACCTCGAGGGTAGATGTGTTGAGAAGTCTCATTTTGTGTCAACAACGAGCTTGAGCGTTGTTCTAGAATGGTGGTTAGCAGGCATAGCAAGTACAGGCCGGTTGAGCTCACGGATATAAGATGATTTTTAAGCATGTTTGCCATTTCTTCACCTCGGCATGCTTGCCTGCCTGTTTGATGACCCATGGCTTCAGCTTTCGCACGCCAATGGAAGAAAGTCCATTTTATTATGGGATTTCATTCAGCTGTGGTGCCGTATCTTCAGCCGCACTTGAGGCTTCCACAAAGCAGCCCTTTGTTTGAAGCCGAGTGACTCGACAAACGGCTCGAAGGTGAGGCATCACGAAAGCGTCCCGAGCATATACAGTAACGAGTCGTGCACAGCTATGTCGAGGTCTGTGTGTGTCGTTACCTGTCGTATAGCTCGCACGTCAAATCAGACAGCCAACCTCCAGAGTATTGGACAATAGAGATGCAGCTGCAAGGAAATTGGCAATTTCCAGCAGCCAGACACCTGGCTAGCGGAGCCACTTGACGTCTCAGCTCCAATGAAGATCAGTGCACCAGATAAATTCACGCAATTTTGTAAAGAATAATTGGAAGAATACGGATATTGAGGTGCAGACGATGTTGCAACTTAATCTAAACAATGTGCCAGGCTGCCAGTCTTTCCATGGCCATGGCGAGCGCGACTTGGCAACACAAGTTGACAAGCAAACGAGGTCAAGTGTACTTCGTAGTGCGCCGTTTCACACTTGTCGATCACGGCAGGCTAGTGTATACGTTGGATTTGCAGGGCGTGCATTTGAGTGCGTCTTGTAAATATTTAGTAGTATCTTTTCTTTGTGACGAAAGAGCAAAGTTGGATCCAACTACGTCGTTCAAGCTGCGCACTGTGTCTTCTGCCGACTTGCCAAGCACACTCGGTAATTACCCCGTAACCTAGATGACATTAACCCCGGCAGCAGCAATACATAGCAGCAGCGACGGTAGCTACATTTGGGGCCTCTTGCTCTTTTCACATGCGATACTTGCGGCTGTAACGAACGACATCTGACTCGAGACTTCGCGTTGGTAATCATGAGAAGGACACCGATATTGTTCGACCGGGCCATGGCAATGCAAAACTGGCGCCGAACATGCCATCAGCCATGGCCTTCGAAGCACGCGCCTGTCTCTCAGAGGGGCTCAAATGTCAGCTCCCTGTGTGAATGGCGACTCGCCTTAAAAACTTTCAAAGTATGCGCCCTGTCGCCGATGTTGCCGGCCTGCATCTAAGCCAGATCTTGTCAGAGCAGAGGGAAGCAGCACGCATACCAATATTGCGACGTCGCAGACAGAAGTGGGCTGTGGCGCAACTGTGCCCATCAGATGTGTACTACTCCGTACAAATAGTATCTATACCAGTATGCGTGCTGAGTCGCTGACCATCAGGCTGCAGCTCGGCGGCCCTGGTGGTCTCATCGGTCGACTCGTATGCATCTTTGTTGGTCAAGTCTGCTTATCTGCCAATCTGCCTCAAGGAGGCGGCGATCTACAATGCACTAGTGCAGAGCCGGGCGCTACGCGGCGAAGGTGTGGTTGCTCTGCGCGGCAGCATTGTGGCTCTGTTGATGAAACATAGTAAGTGTGTGTTCAGACGAGACGGAATCAGTCTTGAGGTTCATTGGCATCGAGGACGAATTCAATTTTCGATGTTTATTAGAAGGACCCGTGAGAGCAAAGGAGAGAGCGGCTGAGCAGGCGGGCTATAGCCTGGTTCAATGCCAGTGTTGGGCTATTTAAGCAGCAATCACGTGAGCTTTAGACCAGCAAACAGGTCAGTAGCGAGGCATTTCTTTCAAAAGCTGAGCAGAACGTGTTGAAGAGCGTGGCACCTGTGCACGCTGTGGTAAGGGTCATGATGGAGGGCAACGCAGCGAGAGGCCGAGTGTGAAGAGAACGGCCGATCTCTGGATTACAAAGGAGTCCGCATACTCCTGGAGGTACAGCGGGCCAGTCACAGCGTCTGCACAGGCCTTCTTAGTAAAGCGCTCGTCGCGCTACAGCTGTGTCGGACCTTTTCTTTATTCCCAGCGCCAAGATTTTAATACCAGCAGATTTACCTCAGTTCGATTCTGGAAGAACCGAAGTTGTCCATGGAGTAACTTTGCTGTCGAATCAAGACGCCGCGATCATTTCTATCCAGAAAGATTTCCATGACTGCTCGTACTGAGAATATTGGCTGCGGCGGGTCTAGAATCCGGCCCACCCCACTGTCACAGAAACCGTGGCATAGCAACGGGGCCTGTTGCAGCGGGCGACATGGTGATGAATACCAAGCGGATATCAATCCGAGTCAATTCATTTGCTGTCTTGTTTTCCGTTTCTCCTCCTGCGGGATTCATTTTGTCTCGTTGTCCGATCATCATGTGAGCGTACTGGTTAATAATATGCATCTACACCTAGACGACGTCGCAACAGAGAACTCAACAAGAGAAAACAAGCTCTTGCTAGAAGGAGCTGCCAGCTGGGGCCCTAGCTCCTCGTATCGCGCCAGGGGGATCCACCTACGCTGGGGTTGTCGACGTCGCCACCAGTCAAATAAAGTGCAGACTGTTGACTGTTCCTGGCAAGTGGCAATTGTTCGGGGCCTGAAACTATCTAATAAACAAAAGATTGTGTGAGATGATTCATGCAAGAAAGAAATTGCCACCAGAATGGAATCCCAAGCTGGGGCCCGCATGAACAAACGGCGAGAGTCCGCATGGTGAGTCTGTATCTGCGCGATGATGGGACAACGGCAACGGAACGACCTACAGCTGGTAGCAGCTGGCGGCTCTGCCAGTCCAGAGTGACGGCTCGCATGCACCCCCTGCTCCCCCCACACAGGGTTACGCACGCCCCCAGTTTTCCGCAGTTTTCTGACGGTCCAGCTGGGGTCGGATCGTCGCGACTCGCACTCATCGCCACAGCCCGAGGCCGCGTTTGCACAGCTGCTTTTCACACAGCTTACTGACGAAGAACCTTTGGTCGAAGTTGCCAAACATCAAAATAGCAGAAAACTTCTAGCGTTGATCTGGATGCACAGAGAATTGTGAGAATTGCATTTCTCCAACGGCTTACGCTTGCATCGGCGTCGTCAGTGCTACATATCCTGGTTCCTGATGGTGTTCGCTAGGTACTACGAACAAGGCCCGAAAGCATGGGCTGTTTAAAATGCCCAAAGTCAATCTTTAACTAATCCGTAACTTTGGGGCTAATAGTCCAGACCAAGCCTCGTGGCGCCAACTGACTACTTACTGGTATTTGCTTGCACCTGCTTTCGTACTACGAAGATTATGGCCAAATAATGGTCCCTCCCCCTTTGCCGTGGTGCGGACGCCTCCGGCACTCTGAGCGCCACATGCCTGTACCTGGCCGACGTCGCACGCAGTCTTTGGCGGCTTACAGTTACAGTGATGACGCCAGCTTCACCAGCCACAGACGCCTCTCCCTCGTGGGCAACATCAGCGACTGACTATTTTCAAAGTATGTATGGCCGTCTCCCTCGTACGAGCTATCCATTCGCCAGCATCTATTTACGGCCTGCACAGCCCATCACAATCGACATCCACCACCCCTTGTTCTCCCTCGTGCCGGGGGGACAATCCACTCAACCCACTGTTACCACTGCCAAAGACACCGGGGCGGTCCCACAAAGCCCATCTCCACCCGCACCACCACCCTTGAGCAGGAGCTCCATGCCTCTTGTTCGCTTCTGGTAATCTTCCCGCCGCTTGTTCCCCCAGCTAACCTTCCAGGAAAAACAAAATCGATTCGCCCAAGCTGCGCCTTTCTTCGAGCTTAAAAGGGCCTGCCTCGCCTTCCTCTCCTTGTCCTCTCTGCCCCCGGCTTCCGTTATTCTACATTCACACACATAAGCCACCAGATCTCCCCGTCCTCCTATAATCGAATACCAGATTCTCTCCCACGACCTACACAACAACAAACACCTATCAACATGAAGGGCGCCATCATTCTCGCCGCTGCTGGCCTTGTTGCCGCTCAGCTCCCTGACATCTCCAATGTCCCCCAGTGCGCTGTATGTGCATCCTCGTGACGAATTAGCTCAAAGCAACAGCCTCGACTGACAGACATGCTACACAGATTACTTGCCTGCTCCCTGCCCTGAGCAGCACCGGCTGCGACCTCACCGACCTCACATGCGCCTGCAAGTCGGAGAACCAGGAAAAGATCCGCTCCTCGGCCACTCCCTGCCTTGAGAAGGGCTGCTCCAAGGATGACCTCCAGAAGGCCCTCGACGCTGCCAACTCGCTCTGCGGCGGCGGTGTCTCCGGCATCCCCTCTGGCTCTGCCACTTCCACCGGTGCTGCCTCGACCGGCTCCCAGTCTGCCTCGTCTGGCTCCGCCTCCGGGTCTTCCCCTGCCGTCATTACCAGCAGTGCTACTCCCACCTCTGGCGCCGGCGGTATCGTCCCCCCTGTCACATCTGCTGTCTCCTCCGGCTTCAGCACCGCCCTTCCCGGCAACGGCACCGCCACCACCCGCACTTCCACCCGCAGCGCCTCTGGCTCAAGCAGCGCCACCAGCTCTGGCTCCCAGACCTCCAGCACCGGCGCCCCTGGCACCAACGACGCTGCCGGCCCCGTCGCCGGCGTCATCGCCGCTATTGCTGCTGCCGTCTTTGCTCTGTAAGCGCCTCACCAGAGGTAATGGATATAATTGGGATACCTAGATAGTGTTGCAAACGGAAAATGTGTCGACTCCCTTTAATACGTGGAACGAATCGGGGAGTCGCCGATGTACGTGAAAGTCGACGTACAAGGATATGAGAAAGGCCCTCATGTGTAAAAGTTGTCACTATGCCATAACGTTAATCAATGTCACTCAATTTAACTGAAAATTGTAGCTGTTACCGAATGATGATGCGTATCAAGTGACATTTTATGTTTTGGTGTGGTACGGATAGCTTGATAGGGCTTGTCTTTGGCATGCTGAGCCGCGCCCGAACCGTCTTGCAAGTTGCAATTGGCTATCATCTGGTGGCTGAAGACTCGAGCGACACGAAGCTCCAAGTACGTGGCTGCAGTTGTGTGCACCACCAGAATCCGCCAGCGCGGAAGTAGGACAGCAGTTGATGTCATGAAAGGGTCCTGCTTGAATCAATCTCATCATCCATCATCTATCTCTCGACTCTCGGGTGAGGTTGCAACCCTATACACACAAGAGGCCTGAAACGAAAACAAAAACTAATCACGATCAAGGCAAAGCAGGGGAAGAGGAAGTAGCAGTACAATACAGTTAATCTAGAAAAGGGTGTTTCAGTGGTCCATTTCGGAAACCCGACGACGAGACCTTATCCAGCAATATGTCAAGATCCGATGGCGAGGCCTTTGGGGCCGTGTCCAGCGACATACCGACCGACCACTATCGGCACCTGCGACGACTTCCGCCGAACCCTTGCATCGACGTATTCGCAAAGAAAGTATGATTCTTACCGAGCTTGCGCCTTGATCCCATTCAAATCAAGATGCGCGCATATTGCTTGCTCCATTGCTTGCTCCGATCTCTCAGCTGCATCGCCTGAGACGGTGGCTGGAGCTAGTTTATCAATGATTACAGGTGTCACAAAATATGCATCGCCTGACAATATGACACCACAGTCGGTTGAATCAACTTTGCCCGTGACGGTGTAGAGTGAAGAGGTCATGTATAGACTCGAGTAGATGTGGGAGCGACACTTGAGGACGACATTAGCAAGACAGTGGCTACCTTATCACAGCGAAATGACGAGGGAGTCCGTCAGATGGACTACAAAGTAATGCAGTATTGAAAGAAATACCTGCTTTCGATTCACCTTCTCGTATTGTGTCGGTAGGCGACAGCCTCGACGTTGTGCAAGCATCTACACAACAATGTAGGTGTCGTAGTAAAAATGCGGATCCACACCTTCATTGATGTGAATTAGGCCTTATACGTCCATACACCCCCCAGTTTATCAGAAGGCTGATTTTTTTCCTTCTGATGGAGTGCTGCTTAGGACGTATTTGGGCAACCTGAGACGGCTTTTCTGACTTAGTGGCCGTCCCCCACTGGTGGCTGCCCGCCCGTAAGACTTGTTGTTTGTGGCGGGGGGAGTCGAACTCAGGACCTTCTTCGTAGCAATTTTTAAGACGACAGCGCAGATGGGTAGAAGTTACTGGTCTCTGGTCTTATTGACCACTTAACCACCCGGGCTCATAACTGTTGTAGTAAAAATGCGGATCCACACCTTCATTGATGTGAATTAGGCCTTATACGTCCATAGTAGGCGCAGAGCGGGGCCACTATTAGTGTCGAGACGTTGCCCACTGTTGCTTCGACAACTCAGATCTCACAACCAACACAGCCCACACTGCAACGAACAGCAGAGCCAGCCGCAGCCAGCGCCGACTACCTCTTCCGACTCCCAAATACATGGCGGCCGACCTCAGCGACGTGCACATGGCGTCGCCGCCCACGCTGCCCGAGCAAAACGAGCCGCGCTGGGGCGGCTACTCGCGATTCGAAATCGAACTCGAGGTAGGTTCACACAGATCTCCTTACTCATCCTTCCCCCCTTCTCTCTTGACCTCTTGTCCTCTTGCTTCTTTCTGCTAACATGTACACGCGCGCGTCGCAGTTTGTCCAGTCGCTCGCGAACCCGTTCTACCTCAACCACCTCGCGTCGCAGAAGCTCCTGACCCAGCCAGCGTTTGTCGCCTACCTCGCCTACCTGCGGTACTGGAGCCGCCCACCGTACCTCAAATACCTGACGTACCCGGGCCCGACGTTGCGCCACCTCGAACTGCTGCAGCAGGAGCGCTTCCGGCAGGATATCATGAGCCCGGATCTGGTGGCACGGCTGGTGGAGGAGGGCATGCGCAGCGCGGTGCAGTGGCACAGGGAGGGGGCGGCCTGAGAAGCGATGCTCTAGAACGAGTAAAACTCGGCATTGAGCTTTGAGAAGCCCTGGAACACGTGCATAAAGAAGGGGAGGGGGGCCTCCTAGCACCCCCGCGAACCTGGAGAAGGAGCAAATCGCCGCCCAGCCATTGAATGCTCTGGACCACATGCACGCAATAGAGACACTCTCTGCACATCACGACATCAAGCCGGCTGCTTGTTTTCGAATGGAGCACAAGTCGTGTCTATGTCAGGGTCGGTGATTTTAGTCTGGTCAAAGCGGAACATGACGCCCTTAGGAATGCGTTCGGCACACCACGATATCAAGCCAACGTGCTTGTTATCGAATGTCAAGTTGAGAACTGTGGTCTGACTAAAGCGATAGATGCCTGAGCTTGGCATGGCCCGGGTCTCGCAAATCAGAGGTATGCGGCCCGGGACAGGGAGAAGATGGAAAGTAATGAAGCTACGATAACCTGGACAGCCGGTATGATATATGTGTATAGCAGTGGAAGGGAAAAAAAAAGATTTCAATTCTTGCAGTGCGCCAAGTTCTATGCAAGTGTGCTACGTCGCAAACGCCAATCAATGCATCCCCAAACTCCGAAACAACAAAAGCGTGAAATAAACACGATGAATGTCCGCGGAGCCACCGCCTAGTTTTCCCTCCATCGGTGGCCGCAGGCCATGCACTTGTAGAAGCTCGTCATGGGCTCGTCGGCGCTTCGAATCTGGACCTGGTAAAATGCGGCCTCGAGGCCGTCGCAATTCTCGGCCGGGCACTGCACGCGGGCCTTTTGCGCATTGTCCCACGCGCCGGGCCCGCCAAACACATCTTCCTTTTCCTTGCGCTCGTAGTTGCGCCGCGAGAAGACGGGCTCAGTGATGGTGTGCTCAAACGGACAGGTGCGGCATTCGAGGCGATTGGTACCCTGATTGGTGCGGGATACGGAGAGAATGTTGGCGCAGTGCGGGCAAACTGCGCAGATGTTAGACTGGGTGCGTGTAGGATGGGGGAAGGGGGGTTTGGGGCAAGAGGAGGGAGGTTGCTTTCGTACAGAGAAGCATCGCGGCGAGGGTTGCGACGGCGTCGCTGGGAGCCGGTGCGATGTAGTGTAGAGAGACTTCAGGGCGATATGGAGGTGGGTATTCGGAGTTATGCGACACGGTCGTAATTTTGTATCTTGTTCTAGGAACGTTTGCGCAGGCTGGCGGGAAGAAAAAGCAGCCCGTATTGAATTTTCGAGATGTTTGGTGGGGTGGTTGGTGACGATTTTGGCTACGCCCCACCAATGACTGATGACAGCTTTGCAACGATCGCCAACGTGCGAATGATCCTCGTCAGGAATAGTAAACATTTGTTTAATGAAGACGATGTAATCCCACAATGGCTACTACTCTATGGAACTCCAATGGGCGCCACGGCCGCACCCGCGTAACAATACAATGTAGTCGAGCACAGTTATTAGTTCACACAGTTTGGCGAAATGATACGCATGGAGCTATTACCATGTAGCGCTGTGTAGTTTGTTGCAACATCATAAACGACGGCTTGCAAATCGAGCATACAAAAACACGCAGAGGAAAGAATCAGTCATAGGTTCGAACTTGTCAAGTGAAAAATGTATAAACAGCAAGAGGTCGTTCTCCTTGTCTCCCAGTGTGGACGTAATGCGCGCCGCGCCGTCATGGCAGAAGCGCCGTTTCAGGTAGCAGTCCCTGATCCCGTGGCAGCTTGTCAGCCACTCTTTATTATCCTCGACAGGCTACTCATCCTCGCCAATTAGCCAACGCAACAAATCTCTTTTCTGCTGGTCCAATAAAATTTAGGATATAATCTAAGCAGGCTCCCGCTTTCATCGGACGGCCCTTGACCACTCAACCACAAACACACGCTTGCTACCTAGGTACCTACCCTGACGTCCCCGCCACGTCTGCGCCACGCAACGAGGGGCACAGCTTAGCGTCCAAAACGTCACCCGTAACAACGCAAGTGATTGAACCGCCCGTGTTTGCATCTGCCTAGGCCAGAGAAGTTGCGCCTAGAATTACATGCTCTCTCTGCCACCATTACTGTATTCCGACGCGAAGCGATACACGCAACAACATCAGAACACGGGACCCGACGCTTTATCATCTTGACGACAACGGCCCACTAGCGGCTCCCTCGCGCGACCCAATGGCAGAAGAAGAACATGAGGTGAGCTTCGTGCGGCCGAGGCGTCGTGCAGAAAAGCTGCTTGAATGTTTGAGGGACTGACATGCCGCAGGGCGCCTCGCCAAAGGAGCTCCTCGTCGAGGCCTGCCGCCGCGACAATACCGATCTCCTGATCCAAGTGCTCGCCGGGCGGTCCGACGAGGAGATAGCACGCCTGCTCAACCGCACCACGACCGTCATGGGGAACCACCTCTACCACGAGGCCGCCTCGCGCGGTAACTGTGCGTTTCTCCCCGGCCCCTTTTATCTCTGTTTGCCCCGGTTACAACACTAACACAGAGAGCCCAAAATAGACGACATCATCGACCTTCTCCTCGACCAGCCCAACTTTGAATGCGACCCCGTCAACCGCCTCGAGGGCGACACGCCGCTGCACTCCGCCATCCGCTGGATCAACGCCGAGCCTCCCGCGCAGCGCGCCTTTGGCGCCGCCCTCGTCGAGATGATGCTCGAGGCCGGCTCCAACCCGCGGCTGCGCAACAAGGGCGGTCTGACGGCGCAGCAGCTCGTCGACCCAACCAACACGGAGCTGCGCGCGCTGATTGACAAGTATCTCTACGCGTCACAGAATACGGGCGATTTCGTGGACGCGGTGGGTGTTGCACCGGCGGGCGCGCCGCCGCCACCGCCGCCGGGGGGAAAGGCGCCGCCGTTGCCGGGACAGGCGCCGCCATCGCTGCCGGTGGGACAGGAGACGGATGATATTGACGAGAATGCTGAATTCAGTGGCAGTGATGACGAGGAGCGCGCAGAGTGGGAAAGGAGGAAACGGGAGAGGGCCCAGAGGTAGCCAGGCAAAAGAAAACATAAAAGGGAATACAAGACGCTGTGGAGAGAATAAAGCAGACCATGGAAAGAAAAACCATGGACATGAATCATGATTCAAGCCATATTTAGTAGCATGTAGATCAAGTTACATACATCACTTTACACATTCAAGACTGAGGTACACATTTAGGTATTGGTGCTACAGATTAGGCCATAACCAAGACAAGCACCGAGGCAGCAAACAGCGTAGACAGCGAGCAGGGCACCTTGTCACCACCAGACTGCTCAACGGCAGACTGCTTGACAGAGCTGACATAAGAAACATTGCTAAGTCTCCTCACGGAAAGCTCCGATAGTTTGCCGCCACTCGCAAGCTCGTACATCTGTGCCGACAACTGGTTAAGAATATCAGTCGATCGTCCAGCTGGACACCAAATAATCTTCCAACCGCCACCTTTCGGCACGATAAATGTTGAGCTTCGATCGTCAAAAGCAAAGCTGTACGCATCTGGGCACACGGCCTTGACAGTTTTGCTGTATGATGACGGCTTGCAAATATTCGGATCGTGATATTTGCCAATGCAGCAGTCCCTGTCACTTCCCGTCGTAACACAAGCACTCTTGCATGGCGAAAATGAGGGCCGACGAATACTGTCGTCTGGGTAGGGATATATGCCGTCGCTGGGACTTTTTGGCGGGAACGCCAAGTTAGTCCACGGACACCATTTGGAGAGCATGTCATTTGTCTCCTTCTTTTCCAGAGGTATAGGATAGGTTTCGTTGGAGTAATAGGTGCCTGTTCGAGAAACATCATACAGCCAACCCGCTGTTGCGACACAGGCCGAGTTTGTAAGATTTGGTGGGATGAAGGATGTATTGTCCGACGGAATGTGCTCAATGCCGACAGGGAGATTGTAGCCGTCGACGAGTGAAATGTCGTAAAAGGTCTGCATCCCATTCACACCGCCCGCGAGGTTAAACTCCACAAGCGTTGCCGGTACAGCGCCCTCTGTTTGTTAGCAGGGCTTGTTGGACCGATTTTGAGTGAAAACTTACACTGAAGTCGCAGTCTAGCTTGGCAAAGCAGTCTCCTGTTTGACAAGCGCAAGAATCGCCATTGACAGTGCAGTTTGTGCGTCCCCAGACTCTCCCCTGCCAGTTGGAACCTACAGACAAATTCTTGCTCTCGCCCGGATTCAGCTCAAAACCACCGGTTCCTGGACCGAGCCCAGCTTGCGTGGCTGTTCCCGGCCATATGGTCGTATCGCATCTGTTGGTAATGATCAACGGGACTGTATCATCGCCGGCCCGAGGCGGGCCTCGACTGGTAACATCCCGACGCGGAGTCTGCTCGATGAATTTGGCTTGCCAGTTTCCAAGGTCAGCGTGATCAGTACTTGCGCCAATGCATTGAATGAGAGTCAACATGATCCCAAAGTGAAAAAGAAGGCAACTGGGCGACGTCGCGAACCAGTCACGCCGGTGAGCAATGGAATCCATATTTGTCAGCTGTTGAGGCATCAGCGCTTCAAGCATCGAGTCAGAGAAGCTGAATTCGTCTCCATCATTTGCGCCTGTTGAGAGGATGGGAGAGAAAGCTGCTTCAATACTGTGTTGAGTTGTTGGGATACAGGCTATGCGTGTAGACGGCGTGTTATCGAGGTATATTTCGGCGAACAACAATGCAAACCAATTGAGCCGATCTCTATAATAGCCGACGTGCAAAGGGTTTCAGCGCAACTAGCTGAGTTATCAAGACTGATCGCTCTTCGTCTGGGTGTACTTTATATGCAAAGGTTTCTATAGTAATACCTGTAAAGCGTGTTCAACAGGGTGAGGCACCGTGGCTGCTCCTCGACGGAAGACAGAGCCGCAAACGATGTGTAGATAAGTCGAGGTGCGATGGATCAGAAGTGCAGCAAGGTTGAAAAGGATTGGGAATGGTGGCACCAGGCACGAAAACGTACCAGGCAGCTCATGTACTGCGGTTGACGGAAAGGAAAGAGCGAAGCATGGCATCTACCTCGGTTATCCACGCGGCGGAAGCCATCGTGTCGCCAAGTCAACTCGCAGAAGCGCTTTTATTACGGCACGTTAGCCAAGATAGTAAATGTCTATGAAGATGAAAAATGAACAAACGATTCATCACCATTCATGAAATAATTATAGAAAGAAAAGCCACTCCATGATTGCAGCTTCTGCCAAATCCACCAAAACATGCAACATGCAATAACCTTGCGGGTAACACAGCTAGCAGCTGTAACGTGCTTATATGCAGCCCGACAGTGCTCGCAAATACATCCAAATCTCTTTATATAATTCAGGCGCTGTTTGGTATCAATGCTCTTCGTACTTTTTGTCATGCTTCTTACAGCTTAAGAAGCGCACCATCTCCGTGTCAACGGCCCTTTACCTGAAGCGGGCACGGCAGCGGCCCATAACCTCGCCCTGGCATACCAGTTCAGTGCTAAACTCGGAACCGTCGAGAGTCAAGTAGATATCGAAATAGACACGGTAAAAAGTTCCTTGTGGCGTGTCCATGCGCTCAAAGTCTTTTTCAAGGTTCTTGCGCGACAAGTCGGATGTAAGAGTGACGACTTCCTTGATGCCTAGTAGCTGTTAGTGATGATTCGCACACTACGTATCGCGGGACTTACGAGGATCCTTGGTGTATTCGGGACAGACATCGTCGTCGCAAGCATAAAGAACATCCTCGTACATGAGAGTGGCGCCAGGGGCGACCTGTCTGAAGAAGGAGACCTTGACAGTCTCGCCGTTTTTTACCTTTTGGCCTCTTTGCACAAAAATCTGTCGAGTAAACTTGCAGCGGTCCTTGCCGTCGAGGGAGGGCACACGGTAAGCCTCAGGATGGTAGCCCTCCTTGAAGGGTTGAAGGGTGCCCATGAGGTAGTGGCGACGGGCGATACGGTGGGTAATAATGCGCTCGCTGATACCGGCGGTGACGGCACCCTTGACAATGGCGGCGACAGAGTCCATAGGACGTACAACCTTGGACTGGAATTGAGGAGGAACGTGAAGCTTGATCTGCTGGAAAAGGTACTCGGAGGCGCCGAAACCACCCACAACCAAGATGTTTTGGAGTGTTCTGTTCTGGGCCTGGATGGCAATGATCTGGTTGCGAACAAGCTCGAGAATACGGTTGACGACAGGCTCGAAGCATTGTAGAATCTCCTCATTGGTAAAGGTCATGTATCCTTCTTCGATGCCTGCGTCGGGGTATTCAGCCTCGATACCGACATCGACGGCCCACTTCTGACCGTTATTACGGAAATCGGCCTTGATTCTGTTCTCAAAGTCCATGATGCACTTGGCGTAGACACGTCCAGCGGTCTTGGAGCCCTCGGGAAGCTTCATCTTGCGGATCTTGGTGCGCAAAATGTTGCTGAAGTTGCGATTGAGGGCTGTAGAACCGCAAGAGTCACCAGACCCGGCGGTACATTCGGCAACGGTGAAGGGGTTCTCCTCTTCGACTTCGTAGGCGATCAAATCGACGGTACCGCCACCGCAATCGACAATCAGGACGGCATCATGGACCTTCAGATTCAGAAGACCAGTCTTGGAGCAGAAAAGAGCGGCGGCCTCAGGCTCAGAAACAAGGGTGAGGCGGTTGTCATTTTCGTCTCGGAGGAAACCAGCCTGAATGGCAGCAGCGCGAGTGGCGGCCTTGCCAGCATCGTTCCAGATGGCAGGGACTGTCAGATAGTATCGAATATTGCGCTCTTCACGGTTAAAAACTTCGCCAAGGGCCTTTTGCAGAGCAATACGCACGGCCTGGCGCAGCTTGAAGAGATAATCAGCGGCAACATCAATCTCAGACTTGCCCGGGGGCAGAGGGGGCAGGTTGATGGGGTCGATGTAAGTGTTGCCGCTGAGCATGAGCTGCAGCTTGAACCACTCCACCTTTTGCACGCCAGGCTTGGGGTAGCCGGTTGGGGCGAGGGCATCGGCAATGTCGGGGCCCCAGCCAACAACCTTTTGGTACTGGTCGTAGTAGAGAACGGTGGGAATCTGGAAATGAGCTCGTCAGCGAGGCTGCAAGCCTGCGGGGTCAAGACTAGGAACCTTTTGCTTGGTATATGAACCGGCGCCAGGCCATTCTGAGATTATATCTTCTTTAGCTTCGTTGTTGGTTGCGAAGGCGAATGCGACACCAGAAAAGGTTGTACCCTTTTGACAACTGTTAGCTGAGGTTGGGCTGGGGAGAAATGGCCAAATCGGGGTGGCGGGGTATGGGAGAAACTCACGAAATCGATACCGACGATGAGCTGAGCTTTGCTCTGAGTAGAGCCCTCGACTTCGGCACGGTTCTGGCCAAACTGCTGTTGAGCCATAGGTCCGGAAGGCGGAGGAGGACCAGGAGGATAACCAGCCGGGGGAGGGTAGCCCTGAGGAGGACCGCCAGGACCGCCGGGATGACCCATTGGATGGCCGCCGCCCATGCCAGGGCCCATGTTGGGCGGGTAACCGAGAGGCGGGCTTGTGGTGATGGGATGGGGGCCGCCAGCGATTTGTGAAGGAGGGGTACGGTTGGGACCTTGAGTGAGAGGACTGGTGCGGCCCAGAGGCTGACCGGGAGGGCCGGGAGGGTAGTTGGCTGTATAGCTGGGCGGGCGATTGCCAGCCCCGGGATGGTTCATTGGAAGCGATGTGGTCGAGTTGGACGAGGAGAGGGGAGCAAGTCCGGCGAGATTGCCCTGAGGTATTTGGCCTGGAGGAGGGGTATTGGTGGAGGGGAGGCCGTCGACGGTCTGGATGCTGGCGGTGGATTTGCGCTTTCCGAACCCGAAGTTTTTCAGGCGAGAGTTGATCGAGCTCATAAGGAAGAGAGAACCAAAAGGGAGGAAAAGAGAAAGGCAAAGGAGAAGAAGAAAAGGTGGGAGGAGACGCAGAGCAGAAAAGAAGGATATGAGATGGACGGGGGTGTGTGGGAGAGGAAAAGCCGTGAGCTCGTAAGCAGCAAGGTCGGTAGGGTAGGCAGGCAGGCAGGCAGGCAGGTACCTAGGTACCTAGGTAGGTAGTTAGGAGCAGAAACGGGCGTCGGGCTTTGGGCGAGTTTGCGCGGGCGAAAGCGGGCGTTGCAGGTACCTGAATGAGGGGGAGGAATCTAAATAACTAGCCTGGCTGGAGGATGGAGCAGCAGCAAAGCAGCAAAGCAGCGCTTGAGATCAGGCTGGGCGTCAGTGGGCGTGGGTGGAGGTATAAATTAGATAGGCGTGCGAACCAAAGTGGGTTGACAAGGCGCAGTTGGTGAGGCTACTTGCGGACCAAGCTAGTAGATGATGAGAAGGGGGTTTTGGATGGGGATTTGGTCGCAGCGAAGTCTGCTAAAGATGAGAGTGTGAAAGGGGAAATTTTCAAAATGAGGGCGTAGTTTTACCGTTTGCTTGGAATAAAAAAAGACGAAACTCAAGCGGTGCGCCCCAGGTGATACAAATGTCCTCGGTGCCTTGGTATTATCAGTAAGTAGATAAATGGCGTGGAGGTTCGCCCAGCGTGTGTATACGAGAGGGGCTGTGGTGCTGCGCATCATGTTCATTGGCCAGCCAGCAGTTTCTTTCGGGTCTCCAGCACCGACCATGTCCTGAGAGGGAGCCCTCGTGGGCGGCCAGGCGGGGGAGCTGCGAGTGCTATTTAAAGTAATTATCAACTTGGTTGCTGGCCCAGCCGCCGTCATCACGTCAAATTTAGTTTTCCAGGTTCATCTACCAGTAAGACTGCCTGCTTCATGCCGTAAGGCTGGCGCGTGCTATCTTGACTCTTTCCTGCTATCAAGTGGCCATGGGTCAGTAATTCCAGCTCGTGGACGCCACACTCATTAGCACCCTAACACACTAGTTAGTAAAAGAGGCGCCCGTAGATGTCCCAGTGCAGAAGCATGTGCGTGCGCGCCAATATTTTAATGCATTGCTCCCAAGTATACCTACACATAAACTTTGGCCATCTCTACTTTGCAGCTATTGACATATCTTGCCAATGCCATCCATCGCCGTCGGCTCCTGCGGCCATGTCAGCGTCATCGGCTATAGTCATGAGCGCTTCCGTAAGTTTTCATCTTTGGTACTACCAACAACCCAAGATAAAATGCAGAACATCGTTTTGTTTATATTTTTCCATCTTGAGCCCAATGCGGGCCGACGCTCTGTTGGTGACACTGTGTAGAGGATGGAGTGGAGTGTGCTTTCTGTCCCCCTGTATTCTGGACGACTCTTCCGTGATGAAGCTGTAGCGTGCGGCTAGAGGTTGGCCTTGGCGCATTTACACATTTATGACACAGGCTGTCGCTTGTCGAAACCAGTTCTGCGATATTGGACGGCTTGTTCATCTCGGTCGCATTCGCCGAGCTGTGCCACCTTTGATACGTTTCACAAATGGCAACGACCCAATCCGGAGCTGTGCCTGAACTTGAGGGTTACCGACAGATCGACTTCATAGGCAGATTGGCCACGATTGGCAGCAGGCACTGTAGATAGACGTCTAAGGCGTCTTCGTGCAGCTCAGCCTCGTTTCTCTTTGTGGGCCAGGCACTTTGCTCTTGCCTCTGTTCAACATGTCTTACTTACGTGATGTTGAATGAAATGTCTTGCTACAATCTTGTAGTACTCAAGCTTTCCATTACTTGAAATATGTGATAGTTGCTGAACAATCTGTCAGAAGTAATTCTGCTCGCGACCCTAAATCCCACTAAAATACCTACTTTTTAAGCTAAGGCTTTAATATTTCCCATCTATATTAATAATATAGTAAATACCTAAAAATAGAAAAGTAGCTAAAATATAATACAAAAATTTATTTATATTTTTACTTATTTTAATAATCTAGTTATTACTTAGTAAAGTAAAAAAAGTTATAAAAAAGTAGATTTTATTAGTAAAATTATCTTCTAACTTTTTATTTAAATATACTAATTTATTAAAACTTAAAGATAATTTTCTAAAGATAGTTATATATACTTAAATTACTAAAGAATATTATTATAATCATTTAAAAATAAAATTAGGGACTAGCTCTTATAGTATAAGTAGTTTAAAAGTGGTTATTTTAGTGGGGTTTTAGGTCACGAGCGGACTTACTTGGATGCACTGTATCAGCCGGATTGGTCATGGTCGAGGCGCAATAGACAAGAAATGAAAGCACAGGGCCGAGGGCGGCTCTGATTGACGAATCTACTGCCACGGTTACAGCCAGTTTGTACTACCTTGCTTGACTGCCCTCCGGCTGTACATTTTGCGGGGAGGAGGGACCGTCCCCCGGACGGGCGCATGAAGTGAGAGAACAAAGCATTCTTTAACGTTTGGCAGCGCTTACGGGTAATTAGACGGTGCCATACGTTTCTAGGCAGAGCAGTTGGCAGGCCTCATGGACGAAATTTTACTTGGAGCGACATTTATTAACTGATGGGTTCCGTGTACGGAGTAGAGCAACAGCAAACGCTACGTGGGTAGTTTTGCAGGTGGAGGTGAGACGCCCCTGCCAGCCGTGGACTGGAATTGATTAGTGCGGTTGAGCCGACGGCCAGGGAGGAAAGTGGAAAGGTAAACGCATCTGGCCAGACTTCAACGTCGCCTCCATTGTCCTCTCTCAAGTCTACCTATGTTTTTGGCCTGTTTTGGACGTCGAAACTGCTGAGCGGGTGCTGACGACGATACGATCGGAAAGAAACGGGCTTAGAACTTGATCATGGCTTAGTGAGAGACGACGACACGCGCCGCTCCAGAGACGACAGGCTCAGATTACGGCCCTTTTTTGCGAATTTCAACGGCCTTGAAGACGGTTCTGCACCTCTTTCGGCCCGTTCCCCATCCACGGCCAACTACTACCCGCCAAAGAATCCCGGACCAGCATTGCCATACCAATCAGTGATTTTCTCTGCGCCAATTATTCTCCCTCCCAGGTTTGCGTCATTTGATAGCAATTTTTTTCTTCTTCCCCGTGTCGGTCGGGCGCTTGGTTGTTGGGGCCAGTCTCTCCGTAATTCTGCTGCCCCTGGGGCGGCCGGTTCGGTGAAATTCAGTCTGGGGCCGGGGTACTGCCATCGGAGGAGCCGGGAGAAACACGTCACCGATCAATTCGCAACTATTGGCATCCATTGAAAGGAGGAAGAGAAGGAATTCATCAGACGAGGGCGCGCAGTCCGGCGTATTGCTGAGGAGTGTCGAGACAGACGACTCGTCGACCAAGACTGCTAGAGGGAGGAGCAGTGCTGCTGCGCTGGCACCCCCACCATTCATCACCACGGCGGCGTCTACAGCAGAGGCTAGCGCCCCGTGGCGCGCTGGCTGGAGGCAGAATGACGCAGCCAAGTCGCAGGTAAAAAGGGCGATTGTGGGAAATGTCGTGTCTATAGTTGGAGTTTTGGTGATTTTCGGGGTGAGTTCTTCCTTTCTTTTCTTCGCGCCCTCTCATTGCTGGCCTGTTCTTTGTGTTATTTCGGCTCGTCGCGTGCCCGTTCACGTGGTTGGTGCTCTGTGGTGGTGGAATTTTTGCTGTTAGAGTCTTGAGCGCTCAAGAAGCCAGCAAGCCCCTGCTGCCACTTGCACTGAAGATGGCGCCCCCTTGCTGCCACTCACCACGAAATGGCACCACCTGCTGCTCCCCGCATCCCCCCAAAGCTCCCCAAAACTCCCCAGACTGGGCTGAGGTACGCCGCTTTTTTACACTCAGAAGCTCAGGCCAAGCTTGCCCACTGTGGCCAGGCCTGCCCACTGTGGCCATGCCGCCCACCCACACCTCGACCGCCGCCGCCCACTCTGTCTGCATCCAGTTCTCCCGCTAACGATTCAGCAAGCTTGCCAGGCTTCTTCTAAACGACGCCAAGTTTCTCCTCTCCTACCTCCAACTTTCCCATTCCTCCTCTTCTTCTCCTCACGGTTTCTTCTTCTCCAGACCATTCTTCTCGCCCATAGTCCCCGCCGTCGAACCAGTTTGCCAGAATCCTGCTCCTTTTCCCACTGTACAGCCTGCCTCGTGGCCCCTCAACATGGCCTTGCAAGAAGAAACCAAAAAGGTCGTGTCGCAGTTTGATTTCTCCGACGCCGACATCAACTCCCATGTCGCCGAGTTCATTAAGCAGATGAGTGCGTTTTCCCCAATTTCGAAGCGCCCTTCTGCTTGCGTTGCTGCGCAATGGCTAATCACCCTCTACCCAGACACTGGCCTTAAGCAGGACGGTACCAGCCTGAGCCAAATCCCGACCTACGTCACTGCTGTTCCCAATGGCACTGAAAAGGTTCGTCATCCGCCTTTCCCACCTATCCGCCGTCAAGCTTACATGCAGTAGGGCCTATATCTTGCCGTCGATCTCGGTGGCACCAACTTCCGCGTGTGCTCAATCATGCTTAATGGTGACACCACCTTCAACCTGACCTACAATAAGGTCGCCATTCCTAAGAAGCTTATGGTTGCCAAGACGGCTCGGGAGCTCTTTGCTTTCCTTGCCAAGCAGATCGAGCTCTTCCTTCGCGAGCATCACGCCGAGCATTTCGAAAGCCACGTCCGTCGACGCCACACAGCCAGCACTCCAATGGGCTACCGCGACGAACACATTTTCCGCCTCGGCTTTACCTTTAGCTTTCCCGTCCAGCAGCTTGGAATCAATAAGGGCAAGCTTATCCGATGGACCAAGGGTTTCGATATCCCTGATGCCATCGGTAAGGATGTTTGCGCTCTGCTCCAAGATGAGATTGACAGACTCCGACTCCCGGTCAAAGTCGCTGCCCTTGTCAACGACACCGTTGGTACGCTCATGGCCCGCTCCTACACATCGGTCGGCAAGCATCAGTCTATTCTTGGTGCTATTTTCGGCACCGGCACCAATGGCGCGTATATGGAGAAGACTTCCAATATCAAGAAGCCCATCACGGGCGACTACGACACTTCTACCGGCGAAATGGTTGTCAACACCGAATGGGGTTCATTTGACAATCAGCTCAATGTTCTTCCCAACACACCCTGGGACAAGAAGCTTGACAAGGAGAGTGTAAACAAAGGCTTTCAAATGTTTGAGAAGCGTGTCTCTGGCATGTTCCTTGGCGAAATCGTTCGACTAGCCATTGTAGATATGTTGCAGAAGAAGTCTACTGGCCTTTTCCAAGACAACAACTCGAGCTTCAACGATCATGTCACCACCACCAGCATTGATCCCAAGTCCACGCTCTTCACACAATGGGGCCTAGACAGTGCCGTCATGTCGGTCGCCGCTAGCGACAACACCCCCGAACTTTCCACCCTGCGACAGGAGTTGGAAAAGACTCTGGGCATCTACTCTGCGTCTCTTGAGGACGCACAGGCGTTCAAGGCCATTGCCAATGCTGTCGCGCGTCGCGCTGCCCGACTTTCTGCTGTTGCCATTGGTGCCATTGCTATTCAGTCCGGCAAGCTTGACGATCCCGAATGCGAGCTTGTCGACATTGGTGTTGATGGCAGTCTTGTTGAGCACTATCCGTTCTTCCGTGACATGATTCACGAAGCTCTGCGAGTCATGGATGGCATTGGCCCCAAGGGCGCCGAAAAGATTCGCATCGGCATTGCCAAGGATGGCAGTGGCGTTGGCGCTGCTTTAATTGCGCTGGTTGCTGCCAGTCGTGAACAGCCTGGCGATTTCCTGGCTGACTTACGTACTGATATTAAGCGTGGTCTCGACCGCCTTCCCCAACAAAGTATGTTATCCTTCGACTCGAATGCCGGCTTAGCACTAACACGATCTAGTCGAAGAGTCGCCCCTGTCGCACAATGCGGTGCTTGCCATTGGCGCCATTGCTGCCATTGGCGTTGCGGCTTTGTGGTACTGGAGGCGACAATAGGCCTTTTCTTGTTGGCGTTTTGTTATGGCGTCTCTTCATGCTTTTGCAATAGTTTACACTTGTACATCTACGAAATGACACTTTTTGGATGTGCTGGTTCTGCACTCCTTCAACGAGATGCGTCTCTTGTAATTGTTTCATTGATCATTCAGCTTGTAGCGGACTAAATGCAAGCCATCTATTTGAGTGTATGCGTGATTGTTTAATTCGCCATGCCAATTAAATTATGCTTCTCAAGACAACGCAACGCCTTGTGCTCCTGTACAGCAAGTTTTCCGTCGTGTTGGCCCCTGTGTGATCACCCTAGCTTCCAAAAGCTGCGGCCGGATAGGACCGATCTCGCTTCTTCTTGGTCGCCGCGCTCGAGCTGCTGCGCGAACTCGCTCCCGACGCCGCCCCCGACCCGGGCTCGCTCCCGCCGGCCAAATTCCGCCGCGGCGGCGGCAACGGTAGCGTCATGTCCACGGGCAGGTCGTTCCACTCCATCTCAGACCGCTGGTTCTGATACGACCCACCCCGGGGCGGCGGTGGGCGTGCATCGCTGTTGAGGTTGGCGGATGTTTTTGGTGGCGGACTCACGAGGGCTGATGCCGCGCTGGGCGGCATCTGTTTCGGCGGCTCTGGACTCGCGGTTTCGGTGGCGGAATTTTTGTTCTGGGATTGCACGGCTTGGAGGACACCGCCGGCGCGGACGGGCCGCAAGACAAGAACCGCAGAGTCAGGCCGCAGACGGCGGTAGTAGCCTCCGATCGGGTCGCCGACGGGCTGGAAGCCGCGCCGGCGGTACCACGCAAGGCCTTGTTCGTTTTCGGTCCACACGTGGGCGGTGACGCTGCCGAGGGAGACCGTCGAGGCGGCGTGGGTGAGTATGTCGTCGAGGGCAGCGTTGGCGAGGCCAAGCGCGCGATAAGGCGCGAGAACGCCGAGGCTGCGGATGTAGAGGTTTTGTGTGGCAGCGGCGGTAGTGGACGGCGACGGCGGCTCGAGGATGCAGACAATGGCGCCTACAATTTTGGGCTCCTCGGGGAGACCGTTGCCGTCACCGGCCCAGGTGATGACGCGGGAGCATCCGTGCGAGAGCGCGGGGTCGAGAGCGGCGGCGTAAAAGCTGTCGGGGAAGGCGACGGGGAGAAGGAGGGCGTTGAGACGGCGCAGGGAGGGAATGTCAGAGGGCTCGATGGCGCGGATCGTGGCGTTGAGTGGAAGAGAAGGACGCGTCGTGGAGGTTAACGGCGGAGGTATAGGGAGTTGTGATGAGGGTGTCGGAGCGGTGGTTGTGGTAGTTGATGACGGAGGAGGGTTATAAGAGGGCGCTTTGGGTGGTTGGAAAAAGGAGCGTATGGATTTTTGGAGAGGCACGCCGCCGGGTTTTGACGACGGCAGCGACATGGCTGCGCTTTGCGTGGAAGAGAAGGAAGGGAGAAGGTTGAGAAGGTTGTGGAAAAGGGGACGCAAGGGGTCAAGACGGCATTGTATTGGGGGTCTGGAGGGGTGAGCTCCTGCCGAGGGTGGATGCCATTTAGCTTTTCGGCGGGTTGTTGAGAGGGCCAACGTGGATGGACTGGGGAAATGGGGATAGAGTTTGGGCTCTTCGGCGGGGGATTAGGCTAGTTGAACAGCACGAGTGTATGATCTTTGAATTTTTGATTAAAATCTAATGTCTTTCAGGAAGGTAAGAGTAAGGCAGAGCGATGATGAATGGGTTTGTTTGTATGCGTGCATCTCGAAAGCATGGTCGAAGTGGAGAGTATACGAATACTCTCGAGGTGATTGAAGTAGCATCGTTCATGAAATGTTGTGACGTGCTCGAGGCCGTTGTAAGCCACCCAGTGTCCGATCACTTTCTCCAGTCATGATGTTGTCAATCATCATGCCAGCAAGCTCAATCTTTGGGAGCATAGGCATGCTGCGGGAGCAATCGAGCTATCGTGTATCTAACAAGATAATTGCCCCGGTTGCTGCATCGTAGTAGACGGATGGCTGTGCAATGCGTAGAATGCGTCCTGCAACGTCTTTGGTCATGCGGTGGACGTAGGCACGTCGGGCATGGGCACGTGCCGGTGGACGTGGGCGAAGCAGTTGAACGGTTGCGCATGCGGGATCGTGGCTTTCGATCTGCAATGATGGGAGCAGTAGGCAAATCCCCGTGTTTTGCGTGCAGTAGTGCGAAACACTGAAAGGGTGTGCACTGGCGCCGTGTTTGATGGGGGCGTTAGGGTTTTACCGTGTTGCATTTGTGAGAAGCAAAATGGTTGGCGGCGATTTGGTATTGAAATGTGCGGCTGGTATCGCAGGGCAAGATTAACACGTCACAAGTGACCGAATCGCGTGGTCTCGTTCAATAATAATTTCAAAGTCTGGTTAATATGAGGCTGAGGAGAGTGCCACAGTCAGCAGTTGCAACACTCGGAATCAGCTGGGGGTTAGCCGGTAATGACGAGTTGAAGCGCATTTGAGGAAGCGAGAACGGGTTATTGTGCAGCAGACGGCACGAGAGACTATGCACCCAAGGTTCTCTTAATCACATTCATATTTTACACTCAATTGAGTATATACTTGATTTAATTGCCAAGGCTCACGCATCGTGTACCTACATGCATGTGCTTTCACACCCGCTGTAATCACAGCTGTCAACCACTAGTCCGTCCCCGAAAAGGCTGCATCGATCCCAGGCTACCTAAATCCACCTCTTGCACCCGACATCTGGCAACCCAAATCCACCCCTGGTCGATTCGCCTTGGGTCGCCGCATCGTTTTTTTCAAACTAGATCTTTGAATCCTTATTGGGAAGTTGCTTCTCTTTTCTCCTCTTGCCATTTTTCGACCGCGGCTCACATTGCTGCTTATATACCCGCGTCTGCCCTCCTTTACGAGACTTGGCCGCCGACACAGAGGGAGAGGGAGAGAGCGCCGTCATCCGCCGCCGCCCTCCCACCCCCCCCCAAAGGGCCTGCCGACCCTCGAAACCCAGCCCATCCCTAATCTTTGGCCTGGGCTTCGTTTCCGATTGCTTCATCGCGCGACCGCCCATCATGAATAGCCCCTCCGGCCGGGCTGGACTCATCAGGGCTCGCGACGAAGCCGGCAGCATGGAGAAACTGGTATGATCCTGCCCGCAGCACATCCCCTCCTCTTTGTCGTTGGTCGTCGCCGCCGTCGGTATGGGCAACCGTTTTTTTGCGCCTCTGACAGACCACGCGGTGCAACGGCGAATTGCGCCTCTCTCCCATGTTTCGCCTCCCACGTCGTGCTCTTACTGACAATGGCCTTGCTCTCCTCTCCTCTAGGCTCATTCTGTCCTCGACGATATATTACATAATGTCATCTCCGACCTCCTCGTCAAGGTCCACCGCGAGGAGAAGCAGGCCAAGGCCACCTCAGCCGCCATTCGCATCGAAAAGCTAGCCTCGGATGCCTCCGAAAGCTCAACTCCCGACTCAAAACCCGACGGCCGCATAGAAACAGACGCCGCAATATACGAGGACGGCAAGGTCACTCTCAAGGGCAACCCTTTGAAGACGACCACCGAAATCCTCTGCCCCAAGTGCCATCTGCCCCGGCTGCTCGCGCCCACGGATGGTAAGGGTGCCGTCAAACCCGATCCGACCGTCGTCTACTGCAAGCGACACCCCTACATTGACAAGCCCGGTTGCGACATCTACGGTCAGACCTGGGTCGCTCCTGGTCCGGGACGTGGAAAGAAGAAGAAGGACATGGAGAAGCCTGACCCGGCCGATAAGCCCGCCAATGTGCTGTCCTTTCCGTCCGCCACATGCAGCAAATGCAAGCGATGCATCCTCGTCACTCGATTAAACAACCACATGGGCTCCTGTATCGGTAATAGCGGCCGTAATGCCAGTCGCGCCGCCGCCCAAAAGATGAACGGTAACTCTCAGCATGACAGCACCCCGCCTTCATCACAAAAGGCCACGCCTGCGCCGGGATCACGCGCCTCGAGCCCTAGGAAACGAGATGCCGCCGCTAGCGACGAGGACGAGGACGAAGACGACGAGTCCGAGGCGAGCCCCAAAAAGAAGAAGATCAAGTCGGCTGCCGCCGTCACCAAAAAGGTCATTCTCAAGACGAAACCCAACATGAAGCCGGAAAAGGCACGTGTCTCGTCGCATCTTAAGCAGGAGCACAAATTTGACGACAGCGACTCGACGCTAGATAAGACGCCCACAAAGGCACTGAATAAGCATACCAGCCCTCTTAAAAAGGTCAAGGTTCAAAAACCCACGAGCTCGCCTCTATCACGGAACGGGAGAGACATTGACATGAGGTCAGAGTCCTCGGATCCAATGTCTTCGCCTCCTGGCCGATGAGGGCGTATGCCTGCTTCGCCTCGGAATTGTATCAACACACTACTATTTGGATAACCATCGCACTCGATTGTGCACATCAACACCGCGACAATGAGCGAGTGCACCTTGACTTAATTGCGTCTCTATACCGGACTTTGTTTCCCCCGTCATATACGTTTTTGCATCAGGGACAGGCTTGCTCCCTCCCTTGTTTCACTACCTCATTATCATTTTCTACCGATTCTTTATTTTTTCTTTTTTCTTTTTTTTTTGGCTACATTTACTTTTGCCATCCTTTTGCGCTTTTGCCTTATTGCTGATACTTTATCTCGATTCGGCGGAGGAGGAAAGAAAAAGATGTGGGTTAACGGGAACAGCAGTACAAAAAGAAGACTACATCCTTAGCATCACCGCACATGCGGGCCTGGCGGCGTTTTATTGGAGAAACTGGCGTTTTCTTTTTGCTTTGTCTTGCATTTGCTCTACTGGCTGCAGTGAGCTGCTCTTTGAAAAGAGACTTCTTTTTTTGTTGGTTGGTGGTGGGTGCATGGATGGACAGGTATTTACAGGCGAACTCGAAAGTTTATACAGTCAATCGGAGTGGAATGAATCTTTTCTATTCTCACCGTGACCAATTCGTGTTCTTTGACTGCTCGACATGAGCAAGTATCTTTGTGCATGGGTAGAGTAAATCGTAGTGCTTATTTCGCTTATGTCCAAACACGGTCATATTATCTACCTATACTTCAAACGCACGCCTTTCTTGGGAAGCATTCTCTAAGTCCGCGCTTCTCATAAGCGAGAATATTATTTTCCCGACATGTGTGCTTACAATTCCTCTTCGGACCCTTCCACCACTTTGGCCGTCACGATACGCACCTCCTCCACGGGCCGGTCCTCGGCCCCCGTGGGCACCATGCCCATGCGCTTGACCGTGGCGAGCCCCTTGGCCACGCGCCCAAAGATAGTGTGCTTGCCGTCAAGCCAGGGCGTGGGCGCGAGCGTGACGAAGAACTGTGACCCGTTGGTGTCGGGGCCCGAGTTGGCCATGCTGAGGACGCCGGCGCCCGTGTGCTTGAGCGCCGGGTGAATCTCGTCGGCGAACTTGTCTCCGTAAATGGACGACCCGCCGCGGCCGGTGCCGGTCGGATCGCCGCCCTGAATCATAAAGTTGGGGATGATGCGGTGAAAGACGGTGCTGCTGTAGTAGCCGCGGCGGGCGAGCGCGGTAAAGTTGGCGCAAGTCTTGGGCGCGTGCTCCGTGTAGAGCTCCAGCGTGATTGGGCCCTATAGAGGTGGTTAGAGAAGAGTGAGGCAGATGCGTAGGAATGGGAGGGAAGGGATAAAGAACGTACCATTGTGGTTTCTAGTATTACATTGGTCGTCATGGTGAGAATTGACTTCCAGGATGTGAGCGCTGGGGAGGCAGTGAGGTGCTCGTCGCGAGAAGTTCGATGTCGAGATGCAAACGTTGTCACTGGTGAGTGGGGCGCGACAGGATGGCGGCGCTGCCACTTACAATGGCCAATCACTCGGCAAATGCGGTGGATTTTTACAAGACGAATGTTTTGCTTTCACTTGGTGTGTGCAATGAGTTATGACGTCAGTCGGATTGAAGGACTAGTTACAATATTCATCATGCTATCAGTCGGTGCTGTGACGTATGGCCGGTAGGCGAATCTAATGTGAGATGCTCCGGGGAAGTCAAATTGACTTGTCTTTCTACAGATTATATCCTAGCTCAATCTTAATCGTGAGAGGTTCTTACACCTTGCTGAAGAGTGTAACGCAGGAGCAAAAAAGCCTCAGCTGGCTGTCATTCAACAGTAGCTACATTGAACTGGCTGTCATGGCTGTAGGTCGACAGCGAATATGATATTACTCTGCCGCCTCACCGTCGCCGCCACAACACCGCGAGAAAGCGCGCTAAGAATTTATTTCTCACAAAGACGAAAAGTTTGTGTTAGTGGAGCACTGCATCAATTTTCACGAGTTCTTTATGTTCGGTTTCACCGTTGAACACAACTTTCCTGGAGTGCTACGTCGCCTAAAGCCTTAGTCATCACAGGCTTTTAGAGACCACGTCTCTGCGCAAGTTTGCTTCAAGCAAGCGACAGCCATATAGCAAACATCAGCTTTCTCTCCAAGTTCCCGCCTCGAGGCTGTCAAATTTCAAGACCTACCCAGCTTTTTCTCCCGAAACTGGGTAAAAGATATGGCGAGCAATTCGTCGTTAATTGTCCCCGTTGGCGGAGGACTACTGGATGGCCTCAACTCGACCTCTCACAACGCCACCTCGCGGCCTGACACATGGTTTGGGGCCCTCCAAGACGTTGATTTTCTTCTCCTGGAAGCCAAACTAGTTCTCAGCGCGGCCGGGATTATCTACGTCGGCGCCCACGCGGCTCTGCGGAGGCCACCGTCGGCAGCGCTACCCAAGGACAAAAAGGCCCGGCGCAAGACGGAGGAGGAGGACAAGCTGTCGCAGGGCCTGGAAATGTCGGACGCCATACTGTTCCCCGTCATGGCTGGCATAGTCCTCATGGGCCTGTACTATCTCATCCAGTGGCTCAATGACCCCGCCATCATCAGCAAGATTCTGCGCTGGTACATGTCGATTGTCTCGGTGGCGAGCTTGGTGACCCTCTACGCGCACGGCGTGGATCTGGTCGCGGCGTTTGTGTTTCCAAAGTACTGGAGAGGTCCGGATGGAATTTTACGCACGGCGAATCAGAAGACGCAGGCTGTTGTTCGGTGCGATAATGTTGGCAATGTCGGCGATGGTTCCTCTCCGGCTACCGGCAACCCCTTACCAGGTGTTCTTAGCCTTCTCGCTCCGACAAAAAAGCTGCAAAAGGTTGCTTGGGAAACGAGGGCTATCTTTAAGCGAGATTGGCTGCTCAGATTCTTTCTGCAGGGAGTGGGCGAGGAAAAGACATACATCAAGTTTGCGACAATGATGGCTCTACCGTTGGCGGCTGCGACGTCAGTTCTTTACTTTTCCTCCAACTCACCATTTTTGTCCAATATGCTGGGTTACGGAATGTGCTACTGCGCATTCCTTGTCTTGTCGCCCACTGACTTGCTCATCGGTTCACTCGTGCTGTGGGGTCTCTTTTTCTACGACATATTCATGGTGTTTTACACCCCGTACATGATAACAGTGGCGACAACTCTCGAAGTCCCCATTAAGTTGCAGTTCAAGGCGGCCCAACGTCAAAGTATTCTTGGTCTGGGCGACATTGTCATTCCTGGCATGTTTATTGCCTGGGCTCTCCGTGCTGACCTGTGGCTACACTACAAGCGCCTGGTCAAATACGAGTCGACAGAGTTGAAGATTCTGGAAAAGGATGCCGCTTCCGGCGAGCTGGTGACTCGCAGCGAGACAAAGCACCGCGAGATAAAGCCCCCCTACGTAGAGGTCAAGGGCAATTGGGGTGACTGGTTCTGGACGCGTAGGCTCATGTACTTGTGCGCCCCAAAGGAGGTACCTGTTTCGGTGGCGGCAGGTAACTTCAAAAAGACGTACTTTTATGCTTCCATGGTCGGCTACCTATTGGGTATGCTAGCTACGCTGGCGATGCTTCTCGTCTTCAAGCGTGGCCAGCCAGCGCTGCTGTATCTTGTCCCAGGCGTACAGGGCGCTACTTACCTCACGGCCATCGTGCGCGGTGAGCTAAAAAGCCTGTGGAAGTATACTGAAGACGGTAGTCTTGATACGGTCGATGTGGTTGTGGACTTGGACGCAGATGGAAACCCTTTAAAGACCATTGGCAAGCTCGAGAATGGAGTCGTGGATACTACGAAGAAGGATGACAAGGATGCCAAAGCGAAGCAATCTGACTCGAAAGGAGCTAAAGCCGGCGCTCACAAGAAAGGGGAAGATGGGAAGGATGGGAATGAGGGCAAGGAGAAGAACCACCATGTCTTTTTGTTTTCGCTCGAAGCGCCCCCGGACGACAAGGAAGCATAGTTTCATCGTGTATAAGATAGAGGCTTGGGCTACAGTTTTTTTACTCGGCCTCGTGTGTGAAATCATTAGAATCGTAGCGCATGCGGTAAATTAGACATGAATCGAATAAACTTCAGCATAAGCAGAGATCTGCTTCCTAATACTCCTGTGAATATGTCCTCGGGCCAGACTGAGAGCGGACTATCTTCTTTATTTTGCAGTGGTGCATTAGGTCTTAATGGCGGCATTCCCAATGTCGGGGTCTTTGCGCGATTGCCTCGTGGTGATCCCCAAAGACAAAGCCAACAAGACCAATCTTGGATACTTGTAGCAAAGTACGAAGAGACAAAATGGAAGAAAATGAAAGAATGTTTTTGATCCCATGTCTCAGAATACGTTGAAACGGGTCTTTAGCGACCCGGCGAATCTTGCAGATGATACAAGATGAGCCAGCTGATGAAAGACAGACCCAGAGGCAGCGCGTGCGCGGGAAACGGTGAGTACATCATGGACGTCGAATACATGAAAAGATGCTCAGAAGTTGTAAGCCATCCTCTTGCGCTTCGTTGTAATTTTTCAAGTCACTGTAATTAGAACATGTATTTTGACTTTTCTGGGTGGATGTCAGCGAATGAATTAATTTTCTGAGAGGTTTTCTATTCTATGTAGAGAACGGAAACAATTGTGTCCGGCCAGTCTCCGTCTCCAGCAATGTAGACAGAATAAAATTGGAGTTCTCAACCCGTGCGTATTGTATAAATAGGATATGCTGTCTTCTCTGAACGCACATTAGATACTTCTTACATATGAGGTGGGGTTGCGAGAGTGACGCTGGGTAGACAGGCCCCGCCTACAAATAGACTTGGAAAGCTCTCATCGCAAGCCCAATCTTACATCTGCGTTCAGCGCCTACTTGTTGTTTCGCTTCATATTTCGAGATCGTTTCGACCCTTGTATTCGCTGGTATTGATTTATTTGCTTTTCCGCGCTTCCATCTTTACCAGTCAGCGTACGTGCATGTGGATGGTTCCAGCTTTGCCTGAACAATAGGTCTCTTGAACAATCAATCCCCGAACAGCCCCTACCGTCATCTGAACTGCGCAGACAAGAAACTCCAAAAAGGCGCTCCAGAAATTAGATAAATATGGCCACGGTCATACAATGGGTGCTTGATACGCGAAAACTATGGCCAGAAGCCGCCACGACGGCCGAGTTGGAGCACGTGGTAAGCTGCCCGTTCCCTCGGTCCTACTGTCGTCCTCCGTCTCAAATGCTGAGAAGAGTCCCGTTCTCATACAGGCTGCGCGCGCCATGAACCTGCTGCTCGATACCGAGCGCGACGCCGTTCTCCGCTACTACCACGTCCGCGACGCCAAGCTCGCGCTCGGCTCCGCGCTCCTCAAGCGTCTCGTCATTGCCCAGCACGTCCCCGGCGTCGCCTGGGACGCGGCCACGGCGGTGCGCGACCCGCACACCAAGCCCGTCTTTTACCACCCGGCGGGTTCTCCGACTCGCCAGCCGCTCCTCTTCAACGTCTCCCACCAGGCCGGGCTGGTGGCGGTGCTGGCGGCGCGCGGCGCGCCCGACGGCACGCAGCTCGGCGTTGACGTTGTGTGCCCCGGCGAGCGGCGCGCGCGCGACCTCGAGGCCCTCCGCACGGACGGGTGGGCCAAGTACGTGGAAATGCACGACTCGGTGCTGTCGCCGGTGGAAGCGCGGCGGTTGCGTAATGTCTCGGCGGAGGGCTCGTCGTTTGAGCAGGGCGCAGATCGCAGGCTCGCCTACTTTTATGCGCTGTGGTGCTTGCGCGAGGCATATGTCAAGATGACGGGCGAGGCTCTGCTGGCGAGCTGGCTCGGCGACCTGGAGATGCGCGGATGGGCGCCGCCGCCGCCGTCGGGGGACGCGTCCGACGAAGGCCGGCTTGAGGTCTTTTTCGGGCCGGGGGGTGGTAAGCGGGTGGAGGACGTGGATCTGCGAATCGAGTGGTTCTTGGGAAGAGAGTACATGATTTCGACGTCGGTTCGCAACCCGGATCCCGGTGCGCCGCTGCAGCTGGGCAAGTTTGAATTGCTAGATCTGGATACAGTTTTGAGGCAGGCGGAGGAGCTCAAAGCTACAAGATAGGATGTAATGGGTAGGAGCGTACGCATGCACGATATACTGCGGGCGCATAATTACACGAATGTTGGAACTCTGGCAAGGAGGTTTGTGGATCTTTGCAAAGATACGTCGTTCATCATTTTCCTATTTCTTGTTCTTTTATATTGCGCTTCCACAGACGGCGTTGTCGGTTGTCGCATGAAGCAACTGTCATATTAAAGTCAGGAAAGAGGCTCTGTCGCAAGGGGCGTTCACAGGTGCTTCCCAAAGAACGTCAGCAAGGTCTTGTAGCCGCGTTCGTACTCGGCCTTGACTCGATCGTCGCTCAGGTCGGAGCGAGCAGCCATCCAGCCGTGGATCTGGTCGGGAAAGGTCTCGACGTGCTTGGGAACGGTGAGGGCGTCCTCAAACTTCTTGACGTCTTCGGCGGGCTCGTCGCCCGAGGCGAGCAGGATGAAGGGAACCTTGATGCCGGGAGCGTCGGCGGCGTCGATCATGGCGGGGTGCACCGAGGCAGCAGCGGCAAAGGGGTTGGAAGATTCCTTGACGGCCAGAGCAACGGACTTGCCGCCCCAACAGTACTATGCCACACAGTCAGTGGTTTCTTCATTCTTACGTTACTCGCATGCATGCTTACGCCGAGGACACCAACGCTGGTGATGGAAGAACTCTTAGTCTTGATAGCCTGAACGTAGCCAGGCAGAGGGCTCGCGGCGCTACTGGGAGGGTTCTTCTCAAAGAAGGCGCCGAGATCCTTTTTCTTCTGCTCGGTGTCCGGCGGGTACCTGCATTGATGAGCTTTGGGCTGTGGACGTGTTGTCTGAAAGGAAGCATTACGTACCACTCAATGGGGCATGGTTCACCCTTGAAAAAGTCGGGAATATAGACTCTGTACTTTTGCTCGCCGCTGTGGGCAAGGATATCGGTGCCCTGAAGGGTTTGCTCAAAATAACCAAAGATGTCGTAGATGACGACTATGGCCTTGGTGGCGTCGGCGGGACCGGTGACGTCTTTTCCAGCGTCCGTTAGTATCGCGGTTGTATCAATTGAAGATCTTAATCAATGCGTCTCCAGATGATACCCACAAGTCTTGTAGCCTCCAACTTCTTCGTATTTGCCCTTGGCTTGGTAGCCCTTGGACACGATCGGGGGCAGGTTGCAGCAGGCCGCAGAGTGGCCGGAGGTGGCTGGCATGGCAGACATCGTGAAGGATACGAATTGATCGTTTCGAAGATCTCTACAGGTCACCAACTGCTTTTTCTACCCGAGTCAGTGGATAAGTTCAGAATGCAGTGTGATGTGGTTGACGCGGAGCTAGCGTCGGCACAGTGGGAAGCGGTAGTTGAGCTGGCTGAGACGAACCTATGCTTTGAGTGCTTACCCCGAGAAGCTTGCGATGAAGAAAAAGAAGATGCGGAATTGAGCTCTCGCGGAAGGGGAAGAGCGGTGAATTTATTAATGCTCAAAGGTTACACCTTGTGGTCTATGATGTTGGTTTGCGCAATCTATCCATGGTGGGGTGCGGAGGGGTTGCGTTGCCCGGTGGTGGGGCCTCAGGACGCTGATTTGATGATGTCACAGATTGATTGCGATCGCAGCCGCGTCGATAAGTTGACACTCGCAGTGCGGACGAATGCTCTTGCAGAGTTTACTTCTCATTTTGCCACACAGTGAATCAGTTAGAACTTTATGCAGTTAATTTGTGGCGTTTATGCAAGCCACTTTATGTATGTGCAAAACGTTTGACAAGTCTCTGTGCTCTAGTTTCTACAAAGAGCAAGTCTAGATATTATCGCTCAAAATTCTCATCTACCTAAGGATGTCTCATGTGGCTCGCTGCCGTTGGGTAACATATTTCCACGTCCGCAAGGATGTCTTGCTCGTCCGAAAGTAGTCTGGCACTGCACAACGGCTGGGTAGTCAGAGCTGGTAGAACTTGACGCGATGGTCATATACATAATCACTCCCTTTGGTGATTTTTTGGATCAAATGTGTAAATTTGCGAAGCTTAGTTGTTAGCGATAGCTGCTGTCTCTGGGCGTCGACTCTTGTTGGCCAGATGCCTCTTCCATATGCCGCAGCTACTCTGCGACGAAACCTTGTGCGTTTCACAGAGTTTGTTTGTATAAATTGCTTCTGGATCAATATCTTGTGATGAATCTATAAAAAGCAACCCATATTGCGATAAAATTCAGCCCAACCGCGCCGTGTGAGAGCAAGCCATCACGTTTAGCGTTATCAGCTGAATAGTAACACCGGGAGGCTAGGTTACTAGATAATCGAATTACCTTTTATTACCCAAGTTTTGGTTACATTCGTCGACCTCACATCGTAGCTAATGCTACGCTCCTTGCCCACGCCTTTGCGAACCACATGTCACAAGGCACGTGCTCCAATTGCAATATTGCCAGTGTTCGAATGTTTCTAGCGTTCTCGCTCGCCATAAGCGGAACTGATTGTCCATAGCCTGTAGAGATAAATGCCCTTGTTGATACGACACCATGGCCTCTTTTTCATTTTACATGACATGGAAAGCTTGACGAATTGACAAGGATGGCGCAGAACTAGACGTATTGCGAGCCACCCCATCGATAACTAGGCCAGGACTCAATGAAAATCTTATTGAGTCGAGCGTGAGAAAGAATCAAAAGCTCTTGTCTTGACGCTTCGGGAACACCGTAGGCAAACATTGCTTTAAGGACGGGCGTCGCTGAGATATGGCGCCGCAAAAGAATACACCGGGCTCATCTATATCGGCCTCTCTGCTTCTCTCGTTCCGATTCGCTTCTGGGTCTTGTGACTCAAAAACACCATGTGCACTGTGATTAGCAGGCCTATTGCAATTTATTTGTACTTTGGTGGTTTCTTGCACAACAAGCGAAAGTCTGGTATCGCAAATATCGGAAGAGTACCGAAAGGCGCCACGAGTGATGCTGACTGGATGGCAGCACACCCTCAATACGATCAATCACCAACAAAGATGGTGTATTGCATGCTGCCCAGCTGAAAAAAATTGGCTTGGCGGATTGGAGTCTCGACTTACGTGTTTTGTTCACCGTTCTTGGTTCAATACTCGGCACAAAGCCTCTTCTGGTCCCGGAACCGCGAGATTTGTGCATGCAACCATGGACCGATCTATTAATGCGAGACAAGAATCGGGTAGCGAGAGGCTGATTTCCGATTGCTAACAAAAGACCATGATAAGAAGAGGATCTCGCCTTGTCCACTTTTCTATTTCCCATCAAGCTGACTCTGGAGCGAGAGGAAAGAAGAGGCTGAGCTACTGAACCGGGAACTTGGGCGCCGCCAAGATGTCAAGAGCTGAGCAACACCCAATCAGCGCAAGCGGGTCAAGTGGCTTTGAGTCTTGCGGGTCGATAATTGATGGGACCAGAAGCATGGGGTGGCAGAAATGGAGCAGCACATGGTGGCAGATAGATTCGCTCCCACTCGGCGACAGTGTGGGACGTGGCGCGACGAGGACAGAGAGAAGAGGAGCAAACGAGGTCCCTGGTGGAATGGACATGGGGAGCAACGGAGTGGTCCATTGGTGGCGCGCCGATGGGGAGACAACAAGAACAGAGAAAGGTGAGATGTGCGGAGTCGTTGTTAGATTCGGATGTGTAGGTCTGAACGGGCAATATAGCGAGACATGGCAATAAGCGGAAACATGAAGGGCCTCCAGTGGGCAAGGAAGAGAAGAGCGGGTGGGTTTTGAGGCTTGCAGCGTCAGTCCAGGTATTACCGGGCGAAATTATGGGGGGAAAATGGCAGCCAATGGTGTGTTGACTCGGGCTTTAGGTACTTTCTTCGTGCTTGTTTCATTTTCAGGAAACAGGTCTGTTGTTGATGCATTGTGAGCCAAGAGGGGTTGGTGGCATCCAACCAGCACCTTGAGACCAGGGCTTAAAGAACTCGTCACTTTTTCTTTTTTTTTTCCTCATGCTAGCAAAGTGGAGAGAGTGCCGCGGGAGGGGGCAAAGGTAGGAACAGATGAAGGATACCCGAGTTGCCGGGGCTTGTCTAATCCCAGAAAAAAAAAAAAGAAAAAGCAAAGGGCTTTGTCTGCGTGCAAGTGTGGTACCGACATGATGGAATGAACCCTCAAAGGAGCGGAAATTTCCTCTACTTTTCCAGGGCACGCAGCGCTGCGGCAGATATTTCACACCGCATGAGCGTTTCCTGTCATCGTTTCATTTATCAGTCTTGATTTGAAACCGTTTACGGGTTCCTTGGGCAGCAAGGAGGGTCGATAGCCGCCAAGACATTAGGAAAAACAATGCAACAAACGGTATGTTTCGTGATAATCATCAGCAACAGCAGGCTTCACTTGTCGCGTTCCCAGTACATGAACTTGGCGTCCGATCGCGGACAATTGCCGAGCAAGCAGATACTAGTAGGAACCATCAAGGATCAATCAGACACGGGACATATTAAACGGTTTCAATTGCTCATGCACACGCCAGTGCAGGTTTTTCGCTGTGCGGCATAGCGGCGCGCCAAGTAAAACCCCCCATATCAAACTCTTGTTGGCCTCGAGAGCCGGGGACAGCTGTACGAATATGCCATTTGGGCTTTGTCTGGTCTTGGGTCAACAACTTATCGCTGCGCAGTGTGCCGCCACCTTTCTTCTTTCAGCATTAGGGCCTTCGAGTAGTTTCAACTTACAAGCTGCTCCAGCACACACCCCCCAGCAGCGTCGCAGAAGATCATGTGGTCTCAACGTCCTGTGGACATGGGCAGAGGAAACCCAGACGCCCGCATTCTGGTTCGCTTTTAATTATTATGGAGTTGTATGCGGAGGACGCCCCATAACGCTTGCCAGATCATAGTAATAATCTCGCAACTTATCAGTGCCTGTATTAATGGGTACATTCGAGAGGCGTCCGCGGTGGGTATAACATCGAGGATATTGCGCTTCAAGTTGGCGAGACCCTGGCACCATCTTGCGCCACGGCCCGATTCGAAAAAAATAAAAAAAAAAAAAATAAAACGGCAAAAAAGGTGAGGCTTCCGAGGGACTCTGGATGTGGCTTTGATTAATTAGTGTGTGCGAATCTATGTTGCATGGTTGGCATTGGTTGTCAGCTTGCAGGCTTCCTCTGTTGTCCTCAACCCGCTAGCGCCAAGATTCTCTCGCTCTGATCAATAATAAATGACAATTTCTTGACTCGACGATAAAAGTCCAGTTGTACTGCAGCTTCCACACTTGGCCCGCCGTCGCAGTCATCGCAACCCCATGCATGTAGTTGGGCATTCTCTTGCTCGAACCTCTTCGGGCGTTTCCCGACAGCCCTTGTATGTATACTTGGCAGTTACTCTGTACCTAAGCGATTCACGACTGCACACGCAGTTTGAGAGCAGTGGCTCACGAGTATGTTTCAATCAGGAAACTCGACTCTTTCAAACGTCACTGTCGATATGCGCAACTATAGCAAGCAATGTTTTTTCAATAGTCACTACCGGAGAGTATTTGCAACGAGGAATCTGGAAATACAATAGTATATTGTTTTATAGTCGGTTTTATAGTTCGTATCTCATGGGGCACTCCATTTCAATTGTGGCCTGTCGAACCCGGCCGGCTGGAATGTTTCATAGCAAATCTCCAATACAAATTCAGAAAACGTATTTAAATCCCCATCTTGCCTTTATAGCAAGATGGCTTGCCCAGTCTAGGGCCTTTTCTGGCTGTCTTGATAACCCTGAAGCTTGAGCGGTCCGCAGAAGAGTACATGTGTACGCTACGGGGCGGCACAGCACCAATGCATTCCCATGCCTGCATCGACGACAGCCCTGCCTGTACGGAGTACAGCTATTGTGCGCATCTCGATAATTACGCAGAGGCCATCACAGTGGGGGGAGGCAATGGCCCCCCCCCTCCCCACTGGCCTGCATCTTGCCAACAGCAAAGACCTCTGCAAAAGAAGGTTTTGGGTAGAGTCGCGCCACTAGGAGCAGAGATTGGACGTGCAAAGATGTCGTAACCCCGGCACGCATGACTGAGGGCTTGAAAATGATACGATGAATAGACTTCGCCTTTTTCGCTCGCTTGATGATTCTCTGACCCAACCCAAGGGCCAAGCACACCAGGCCGCTCTCGGCGCTGTATGTGGTGGTTACAGGGGTTGTCTCAGGTGGCGCATTCCCATGCCATCGCCAGGCTCCAGCTGGTTGCATTGCGCAAAAGAAAGCCTGCCAATAACTAGCTTCGCCGTTGTCTTTTGGCGCCGAAAAGGATGCGCTGTTTCATCAAATCGTCAATATTGGTTGGCTGGCTTTATGTACTGTACCGGGTGCCGCTCTTTCGATGGTGTCGTGGGCAATAATAGTACCGTCTCAACGGGGCAAACATAAGCTGTAGGGCTTCATCCAGTGTCAAAGTGCCCATGAGCCATCTCTGACTCTGTTCAAGGCATGACAGCGCCAAGGCTCGTCAACATTCAAGGATGTATTGCTGACTGTCCTTGTAGGTGCCTCCGAGTCGTCGCCAGTGACGATCGACTTGGCGCAAACGTGGTGAATCAAGAGAGTTCATTGCGCAATCCCACGCCGTAAACTGTATCCCTTGTTGTTGGTTCGTGAGTATTCGAACCGTTCCTGTCTCATAGGGCGGACAGGTCAGCCAGCCGCTCGTCACAGGACGCTGCGGCGGCGGGAGCATCATTAATGGAGAAGCTCAAGACTGTCGCAAGGAGTTCCGCAATAGCCGCAGCAGCGACCTGGAATGACCCAAACTTCCTTTCCATCCAAGGCGCAAGTTGGGCATCTAGTACCGGGAATCTGTGGCGCGTGAGAGGGCCTCGTCAGTCCAGGTTTCGAGACAGGCGCATGCTGTCGCATGCAGCATAAACAGGTCGCAGGGCTTAAATGTAACTAACCTTGGGTCCAAGAGATATGATTCCATGAATACCAATCACGTCAGGTATCTGGGAAGCATTGCGTGGCTCGCTCTGCTCTTCCCACCCAAGGCAAGGTAGGGTCATGGCGACGCAGCGGGGTGGAACCATTGTATGTATGTTGTGATGTCAGAATAACGAAAAAGTTTGTCTGAGCTGAGCACAGCTTTAAAGTGGTGGATAAAGAGAATTTTCAAGAGCAAAAGAAGCTGAACAAGGAGAGATTGCTACCAAGCAAGATTCGATAAGAGCAACAACTGTAGAACAGTAGGTTGTTGAAGTAGGTTGACAATGGGCCAAGCAGGTTGTTGTCGGATGCCATGGTAGTGGGGGCCGATGCCATTTATGGGTTTGCGAATTGCGACTAAAAGCAAAAAAGGAAAGAAAAAAAAGGGTAAAAAAAACATAGAGACACGACGAGGCAGTCGGCTTGGGATTGGGACACGGCCTTTCGGGTCATTAAGCGCGGTGGAACCCAGGCTCCTGGGACCAGGTGTGACAGGAATGGACGACGGTCCCAGGGATTGGGGATTGAGTGGACTGGACAAGGTATCTGAAGATCGGGAGCCAAGCGGGCGGCGGCCGAGGTCTCGGGGCGGCGAGCGGAGCCGTGTGTCTGGAGCAAGACGTGTCATCTCACTGTGAGACGCTGTCGGCTATTGGTCAACTAGTTTGAACTTTGTGTCGTTGTGTGTGTGGCAAGGGCATATGCGAGGAGAAAAGGCGGCGAGACGGTCATTGTCGTGTGATGAGGGGACACGAGATGGTGCACTGGGATGAAATTCATCTCTGGTACATTGAGATCTGTGTTGCTCGATCGGCTGTGCATCTTGGTGTTACGCAAACCCAGAGCGCTGGTCCCGAGTCCGGAATCGGTTGCGAAACATGGTGCTTGTGCAGCATGGCGCTGCATGTTACGCAGATCTTGGTACACCCGATGGCGAGAGACCTTGACCCTGGAATTCGGTACTAGTTAGTTGCGGGCGTGGTCGCATGCACACACCCATGCAGCAGTCACACACAAAGCCTTCAAAACCGGCCATCAGCTGCAGCTAGGTAACTTGTCTACAAGAAGCCAGTTGTATACAGGAGCAAGGAAGAAAGCACCACGTACGGAGTGCAGCTGGGAGGTACAGCTGGGAGGAAGGGGGGAGGGGGGCTGAAGTGAAGGAGAGAGAGGGTAACCAACCGCAAAAATTACTATTTTGAGCCATGCCTACGAAATCCTCACGAGTTACTTGTGTTGTCTCTGTTCGTTGAGATGGAGCGACCCCGATTTCGATTGCACCGGTAGAGCTGACAAGTCGACCAGGGCCAGGGAGAAGAAAAAAGGAAAAAAAAAAAAATTAAAAAAGTAAAAATTATAATGAATCTTCTGGAGCAAGACTGTATGTAGCACCAGAACAAAAGAGACGCAACCAGGGGATACACGAATGGGTGGATAACACGATCAAGGCCTGGGTCAAGTGCCAGGGCAGAGAGGACTCTCCAGCTGCAAGCCGCAAAGCCTCAAAAGCCACTAGGCAATCGCCTGCTCCATATCAACTCTTTCTCTTGTTGCCGGACCGGATTACTGAGCTGCCGGGACATTGGCAGCCAGCACTATAACACTAGCTTGGGGAGCACCGGGTGGTGGCTCCCCTCCTCCTCCTCCCCTCCCCCCCCCCCCCTGTTCAATGTAAGTGCGGAAACAAGTACGTCGAATAGAGGAAACGAGAAAAAGCCCTAATGCGAGACATGGCATTTTTGCAACAATGAGACGGAGAAAAGCGATCAAGTAAAAATAGCACAATTTCAAACAAATGTGAGATGGGTCAATCAAGACGTTAAGTCACAGCTGAGCTGCGAGGAGAGGCATCTACGACAATGTGAGGCTGGGCGTACTGGTTCGCAATCCTCGACGTATTCGCTACATCGAAAAAATTTTTGCCAAAAGACAAGATTAATAAGTTGCAACATCTTGTCAAGTCATACATAATTTGTGGTCATGTCTGGGTAACCGGGGATAAGTCTCTATTGCGCCGATCTCTGGCAGCCTTTGATGGCAGTCTCATCTAGCAACAGCCTAGCTCGAATTATGAAGACAAAGAAGTCAATGGAAACAATGTGCGGTGTGGAGGGTTACCCTGCTTCTCGTAACTTCGTCTCGTAAGAGCGCATCCTTTCCTTTGTACAGAAGTAAGTACCTTGTATGCTTTGTGTCGCTGGTAGGGCGTCAACGTTGCACGCATACTCTTGCCTCCGCACGAACCGGTGCCAACTCCTTAACTAGTAGCCGAACGGTGACGGAACAGGCAATTGAGCACGGCTTTTGTGTGACGCTGGTCAACGAGCACACTGCCCGCACGCACGCACCTGGCTCGCCACTGGGAAGCTACCATTGTCGCTTTTACCGCTCAATCTTTATCAAGGCAGCGCTCCAGGGCAATTGTTCTTGCTGTTGTTCCTGTAGGCTCAAACCTACTGGAGCTGAGACTGGCTACTCGTTGTTGACGGCGGCTCAGAGCACCAACGCCACGTCTGTGCGAGAATGTTGTCGACAATGATCAATTACCTCCAGAGTAGACATGAGTAACTAGAACCTCTGTCGATATCGAGGCTGGCTGAATCGGCGAATTTGCCAGAGCCTGCTCCGTACTCGGGTTTTGAAACCCGGCGCCCTCTCTTCTTTGATCGTCCATGCACCTGGTGGCTGTCTTGCCAAAACGTCAGCGAGATGAAGCTACCGGCAAAGTCTGCTGCTTTTCCGAAAGACACAACAAGCCACGATCAAAGCCCTTTTGCAGCCACGGAAAAAAAAAGTCAACATCAATTCGTATGGGATCGAGATGGCCGTTGAGTACATTGCCAGCGAGAAAGTCGAGCTCATTATGCACGCACTGCTCATCCTCGCATCAGCACCCGCCACCAGCCAACCATCAACTTGCCGTATTGTCCTACCGAGCAGCCCATATCCACTAAGACGTCAATTTGAGGTCGGATTTCGGGAGCGGGGCGGCCCTGGAGCATCGATTGGGTGTCAAAGCCTCAACCAGACGGTCGGTAAGGCAGTTACAGTGGAGGGTTGCCATCTTTCTGCTCCTTTAGCGTCCCCCTATTCTACGCGCCAGTGATGGTTTGGATACGACCTTGCCGTAGGGCAATTCAGCTGGCTTGCCTTGAAACTGGTGTTTCTCCTCGACCTTTGCAGTCTATCGCAATGCGGGCCAGACTGCAGCAGGCTGATCACGATGATGAGAGGTAGCAGACATGGGTACGTGGAAATCGGGGAAGACTGGCAGCAGAGACGGAGCACCGAGTTGATTACCCCGGCTAGCACAGAAAAAAAAAAAAAACTAACAGGTGGAATAACTCATTGCCAAACTGCCTAATCATGATCGCCGCTCTCAGCTGGGATTTTTCATGGTCAAGTCTGGCCAGAGACATTAGCAGCAAACGGCGGACGGTTATTGGCTTGTTGATCCTTGGGCGCATCAAGGCTTGAGCCTACATACATACATACTTGCCGCCCGGCTGTGCACTGATTGATTATCAAGACTGCAGAGTGCAGGTCGCTTTGGCCGGGTAGCGAAAAGTGGCTGGAGGGAGCCACACCCAATGCATACGTCTCAATATATTCACCTGCATCTCACGCAACTCATCTTTGTACCGTTGCTGTACTCCATACACAGTCATATGATTGCCGTTCTGCTGGCGAGCTGATGAGAATTACAGTGCGTCAGCCAGGTGCCAGCCACGCTGGAACAGCCTCGACTGGCACGCGAATGCCCATCATGTGAGGCGATTGAGCAGTCTTTGCTGGCAAAGTCTGCACTTTCTCAATTTTTTTTTCCCTTTTGAAAGCTTCATCGCATAAGCCGACCGTTGGTATGTGTTGCACGCAGTCTCTGGCGGTTATGCCTACCTTGTTTCAGATACAGACCTCTTATTGGCCTAAAACACCCCCTACTTTCTTATACGTACTAATATGAGTACCTTGTTATAGCTTGCCTAAATAGATTTTGCTATGGCCTGTTGATTATGAAATACTGGCTGAAGGATAACCAATCTACATCTTGATATTTCACTTCTTCAACTCGAGTACTAGACGGACTTGATAACCATTACTAATACTACTAAAATGGCCCCGTACCATACTCATTGTATAAAGCCTTATTACTTCTAACAGCATAGTCTCAATTACAAAACGAGCCGAAGAAATATGGCCGACATTCCTTGCCGAACCAACACTAACGACTCAGACACACAAAGACCAGATGGACCCTCGTTGCCTTTCGCAAGTCGCAACCTCACAGGCAGGGACGTGCATGACGAATCCACACGGCGGCTCTCGTCAATGTCTCACCAGAAACCTCAACCCATCCTCGTTTCACCTGATGTGCACACATGCCTGATGAAAAGCGATCACCGCCAGATCTGTGCGAGTCGCACAAGATCATGTCACACCGCCTCATCGCTTCTGTACCTTGTTCTGGTTCAAACAACTTTGTTGGCCGCAAAACTTTGGGCCCCCCCAGGTAGCATCATTGGGGTTTCTTGTGTTGCGTGCTGGTCCCAGCCACAACGCTGTGTGGTTCAGTCTGCATTTCATCTGACGCCTGCCTTGCTTTCTTTTTTTCATAATTACGTGTGCCAGCTATCCAAAGTACATATTGACAACATGTAGGCACACAGTGACAGATGCTACGGTTCTATTAGCGAGCTGTGCCAAGGAACTAGACCCTACGCCCTGAGGCCTCAAACTCTCTTGGCTGCGACTGTCCAACATCAAACCCTGTACGGCACCTTCGGAGGTTTTTGTTGACTATAAATTTCTATATTTTCAGCTCTTCGGTGCAGTCATGTCAATCCACATGGGAAGCCTCAAGCACATTGTCCAATAGCCGTTGCAGGACCACGCATCACGCAGTCTCGGTGGCGTAAACGACAACATACAGTAGGTCGTTGAGCTACCGAGTATATTTACTGATATCCATCTTGATGCAGGTGCAAGGTTTCTGCTTTCCCGGCCTCCACAGAGGCGTACATCTTGCGCCCTTTCGTTGCATGCGCAGTGCGCACCAACAAATCAGTGTTTCCGCCTCGTGAGTGGGATACCATGTAGCACCCCGTATCTCCGTGGAGAGCAGAAAAAAGTCATGATGCGCTGTCATGATGCATGTTTTTTTCACATGAAAGAGGAACCCTATGCGCTAATCTCACCCGACGTTGTCGGCGTAGTTACCCATCCGTATTGTCTGCCTCTACTCGTTGGTCCGAACACAAAGAAAGACTTACTTGTTAGTCAGTGAGAAGATCTACTAGACTTGATCTGACTCCGTCGCGAGCAAAACAAGGATCGCACCGACTTGCACTTGAGTTGTTGCTGCAACTAACAGACTCGAGAGTTACGGAGCTGCCGTATTCCGTGCAGTATCAAATTAGTATGTACGTGGCTCTTCAGATCGCCGTCATCAGTCCAAAATGTTCAAACACTGAGCCGCTGTAATAAATGTGTGCCTCAAACGGCCCCACAAAAGTAGAACTCGCAACTTATAGCCGGTATCGCTCTGTGCTAATAAATTAATAAATAAATAGAATAAAATAAATAGACTGTGTAATCCCACAGGGCTGCGATCATAAATCGTGAGACATTGTCTGCAACTGCAAAGTTATGCCATTTTCAATAGCGTACCCATTAGATGCAAGCCTCCAGCAACATGTAAGCTCGAATAGCGAATCACTACAGCTTTCAATGATACATACTGCAAGTACCATTTCTTCGGAGTCAACGTCATTGCATGACGCTGAGCTGAAGTATGCTGGCGGTAGGGGTGAAGGAATATTCGAATATGATAAGAAGCAACAACGTCAGACAAGCTGCTGCATTCGGCTCCTTACCGCGCCTTTGCAAGTTTTTCGTCTTGTTTGGTCAGCATGCTGATCTCTAACTTAAAATAATGAATGCCGAGCGACTGGCACCGAAACTCTGGTAAGCACGTTAGTGGTGACGTAGTAACGTCCCTTGTTTCGCCTACTAGCTTTGGCGCAGCTCCGTCTCGTCGGGCCTTGTCAAATCTACGAGCGGCCAAGACCTGCTCCACCGCATCGAGCCGGTTTCACCAGTACCGTCAATGGACCGGCCTGCTTGTCAAATTGAATGTCGCCCTGGTCTAACTGCTATTTCTCGTCTGGCCAAAAAAAAAGAAAAGAAAAAGAAAAGAAAAAAGCGCCAGTCTCATGGCGCGCCTTGTGCCGATGGAGAAGGGCGGTGAGGCCATACCCGGCCAAGCCTCTTCGGCCATGTGTTACCATGAAAAGCAGGTATGCAGTCGGTCCAATGACGATATATGCAGTCAGTAATGACAAACATGGCTCGTTGATGGCTGGCTGATGAGCGTCATGTCGAATATGGGATAACGCGTAATGCTCCAGAACACACCAAGCGTCGAGCAACTTCGCGTCGGTCAGCATTTCGGGACCGCCTAGCCTGGCTCGCGGCACGACATTTCTTTTTTTCCTCTTCTTCGACTCAGTGCCCAGTATCATTCATTAGTTACGAAATGCAGCCGCTCCATTGTGGATTGTGTGGCCGATGCGTCAGACAAGCGGGCTAGGGTTGGGGTGTTCCTGCGATCCAAACCCCGGTCGATGTGTACTCCAGGTATTGATGGGAGCACAAAGATCCGATCTCGTTCGGGAAGCAGTGTAACCTCGCTCGAGGAGCGATCTCGGCGCGCCTGCTGCTGCAGTGGCACGGCCACATATCGGTCTGAGTATAGTGATAGCTCACGGTTCATGGAACACAAAGATTGTAGCTCATGTATTCGCTGGGATTTGCCGGCTCGTCCTCGTATCCCCGGTCAGGTACTGACGTGTTTCAATACGTGACCGCTTCTTGTCCCGGCACCTTGAGCTTAAGCTCCCCGCAAGCCTGCGCGTCTTCGGTCGTTGCGAGTGTTAAGAACTCTGCTCACATACTCAAGACTGCAGCAAAACTTTCTCGGAGTATACCTGAAACTGCAGGTTTGGAGTGCAGATGAGCTCATTGGGCCGTTCGTGATCAAAATTCGATGCAATGAGGGCTAGCCATTGCGGTGTGCGTTCCACCCCCTCAAGATGTTAGCAAGACAACATACCCAACAGACCTCATATTCATGGCAGCGTCGGGTGTTGGGAGGAAACACACACAACACTAAAGTTTAGATGGAAGCAAGGTCCACAGGGCACAAGTCGTACAGCGATGGCTACAGGGCTACTCAGGGCTACTTGAAGTGTCGTTCCATCGTGAGCGAGAGCACCAAGAAGGAAGCGAAGCAAGTTCTCTCTCTTCAAGCTCACAACCAACCACAACTGATATTTCAGGAGCCCCTGCCACCGGCCGACGAGACGCAGCTTCTCGGACATCTCCCCGCCTCGTCTGGCTCGAACCGTCGAACTCAACCTCTGGTACACAGAGCAATGTATACAGCTGTTGTTCTCTCATGTTGACTACGCGGGGAGAAGTAAGTTTCGAAGCCCACACAGTGATCCACAGGTAGTACAGCCTGGCGGGTAAATATACGACCTTGCCTTGCAACGTTGAAGTGGGATGGCCCAGGAATCATTGGATCCAAGGTCGGGGAACGGAACTGACTTTGGAGAGTGGAAACGGGGTCCCGCAAACTTGGGCCCCGGGCCCCAGCGATAACACCAAGAATGTGGAACGCATCCGTATTTGGGATGAACTTGGATATGCGGAAGAGACAACAGAAAGGGAAAAAGAAAAAGAAAAAGAAAAAGAAAGGGGAGAGAATAAGTTTCCATCCACCAAGGACAAGCCTAGGCGGAGCTTGATAGGAACAAAAAGAGAAGGGGTCGAAAATGCGGACTGAGATGCTCGTTGTCGTCTTCATTGCGTGGCTGGCACCCCTGCCCGGGGAGACCAACCGCCTCTTCTCCGAGCTGAGCGCAGAGAGGCTTTTGCTTGTGCATGTATGATGTGCAGCCTTGACAAATTGCTTTTTTTTTCAATCACTCTTCTGCCAGAAAAGGGGAGGGGCGGACGCAAGCCAAACGACCAGTACCACGGCTTGGCGCTTCGGCCTCCCGGATGACTGGCGTTTATCATGTTTGCTTTTTTTCTCTGGCTTCTGTGGCTGTTGGAAGTATTATTGCATGGTCGTGGCTGCTCAACGTCATTTCGACATGTTGACTCCTCAAAGACGCGTATTTGACTCATCTCGCCGCGTGTCAGGGGAGTGATGGGGTAATTTAAGGGGATAGGAAGGGGGTCAAACGCGGAAGAAAGAGGTAGTTATGTGGCCATCTCTGAGTATTTCATAGGTTGACCTGGACAGAGACTTTGGAACCAGTTTCGGGACCATTTACGGGGCGGGCACGGAAAGACCTCTCGGCATGCGGAAAAGGGTAAGCATGGCGATCCGTCCCTCCGGATTGTTACATCGGGTATTGGGAGAAGCGAAAATACGCGACAGGGAGAGAGGGAAGAGGGATTACCAAGAGGACAGCGACATAGCCCATCTTTCTTCATGCGCCACCGAACCTTGAGCACATATTAGGAAGGAGGAGCTCCTTCACTGCTTCGAGGTAACAAAGGCGCCAGACAATGGGAAGTTTTAGAGTTTCGATCCGCCTCTGGGGGGGGTATCTCGCTCGGAAAGCTCGTTTACAGGCCACCAATTTTTATCTCGTTTTTTTTTTCTTGCCCGCCGTCTCTCACTTTTGCCTTGACCCCTACTCATTGTCTTACGCATGAAGATGGCTACGTGCAATGCCAAGCATGCGGCCGATCACCGGGACATGCAGCTCGGAAAGTTTATCGAGGCAGTGTTCTCAATAGCCGAAGGCGTGGTGGCAAGGATCAGGGACAGGGCAAGATCATGACAGCTGAAAAACTCGGCCAAAATGATTTTTTTGTTCTACGTTTTACCTGCGTTGAAAGAAGAAACCTTATTAAATGGGTTAAATAGGTAGCTTGAAACGCCATTATAGCAAACACGAGATATCGGTATCGTCGATCGGGATTTGGCTTATTTGGGTGATTTGTAGTTCGCGGACCATGATGAGCTCATCATAGTATGACAAAGTTAATTCCTTTCTGAGAAACCACGGTAGCCAGACAATACGAAACTGTTGTAAATACAATGTCCCGTCGACGCTCCTCTACTCCCGAATTGATAGCCAGCCATACAATAATGATAATGTTACACTGTAGTTGTGACAAGTTTGACTCCACCGCGGCCCGCCCAGGTGGTGTAATAGCGCATGCAGGTGTCGTAGGGGCACTCAGATCGGTCTGTGCCTCATCGAAGCGCCTTGACTATCTTGACAAACAGGCGACCTTCCGGGACAGGATGTCCACTCATATCCATCAATTGAATAAATCGATAGCCTGGCTGGAGACGGTCCAGACGTATGCAGGCCCACGCACGTGTTGGCCAGTTGATTACACCGGTGACTCCTACCTCATCAATTTTGATCCTGTTTTGAGCGTCAGTTCACTGGCATGTCGTGACGTAACTTGTGCACCCCAACTTACAATAAGAAGCTCAGCTCTTCCACGACACTGGGAATATCACGAAATATCAGCGTTTCACCGTTTCGACCGAACGATGGGTGATCCGATTTGTAGACACGAGTCTTCTTGGCATGGGTATCGTCCGTGAGCGTGCTATCCTTCTTGAAATCTATAAACCTCCCCGTACGAATCTCAGCCTTGGTAAAAGTATGTAGCGCAGCGCCGTCGCGTTCAGCTCCGTCGCCATGTCCCTTCACGGGTATGTGTTGCGCCTTGAAGATGGTCAAAGCCAAGTCCATGGTGTGTACAGTGGCCGCTTGATGCTGCGTCTGGCTCAACGTGTCAGAGCTTCGATATCCAGGTGGTTTGAGAACCCAGCCCAATTCGTCGGCAAACATGCCATAGTTCAGCATCATGCCATCGTCTGGATATTGCCAATTCATTGTAACCATTTGCACACCCTTGCGCCAAAAGTAGGCGGGGTTATAATTCGAGCTGTTGACCCTCTTGAAGCCGTCCGGATAGCTCCGCATCAAGAAGTTTTTGTTATGCAAGAACATGGCGCGATGATGTTTCTGGTCAAGATTTAGAATATCATCCTCACTGATAGAGAAAATATGATTGGGTTGTGTTGCTTGCTTCGTGTCGAGACCCTCGAATTTGACGCCTCGAGTATAGATGGCAAGATTTTTGAGCTTCTCGTGAATCAGTACCTTGGAATTCGAATCATAAGATGGAGAAGATGTCGCAGAAGTCGACATTGACTTGCCCAAGTTGGCCACTTGCTGTGGCAACTCGGACTCGTGGCCCAATTCCGCCTGTGTTGTGGGCGCAGATATAGATATGACAGGCTGCGACGAAGATTGTTGTGCCCTCTTGGCTTTGATGAGAATCTTTCGGCGCAGCAGCTCGAGCCGCGGTACTTGATGTTGAGGATCGCAGTCGTCTTCGGGAGCAATGAGGAGCATTTCCTGCCACACCTCTTCCATTATTTTGACCATGACTTCCTGTTGCTCCAGATCCGCATGCATTTCAAGACTGATAATGATAGGCAGGTCACTAGCCTCAAACGCAGTATCTCTAATGGCTTCAGCTACCTCGCGAAATCCGCAGTAGTAGGTCAGCATGGGCCCATGGCGGACAAGTGGCTCGCCCTTGGCGATAGGGCTGCGTCCTCTAGTAGCAGGGTGTTGCGGCATATGCAGTCGGTCACTTTTGTCTGCAGTGGAGGGAAATGCGTGGACGCTCGACTTTGGTGAATCTTCAACTAGAGTCGCACTGTTGCAGCTTACACTTCTAGAGTGCGAAGCACTGCCAAGATATTTCTTTGTGTTTTCGCGAAATTCATCATAGGCATGTGTCAATGAAGAGTTCGACACTTGCCGGTCATGATGGATGGCTGGAGACTTTGAGCTTGACCTTGGAGTTGCCGGTTCGCCATTCCAGACATCAATCTCTATGCAGCGGCCTCCCTTTAACAGGACCTTTTGGGCTAGGTGGTCAGTCAAGCTTTCTACTCGAATAGATGTGTAGCTCACATTCTTGTATGCTTGAGGTGAGCTCTTGGACAGGACTTGGTGTCCTTCAAGGTAAGTATTGTGGCTGCTACTTATAAAGTAGTCTGTCAATGGTCGCGTGACGTCCTTGTCGGGCAAGGGCGCAACAGCATCCCAGGAGTAGTTGAAATACCACGTGGCTTGGAAGTCGCCAACTGTGTAATTTTTGTCCTGCAAGCAGACAGTTGTCTCGCCCTGTGTTTGTCGCAAGAATCGTTCGAAGTTGGTCTTGGACAAGACTTTATCATCTCCTCGCAGCTCATCGTAAAGGTCATTGAGGACGCTGGTGATATCGGCTGGTAGATGGACAGTTCCCGTGCGACTATCGGCTGGGAACTGCCCCTGCAATGGTGGAGCTCCAGGGGAGGCGAATGCTGTAAACTTGACCATTTTGTGCAATGCACCGGTTGCATGGCCATGTGTGTTACCAAAAATCGACATGGTTCGCATACGAGTGCGCTTATCGCGTGGGCGAGCCTGGCGAGCCTGGCGAGACTTGCGGCGTGGCTAGAGACGTTTGGTCAGTAGGTTGTAAATAAGAGGCTTCGTAACATGGGGTTATATTACCCATATGCCACAAGAGAACAGCATGATGGGCTTTGACAGCGGTCCAGGCGTCTTTTGTAGAGAAAGTTGTCGAGCACGTCGCAATTGGAGCGGGGGGTTGACGCAGATCAAGGGTAGCGGCAGCGCAGCATCCTCATACGCAGGAAGCAAGATGTGGTGTATTGCACCAGCCGATCATGCGATGCGAGAGGTCTTGTGTGAGCTGCGAGGTGAGAAGCAGCCTCAGTCGGGACGGAGACAGGGCATCATGATAAATTGCAAGGCGGATGGCCTTGGATGGATACGAGCACGCAGCGAGGCTGATGAGGCTGTGGAGCGAGCGAGACGGGACGGCTCTTCCCACTGGGCAGTGGGGGCACTTGGGGCGGTGCTGACGGTCAAAATGTTCAGCTTCGAACCGTGTCGTTGGGCTAGCGCTGAATGTTGTGGATGTGAGGGCTGACGAGGCTTTGGTCTTCTGGTCAGCGCAACAATTGGTGATTGGGTGATGGACGTGAGGCAACTGTGATAAAAGCCTGGTGCGAACGGAGGCAGCCAGCAAGGCAGCCAGCAGAAAGGTTACGAAATGCATGTCGGCACTTGGCAATGCACGATGCGATTTAGTGCTACACGACCTTGGTCCCTTGTTGCGGGTGCTTGCCCCGAGAAAACGAGCCCTGCATTACCTACTAAGGTAGTAGGTACTTCATTTTATTCATTCCAGACTTTACAGTGAACACAGCCCTGTGTTGCTCGGCGGCCCAGATCTTACCGTTTTTACGGTGGGTTTAGCTATCGTCCTGTCCAACCATATCGCTAATGCCCCTGAAGCCTTTCCCTGCCTAACCCGCAATAAGACGTCTGGTGGCGGAGCATTGGCACTGTGTATTAGTGCTAGCTTTTACTTCCATAAATGGCAATAAAAGTCGCATGCTACTTTCACCTTGTAATAATTCCCAATAGTAAATAGATTCTGGGCTTCTACTTGAGCCCAGTATGAGACGCTTTGTTTTTGTATCGCAAATTTTTGGCCGCAAGCTGGACTGGGGTTCGGGCGCCGGTAGCGCCGAGAAAAACGTCAAAACACTGTACCAATCTGGTCAGCTTCCTGCGCTACGTAAAAAGCGACTCGTCACCGAGCCACAGCACCATACTCAAACACCACCTTCATTCTGAATTCCATCAAGTCCAGACAAGGCAGCCAAAGTTCAAGTCATATTACGGGGATTCGGCCATGTCTTTGCCTGGTCTGATGGAACATCAATTTCGCCACATCAACTCAACAGTTTGCTATCCGCCACGCTCATACGCCGGCCTGACAACTCATCTCGTGATTAGGAGAGATGAGCTTGTGATATCCTGGCGACACGTTTTCGGAAAAGACTACCTTCGGCTTTGGTGCGCGAGTAATTGTTGATGCCAGTTGAGCCTACCTAGTGCACATCGGCAACCGTGGTTGTACAACACGGAAGATAGGCCACCATACACAGGGGAAAAAGAATGTCGGCAAATATAAGACCAGCTTCAAATTTCGTTCAAAGAGGACCATGCTCAACAAATATAATGTCATGAACATCAAGGGTGGTGTGATCGACTACGCGGGAGATGCCCAGCCCATTAGTTTCTGCGATCCGTATGCAAAATTCTAGGCCGACAGATACCCGCCCCTTATCCAAGGCAATAGCACCACGAGATATATCTCTAGGCCAATTTTCAGTCCTGCGGTATTATTCTTATGGCTCATTATAACATCCGAGCGAACGGGGATCGCCAACCACTATAGCTGCACATACAATACAATAAGCGTAGCCAATCGTGTGGTCTACAATGATTTGGGTCCAAAAGTCAACCACATCTGCCAAGCAAAGCGACATTGCTACTGATATACTGCTCGAATGGGCTTCGCGACAACGCCGCTCGATGTCCCATTATGCTGATAGCGCACCATCTGCCGAGCATAAGTAAGTATTCCATCTCCGCAGACGAAAGTCACCGCTTCGTTCCTCGAGAAGCCAGGCGGGCGAATGAGCCCGGCACGCATATGCCAATACCGCAAGATTCTTTGGAGTAAATACTTCCAGCTGCGGATTTATTCTCCGTCTGTTGCGGCGTCTCGGCCACCGGTGCACAAGGCGATGTGTGTTGCGGATGCGCCAGTGTAAGCCTCCTTTATTACTGACAGACGATCATCAGAACTCAGGTATATATCGAACCTCTACATGGCCTTCTTGAAAAGGCGCGAAAATTGTCGGGAGACACGAAACTTGTTGGGCTCGCATCGTGCCAACTCTACTGGGCGTATATGCCCTCCGCGACCGACCGACAAGATAGCAGAGCAAGATGAGCTGCGCCGGCCCAATCAGGTCGCATCTAAACCTATGTAAATCCATGCCTATCGAGTGACAGAAATGGACGAAGAATGGAATCTCAAGATGAGTTGCAGCCAACCACAGGCCGAGTCAGTAAATGTACCCGCCATGTCGGAACTGTATTACATGATAGACTCCCACTCAAAGGGTTGTGTCAGCGCAATATCGCGTCTTCTGTGGGCTGGAAATTCTTTTGATCATAATTGGCTCATAGAAACGGAAATTTCTGGCTACCCAGGAAGCAGTCGCTGCAAAAGTATATTCCCAGAGTGTGCAATCCCACGCGCGGGCTTGCATCGAGGCGAGGCACGCGATGAAACACTGGCTAGCCCGAACGCGCATCTGACTGAATCAAGGTATTTGAAGAGCAGTCGCGTTCAATCTGCCTCCCAACTCACCAGTTCAAACGCTTCCCGGGGGGGGGGGGGGCTAAAAAGCTACACCCATGGCTCGGACAGCTCTGCTCCGCGCTGCTCTCACATGGGCAATTCTGCAACACTGGGTCCAACACGGGGGGCCGAGCATGAGAACCTTGAAAACGACATCGCTATTATGCATGAATGTCCCCTCAAATGGCCGTTCAGCGAGTTAGCTTGTTTCATAGGTTATAGGAATCATCAAGTCGTCCTTTTTTATGTTTGTCTAAATGCATGCATGTTGCCACCTTTTAACTCTTCGTTTCCGGCTGCTTGCCTGGGAGCATTTTCATCGCCGTTTGTTGAAGCGACTACACCAGCCACCGCCTGGCCCAATTCCCTCTGCAAGCCAAGCATTTTTCTCACAAAATGGGCAATGCTTCGTCATCATGCGAGGAGCCAAGAGCTCCATACCGGCGGCGGCTCTCGAAGCATCGAGCGACGAGCAGTTGGGTGCAAAGCGCCGGCGCGAGCGACTCTTTTGGCATGCCGACAACGCCAATGGGCAGTGCCTACCACGAGCTTGACGATGCTATTCCGACTGTACCAAATTTCGCCATGCTGCAGTCTCGAGACTTGTCCAGCATCAAACAAGCTAAAAATATCCATACCCTCGGCCATGATCTCTCAGCCGCAGCTGGCTGCTACAAGAGTCGACCCAGCCGCCACAGCACGGACGCATTCCACCCACTCCGAAGCGCTCCCGTGTCAGGCAGCGCTCGGGCGGCCAGCATGAAGGAGGATGACGAGTTGGGAAATGACGCGGAAAATCAAAGGCTCGACGACATTTATTTTTCATCACCTCCTGGCCTGAGCAGCTCCTCATCAACAGAGTCTGGGCGCACATTATCCTCCGATTCCGACACAAGTAGAGAATTGCCACTTTACATCCCGTATCGGCGTCGCTCCCTACAACGAATACCGGGCCTTGCCACACGGCCCGAAAAGTTTGAATCTGATGCTACCATTCATCGCCAAAACTTGCCCACCTTGTCAGCAAATCAGTCATATTGTCCTTCAGTCCAGTCTGATAACGACGCTGCTACCTTTCTCGTCTCCCCTATCCAGGACCAAGACCTCGATGATCTCGGCAATCCTGCTGAAACCGGCTTCAAGCAGCTTGGCAGCATAAGATTTGGCTCTCTCCGGATTACGAATGGCTCTCCCCTTTCAATGCGGCAAGGCGAAGCGAAAATGGATGGATCCGCGGTTAGTGGCAGCGACTCGATTGACAAATCGACTGCATCAGGTGAGGGCATTGACTCAAATCGTGCTTTGCCGGCAATCTCTCATGCCATTGAAGATTCCAATGACTCGACTTCGATAGAGCAATTAACTGCCATCGCTCCAGACTGCCCCCCGGAAGGATCTCTCCAAAAGGTGCCTGTCAGCGAGACTGTTCGAGGGCGGCAGGGCCGACTCTCGACTGAGAATTCACGAGCATCGGCTGAGACAGTACGAGCTAGAATACCGTCTTTCATTGATGTTGTCGGTGATGAGCAACTTAATTTGGTTAGACGGCAAAGCAGACGAGTTACCTCGGACGACAGCTCCAGTGTATACTCTGATAATTTCATCCCCGTCATGATTGCCGATGACATTGCTTCACACAAAGCGACGCACAACGATAATAGCAATGGACCGCATCTTTCATTTCAGTCTTTTCGCAATCTCATTCGACAAAACAGAGTCAAAAGTTATCTGCAGGCAAATAACAAGACGGCAGTGACGAATAAGTCATCACATCAAAGGTCAGCATCCGAACAAAGCGCTTCTACTACAACCTCGACGATAAGGAGCCAGAGCAGACCGCGCCATAAGTTGGGCAAGAAAAAGCCCCGCGCCTTGTCGCCACCAGCAACCTCGGCATCCAAAGCAAATAACGATGAGACCGACGCGACAACGCCATGGCCTGTGCCCCCGGGAGCATCAAATAGGGAGAGCGCCGCCAAAAAGGATAAAGTCCATGCACGGCGCAAGTCAGACAGACAAGTGCATCGTACGCGCCCTTCACAAGATGAAACGCCCTCTGTGCCTCGCGCTCCACGGCAACTGGAACACACCCTCCGTGATCGCTTTAACGAATACCAGACGACTTCAGAGCGAGTGCCTATCCTCCTCGACAGAGCAAGCGCAACACCACGAGGACAGGTCAGCTTTGAACGAGACATACCTAAGCAAAGGCAGGCGCCCGTCAGAGCCGAGCAACTACGACGGTCCCAAACGGCGGAGTTCAAGCCTCTTCCGACCCCGAAACCTGAATTGCCGCAGAGGAGAAGGCCAGTAAAGGTTCCTGCACCCACTCCTAACGGGTTCGGGGCTCAAAGCTTCCAAGAGAATCCACAAGAGCCGCGGAACAGACAAAGCATGTTTTCGCCCATGCCATCGCACGTCCGGTCCCACACGGCGCCTCTGATGGCGCATCAATACAGGCCATACCACCACGACGACAAGGAACGGCGCCTGCAGTCTCTAGAAAGTGACAGCCCGTATGTGTCACCTATGAGCGATGACGGTCAAGTGACTTGGCCTCTCACCGTAAACGAGGCCTTGAGCCGAACTGCGCCAAGATCATCGACTTTCCAGCCCCGTGAGGTCTCACCGCTTCGTCAAACAGTATCCATGCCCAGCATTCACGGCGATGATGATAACCGCTCGCTTCTCACACCGGCGCCCATTAGCGCGCACAGTCGCCGCGCGCAGGAACTGGCAGAGAAATGGAACAGGCAGCAACAGAAGAAGCAGTCTTCCAGGACGTCTCTGGAGCAGTCGCGACTGTCAGAACTTTACGAGCAGCTGCCCTCTCGCCGTCCGACGTTAGCGGGCGCAGTGGAGGAAGATGATGAATTTCCGTTTGTGCTTGTGGAAAGAGACGACAATCTGCCCCCAATTGTTTATCGAAATGGGACGCGGAGGGGCTCTGAGGTTTCAATGTGGCGACCACCATACCGTGTTTTACATAGCTACTATTCACCGGCATATAGGAACGCACCGATATGGGGATAATGGAGGTCTAGCGACTGTGTCTTTCAATTAATCCTGGAAGATGAATGATTACCCGGTAAAAAGAACTAATAAATGGCTTGCCGATATGAAGCATAAATATAAATAAAGCATATATGTCAACTACAACATGAAATCAGAAAGCATCGTCGCGCTTGCTATACGACGGTCCTTGAATAAAGTCGACTTTGTTTCTGCTGGTCAAGACTGGCGGACGAGAGGTGAGTGTCAGTCCTGGGACCTTTGCGCCGTTGCCATTGAGCGCCCAGACAGAGACGCCGAGCCAATTCTCCCCTTTGTGGTTGAGGATGCCTTCGGGTACGGGAAACTCGGTTTGCGGGCCGATATTGCTAATGTATTTGCCGTACTGGAAGCCGTTTACGTAGAGCAGCGCGCGATACGCAGGCGCCGCGATGGCACTGCTATTGTCGAAGCGGAAAGCGAGCGGAATGTCGTACTCGTCGGCGGGGAGGTCCAGATCAAGCTTGGCCGTATAGTAGGTGATGCCTGCTCCGGCGGTGCCGTCAAAAGGTGTGGCCTTGGAAAAGAGGTCAAGCGGTGGTGATGGCTGGTGAAAGCCGCTGCGCTCGAAGAAGAGGCCGCCCTCGTTGAGCGGCCCGCGAAACTTGTCCTTGTAGTCCTCGCCCCCGAGGTTGCCGGCAATCTTCCAGTCGGTGATGGGCGTGGGGTCGCTGCCGGCAGAGGATGAGGAGTGTAGCTTGTAGTCGAGGATGCCGCGCGGCGCCTTCATGTCGTCGTTGCCGGGCGTCAGATTCTCGTTAAAGCCGAGGCTATCCATGACGACGGTCAGGGTGTAGCGGCCGCCGGCGCGCAGCTGCGGGACAGCGTGGGTGACGATGACGGTGGCCCAGTTCTTGTTGCCGGCAAAGGACCCGAGAAAGGTCTGGTTAATCCAGACGGAGGCGGCGTAGGCTTGACCACCCGACGTGGTGAGGACGAGCCGGTCCTCGTTGCCGGCCGCCACAAAGGAGCCTCGGAACAGCATGTTGCCTGTGTTGAAGCCGTAGTCGGAGCCGTACAGCGAGACAGGCGTCTTGAGCGGCAAGCCTTTGGGGTTGGTTGTGGTGGTGTGGTTGGCCTTTGTCCAGCGAGAATCGTCGTAGCCTGGCTTGATTTCGGGCAGCGAGTCTATGGCGTGCCAGTCGAGAGATCGGAGATTGGGGAGCTTGACGGTAGGGAAGCTAATTTCGGGGTTACACAGCCAGGTGCCTTCATTTGTCTTTTTATAGGATGTGATTTTGCCGTTGACGGAAAGCTCTGATGCGCCCTTGGGGGCGCCAATGACCTCAAGGGATGTGGTTTGGTTGAAGTCGGCTTGGATGGAAACGGTCTTCCCGTCCACAGATGCGGAGCGGACAAGATATGCTCCATTGACGATTATGGTCTCTGGGTTCATCACGGAACTGCCGTATGCAGAATCACCTTTAGGAAGCACTGGAACCCAGTAATTGTATGCACTGTTGCGATCTGAGTTGTGTTAGAGACGGTCATGGAATTGTTTGGGCAACCGTTTCCTTACCGAGCATGAACACAGTGATGTCACCCATGCGAATTACCTTACGCTCCGAGGTGGCTGTGAACTGGACGATGACAGAGCTATTGCTCTGCTTATATGACAATTGGCTGCCGGAGCTATGGTGCACGTCCATGGCGTTCTGCAACGCAAACTCGTGCAGCTCGCCCTGGCCACCGTACATGATGACGACAGTCTGGCCGTCAAGTTTCTTCCAGGTCAGAATCTCAGCTGTAGAATACAGCAATGTGTGGTTTCCCACGGGATAGTCGGTGACATGAAACTTGGAGTCGCGCCCAGACAGGGTCAGCTGGCCGCCAAACTGCGGGATAGACAGAGTTCCCAGAGATGTGGGGAGCTTTACGGTGTACGATGTCGAATATCGGCGTTGATAGTCTGTATGGCGAGCCACGAAGAAATTGCCGGTCTTATTTGAGAGCATAGGCGTGATAGTAACGTCCTTGTTCTCGCTGTAGACGCCCGTCGAGGGATCACCTGGTGTGGCCTCCAAGATGGAGGGAGAGACACGCATGAATTGCGCCTCCAGCTTCATTTGTGAGTATTTCTCGCGGTCAATGTAGCGGTCTTCTCGGATACTCTATCAATACGTTAGTCCGAGTCTCTTGACATGGGGAATGTCAACTCACAGCACCGTAGTCATAGGAGGTATACCCATTAGGATGACCCAGGTTGCCCCAGTTAGTGCCACCGAAAATCTGCCTCGTTAGACGTCGCTCTGCTTAGGCGCCAATGTGTTTTCTCACCATGTAAATATTTAAAATGTTGACACCCGCAGCAAGGTTGTTCTTGTCAAAGACGCGAGAGAACTCGTGGTTCACAAGCTTGTAACACTGATCATAGCCATAGCCACCGAAGGGATCATAAGACCCGCCTTGAAACTGCGGCAACAAGTCAGCTTTATTGTCTCGAAAAAGTAGAAGCTAACTGACCTCGATGATGGAGAAAGGCGTGCTTGGACTCAGTCGCATGTGTGTCTTGTGCAGGTCGGTAGGCAAATTACCTGCTGGCCATACATCGGGGCGAGCCTTCGGTTGTTAGTCAACGAGTGGCTCACTCGGAACGTCACTCACGCAGTCAAAGCCCAAAGGATACGAGTCAAACCCCTAAGCAAAAGTTAGTAATGAAGTTATAATTTCGTGTTGTTTTTTTGTCTTTCGATGCTTGCGCCATACATAAATGTCAACTTCGCCCTCACCGGTGCCAGGCGCGCCAGTACCGCCGGGATAAGAATCGTTGTCGATGAGCGGCACCACAATACCAGCTTTACGCGCTTGGTCAATGACGTATTGCATGTACTTTTTGTTTGGAAACGGAGACACAGAGGCACCGCTATACTCATTTTCTGGTTGAAACAGAATGACGGGGCCACCGTTTGTAATCTGGGCCTTTGCAATGATGGCGCCGATGTTGGCCATGTAACTGCAGCGGTGTTAGCTAGCTCACCAGGTGGGAGGATTATAATTGCTTCGTTCCACGCACTTATCGGTTGCCTTGAGGTAGTCTGGCGCATCGGTGCGCAAGATGCCTTTGATGCGTTGAAGCCAGCCAGGATATCCTCCTCCAGAGACCTCGGCGTTGATATACGGGCCCGGCCTGGCGAGGAGATAGACGCCCGCCTCGGTAGCGGCCTTGAAGAAGGGCTCAAGCGAGAAGATGCCGTCGGCGCGGAACTCGCCCGGCTTGCCTTCAACCAAAGCCCAGTCAACGTAGAAGGAAACCATGTTGAAACCCATGGCCCTAATCTTCTGGAAGACGTCTAGATAAAGTGATGGAACAGGGAGCCTGAATGGGTGAAATTCACCAGAGAACATCAGGGCGCGCTCTCCACGGATGAAGAGCGACTTGTCATCCCAGGTGATGAGGTCTTGAAGCAGTTCTTTTTTGGCAGGCTCACGTATGATGCTGTACGCTTGGTTGCGGCTGCCGAGCGTGAGGCCCTGGGCTACTGGCGCAGCCAAGGTCGCCAGCAAGGTATGAGACAGTTTCATCGTTGGTGGTTGAAGAATTGTCCCCAAGGTTGTATTTGCAGCATGATTTCCACAGTGGGATAATCACGAAGAGATAATTTGGCACCGAGCTGCTTTTTAAGTTACTCTCCAGTCTCATTCTACTTTGCTAGTTCCTAATAATCACACTACATTTATCCAATATTGTTCAAATAGGCAAAGGGCCCGTCCCGACATGAACGGCGACCACCCCGCTGACTGTGTTCATTTCGGAAAGGTCAACGGACAGACAAGCAAGAGACTGAACACAATTCTCGGCTCCTTCCTCCCCTAGGAACGTGGAAACAGCGTCCTCATGATGCCGAGCACGAGGATCGCGCCAACCGGTGTTAGCGTAAGGCCCTTGGAATGGACGCTTGGACAGCCAGACATCCGGAGTCATGATGGACAGGGTGGTTGGGGCTAGAATGGCATTTAGCAGATGGGGGTCTTAGAACGCACTACGGCGTTCAATTGAGAGATCTCGCTGCCCTGAAAGATATGTTGGGCTGGCAACAGCTACTAGAGAATCGCACAGGGGCAGAACTGCTGCCCTCGGGTTACCTAGTAAACACCATGCCGCACTCGCTATGGACACCCTGTATCGTCGTTAATTGCGCATCGAATTGAGTGGCAAGTGTTGATTTTGAAGTAGTCTGGTGAGAATTGATGCAGGTCCGGTGTTCATTTTGGCCCGCATCTGCAGCGTTACATTCGGCGCGATGCGACAGTAAACTGCGCTCGAGACTCAGCAACCTGACCAGGCTCTTGCGTGCGCTTTTTGCCTGGGCAAGCCACGCAAACGTGCCGTTATGCGCATGATACCGGCGGTGAATTAATCAAAAGAAAATTAGTGCGCCTGATATCTTTCGACTTCTATTGCATGCAATTTCTTTTTTGTCATTATCAGGGTACGGGCTGGTCTAGATGCACTCTCATCGTTAAGTTGCACGGGCTTCCAGACGGAGAACGGAGTCGGAGTGAGCAGCCTTGTCCATGATACGGTCAATAAAGCCGACGGGAATGGAATTTTGCTTCCAGACATGTGCGTCCTTCATAACAAAGCTGACTTTGCGGAAAGCCTTCTCGTCGATGCGGGGGTCGGTATCGAGAGCGATGATGTCGGCGCGGTTGCCCTTTTCAAGCCAGCCAAAGCGATATCCGCATGCGTCTCTACCACATGACTCCCATCCTCCAAGCATGCAGGCCTCCAGTACATCTTCAACGGGAATGCCGGCTTCGATTAGGAGCTCCATTTCTCTTGCTCCCTGGCCGTGGTTAAAAGCGCCAGTGTCGCCCCCAGCCGCGAGGCGTACACCGATGGCATGTGCCTCTCTTGCTATCGCCTGGGCCTCTGGGAGTCTTTCCTTGGCTACGGCCTCGACGACGGCGAGCGTCGGTACGTAGATGCAGCCATTTTCGACCATGGCGTTGATAGCGCTGCGGTTAGCCTCAGTGCCATGCTCAATGCTTGTCACACCGGCCTTGGCTGCCATGGTTATGCCTCTGGCGGTGCCCGCGTGGCAGGCGACAGGCAGACCGGCGGACCTGGCCTCGTCGACAATGGCGTTCATTTCGTCCTGCGTGAACATGACAGTAGCTGGGTTTCGATTCATTGGCGGAAACAAGATAGCGTCTCCCGATAAGGGGGCGCGCAATGTATTGCGCCTGTAGTCGGCATACAGTTTGATGATATCGGCCACCCGTCTGCGAACGGCGCGTCGCACTCCGTCGACGCCATCACAAGTATCACAGATGGATGGCAGTCTCAGACCATTGGCATAGTTTTCCGTGCGTATTTCGTAAGCACCGGTGGCGGCCAGGCAGCTTGTTGCGACGAAAAGACGCGGCCCAGGCGTGAGGCCCCGATTGACTGCGTCCCGGAGGCTGGCGTCGTGGGAAGCCAGGCCTTCAGTGCCCAAATCACGATACGTAGTGTATCCAGATAGCAATGCAAGGCGCATATGGTTGACAGCACGGAGAGTGCGCTCTACAATGCTCTCGTCGCGCATTTGCTCCGTGGATGAGCGCTCACTGCCTCCAGGGTCAGAATTTCTCGACTATTTGGGGTCTTGGATTTGTGCGTGCCTATAAGAATGTAGAAACACATGGGTGTGTGCATCTACAAATCCAGGCATGGCAATCTTTCGACGCAAATCAATGTCACCGGGCTTCACTTAAGCCACAATACTGCCTCGCTGAAAAACATCTTCAATGGCGCCGTTGGCGGTGTTGACGACGATGAATATGTTATTTTTAAATTGCTTCGAGGTTGGGTCGAAGAGGGTTGAAGTATGAACTGTAAACAAACTGGTCTCCATAATGGCGGGCTCCGAATTGTGATTTCACGTTTTGCGATATCTCGGAAGGGAAATGGCAATGGACTGGGAGGAGTTTGCAAGTTGTTGATGACGTTGCCTGATATCCTTACACGGATCCTGACTGGCCACATCAAGCTACAGTGGGTATCAAAAAGTGACGGTAAAAAAAAACAACACGTAACCGACGCGGTAAACCCAGCATTTAAAAAGCCACATTTCTTAGCCAAAACAAGTCTAAATTAATTTTAATATTATATAAACCTTCCTCTATAATTTAAGATCCTATTAATATAATTTAGTACTTTATATACTAGCTATTAGCTACTACTAACGCCTAAATATAGTAAGGTATTATATTAATAAGATTATTTAACACTTCTTCTTTAAGCGCCTCTTACGCCTTAATTATAGCTAAAATTAATAATTCTTTTAATTACTTATTCTTCTTTAAATCTATAAGTTTAGGATAATCTTTTATAATTTTTTCCTTAATTAATTTCTATATATTTTTAATAAGATTAAGATTAGGTAAGTAAATAGGCTAGTTTACTAATTCTATACTATTATTTACTACTTACTTAACTAGTTATTTTTATATAATTTAAGCTATATAAGTATAAGTGTTATCTTAAGTAAAAAGAAGACTAGGTTTTATAATTATTTCTAAATTTTCTTAAAGGTATTCTAATACCTAAGCTATAGTAACACCTCTATGCTTTAATAATAGATCTCCTATTATTAGCTATAAAGAAGTGCGTCTACTAGATATAAATATACCCTAAAATATTTAAAAATAATAGGTTAGCTTTATTTAGGGTTAGATATTATTAGGTAAAAGTCTCTTATCCTAATTCCTATTAATATAGGAGTTATAACTAATATAAAATAATATATAATTTAATACCTATTAATAGTTTATATATTATTACCTCTTATTATAATTATACTTAATTATACTCTTATTAGAAAAAATCTAATACTACTAAAAGCTAGGCCCTTTATTTATATATTTTAAGGTAAATTTTAGGCGTTTTTTTATATAGTTTAGTATAAGTTTTAGACATTAGAGTATATAGTAGTACTAAATACCTTATATTCTAAGATATAATCTTAAAGTAGCTATTATATAAGTTAAACTAATTATTAAAATAATCTAAGAATTTAAAATAAAGGGATCTTAATAGATAAAAGTAAATATCTATCTTTTTTACCTTTTATCTAAAAGGGGTAGATAACTAGAGTGTAGTAAAGATTTAGTAGAATTCTATATTATATAACATTTAATAATACTATATACCGTTAATAGACTAACCTCTTCTTTAAACGCGATAACTCTAGTAGACACGCTATAATTATATACTGTTATAATCCTTATTTATTTATAAGGGCTGTGTTTAACTCTTAGAGTTTTTAGAGCTATTTAGTAGAAGTTACGGCTATTATAAGAAGATGTGTTATGTTAAGGTTATAACGCGTCGCGACCCACGCGACTTTTTTTACCGTCACTTTTTGATACCCACTGTAGGACCCGAAAGCGGCCAGACGTACGGAGTAGCACTCACTGCATGCTACTGCTTCTGATTGTCGCACTCTACTTCCGACACGCACATTTATTTTACATTAGATACGGTTTACAAGATCTTATGTAAGGTCTGGGGGGTGATTGGTAGGACAAAGATGGATGGGTGCATGAGCGCACCATAGCAGATCAGATAACACGGCGCGAGCGCTTAATCCATGTATTGACGAAATGCTATTTATTACTTTGTCCATGACTGATGCGATTGAGAGCACATACGTGGGGGGGGGGGGGTTGTAGACTAGCAGTGGCACATGCTGCTAACCATTGTGTGTTTGTGTGTAAAAGACGTGGCTCACCGATGAAATACGGACAAGAAGTAATCCGTACTTATAAATACGGAGGATACTGCAAGAACTGGCTGCAGTTTCTTGACCAGTCTGGCAAGAGGATCTATTTTGGGACGAAGCTGGGAAGCACTGGAAGAACCTACTCCTGGGCTGTGAGGGTGTATGGTTCAAGATGCTTATTCTATTCGCTAATGTCTACTATACTAGCTAAGTGCCTAGGTCTAGGCCTAGACCTAGGCATATAATAGGTACTATTATCTTTATACTAGTATCCTTACTAGTTATATAAATAATAATAATAATATCCTTTATCTTATATTATTAATTCCTATATCTTTATCTTATATTTTATTTATTATTTATTATAATTCTTAAGTAAATAATTTTATTTTATTTATATTTTATATTTTATATTATAAAGTAATATTTTTATTTTTACTTTATATTTTATATTTTAATTTATATTTTAAAAAAGTTTTAAATATTAATACTTTATTTTAAACTATATTTTATTAATATAATATTTTATTATATTATATATATAATATCTAGGTATTAAAAAATAACTATTTTTATATTTTTAAGTCTTTTATTTCTAAAATTATAATTAACTTATTTATTATATTTTATAATAAACTTAAGTTATTTATTATTTACTTTTTTAATAACTAGATATACTTTTTAAATTTTATTTTTATTATATATAATTAAAAAGTAAACTAAATAAAAAAGAATATAATTATATATATATTTCATTAAATATAAATATAATTAGTATTTTATATTTATTATTAGGTTTTAGTTATTTACTTTAGATATTTATTAGTAAATAATTACTATAAAGTCTTATATTTATTTATATTTAGTTATTTATATATATAATTATTAAAGCTAATAAAGTAATAAATATTTATTTATATATAGCCTTTATACTTAACATAG